CATAATTTATAAAATTATAAAACGAAAAAATTATATTTTATAAAGTGGTTATAACATCTAAATTTTTTCGATAATTTATTTCATAAAAAAAATCCGAGCGGTATTTAAAAGTGGTTTAAGCAAAAACCCCACTCGGGATTGCTAAGCATGTGCGGAGACCTGAAGGCCGTGCTGATAGGCAACGCAAACCCATGTACGGCACGTACCTATGTCGTGCGACGCGAAAGCAATCCAGGAACCAAGAACGTGCGGTTCGCGCTTCTCGAAATTGATGAGGGAAAGACTGAACCGGGACCCCGGCGAGAAAGAAAAAAAAAGAACCCTGGGCATCGTCAGAAGACCGGGGGGTTGGAAGAGTGGAGGGATGGGATTCCCAAGCCCACGTGGATTGTCGAGCTAGGTAAGTAGGCGATAAGTTACAACCAGACTTTCAAATCCCGCAATCCATGCTGCTGTTCCATGCTGTCCACGAAAGGAAAGGGAAAAGAAAGAAAAAGCAAAAGTAGAAACATGCCACCCAACATGCTGGGCATCAACTTACAGCTGGTAGACTAGGGGGGGTCAAGGAAAGAAGCGCTTACATACCCAGAGAATAATAGCATCATGGAACTATATCAATACGACTGTACGACTTCATGGTAAGGTGTCTCATTCCTCACGTTCGCATGAGCAGGGACGTTTTCGACGAATGGGATTCCAGCCGAGAGTAGTATTCACTGCCCTCGAACTGCAGATATCCATACCCCACAAGCCGAGCATGCCGTCATAATAAGAAAAAAAAAGGAGATACATAGAGAACGGATAATGGAGAATTAAAAGAAAAAAAAAAAAGCAAAAGCAAAACAAAATCAAAAAAAGAAAATCCCTCGGAAGACGTGTTAAGTGATGCGCGCAATTCAATTTCGTACGCATAGGACCTTGCACGCAACCCCAAATCGAGCAATGAGCATCTCTTCCACGAATAACCTTGGTAATAATACCTACATAGGTAGATAATAACAGATACAGGTTATCCAACAGGGCAATTAGCATCGCGAACGCCATGGCCAAGGATATCTAGGTAAGCACTACCGCCCCCGGGATACCGTATGCGTTCATTAAACGAGCCATAACGGTGCCCAATATACGACTACGGTGTATAATCCAGCACGTAGCGTACCTAGGTAGGTATGTAACTATTATCGTGTATGAAAGTATCCAGTATCCATTGTATGCGCGGCGTTTCGTCTAGAAACAGAACTAGAGTACCCCATATTCGAAATTTCAAAATTACCGTACTTGGGTTAGGGGTCGGGCGGCGTTAGCCTACGGCGAAGGGTCGTCGGTACGTCCCTACCTAGAGGGGAATGGGGGCAATGGGAAGGATAAAAAAGTGACGGAGATCATGTACAATACATCCATCGTAGTGTACCAGCATGTATGGCACTACGCATGTATGTCAGAGTCTCAGGTCTCAGGGCGTTCTTTAACCCACGTAGGGACGTGTTGGTAATAATATATCCCTCGTCGTAGTACCAGAGCAGCAAGCCATTATGTCATTCGGCAGAGCGCAAACCAAACAGATGAAAATCAATCAAGATTTTCCCCCGTGCCGCAAGACAGCAGATTTCTCTGCAGTAGCCGTCTAGCCTTCCCTGGCTTTTCCTTAGCTCTTGTCACATTTTCGAAACGGGCGAAGAAGCATAGAAGCATAGCGAAGCTTAGACCCGTCACTTTTTGTCCCCCTTCTTTCTCTCCCGCGCGCTCTCGTGCTTTCTCCTCTCGATCTAGTTTCTGTATCTTTTTATTTTTTTCGCTCGATCCCTCCCACCTCCGATCTGGCGAACCAAACATATCCATGTTAATGCCGGTTCTTCTCTGCGTTCCAGATCGATGGCATAGAAGGAAAAATCGGGCAGGACCTGACGTTTCCCAGCTTCCCAACAGAGGAAAGGCGGCTGAAACTCCCCCAGCGAATCCTTCGCGGTCTCGTGATTCCTCGTAGGGCTGTCAGAAAAAATAAAAATACGTACAGTTAGCCAGATCGATTTGATCGCCCGTCCGCTCACGGTTCGTAGATAGGTAGTTTTTTGGCAAGGGAATGGCGGACGGACGGATTGCGATAGGGCCAATGTCGCAACGTAGACGCGGCAAAAGGGTCAAGGTCAGGAGAATAATGTCACCCACCAACTACTTACCTAGTAGTACTACTTCCCATTTGCCATGTATTGTAGGCAGGTAAGTACAGAAAAGGTGTACTATTACAGAATATTACTTGCTACACACCAACCTTTGGTGCTTATTTTATCAACACACTAAAGCATAACATCATACCCACTGCACACTGACGAACATGAAGTCCCCATGCCCGCCTTTTTGAGCCTCCTATCATAATCTAATGTTTCACTTTTGTCATTATTTTCTGTCACTTTTTTTTCCCTTTCCCGTTTCCCTTCCCTCTTTTTTTTTCTTTTTTTCCTGCTGCTTGACGATTCGGAACGGGCCGTAGCAGCACGGGCGGACCTATGTACCTACCTGTACTAGTCCGGGCTTCTGCGACGCCCCCGCGCGCGCCCAATGGCGTATTCGCTATCGTGATTGAATTCTGTACTGTACCTAGTATCGTATTTTTGATCATTTAATCTCTACTAATTTACCTGTACGTCGTAGTACGTACCTAGCGAGATCCCATGGGTCGCCTTGGCGCCCAGAAAAGGGGTCTGTTCCGGAAATGGCTCGGAATTTCCGCGGTTCGTCGCCCCTCAACCTTGGAAGTTTGGTACCGCTGGGGAATAGAAAAAAGCAAGGTCTTGTCGCGCACGAGGCCACTAGATTGAAGTGACATGTCACAAGAAACAAGGAGCCTGATGGGAACCGGCCGTGTCGGACTTCGGATCCAGTAGCCGACAGGGTGACAACCAATACCTAGCTGCCACGGAAATGAGAAGTGAGTAGATCATCGACAAGGTGCAGGGATCAAAGGCATTAGATAATTACATTATAGTGGTTGCAGCCTCATCATTATTCAACCTATGATCCTATCAATCCACCTCGTCCAGCCCTCATCCGCGCACAGAAGCCTCATCGAATCAACCGACAAGCTCACAAAGAGTTCCTGCTTCAACGAGTCCGCCTTGGCCGGCAATATCAGGCACGTTCCAAGGTTCCAAGACCCGTGAGCTCTCCTTATCGCATCCGCCTTCGTCACGGGCACTCCCGGGATGTCCCACTCGACATCCGCCCCGAAGTGCCTCCATGTATTAAATGCCAACATTTCAGGCATCCGTGGGTCATAGTTCACCCCTAGTAAGCGTGGGTCGGGCAGCTCGGATAACATAGCCAGCCGCCGATTAACATATTCCTGGTCGACAGCGTCTATCGACGTCTTAATTAGCGGCACCAGACGAGCGAGTTCGTCGTCGTCGTCGCACGCCGCGTGTAGTTTGGTCATCGAAGCCTTCGTAACAGCCGGTAGGGCCGCATTGCCGAAGTAGTTATCCGTAGCACCCTGAAAAGCCCTCGTCCTCCAATTAACCGAATTCCATAACATCGCAATATCCCTATGATGAACTCTGCTCGGTAGATACCTCTCGGCTGCTACGCGAGATTTCGTAATATGCGCGAAAGCGAGCGCGGCCATACTTGTGTACGCGGACGGGAGTTCCGCCGTTCCATTTCTAGAGCGAATTAGCTCCCTGAGCTCTTGTAACCGCTCTTTGCTGAAAACGAAGATCTTGCCTATCTTCTCGATGTTTCCCATAGTTGTCCCATTCTTCAGAAGTCGCGGCTGTGTAGGGCCGCTAAGGTCGTTTAGCATCGTATATTCCGGGCATCCTGTCAACAGGCCCCTAAATGTAGAAAAGTTGTGCATAGTAAATGGGCCTTTGTGACCCCGGACATGCGTCATTGGAAAAGTCTGCTCAGAAGGCATGTTAACTGGAGTATTTCGAGTCTGGGCGGCAAAACATTCCAAGAAAACGCGTAGTGATCCCCCGTCCACCAGCCCGTGGTGTAGGAAGATAGAAAGTAGTAAGCCGCCGGGCGGAAACTCGGCTTGAACCCTCGATACCGGTATCGATTCAAGATTAGAGCTCACGCTGCCCGGGACGGCATATCGTGGATGAACGAAGGCGCCGGGAGGGAATCCGGCATCCTTCGTGCGAGCGTAACTTCTTTGGCTCGTTTCGTTTGCGGGGAGGACCTGGAAGGGAATGTCTTGTTGTGGGGACCGTCGGAGCGATACGTTGCCATTGTTACTACTAGCGTGAAGTCGTCCGGCGAATACTGGCCTCTCCTTCGCCAACCGTTTTAGGGCGGCCTCGATGTGGTGAATCGCGTCTTGCCGCCGGTGATTTTCGCACGGGAAGCAGAGAACGACGCATATGTAGACGCGAGGTGCATTCTGGTTCCACACCGAGAGTGGTTCTTGCCAGTCAAGAAGGTCCTCCCTATCCAGCATTGGCAATGGTCGACGCACTGGAGGAACGGGTAACGAACGTGTGCGTCTCGTAGTAGCATTGAGGGGCCTGATCGTCCGATTTTGCAAGTTGCGACGTCGTTGCCGTGTAGTTATGTCTTCACCAATCGGTGACCGCCTTTTACGCATCGCGGGCAAGACAGCTTTTTTTTTCTTCCTCTCCCTCTTTTTTTTTTTTTTCTTTGTGAGGGCGTAAGCGACCAGGTTACGAGGCGCTAGCCTCTTGAAGATGAAGGGGGAAAGACTATTTCGTGAGGTGGTGGTACGTGCGGGTAAATCTCTACGATGCTAGAGCTAGAGTTAGAGCCGGGGCGTGGGCGTAGGCGTAGGCGTGGGTAATAGTAGTCGGGGGGGACCTGTGAAAGGGCGTTCGTGCACTCGTCGATGAACTCTCTCATCGCGATAGCATGGCTCTGGGAGACCCGAGGCATGATATCTCTTACTGTGAGCGAGCTGACGAAAAATTGGGAGGGGCGATTAGCGAGAGGCAGAGCTAAAGTTGGCGAGAGATGAAGATCTCTAGACCCTTGCAAGTTGCTGAGATCAAATTGCAGGCCAGGTAATAATAACCAGAGGAAGCCTGGGCCGCCCCGGTGAGAAAACCTGTAGGCAGTGTCCACTGTTTCCAAAGACGTCAATGTTGGGCTGATTATTCCAGAAAAGGCTGGCTGCAGATGCTACCCCTCGTCACTCCACGTTGACCGCGTATGATTACCGTCGACAATCCCCTGCTTAAGTGGGAGCCGATGGCGCTAAGGAGCCCATAAAAGCCGTCAGATATGATGTTGGCCTTTGGGTGAGAGCCGCGGCGCTATCGCCTGCAGGGCTAGGTGATTTTCACCCATGCCCCGGGCTCCAATGGCCCCAAGGGCCTCCAAGGATCCAAGGACCTCTCCAAGGGTGTCCCTTGTCCCCTTTCGCCCAAGGATTCGGCAAGGTCATCTGGTCTGGGCGCCGGACTAGATTTCCGTTTGCAGGCCGTAATGAAGCTCAGAAACCAGGATACCAGCAACGCCTTTCCGCGCGAACGGTTCCCACCCTGCCAAAACATCGTCCAGGAAGATGCGTTGCCATTTAAGGAAAAGGGCTTTCGTTAGCTCACTCATCTGGTCGGTGCCGCTTGTATGTTTCAGCTCGGGGCCGACTAAGAGGTCCGAGTGTTCCTGATACCAGGCGTGGAATTCATCACGACGCGTCGTACTGGCCGTATTTGAAGTACTGGAAGTACTGGTCGTACCAGGCGTTCTTCTAGCTAATCCCGGTAGGTCGACCTTGGCTCGGAACATTTTCACGGCGTAGTCCCTCGCGGCACTGCGCAGGGGGGATCCGAAATCCAGGTAGACGGTATGTAAGCAAGGGAGGCCGAGCAGAGGAGCGAGCTGGTCACGGTACAGATAGGTGAAGCATACGCTAGGTAGAAGGATCTTCCTTACGAAGGCCAGATTGTGCCAAGATTGGCTGTAGATTGCAGCCAAGGGAGGCGGCCAAACAACAACATGATGGTTTCTAATAGAGTGAGGCGATTGCGATTGAGATTGCCATTCAGGCGCGCAAGCCATCTCATCAAGCACACCGACATCTAAGATGAAGACGTCAACATCCGCTCTCACCCGCATCCTCTTAGGGCTATCACGGGTCTTGAACAGCAAGTATCGGCTGACGGCTTCGTGGCGTGATTCTCGGTTGACCTGAAAGACGGCCTCGGTGGTCATCGGCAAAGGGACGCCATCCAAGAGTATGCTGAGATAAGGAGCACGATAGACCAATGACCAGACGCATGGAGGCCTCGATTCATACGCCATGTCCACGGCGAACCGCCATATCATGAGCCGAAGCTCGGGAGGGAGAGACGAGAATCGGTTCATGGTTGGTCCGGATCAAAACGCCCAAAGGACCAAACGATGTGAGTTATGATGAATTGGCTTCGCTAAACAAAGCCTGATCGACGATGAAGTGCAATTGTGTCATTTGTGTCATTTGTATCATTTCTTATTTGTTATCGCTTGTATGCAATGTATGTAGTATGTATGTATTGTAATATAATGAAATGTAATATAAGGTGTATGTAGTGTATCCATGGGTGTATCATATGTATCATTATATGTACGGTATGTATCGTATCATCGTATCAATTAATGTGAAGACATTGTAGGTACGCTGTATGTACCGATATTCAGGTATTCAGGTATTCAGACATGATCCAGGTGATTGTATGCATAAATGGGTCTCCGTGTCGTCTGTCATAAATGAGATATTGTAAAATGAGACACAGAGAGAGAGAAAGAAAAACGCCTGTTTTGGAGAAGGGCGCGCCAACGAGCGGTTGAATTTCCTCGTCGATGTTTAAAGTCCGTAATTGGCAAAAGGTGAGAAAATAAAAAATCAATGGTTCATCGTCGGTTGGTGGATTTTCGGTGGATTGGTGGATTGGTGGGGGCGGGGAATAAAAAGAATAATTAAAAAAAAGTAAAAGTCTAAGAAGAGTTCCTAAGATCGACTGGTTTGGAACTCATCCGTCACTTCCGTTTTCGCCTACCCCCTGCTAGCTTCTAGACTGGTCCCGACCGGTTGTTCGCTAGGTGATGGTAACCCTTCTTTCGTTACACAAATTATGCAAAAGCCTACATGGATACTTGCCTAAAGGGGTAACTATTTTTAACTCTCGATGGCCCCCCCTTTTTTAGGTCAAGTAAGGTACCCAGGCAGGTACCCAAGTACAATACTCACACAATACACACACCTTCACACTTGTCACTCACATGTGAACATCGAATATGGATATCTTCTCCCGTCATCCCCAATTCGCGTGGGCTTGCATTGCATACAGCCATCATGTATGTATGTCGATAATGTACGTGTAAGTGTAAACAAGTAATCATCAAGCTACTGGGTAATGTTTTACTTTTCTTCCTAATTTCTCACTGTCTTTCGGACCGTTCCCCACCAGGGCGAGATATCCGTTTGGGCAACATCTTACTGGAGGGTTACCTTGATAACCGTGGCGTCCCCCTGTTTTGCATATGCTACTGTCATACATATCTTGGAGACGGGAAGCGGGACCCGTCCTGTTGGGACGGCTGACAGTCCGGGGAACTAGGCGAGCACAACATGATCTGACCATCCCATCCCTTCCTCCAGCCTTCCAGCCAGCCCAGTTGGGCTCGATATATCTACACATGGCCACATGCTACCTAGGCTCCTATGTATGTTTCACGGACTAAGTAAAGTCCGCTGCCAGTTCGTCTCACATCGTTCACGTCGCTCCTTGTGTCTCAACTCTTTCCCTTTCCAAAATTGCTTACGTGAGGTCCGTGATCCTACGAATAAAAAGGCGGCTGCCCAATCATAAGTCACGCACTCACAGACCTGGCTCGACAACGACTTGGAGGTTTGAGTCTGACCATCCCTACAAACCGGATAGAGAGATGACGCAGCATCGTATAACACCGGACGACTCCCTATACGCCGGGGAATGACTCCTATACATTTGGGCATTAAATTCTCACGGTAAGCTTAAGCTACGCCATCTATCTGGCATGAAGTGAGAAATAAATTGTCTACTTATCTCCCAGATAAGCCACCCGAAAGGATTTAAGACGCATAATATGTCATTCTGCGTCAGCAACATAGTCCGCTTATCCCCACCTATCAGACCACCGGGCTGGGGCTGCGTAAGTGTCTCCGACCGGTCTACAGCTGACTAACTCGGAGCGCCGGGAATTACAAGAATATAGAAAGTCCAAGAGCCAACATGGAGACGACGAAAGCACAACGTTCCTTAGGTACAATGCCGAGGTGAATTGGCCCTACGCCTTCGAATAACCCTGCCTAGTTGGCAGTACACAACAATGTCAAAGCTCGAGCACAATGACAATCAATCCCTGTTCAACGTTTGTGTCACTTCCCATCAGTGAGCATCGATCATAGAACTTTTGATATTGGCGGTGAGATGTTGAAACTGATGGAGGGTATAAGACCTCAAAAGCTAGGATCACGCATTAAGCAGTTATAAGCGGGAAAACTTGCGAGATAATCAGCCTTGCGTGCTAGATCATGGTATTGATGAACGGCGTCAATGAGTCGAAAAAGGCTCCCTTTTCTGACCACACTGTCCCTTCCCAACAGTGGCTACCCCATGGTTCGGAACATTTCCCTTGATACCCAATTCTCTTTCTAAGTCCGATTCTCATCCAGCATATCCCTTGATTGCTTTCTGGATTTCGTATGCCGAGACTGTTGGCTACTAGCGGGAATCATACCTCTAGGTAGGTAGTTTGGTTCTGTATCCGCTAACCCGGTGGTAGAGAGAATAACTCCAGCCCAAGTGCCGTTCTTCTCCATCATTTGCTCCGCCGAAGCGGGCAGATACGCTTCTACTTACCAAGCCAAGCCAAGCATAGATGCCGATAATGTCGAGGGCTAATAACCCGGGCCGCATTCCTATGCGGCACCGGGGAGCCGCCAGTGTGTGGGGTAAGCGGAAGACCCCAGCAGCCATAGGATTGGCCGTGGCCTGATAATCTCACCTATACAGCTAGCCGCGAGGTCATAGCGAGACTCTTCTTGCTGTCCATTCACCTTGTTAAATAGCCATAACCCAGGGAACTCCCAATCCCGACGGTTCCGAGATAGCTCCCTTGGGTTTCACCGTTGGAGGTGAGCAGACTGCGGCTTACCTAGCAACCTAGCGTGTACATTCTCTCGCATCATGTCGATGCCTATACCGATGCAGACACGAGAGATCCCTATGCAGTTCTCCTAAAAATATCCCCAACCCGGAGCAGCCGCGGATGAATGGACCGAGTGAGGCTGGTCCTACAAGAGGCACCAGTTGGTAAGTTGCCTATTCTTGTTGGGAGTTCAAGGTAAGCTTTGCGGCGAAGCACAATTTATACCGGCAATATGCTCAGTCCGGTGGTAGTTTCTATCGAACGTAGGTAGGGTAGCCCTTCATAGAGTTACGTAGTAAAAGTCTTGGTCATCGAAGTAATGCTGGATAGAGCCAGAACTGCTACAAGTTCCGTAAGATATTTGAGTCTAAAGGATCCAAGGTGCATTCGAGTCTCCTAAATCCTCTCGTATTCTGCCAAATTGTCATGGTCCTTTTCCCCCTTCCCATCCTTAGTCGAATAGCACCCATCTTCACTGTCCTTGCCTAAGTTGATGACTGACCCGTCATCCCAGCCGCTATATATAGTGCAGTAACTCACAGACCCCCTTCGATCAGAGCCCACGTCTAGCCACGCTGTAGATCTTGAGACTTTCGCCTCTGATGAAATCCCTTGGGTCGAATTTTCTCCATAGCATTTCCTTTGTTAATGATACTCTAAGGCAAAGAGAGACTTGGAGGCCTCACGATGGGTGTTAGTGTGGAGTACCTAGTTGGTGACAGACCTTAATATAGTATGAAAGTAAAAGGCAGATACGTCTGTGGGCCGGGGGAGTTCTGATGGTCTTGCATTCTAGGAACGAAATAAGGGTAGGAAGGAAGCTGGCTATTTCCAACTATTAGGCTGTTAGATCTGGCTTACATAGTGTAGTTGCCACTAGGTCAGTGAGCTAGTGTAACAGACGAGTGTGTTCTCCATAGGTAGCGAGAGTAGTTAGGAGTTACTCGCACAACAACGTCGTTGTTTCTTAGTCTTTTGGTTCCGCCTCGTGACACTGGAAGTTAGATCAACCAAGTTTTTTTCGGTCATTTCTAGAGACGATAAGCCATGAAACTACGCAGAACTGCCTAGACCTCTGCCTGTTCTTCCTAGAAGGGGGCGAGGCTAACATAGAGACAAACACTACGAAAACCCAGAGCATGCTAACGGATACCTAGGCATGAGTTCATCTTAGAAAGATTAGCAAGATGGAGAACTCACTACATAACATTGAGGCACAAATTGCCCAGTTGTCCTTGAACAATATTCCCCTCGCTCCACCAACGAAAATAGTGAAACTAGCCAAATCCGTTGCAACCACGAGCAAGTCGGCCGCCGTCCTGAGCATAAGTGTAGTGAGACTCTATATCACCGTAGACTCGGACAAGGAGGAGGAGATGACACACTAAAGGAATGTAAACCTATCCTTTTTCTTTCGAATCGTGGCTGTCAGGTCAGTGACTACGCCATGGTTTCATTTGCGGGTTGTCTTAAGCGACTTCTCAATCCTAGATACCGTCTGTCTTCAGAGTTTCATCTTTGTCGTTCGGGTTCGGGGTTATCTGGTCTTGACCCCATAAAGAGTCCTTGAACGGAATATGTAGATTCATTGTGTCCTCTTGTGGTTGTATGCTACCAATATTCGTCCCAGTAAAATCTTAGGGGTTAGGTAGGTATCAGGTACCTATACTATCATTCATTACCTCATCCTTTCCTAGGCTTCATACCCTTCTTATATTTCATTTAAGGTTGGTGGTGCCACGAAATAGAACTAAAAGGCAAGGAAGCAACGACGTCGTTGTTCGGTGAGGAGCTCCTAGCTACTCTCGTTGTAAAGAACACGGTATACATACAGATGAGGCCCTTTGTCTGTTCTGCTTACATGACTAACGGTTAACAGGACCATAACGAACTCGACGGTGACTCCACGAACCTTCACAGGTTGAGTCCTGATCCCATAGACTCTTAGCTACTGGTCTTCCTCCAGACCAGACGTCTGACAGGGAGAATGGATGGAAGGATAAACATATTTTCTAGAATAGGTAGACAGGAAGATACTCAAATAAGAGACATTAGGCTCGAGCACGGTATGCATGCAATTATAGGAGGCCCATTCTCTATTTTATCTCTAGGGCTAGTGATCAATGCACCTACCACCATAAATCGAGTCCCAATACCTATTGTTAGACTACTGGCCACGGGTCCTACTACGTACCAGAATTTTGATATATGAGCCCCAGGTACGACTCCCCCTTATCTTTATCCTCTGAGACCAACCGCCAGTGTTCTTCACTGCTAACCCAATAGCCGTCGTCTGAATTTCCCATTCTTAAACAACCTAACTCTTTGTTTGCTTAAGGTTTAGAAGCTCATTGAAGGAATACTTAAAGTTCTGACGTAGCTGTTAGGTAACCCTGATAATTGATTCGTGTATACGTAAACATTCGAGATCCGGCTAGAGAAAGTCGTCACATGGCCACACGTTCCTTGTCAGTCTAAATATTAACTGAGAAGCGAAGAGTTCCTTAACATATCGGCAAGAACTTGGTATCAAGACTACATGTCTCCCTGTATAGTCAGGGCTATCTATCTGATTGATTAGGTACCTAGGTATTGGAAGTGAACCCGGTTCTTAAGACACAACAAGCCTACTAAACCTCTACTATGATACTTGGCACTCCTGGGAATCACATATACTAAGAATGGAAATCAAATCATTACACCCATGATTGACCCCAGATTCTCGTACTAAGCTATTGCTAATGGGTGATCACCGGGAAGTTTTCCATCTAGAAAATCTTAAAGGCATCTTCCTAAATCCCTTTATCACTAACAATGTTAAGAACTATGACTAGGTACCTGCATACGTATTAAAGAGTTCTATCAATAATGCAGGTTCCTGGCTAATAGGTGCCTAGCCGAATAGGTGCAATCCAGAAACCCAAGATCTTGAGTTACGCCTGTGGATAATTTAGCACAATGAAATGATACAATCACGTTATTGTGAACCATCTCTTGTTAAGTAGCAGATATGCCCGACAACAGCGCATTTCATCAGTGTGTGATACCCTGTGTTCTAACCAGTCGTATAGTAAGCCCAAGGCTACCACGGAGACTGTCGCCCATAACTCTTAAACTAATAGGACAAACCCTTAGGGACATGTTAACGAGCAAGAATCGTCGCGAACTCCTATTATAATGGGGCACAGGGAATATACGAGGGTTCAGGTAAAAGCTCTCGTACATCAGCCACGTTTCTTGGCTGGTGCGTAATCGGACAAGCGATCGCTGAATACTGTACCTGGAGGTAGGGTAAGGCTATCTAATGGTAGGATGTTCGCCTATAGCTCCACTGAGACATAGCGGTCTTTCACTAAGTTTTAAAGGCTAAGCCCCTAAGAAAGAACGCTACGTAGTTTTGGCCCTTGAGCGAATGTGTGAAATCTATGCGAAGACTAGCAGTGATACTAATTGATTGTTGCCGTATTCCATGGTTGTATGTTTTCTATGTTATTAATGGTTATCATGAGGCCAAGTTGGTCTTAAAAAGTCTATTTTTTTTTTAAATATGAATCTGCTCTAAGCATTAGGGGATGCTTAGAATAAGGCCGACATGACTTATTACCCACCTAAGCCACTGACTTAGGTCCTTATCCGGAGGGAGGGTAGTGTGCACATTTCCATTCAAGATTTATGACCCTTCTACAGTTATGTCTTAATATTAAACTTTCTCCCAACCAGTTCCTCAGACTATTTTCTTCTCATTGTACTGGTCTCTAACATGATACCTACTAGAGAGGGAGATACAATGTCGTTATGGTGGCATAGTGTGACAACAAAAATGTGCAAATAGGATTCGATCATGAAACGGCATCGACGTGATATTGTGAATGTCTAAACGCATGGTATATCATTAATACGACCAACAAGAGAAGTATGTATCCTGTGTGAATCGATTCGAGACGTCAGCAAGCACCGTTAGATCTTCTCCGGTGCGTCCTAATACAAGTGCAATTCTACCATAAGCTGTCGAGTATTCGTAGAACTAGGTGCCTAGCTCCATGGAGAAGCACACCCACGCTTTTCAATCCTCGTATCCACTCATGCAGTGTTCATCCTCCACTATTTGGAGAAGTCTATATCTTGTGCAACAGGTTGAATGCCACTCTGCCAGATGGCAATCCGCCCGTCATACGTCATGGGGTAGTTGTTCAAGGGAAAACCCTTGTAATTAGTACCTAAGTAAGTACCTAGTAGGTAGCTGGTATACGGGGATACTGCTCTATCCTATCTGCGCTATTAGATAGGTACATTCACTCCAGCTGAACATGCCATGGGGGAACTGAAACAGCAGATGATACCCTCGTCGAAAACCTCAGTCTTCACAGGCTTCTCTTATGCGTCCCAGTGTACTTGAGCAGGAAGTATGCAAATTATATTAAGTGTTACGGAATCTTCAAGTTAAGCTTTTTCGATGTTGTGTTCTTATTCAATAGAATGTTCTGAAAGCCCCTGAATACCACTAGAACTCGTAGGTGGTACAATCTCTTACCGAATATGATATTCACCAGTAATGTTCAGCGCAATACCCAGGTGCCTTCCCAAACTTTAAACGCGTGCGAATTAAAGTCAATATAGATCTACAGGTAAATAGGCTATGGCGACCTTGAATTAAGTCCAAATAAACTCGAACGCTACGAAACATGAGATAAACTTCGAAACGGATTGAATAAGGTTGCATCTGCGCGACATACTACCAGTTTGGGCAAGTTCGCTAAATTCTCACTGGACGACCCGACAGCCCGGATACGACCAGCGGGCCGTTAGGTGGGTTACATGCGAGGGAGTGCGGGAAGGAAACGTGAGAGATCGAATACTTTGGTAGCGCGCGGGGGGCGATCGTGCTTACGAGATGTGGTATGCATGAGATAGCCTATTCGATTGTACAGAATACATACATACTGTATATAGGTACCTACCTCTTATCTAGCCTACCTAGACGCATCTACCTATCTACATTGCCTATCTATTCGATCTAGGACTTTTGAGGCTATGGGCGAATTGATTGATTTTTATTGCTTTCCATGTACTCACATATGTACGTCATGCGATCCGCGTATACTGCCTAATTACCCGATAGACAACATATTGAAGACTTCAGATCTAGATCAATTAATTGTACTCAGGTACTATCTACCTAATATCTAGGTACCTATGCAGGAACATGAAAATCAATAATTGCCATAAATATCTGCCGCTCTTTTCGGTGCTCTCTCAACCGTGATCAGAAAAGATCATCTATCACGAATATTGTCTAAGACTGTATCTATACCTATGCACTAAGAGCGAGCCACAAGTGAAGCCAAGAGGACAAGCTTCAATGTCTTGGATAGGTCTTAATTGGGGTTTGTAATAATATTGAAGAATAGAAATAGACAGAATAAGCCTTCATGTAATACGGATTCGGTACGACCGATATAGAAGGTAGTCCACATGAAATAATCGTTGGTTGTAATTATTCTAACTATCCAGGATCCCCATAAAATTTCTGGGAGGTCAAATATTAGTTAGGCTCCTTCAAACCGTATTTACTAAATTAGCCCTCAAATGGGTACTAGTATCAAACCACGTTCTAATAGCCTATTTCACGAGAAAGAACACTTCACCCATGAGATCACGAGGTAGTCAGATTTTCATTTGAATTATTGTCTGTATAGTTTGCGATGCATTATGCGGCATCGTCTTGGCGTATCTTGGTCTAATGCTTGCTTGGCTTCCTTTCATAATCATTGGGTATCAACCGTCGCGAGCTGGCGAAAAAAGATTTCGTCGCCGGATTTTCCATCTCCTCCATGTTAATGCTGTGCGGCCGTTTCAGTAGAAATTAAACAAGTGACGCCCCAGGCGTATGTACGATGCACTTTTCTTTGGCCGTTGTATGCCTCCCAATGCCTGTTTGACCAATGCAATCCCATGGCCTTTAATCCTTATGTACGCCAGAAAACCCCAACACCCGTGTCGCAAATCAGAAAACAAAACTACCATATGTACACACGGGGGGATTTATGTCGTCGAGGGTGTCGCGGATAGGGTCGAATGTTGTTAGTAGGGGTAGATGTTATGTTCCACCTCTTCAAAAACTGATGCCATCTCTGATATCCTAATCGGATAGGATGATAAGACTGTAGCACTAGTCCCGAAGAACCTCTTCTTGAGATTCATTCTTCTTTATTGTTTCCAACTCAATGTCATCGTTGCGCTTGTCGGGACGATCGGTGCCACCTCCCTACTGTGGCAGCAGAACACCCTTCTCGTCACGTGCCAACATGACCTTGCCCACGATCTTCTCCGTTAGATTTGCGCACCACGGATCGACGTAGCCTGTCCAAAGCATGGCCGCACCGTAATTGAGGGGAATCCAGAACGGAAGCGAGATCATCAATCGCCATCCGCTAGGGAACATGAGTGTGCCGTGGATCGTTTCACCCTTGTCGTTAGTAATAGGCGGCGGGACACGAATTCCATAAACCATCCAGCAGAGTACACTGCGAAGAAGGGGACCATGAAGGAGATACACAGCAAAAGACTGCTTGCCGAACCAAAGGAGGACCTTGCTCGATAGCACGTCTCGTAGCGCGGGGCTAAAGTGTAAGCCTAAGGTAATCAACTCTAGGCCAATTCCGGAGGCGAATCGAGGATAGTCGGGATCCTTGGGTAGGATGTGCTTAAGCACCTTGAATTGGTAGTTCGACCAAGTCATCCATTCTGGGTGCCCCTCCGGGAATGAAGCGATGTATAGACCCAGAAACAAGAAAACCGCAGCTAGAACCTGTGATAATCTTGCTCGGCGGGTAAGCCATTCGGTTGCGGGAGGATGGTTCTGTAAATCGCAGAGGAAAACACCCCAGAAGAATTGCATTCCGAAAGCCGCTATTACATGGTTAGACAGAGCACCGAAAAGGCATATTTCGTAACTTACAATCCGATCCAATCCAGAAGTAGGCAAACATCATCAAGCTCAGAATCATTCGGAATTGAGGTCGAATGTAGGCGGTGGCAATAACGAACGTGTATACCTCCATACTCCCCTTCAGTAGAGGTAATAGTGTCCATTGATTTCCATCGTACGCGTTTTGACCTCTCGTCCAGGTCGAAACAATGTTCTGAACCAAGTGCTTCACAGAGAGAAATGCAGTAGCCTGGCGGTCGGGTGCGGTCTTACCACACCACCAACAGTCGCTCTGCTTCGCAACCAGAAACATACCCAAGTTCGCCATAATCCAAATCAAGAACGTCGCAAAAGCACAAGGGATAACGAGTCGAGGAACACGACGAAGGGCTGACTTGGCGATGGATGTGAAGGCGATGTCCTGGTTGTTCTGTCGATATAGTTTAATGGGCTTCAGAGCGCAGACGTAACCGGTAACAAAAGAGAAAATAGTAACGCCGATACGACCTTGAACGAGGATTCGCAAAAACGGTAGCTGCATAGGTCGGGGCTGCGCGCCCTCATGAGAGGCTGGGAGGAATAGTTCGCCATCGAAAGCTCTGGCGATATGAGTTAATACGACGAGGGTGGAAGCGAAACCTCGAAGACCCTATGAGAAATACTGTTAGCTATTATATCAAAATTGCGAAGGCAAAAGTAGTTTTTCTCGTGCTATTCCGTCGCTAATTGTTGATAGTATGAAATCTCGACGCCACACGGATTCTTCAGCATTTATCTTAAGCAACCGGCCCATTTTGGCGAAGCCTTAAAAATCCCATCTCATATTCCATGATGTATTATATTTTAATCCCCAAACCCCGTTTCTCGATAATCGGCGAATAGCTTCATCTCCTGCAAACTGCATCCCCTCTGATAATTGAGAGAAAAAAAGAGATTCCTGTACTTACATCGACCCATTTGACATTTCCTTCCTTGCCAATAGCCATGGTGACGAAATGTCGCGGTAGGTCGCAAAGTAATATTTCTCGGACTTCGCTATGTCATTCCTTGATGTATGAAGGTTGATGGTTTGGTGGGATGGCTCGCACAAAAATCCAGGTCGAGAATGGAAAACACCCTATCAGATGGAATCCAATGGTTGAGATGTAGTACGGACTTATGAGTGCAAGTGGCGGCTGAGCAGGTGGCTGAAAAGATAGCTACTCAGAGCGAATAAATTTGGAATGTTACGGGTTCGGACTTGGTTTGAAATGTTGGACGCGCGCAGCACAAGGGAGATGCGGGAACAGGGTTATGAGCGTATGCGTCTCTAGGGCGATATTAAGAGACAACGGCGCGGCTAGAAAAAAGGCGTTTGATGATAGGTCAAACGTATTCGAATATCCGTCCCGTCTCAATGGGTAGGAGGCGATATTATGTAAATTGGTACTATTCTTTTCCTCGTTTGCTCGCACGCACGCAGCACGCAACACGCATACATATACGTCACTCAGATTCCCGGGGATCTAGACGAGTTGAGGATACGATCGATTAAAAGAGAAGTACAGAGTACGGAAAGAAACAGGAAGGACAGGATTAGAGGTCAGTTCCTACACACACGTAATGGATGAGGCAGAATGCTCAGTAAAAGGAAGAGGGTGAAAAAGAATGGACGATGGAGGATTTTTTAAGAGGATGTAATAAGGGGGTCGACGATTGGTACATGGGCAAGATGTACTTGGCAAAAAGGATCGATGTGATTGATTTAATGTATGGATTAATGTATGGATCTAACCCCCATGGTGGTCAGGATGTCCAGGTTGACGGCGGCTTGGCGAGAATTTAGAGCCAGAGGGAAGACACGGGGTGGACTATGAAAGATGAACAAAGATTGGTTAGAGGCAGAAAGAAAAAAGAGTATTAAGCGAAGGGAAACGGGACGGGATTGACCAAACTTAGTCTCCACAACTGTAATTCAGCCTCTTCTATGTAGGTACCTACTCTGTTTACAGTAGTCTACCAGTCTAGCTCGTAAATGTCAAAGTTTGCAAGGTTTAAAGATAGGCGATTATGCAAATTGCGTAGTCAATCTGACAATCTTACCCAACTTTGAGTTCTATGTACGGTAACAGGTAGCTATTTCCAATCTGACACGAATAAACGGAATCTTACCTGCGCTTTGCCTACGCGTACAAACAACTCCTTGATACTTCTTTCTTCTCCTGCGTCTGTTGGAAATTGCATGTACAGGCTGGATGTATCAAAAAATGATATGATCCCTAAGGGTACTTGATTCTCTTGTACCTCCTTGCATACGGCGTGCGGCACGTTACATGATTGGGAAGTATATCATCGTACTTCGTAAAACTCGCCTTCCTAAAGGACCAATGGAAAGAACGGAAATCAAAAACATCTTGCCTAAACTGAATTCGGTAGCGTTTAACCTAGATTAATCGCCAGTACTGTGGGGCTATAGCGCCGCGAAATGCACTACCGTCTACAGCATACATAACATGATAGGCCGTGTCCCAGGGTACGCGATCAACCTTGAAAGTCCCGGTTTTTCTTTTCTAAGTAGGTCCGCAACTACGTATTATGCGCACATGAACTGGTCCGACTTGTAAGATTAGCAATTGGACAGGTTATCGGTCCGCTATCTTATGACTTGCCATTATAGAAATGAAGTCATCGTCGCGACTTTGAAAGTGTTGACATTCATCCTGAGTAGATGCGATGAATAGGTAACTTCAATTCAGTATCTAACAAAGATTCTAAGTATCTAAGTACTATGTATCTTATTCCATTCCCCGGATAATCGGCACTCGATCAAATCTTGGGCGTATTTTATTTGTCCAGCGCCTCCTTCCAAGAGACTTGGCAGTGTAACCGATAAATGCTTGGCTTCACTTTCCGCAACATGATTATACAGATACCAAGTATACAAAGTGGATGTATTGTGTCATTCGGGACCGCCACATTGTCAAAATGCTGCTTAATTGCCTAGTGCCAGCTGTGCTAGGTTGCTTAGAAGCGGCCTAATGATGCTCAACTCCTCTGCTCCTCTTTTTTATCATCTTTTCATCTACCAATTACCAATTGATCTTCGACCTAATTCACGACTTGTATCAAAACGCCTCCGGCGCTACTACAAGCCTAAAGGCCAACACCGAGTCCGAACGGGTGCTACGGCCAAGACTTTCACATTCCTTGTTTATTGTTTCCCGCAACACTCCGTCATGTAAAGCCGCAAAGGACGACAGCGCATCCGGTATCAGGCTTCGGTCCTAACTCCCAGCGATGATGCGCTGGTTGGATGCGTCAAAGAAGATCGCGATTTTGTTTCTACGACCTGCCATAGCTGCATAGTTGGCTAAAGCCATTTCGTGGCCAATGAGCCTTCGAATGTCGTCAATTGCGCTATCTGGCTGTTTCTTCAGCAGGGTCCCAGCTAGTGATCGGCATAGTGAATGACCTATACTAATCCTGGATAGGCATGTCTGCTGTATATTGCCATTTCTCCTACTACATCTTTTACACCGAGTTGCCGTCCATTCAAGCTTATCTCCACAAGATCTTCTATAAACTCTGGAAACTAGGTGTTTCAGTTGTCAAGACCACATGCTCTCATAATTGAAGGGCATGCATTACATCATGATTTAGTACCGAGATGGAAGTTCACTATTACTTAATATCTAGCTACATAAGCCTTCACCGACCTTGCCGGCCGTCTTGGCGATGTCTGTCGATGTAACAATGTGGGCCAATGCCGAATTCACGGGATTATCCCTACAATCATCGCATACTAGCATATCTACCTACCTACACTATGGTATCTGCCAACCTACTAGTAGCAGCTGCTTATCTATGGTGCTGCGTCTACGTAGGTACTAGCAAAGTATTGCCTGTTTATAAAGGTGGAAATGTACCTACTTAGACAGTGGAGCGGCCTCCTATTGTGGCAAGACAGTGGGCACGCGACAGCTGACTAGGTGCTAAAAATGCCAAAAATTACCAAGAATTGAATCTTCAATAACTAACTACTTTCAAGCTGGTGTAGATGTTGGCGTTATTCGTTGCTACAAGCTGAGCGAACTAGATAACCTAAACGGGACTGTCAAATTGTTAGCTCGATAAAAAGCTTACGCGGCTTAATCTCGCTCGACCTCTAAGATCAAGCCCCTATTTCTGGATCAGCACTAAAACCCCAGCCCTACAAATCTAGAGAATCCGTAGTCACATCACGCGAAAGCGACCCCGCCGAGGCCGACTGTGCGCGGGAAAATTAACTCCCCCACGTGAAAGCTCGCCGGTTCAACGGGTTGTCGGCTAGGAGTACTAAAAGCTGAGACGCATGGGGTTCGGGTTTGACTGCCCGGGAACTTAAGTCGTCCGAGAGCTAGACTACCAAGTACTTGTTTGATTCAGATTTATCCCATCTAGAAATCCTAAAAATGGATAATATCCACCTGATTGTGGACTGTCATTGACATTGGATGAAACGAAGAATAGCAACCGCAAAATACCTACCTACACATAAGGCTGTGTTGCCATATAGTAGCTGGTCAGAATCATGATGATGATGAAAGAACGGCAAACCGGCACAGATTGGTATTTTGGAGGCCGCAAATGGATCCATATAAGAAGCAATGCCAAGGGCCAAGAAATGCAGAGGCGAGCCTGACATGCATCACTTTTACTAACATCTTCTAGAACTCATTCATAGTACATACATACACGACATCATCGGCTAGTACGCGATTGCGGCTCATTTTGTGTTCTAATTTTAAATACCTAGGTATACAGATAGATTGTCTGCCTTGAAGGCTATTGAGCCTACTATTTTGGTAACTTTCTAGAGCTCCTCCAAACATCCCAAAATTCAGGGACTCGAGACTTGATCAGTGCGGGTGATCTTGGAGATCAGACAGCATCTACGTAAGCGGGAGCGTTCCCGAAACTTGGAGATACCCCCCAGCCCAAATCCACACGTCTATTCCCCCATTGACCTTGAAACAACAGCGAACGGAATTAAGATGTGATCTAGCATCGGCGATCCATGACCATTATCGGTAATTACCTAATTTTCTAAGATTTATGTGCGGAGCTGTATGATTCCGGGGCAAAGAACGAATTGGTAGCTCGGGCTTCTTGGTATTATCGTGACTACTTACTATTTAGTAGATATTTTCACACTCGAAAGTCTATTACCGAAGCTGTGCGGCGTAGGGACGAAAGACTTTGCCGCTGAAATCCGATATCTGACCCCCCGCTCCTATTATCACGGACCTAATTATAACCAGTCAGGAGCAGGACGTAACATTACTTTGCCAAGATGACGCGGCATGTCTGGATTACGGTGAGAACCTCAGCAAGACCTAGACCTTCAACCACTCCTAAGCACCAACAGTGTCTTTGACATTTGTTGTCTGTCATACAAGGATTCAATCTTTCGCAATTTTCGCCCAAAGCGATTTAGTCAGTACAAGCATTGCAACAACCTCGTCGCAACCGACAAATCACGTACTCACTCGTGCTGGACAGTTTACTCCGCAGGTGGCCATTCTATCGGTATGTGGTATTTTTTCGACATCATGCAGCACGACACATTCTTCTCTAGAGTCTAGCCGACCATTTTTGTAATTCGACTTGTCCTAATGGTCTGCGACCCCTCGGCTACGAGACAAGCTTTTTCGGCTTTGCTTCTTCCAGCCCATACTTTCGAAACTACATCTCGTATCCCTGATGGGTATAAGCCGCTTCCACACCAAGTCTGGGGTATATTCTACGCTCTCGACTCATTGTGGTTCCATCATATTATTCATCCAACCATTTCGATGCACGTTGATCGCAGTTGTTTGGGTGAATGTATGTATTGTACGATGAATGACTCGAGCGACGTTGTCAAGAGACTAGTTACTTTGTCATAAGATTCGCCTAGCCACAACAGTACTAATTAATAGATATCTTAAATAATGCATAAAACTACATGGATATCACGGCATCCGAGATTCGGAATTAATACAATCAGGCCCTGTTCATAAAATTCAAACAAGTTGTGAGCCTCAACCCACCAGCTACACCTGCTTGCCTCCCTATTCCATTGCAAGCCAAGACGAACCTAAAGGGTTTCATTATAACAAAACAAGGATTCTACAGGGCATTCAACCTGACTTGTGCAGTGGGACGTGTGGAGTGTCCACAAACACGTGGAAAGCGCAATTCTAATCGTGTTCTATCCGATTCCAGATACAGGAAAATAGTAAATACTAGGGGTAGGTAGGTACTATTACGCCTATGCAACATCACTCTCTGAGTGTCCTATGACCACATCGAACCCCACGGCTACATCAAACCGGTAATTAGCTACTGATTATTGGCAAGCTCATCATCTTTGGGCAACAGCAGCCGATAACGTGTAGCTTTCAGCTTAGCCAAATCACAAGGCCGTAGCTGAGCCTCCTTTAGCTATCACTTTGTTAACCTCGCAGCCTCACAATCCGGGTATCATTATTATCAGCCACGTCAGCTGGATAGCTACCTCGGCATGTTTGATGCAACCGTAAAGATACGATCTAAGCAATTCAGGCCTCCGTCACTACAACGTTCCACGGCGGCATCCCTTGCCTCACCGCACCGAAGAGATCACCAAGTTCGTCCCAAAATAGTGCAGACAGAAAGCCGGTGCCCGTGCTCAATCTCCCCATAGATGCGGGCTATTGACAGTTTGATTGATGTAGAATATCAAGTTACGATGGAGACTTCCGACCATACACGGATATTACATCTTAGTAAACGACTAAGGATTAGAAGCAATGCACCCCTTGTCTTGAGGTTGGCTATTAGACCAGCCAAGCACCATCCAGTTTCTTCAACGCCTCATCCACGACTCCCTCGATTTTCTGTCTTGTCGTTATTCAGAGCCAAGACCTCCCGGCTATTCGGAACGAGTTGTCAGCAGAGAGGAAGGAAAGGAGAAGGAAGCGGAAGACTGGTTCGGGCAAATCTTGCGATTGCCGCCTCAGCTCTAAGATTGTTCGATGCTGCCAAGACCCCTAGTGACCCCGACCGAACCAGGCGATCGTTCGCGGGAATGCGTAATTAATTATAGGGGATAACACCTCTTGGCTACCCACTAATAAACTCCTTCGTGTGTAACTAGTAGTCTCGACTATCTACTCTTATCAAATACCTAACTAATTACATAGGAAAAAGAATTGGCACGCGACCTATTAACCATTTAGGTGTCAAGAGAAAAGATATACTTCAAGTCATGTATCGTGGCTAGTTTAGACGGAAAGTCCGTCAAGAAAAGATCATACCATCTACCTTGGCCCGACCAACAATTTCTTGGCGGCCGGGTCATCAACCTTAAGTGTGAGTGGGATCTTAATCCCTTTAGATTCTCTGACAAAGACCGTATTGTATTGTAGTATCACGCGTATATGCAAGCTTCGCAACCCTATACTCATGTAACTCGGTCCTCTTGCTTTTGAACAGCTGCAAATCCTCTTACTTTCCCCTTACTGTAGCCTAATAGTGCCTAATATTTGAACGCCCCGAAGAGTGGCTATGCGACGCCACTCATAGGTACCTACTCACTCCCTTTCGAGAATATTGTTGCCTTTGGTGTTCGATTACGATCGAAGATATTAGGAAAACGTATTCTCATCATGCCTGTTCGTAGAAGTATTCACGCGTTATCATCTGCTTCTCGATGGCCTTTACTTGTATGTACATGTACTGGCTAGCTACTTTCTGGCTTATGGACATAGTAGTCTACGGGGATAGAGGTTCTATGATTAATACCGATTTTGTAGTTTGTCGACCCCCCTGTCCGAAAATACAGAGTTAGCTACTACAGGTTTAACATCACGAGTTACCGCTAATCGCTTCAATGAATTGTAGAGAGATCTAGGTATGCTAGGCGAACCTAGTATCGACGGATATGACGGTGCTTTTTCGCGCTTGCCACATGAACTCCATTCTCTATCGACCATCTCATCACTACATTTGTCATCAAGAAGCTCTCATTCCCATTATCCTACCACTGCTTGGTACCTATATCCCAATACCCTCGTCCTGTTTCTGTCTCCTAAACTGTAACTGTGTAGGCACGACGACATCAACACGGCTGAGTAAGGAGCTTCAACAACAGCGATAGAAGCCATTTCCATAGACATATGATAGATACCCTTACTATTAGGTAGGTACTAGGTAGGCACCTGACTAACGCCGTCTAATAGGACCTAGCAAACCCACCACATTCCTCACCACCGCCGCACTGCTCTCTCAAAAGCCTCACGCGAGAAATTTCCAGGCACCGAAATCCATTCGAATCCCCACGAAGATCTCGGGCACCGCTTGATAATCACGCAGGTAGCCAGCTCGTACAGAGAGCTGCCTTCCCAGAGGATTTCCGATAGAGTTCGTACATTCCCAAGGCCAGCTCCACACACTCCCTGGTGTCGCGTACGTCGTCCACCACGCGGTCCTCGCGCAGGATAATCACGACGTAGGGTATTCGTGGTAGAGGAACGAGTCGAAGCCCGGTAGGTTGCGTCGAAGGTGGCGCCTGATACTGTTTTCTCGGGTTTCGAATCAGTGCCTGGCGTGGGCTGTGTCGCTTGGGAGGTCGATGTAGGGCATAGCTACGTAGAGATTAGCTGTCCTAGATGTGATCCATCTTGCTGAATTTGGGGTTTATGCTAGGGCTGGTCGATGTGTTTGGTGCTGTTTTCTTTTAGTGTAAGTGGGTAGCGCGCTGAGTTTATTGTGAAAAAGGGAATGAATGATTCTGGATTTGGTCGAAGATAGATAGATAGGTAGGTACTGTACCTAAGGTAATGGTCATAAGGCATAGAGTCACGAAGAGAGGGCATAGGTGTGATTATGTTCGATATACGAGTTTGATTCACGGTCACAGTTGTTGTTCTTACAAGTAACCTTGGGGATATCAGAGTAGACTACTAAGGTAGGTAGGGACTAGTTCTAATTGACTACGGTAAATTTTCTGAGAAAATATTTCTAAATATCCCTTATCGTATCACAGTTCATAGAGGTTGAGGTATGTTTTTCTTTGGTTAGGTATGTCCTGACATTGAAATAATCCCAAGCCCCTTTTCAAACCTGTCTACGAATTCTTCAGCAGTATATTCATCTACCATTTTCAAGATGATATTATTCCGTCCAAGAACAACTTCGAATTCACAGAACATGTTCTTATAAATCGATTGAAAGCGCTGTGATTCTTGGGAGGAAGTGGCACGATAGATGCCAGCATCCCCATCAACAATATGTGGGTCTACCCCTTTTCAATGAATGCACACAAACAACACCTCGATTTTCCAAAATTTTGTAGGTATTGGGTACGTAGGTACTAAAGCATTATTCACATATGTAAAGATAAACGAGTTGTAGGGAGGAATGCTTGATAATAATTCATACAATTCAATCCGTTGGAGCTATGGTTAGCTCCATTATTTTACAAGTTGCGATTATGTAGGTATCTACCGGTAGGTAGGTAGTGTCAAGATGAACCATATTTGCATCTTGGAAGTCGCCTTTGATAACATTTCAATGTTCATAGATTCTCCTTTACTTTTCCCTCGGCTTCTTTAGCGGCGCCTTTCGCCTTGCCCTTAAGTTCTTCGGCCTGGCCCTTTGCTTGACCACGAATATCCTCGGCTGTGCCTTTCACCTTGCCCACATCCGCTTCGCCCTTCACTTTCGATGCGATGTTTGCTGTTCCGAGTTTCCGGTTAGCTACCCGTTTCTTCTAGCATCGTACGGAGTGAGGGTCATTCGGTTACGAAGCGCACTGAAGGCGCATGTGTAAATACTACTAATAGGTAGGTAATGAGTAGGTACTTACCACCGGCATTGATACCGTCAACAATCTTGTCTGATACCTTGCGATCGACGCTTTTTAATGTGTCTTTGGCGGACTCTGTGACGGTCTTCTGTGCTGCGATACTCGTGGTGAAATGTCGCGGGACTGGGACTACAGCAATTCTGGAAGAGAGAACTAGGCGACGTGTGGCGGCTTCTGTGAGGAACGACATGATGGTGGTAGTCTGGCGTTTTTGTGGAAGCTTGCCTGTAAAAGTTGATTTAGGTCTTATAATCTTGCTTGGATACCAATCTCTGATTTGGAGAATGAAGAATGAATTCATAAAACGAAGGCGGGAGTAAGTAGTTTAAGGTTCCATGAATTTGAAAGACTTGCATCAATTGATATGTAAGGAGATAGCCATAATGATGGTTCGTGATGTCATCATTATGTCTCTAAAGCCAGCTACCTCAAGTAAAATACCTAAACATATTTCCATATGAGGAAACTACGCGGGGTGAAATTGTGGTTTGAACTACCCCCACAAGAATGATTTAGCGGGGAGTGACGTCTTGGAAACCACTGCTCCCGAACTGTTCTATTCAACTATCATCCAATCAAATGCTTGAGAATGTACCCTAGAAATAGAGGATTGCCGCTGTCACCCGCCCTGGAGTGACACCATGACGCAGGCGAGGTGCTGTACTTACCACTAATTATCATAAGTATTGTACCTACCTACTAGTACTAGGTAGGTATTATATAAAGACATGTGATATACATTGCATAATGTACGCAATTTGGATGAGACTAATTCCCCTCATTTCAGTTTAAGTTCTAAGAAGAGAAGTGTCATTTTTGTTGCTTTATAACACTTACGTCCTTGTATTTCAGGTATTTCATTTAATTAAGAATTGCAAAAGAAATAAATCCTTATGGTGCACAATGATCCTTTAAACGACGTGACTTCTTCTTGGGTCCTTCTTTGATGTAACCTATTCCGGAAATTAAAGTCACATAGCTTCATCTTCATTCTTTGTGATATGATAATATTCCTTACAAGAACAAAATGGATTTATTTCAAGTCTCATCTATGCCGACCACTTATGTGTCTGCACTAATACCACCACATATCATCATATGCACCTACATAGGCCCCATAGCTTTTTTCGAGTTTGATCTTACCGATACCTAACAATCATCATGGCTTCACAAGACCCGCGCAGGCGACGCCGTCGCCCCCGAACCTACGAGGAAAAATGTCAATTGGTCAGCGCGGAGTTCGAGGATTGGCGTCTTGGTGGGATCGACCCGATATGGACCGCGACCGAAATACACGACTACAAGTCCAGATGGGAGGGCAGGCATTTGCCACGGTCTGGCCAACCTATATTCTGGGGCGGCGGGATGGAAAGATATCCGTGGTCTCAGGGTCGATATCATGTCGGACAGAAGGTCGTCCCGCCTAACTTGCAAGATACGCAGACTACTGGCGATTCACACGTTGAAAATGCGAAAAAAAGATATCGGGAGGCCAATGAATACTTCGAAGAGAATGCTAATAAATTTACCTTTAAAAAGGTGCTGGGATTTGGAGGACGTAAGCTTATTTGCGAATTCTGATATCTCATAGACTTAGGGATCATGTGCTAATGTGAATGGCGACAGTGGGCCTGGCACTTCATTTTAAGCAATTCGAGGGTGAAGAGTCAGTTAAAGATATCGCGGTTAAGCTCTCGCTTAATAGCTGGATTGCAGAGGATATCCGCTTTGAAGAGCGAGCGACAAGAGTAAATCATATATCCATTCAAATTTATACTAAGAAAGGCACTCACAGGTCATATAGGCTATGCAAGGGGCTGCTCACTGTATTCAGCTGATCCACCCACCGACTGTTGGCTTGCCAGAGGTAAAATATCGTCCAGAGCCAGACGATAGAGACTCTTCCGACGACGGAGAGTCGAGCGGGGATGAAAGCATAGATGAGGAATTCGCGCCCCCTCCACGAAGACCTAGGAGCACCTTGACACAAGGCGAATTAAATGCAAAGTTGCAAAGACGGGACATGCGACTGATCGAACCACTGGGAAGATCTATGGCGGCAACCAATATCGCGGATGGTGAGAGGAAGGATTACATGCTCTTAGAGTACGTTGAAGGAGGCAACCTCGTCAACTTGATCGACAAATTACAGCAGAGGGAGAAGGCTTCGGGAGAGCCGGTAGTAATACCCAATAGGGTTCTATGGGCAATATGGTTATGCTGTAAGCAGAGACACTGCTCAAGATGTGACTTCTTCGCTGACATGCTCATGTAGTGGTTCGGGCCTGTGTTGCTATGAAATATCCTCCTCGAAAGTTCCATCCTGATCGTCGTACACGTCGGAGGCCAAATGGTCGAACAGATTTGAATGAGATGATACCACCTCAAAACAAGAGATGGAGACAAAAGAACTGGGTTCATTTTGATATTGATCCCTCCAATAGTAAGTGGTTATCCTCCCATGTTCAAGATAGATCGACTCATAAGGTATATTTAGTTTTTATTGGTAACATCGAGGCGCCGCCTCCTCCCTTGATTGATATTGGCCAGCGACAACGCGATGACCCGCAACCCGACAGAGAACCGGGCGAACATAGTTTTATTCCTAGAATTAAAGTATGTAAATCATACTCACTAGAAAATAATACGTAGGTAAAAAAAGAACATTGGCTAACAGAAACTCAGCTGGCGGATTTTGGGCTGGCGGAACCGATTAAGACGCACAAGCGCAAGTATGTCGTCCGATTCGCGTCACCGTAATGGAATGGTACTAATATATATACAGCGAATACTACTCATGTAGACGTCAAAATGGAAAAGTTAGATATTACGCTCCTGTACGTTGAATCCCGACCAATATATTCACTGTAAAGATGGGTGCCTAGGTATGAGAGCTTGTAAACTAAACTAAAAATCACTTTAGGAGCAATTCGCGGCAGAATGGGACCAGATACCCCCTGTTGCAGATGGAGCAGAAGCAGGCGAGCGAAGGGTCCCGGGAGTTTACGGATCTCCCATGAACGTGTATCAAATGGCCCTTGTAAGTGATACATTTCCCGCCCATAAGAAGTTCTCGTTCTAACCCTCCGCAAGACGTTCTGGGTTGTCATAACCCAAAGGGATGCGCCTATACCTGTAGAACCCCAGCCACCATTAGGTATGGTGGTACCGCGGCTTGAGAACCGGCTGGTCCCATCCTATCTTGATAATCTAATCGGGCCGGACGACCGTATATCGTACTGCCCATACTTCATGGACCCAGATGACAACCCTTATGAATACGTCGATGCCGAGCTCAGGAGAACGATATACGAGTGCATGTATCACCGCCAGGACGACCGCCCGACAGTCGAGACGCTGTTGCCGCAAGCTCAAGCGGGGGTCCAAAAGGAGTTTCAGGGCGAATCTGACGACTTTATTAAGGAATGGGTTAGTCAGTTTATATTAGATGCACCGGTTTGAAATGGATATACCTAGCCAAGTAGGTAGCGAAGATGTGTTGATATGATCTGGATTAAACGTGGGGCGTGGGGATACGTAGAACTTATTACCTATATATTATCGTTAGAGATTCACATAGTGTTTGGTGTAATAGTACATTCGTATGTTTTTTAGAAGGCAGATCTGTGCATTTCGTGAGAACGTCGAATAATGGACTCGACCATATGCTCGAAAGAGTTCTATTCTAGGAGACAGGGTGATTGATATGCCTTAGCCTGTGTAATATATTAGCTTCACGGTGTAGAAAAGGGATCATTGCATTTGTCTTTATACGGCAACCAAGAGCGAAACGGGCTTTGAATTCAGGTAGGTACATTTGATCGAAATACTCATTCAAGAGTGGTGGTTTGGTGTAAAGATTCTGCCTCGGCAAGTCTACCTCTAAGCTGACTGTAAGTGTTAAAACGATACCTAGTACTGTTGGTAAAAAAGGGGTTCGGTCTCATAATGCAAGTAGTCTACTAACTACCATAACGGGAAATATCGTAAGCTAGTAATGGTTAAAATGGTAAAAATAATGATTAAAAAAGTGAAAATAATAATTAGAAAGGCAAAATAATGATTGGAAACTTGAAAATAATTATTAAAAAAAGGTTAAAATTATTAAAAAAAAGTTTAAATTATTAAAAAAGTTTTATAATTATTAGAAAAGTTTTATAATTATTAAAAAACTTTAAATTTAAATTAAGTAATCGTTAATAAAATTAATAATATTATTATTTTTTAATTTTAAAAATTTTCTAAAATTTTTAACATTATTTTATTTTTCTTACATTATTTTTATAACATTTTATATATTATTTTTTATACCATTTTTTTACTTTATTTTTTACACCGTTTTTTTACTTTATCTTTTTACACTTTTTTTTTATATTATTTTTTTATACTTTTTTTTTATTTATATTATTTTTTTATACTATTTTTTATATTATTTTTTTCATTTTTCTTTATTATTATTTTTTTACGCGTACATTTATAAATACGTAAATTATTAATTTTTTAACTTTTTAATTTTTTAATTTTCTAAGTTTTTAAATTTTTAAGTTTATTTTTAGGTTTATTTTTAAGTTTAAATTTTTAAGTTTATTTTTAAATTTAAATTTTTAAGTTTATTTTTAAATTTAAGTTTTTAAGTTTAAATTTTCAGGTTTATTAATATATTAATATTTTAAAAAGTTTAATAATTTAAAATATTATTTATAAATTAATAAATTTGGAAATAATAAAAATAATAACGAAAAATAAAAATATAATAAAATAAAATTTTAATAATAAACTTTTCTAATAATAACTTTTTCTAATAATTTAAACCTTTTTCTAATAATATTAACTTTTTTTTAATAATTTAAACCCATTTACAATAATTATTTTTCGTATAGTTATTCGATAATAAAAGTATGGTTATTATAATGCCAAACGATTTAAGACAATTCCAATCATTGCTACCCTCCGGTATCTCCCGGTATAGTAGGTAGGTACCTACCTAATAGGTAAATAACCAGGTACCTAGGTAGATAGCTAACTTACTTGGCGGCAATTATTCAAGGCCCTGTGAACGCTGGCGTCATCCTGAACTCTTTTGGCTGCTATCTGTAGCACGAAGCAGTTATATCTCCATGTTTATGATTCTAACTCGGAAGTTGTAGCTATACTACATTGGGAAATTCCTGTTCTATTACCATCTTGGGAAACTTTCTGGTCGATTGCCATTCCGAGTAAATCCACAGGTAGCTTAAGGGAGCCTTAGCTTCTCGTTGAGAATTACGATCCATATAAACTGGCTATCTGCCTCGACACCAAGCCCTTCTTTATATCCTCAAAACACAAAGTTACTTCATCTCGAGATATAATATTAATTTTCACCAAGCCTAAAGTTTTGACTATTGTACTGACTAGGTACCTCTGTCGAAATGAAGGCCTCGACTATCTTGGTTTCGCTTCTTAGTGTTTGTTTGATAAGTGCTGAAGCAGGGCTTACAGGTACGAGATGTGAAGTTGATAATAGGTACGAGGTTTAGGAATCTAATCTGTGCAAATAGAACGAGCCGCTGACGCTACTACCAACGACTTGGTGTCGAGAGACCAAATCCCATTCTGCAACCAAGATTCCGACTGCCACCTGGACGCATGTAGTAACCCCATCTGTGTACAGTTTCTGAGATCTTTGAAGTAAATATTTGAAACGGCATCGCCTAAGATTACGTAAAGATACTATGAAATCTGACTTGTTTATAGGAAATGTGTTTGTCCTTGAGTGTCAGGAGTTTAACAACCTTGGAAGCAACGCCTGAGCTTTGGCTTGTTAGGAAATCTTAAAGCGAGTAGAATATAGGAGATATCGGACTACTATGAGTGGGAGGTTTTCTGGTTCGGAACTTGTTTTAGATCTGATTTTAATAAGAGAATATTGAAGCCTCCTACCTACAACACAACAATTACTTGTAAACTCAGCGCATAGTTTCGTCCAACACATATTCTTCCCAGATACCGACAAAATCAGGCTTCTCTATGTATGAAGTCCTGTCGTATACGTCCATATTCATAAAATGATCTTCGCACACCTCCTCGGCGATAGGGCAAGAAAAATCAGCACTTCTAAAGAACCACCCGCAAGGAGAATACTCTTTCACCATCTTTCTTTCCACCAATGGAGTGCAAAAGCTATCAGACTCTCCCGTTAGCCAATATTTGAGAGCATCCATCGAAAAGTTCTCAGAAACCCAAGGTGCCCCATCCTCGACTCTGCGGTAGGTGAGAAGTTCAACCTGAATGGTTGCCCAGAGAAGCCCAAGCTCTGGATTACCGCAGGGCAATTTCAACCACTCACTATGCGCACCATTAAATGTCGTTTCCAAGATGCAGCGGGTCTTTTCTGAACCTATTTCAGGCGGTTCCTCTACCTCTTCTTCTGGGCTTTGGTTTACCCATTCACTTAAATCTAGGTCTTCACAATGTCTCTCAGATTCGAGTTTCTTTTTAATTTTGCCTGCTTTAGCCAAGTCAAGTGTACCAATGATGCACGACCATCCCGTTTGACAGTCCTTAGACCATTGGTTAATCTCGCTTTGCGGAACTGCCTGAGCCAAATCGCAAGCCTTTACGTCCCTGTGGTAGCATGTCCCCGATTCTGCTTCGCCAATGATATCCTCAACTGACATTGTTACGCTTAAGGAAACATCAGCTCCCAGGCGAAGTAGACAGACGAGAATCGCTAGAGCGCCGAACATTGACTCTCCTTGCATTCCGTTGCGCGCGAGACAGTATGCCACAACGACGAGGGTATGTAGCGGGCCAAGTTTTAGCTCTAGCCCACAGTGGCTGCAACGTCGGACGAATAGCCCGCTCAGAGTATTAATGTTTGGAGATAGTGGCGATCCAAGGACAGCAATTGCGTTATGGCAGATAGCTTGAGCAGCTGTGTGACAAAAGGGATGCTTCCATTCTTTGGGAATGCGTGGGAAACCATGTTCGAAGAGTGTGCGAACAGCTGGCGAATCAGTATCCCATCTACCACAAATATCCTTTTCTTCTCCAGGGTATCTATTTGGAGGGTTAAAATTAGCATTCACTTTCCATGGTTCAACATTCGTGTGCGATCGGAGAATAGATATCATCAGAGAATCTAGGATTGTGTGCCCCAGGTCGTTCGTATTGTGTTGAAAGGCAAAGCTGGCATCGAGATGCAAAGACAGTAAGTATATAACTAGACAACATCTATTGCCGCCATCTAGAAATGAAGCTGCGAGATGGAAGGGGTGTATCTTGTCGATATCGCTAGGAGGCCCATCTTCGCTGAGTTGCTTCAAAAGCTCAAGGTTCCCTGCCATGATTGCAAATTTCCAGACATCAAGAAGCATCTTACTAGGATCGCCTCTCAAGGACCGTGCAACCAATTGGGTGGAGATTGGCAAGTCTTGAGAAGGCGTAACAGTAAAAGTGCTGGCAGAAATTGACTCCAATATTGATTCCGAAAGTGAATTCCTTGATTCCGTTCCTGGCCATTTTGGCCACGATGGGGGATCATGTATATCTATTCCATCGTGTTCGCTGACTGAATAATCTTCCATTTCATCAAATTCCACGTCGGTAATGTGAATTGACCATCGACAAAGGTTCGTCGGCGCCTCGGATTTATGTGGTCTGTTGCGAGATATGGGCGGTGATGAACCAGACATGGTAGATCCGGGAGTCGGGGGACCGGAAAGGTCAATACCACTGCGTGTCAGGATAGATATCATCTCTGAAGTCCACACTCGAGGCCCTCTACCCCAGTACTTTGCAGTGACGAAGAAATATATATAAAAGTCATGTAGATAGTTTGTCAACATACTACAACCAATTAGCCTTATGCATAGATGAATGGATGATGTGGCGGGCCCTTATACATTCGATCCTCCTTTGAACATCTTGCGAGGAGTTCTTTATGGCGCCCTTGCAAAAAGAGACTTGATCGGTCTTGGATAGCCTTCTGATGGACCAGCTGCGTATTTGGTGACGGACCAGCTGCCTGTCGCCCTGGTGACATAGCTTCGGGACTGTGGATATTCAAGTAATTCGGTGTTGTTCCCGTTGTTCCGAGTGGAGAGGGCGGATCAGGATGTTCAGGAAAGGATGCAGTGTACGCCGCGTAGGGAAGATTCCATGATGAGAGCCTAATAGAGTTGGATAATGAGTTTAGTGTATTCGTTGTCATGCCGTTCGCGGTGCCTGGTATACGTACGCTCCCGGTGCCATTGTCTCTACCGTATGATGGCGTATCCGATCTTTTATATATCGCTTCAATTGTTTCGTATCTAGCGACTTCTCGAAGTCATTTTGATGTAGCGTTACGTTCGATGTGCTTGTTCCAGGGTGCGTCCGCTTTCCGAGAGCGTTCACCACTTCTTCCTTCTCGCTGGTGAGGATTCTTTTACGAACTCCCCACTTGCGGAATTTCGTTCGATACTGTGTCTCGCTAGAATGGAAAGTAAAAAGGTTAGCTATCTGGGTATTTCACTCAAAAGACCACCGTGGGAAGTTATTAGCACTGACGCAGCATAGAAACAGTAATGTAATGTCATGAACTCGGCAACATCACTAATTTTCATTGATTTCCCTCCTGGAGCGTATTTCCCCATGTATAGCCGCACGATGATATCCCTCAGAGGCTCCCATCGATCATTGTATGGGACATTGAGAAACTTTTCCTCGTCGGAATGAGGAATTAGTTCAGCAAGGTCCATGATAGCCCGGCGTATAGAGGTAGTTCGTTACCTAGTAGTGATAGCTCGTCGGTGTGAAATGGATGGCAGACTTCTAGTCTCAGCTAGTTTTTGACCCCAGAACTTTACTAGATGAAAATAAGGCGTCTTAAATACCTACCTAGGTACCTAGGTAGGTAGGCAGCAAGGCTCTCGGATTTGCGAACCAGCCTGCTGGGGAAACAAGATGAAGCGGAATGGCTTGAAAAATTGCCAGTGCCCAATCATCGTCCATGATATCATCACCCGCCTACGATCTGAACTCAACAAAACGTCAGCACCCAATTACGGATATATAAGTCAGGTCCGAGCGAATACCAACCTAGATACCTGGTAAGCACTCCGATTTGATCATCCCGCAGCCATAACAAAACGTTGCAGGCCAATCAATGCTTACCAGCTTCTCTGTCGTTACACTGCAGGTTGGGGGTCGCCATAATCCGTCTGACGCTACAGCCATGCCTGGCAACGCCACGGTGGATCCTACTGTTAACTGAACAAAAAGGATCCATCCAATCACTTAGTTGGACAAAAAGGATCCGCCCAATCAGACTAAAGCTGAATACTAGGTACTTGGCAAGGCAGATGGTAAACTCAACTTCTAAAATGAAGTAACACAGCATATAAGGCTAATAATTGTAACTTCTAATATGAATAAACTTACACCTGTATTTCAACAATTGTAGCGCTACGATAAGTTGGCTAAGTGTACGTTTAAGAAATAGGGGTCATGCTATAAAGAACATTTGTACGATCATGTATTTCCTCCCAGGAAATATATGAGAGTCTACGAGATAATACAAGTTACTACGCAGTCGAGAGAAAAGAAGTAAAAGTAAGAAAGCTATACCTCCGTACCGTTTTCCCCAAAGGTGACCACGTCTAAACAGGCAATCATCACAAAAATTCCCCTCCCTAGCCTGAGTAGTCTGTCATAGATGCATAGACTTCACCGGGAAGACCGCCTCTGCCGCCCAATTAGCGCGGGGATGGTGGTCTTTTGACTCCCTTCGACCAACGTAAGTTAGATGCGTTCGGGTATCTAGGAGAATGAGGTGGGTGGTGGTGTTCTATTATTGTTACCGGGGTCTATCGGGTACGTATGTGAATAGACAATGGTACCGCTCGTTTTCTATAGAGTTGTCAGCAACCTACTTACGCGTCTGTCCTTGACGAGCCTTTCGGTCTCAGGTAATTTATTCGACGAATTTGGAATCGTACGACCATAGAGCCCGCGGCGTTCTCTATAAGAAGCCCAGTTTTACCCACCAAATCCTGTTCATTTCCTTTGCTCTTCATCACCTTCATCTTCTCTCGAATTCCGAGTCTCTGGTATCATCAAGAAAACCACAACAAGTTGTCTCAAGCGTCCAAGATTCGGAGCGTTCTATTCCTTCGTCATGTCTTCTGAGTATGTAACAATAAAGTATCTACGACAATTCCCCATATATGTATTGAATTTACTATTGGAAACTTCCAAACCTCATCTATCTTATACCCCATGATTTCTCTCATCTTGGCTCTGTGGAAGAGGTGCGGTCAGGTAGTATACTAACGTGTTTGGTATAAGTGATCTAGATAATCTGAGCACCGTCGCAAGAGATGGGTCCCCTGAACCAACTCGAGAGACGCAGGATCCCCAAACAACAGGATCGGACACCGCCACTCCAGACAAGAGTGAAGAAGAAAGGAAGAAGACCGCAACCGATGATCTTATCGGCATTGGCGCTCAGTTCCTCGACGAGGAGTGAGGTGAGTTACGTGTAAAGCAAGCTCCATAACAAGTTGTAGTACATTAATGGCTAACCTATCTGAACGTATTGCCTTACTAAAGCAGGCTTTGGCTCTGAATTGTATCATGGGCTGGGCTAGGTACCTATGGGTGGTGGTGTGAAAGGTGCAGGTTCAATGGTTGATTCACAGGTATCATCAAAGGTGATGTCGCATCTTAAACAGCTATAACTCGTTAGTTTTGGTTCTCAGGGCAATTAAATGATATGATATCACCCAAATTTACGTCGAGTTTCCTTGGATGTGTAAAAGTATTAGTTACTCCGCTTGGAGAATTACCTACCTATGTAAAAGTTGCAGCTCGTTAATGTAATCTCATAATTTCAATATGTTGAATGTTTCGCACAGGTTGTGATTCTGGAATGGATAGGGGTTGAATTGGGGACACAACGTGCCAGTGCCAACTTAAGATTGCCGGCTGGAATGAGCTGTGAGACACCCCACTTTTACTTCTGCTCCTATACAAAATCACTTGGCTTACAGCCGTTCACAGGAGTTGCTACCGATTGGTGTATTACGACGGCGCACAATAGGAACAAATCCGCCAACCCGCCAATTCAATTAATATATTGACATCCATGTACACAGTATAGCTGTGTACAGTCTGATACATAATTCGCACCAATACCTGTATTTTACAGGGGATTATAGTGCTCAACAGTGCTATATAGCTCTGTAACTTATAGGGGTTATAGCGCATAGCTATTACGCATTTAATTGATTAAACTGATCGCTTTAATTAATGAATTTAATTAACTTCGAAAAAGCTGAAATAGCAATAATAACCTTAAAAGGCTCCAGCCAGCGCTAACTTTAGGGCTTTTTACATACTTTAAGGCTACTTAGAAGTTATAAGGAGCTAACGTGCTATAACGCTCATAAGTTACAGGGCTTTTAGCGCCCTGTAGCGCTATAATGCCCTGTAAGATTCAAAGAACTGTGTGGAATATGTATCAAACTGTACGTTAGTTTACTGTATACATTTCAATACATTATTTGAAATGGCGGGTTGGCGGATCTTGTACGATTGTCCACTCTATGAAAACGATATTGCAACTGGAATTGAACGAAGCCATGACGGTATACATACCAAGGGCACCTATATTAAGAACCGTAGTTACTGTCATTGTTAAAACTGATGGAGCATCTCCTAAGTATCCCCTTTTCTACAGTGGACCAACTTTGTTAACTTGTTTATTAATTTCAAAGGTTAATTGTCCGGGGTATCTGTGGACATTCGTCCTTACTGCCATGTGCTAGGTTGAATAGACCGGTGAGAAAGGCAACGGAACTTGAGTGTTAGGGTACCTATCTAGTATCTCTTTGATTAACTCAATTAATGAATCTAGATACATCTATGACTTAGCAACAAACTACTCATTAGTTTAGCTAGGTAATTTGTGAGATTTATGGAATTTAGTTTTTGGCGGAATATAATTATGGAAAAGGGGCAACTTCCTTCAACCGTCCAACAGACTGATGAATTGACGATGAGCAACATAGAATCCTGAACGATGAACAGATCTTAGGTAGATAGTGCCTATAAACTTAGATAACTACCATTCACTACTGATACACATAAGAAAAAACTTGGAACGTTCTAATTTATTTTCCAATTTCAAACTTGTACACTTCTACACCCCCAGTTGAAATCTCACACAACCCCCATCCATCCATCTCTTTTCTCCCTTACAATCATACTCGAAGAAAACCCTTCAAGTTTGATTGCGCCCACACTTAAGAAGAGCACGATAAATCTTCAATTACAACTTGATTTTCTTCTTGCCAATTCTATCTCATTTGGTAACCATGTTGCGATTCCGAGCACCCCAAGCGCGTATTGGACGCGCGGTGACGAGACCAGTCATACAGACACCGCCCAAAAGCCTCTATTCATCAAAGCATTTATCCTCCGCATCGAACTTCAGGAAGGTAACAAAGTATACTCTTGTAGCCGGTGCTCTTGGTGCTTCAGGCCTTTGGTGGTTAGTCACAACATCCATCCGCGAAGATGATGAAGTGGCTGTGCCGCGTCTTGATAATCATCCGACCGAGAACTTGAACCTCGGAAAGGGACCTTGCAAAGAAGATGTGACGCGCATCTTAAACCAGAACGCGTATCATTTCCACGTCAAGAATGTTGCTGGCGTCGACCGGTACGATGGCTCTCAATTGGCCTGTTTCGACCCTTGCGAAGACCGCTTCATCCACGGTCAATTCTCTTCACCCTGGGGCGACGGCAGTCAGTGGATGGCCTGGGCAATTTTCGACGGGTACTTGGGTTGGCAGACGGCAGATTTACTAGAGAAACGACTCTTACCCTTTGTGCAGCAAATCTTGAGCAGAGTCAAGCCAGCCTTGGAGACGGAATCTATGCATCAAGTAGTACAGCGTACTCTCATGGAGGCATTTATCCGAATGGATGAATCGATTATGCACACGGTTCGAGATCTTCCAGAAAGCGAGGAGCCGCTACAGGACAAGATGAAGAAGATAGCTCCCGCTTATGCTGGTTCCGGCGCTTTGCTATCCCTATTTGACCCAGTCTCCGGCTTGTTGCACGTGGCGTACACCGGCAATTCACGAGCAATCTTGGCGCAGAAGACAGAAGATGGAAAGTGGAACATGATACCCATGACGTTAGATCATTCTGGTTACAACAAGAACGAAGTTGAGAGAATCACTAAGGAGCACCCTGGTGAAGAGGACATGGTACATAATGGACAACTAGTAGGACTACCGGTCACACGAGCCTTTGGCCACGCACGATGGAAGTTTCCTCTAGCACTACAGCACGATCTGAGACGAAGATTCGGCGCCCCATCACCTGTCAAGCAGAACATCCTAACACCGCCGTATCTAACAGCAGCGCCAGATGTAGTGAGCTTCAGCATCGACCCGAAGAAGCCCTCATTCCTGATCATGGCGTCATACGGTCTATGGGAGTTCATCACTTGCCAGCAAGCCGTCGACCTAGTCGGCAAGTGGATTGAATCTCAAGGAGGCAAGGCAGCAGACGGTCCTGAACCAATGTACAAGCCATTCGACTTCAGCCACTGCGACGATGGTGTAAAATGGGAGTTCGACGAGAAGAGAGCGACGGTCCAGGATGAGAACGCTGCTGTGCACCTAGTGCGCAACGCCCTTGGAGGAAACCATCACGAGATGGTAGCAGGAAAACTTGCCATGACCGCGCCATATTCCCGAGCAGTGCGAGACGACATGACTGTGCAGGTGGTCTTCTTCAACCAGCCCGGCCTTGACAATAAGGGCAAGCAGAACGATAACGTCATGAAGACCTCTACGACATTCATCCGACGTTGTATGAACATCATTCGCTTTGCATAGGTAGGGAAGATTTCATATCGATGGGGAAACAAGTCCGATTCTCCCTGGCGGAAATGGCGAACGCGGTACGATTGCTTCACCTCGACGAAATCGGTTGGGGATCAGAACCGACGGGAAGTTTAGCTTGAGTCTGGGAAGGGATTTCGGAACTGGTACTACCAACGGAGGGTAGTAGGAATAAAGGCAATTGATAACACATCGGGTATCAAACAGTGTATTGAAGAACTATGAACAAGAACAATGAGCTTCGCAAACTGCAACAACGTTAGCATCCCCCGTAGCCCCCCTCCCCTTCTCAGCATCACCAACCAGCCCTGCCCCCTCCTCAAATCAAGCCACTTACCCACCGTATCCCACCAACAAACTCGATACCTAGTAGTAAAGCTCAATAGCATCAAAAATCTAGCACCACGTTAGCAAACTCCCCCACACATACACCCAACCCGCAAACGCGGTAGGTGTCTAGGCAGGTAAACAACTCACCACATTAGGACTCAAATAAGCACTCCCACTACTCCCCGAAATAACCGTAATCGTAACCGTATTACTCCCACTAACCAACGTCCCACTCGGAATCGCACACGTATACACATTCCCCCGCCCGCGGTACGCGCCCCTCGTCACACCCCTACTATCCACCGCGGTCGGCGCCGACGGCGCCGCGCAGGAGTAGCTATTAACCGTAGCCTGGGGTCTTCCACCCGCGTACGCAAGGGTGGTAGCGATGCGGAGGGTTGCGGCGCTGGAGATGGCGCTGGAGAGGGTGAATGTGATTTTCTGGCCGTTGTTGACGTCGGTGAAGATGGCCATGGGGAATGAGGAGGCGGCAGTGGACGCCACGCTGCCGGGGCTCCAGGACGACATGCGGCTGTCGGAGGGGTGCATGCGCAGCTGTTTATCCGCGTTGAGGAAGCCGGTGGGTTGGCCGTCGTAGTCGCCGAGCTGGAATACCTTCGTGCGGGAGTCGACGAGGGCGGCGGCTGTCGCGGCGATATTCGCGGTTGCGGTTGCGGCGGCGGCGACGGTGACGGTTGTGGTGGCGGCGAGGAACTCGTCTTGGTATAGCGCTTGCGTGTAGGTGCCTGCGACGAGGGCCGGGGATGTGAAGGCCCCGCTGGACGAGGCGTACACCCAGCCTTGGTAGTCCGCGTTGTACCAGTGCACGACGATGGGGAAGCTGCTAGACACTCCTGATGCGGTGCCCTTGACGTGTCCGCGGCCAGAGGCCCCCGTGTACCCGGTCAGTCCTAGGTTGTCGAAGAAGGAGACGTCGTAGTCGGACGTCTTCGGGATGCCGCTGCGGGACATGCTGAATACGTACGGTCCGTGGAAGCCTTGGCGGTAGCTCTCTGTCTGCGCGTGGTTCGAGTTCATGTAGTATGTTACTGAGTGGTACGACCCGCCGTAGTTCAGGTCGATGTCCCGGAAGAAAGGACCGCCGGAACTCTTCTCCGTTGCTTGGTTGTTGGGGCGGACTGTGATGGGGTTAGTGGTTGAAAAAGGGGAGATGGTAAGGAATTACACACCCCAGCATGCGTGGATAGAAGCGTCGGTGGTCGTCGCGCAGTACACGTCGTCATCGATGAAACGGTCTGAAGAGTAGAACTTGCTGCGCGTTTGGCTGCCGACGGTGTAGACGTCCGAGGCTTCGATGGCAGTGCCACCGGCCGTGTAGGAAGCATTGCCGTTGGGGTACGCCTCCGTGAGACCCGTGAGACGGAAGATGTAGCGCAACTCTCCGATAGAAGGCTCGGAAACGGTGTATGTTCCCATGTAGATTGAGCTCGACTTGTCGGCGAAGACCATATAATGAGTTAGATCAAAGCTGTCATTATCAGCCACGCACTTGACGATCACATAGTCACCTGCAAGCAATTTGTTAGCCAGAACTAGAACAGGCTCTCCTAAACACCAGTTAATTACTTACCACTGGTGGTGTAAGAGACAGTTGCGGAACCTAAACCAGACGCGATGTGGCTGTAGGTACTGCTATACTGATACTCGGTGTTGTAAAAGTTCAAAGACGTGATGTCGCAAGTTGAGCGACTGATGGCGACCTTGAAGCCATACGTAGCCGCAGTATCAATGGTGTAAGAGCTGGTCGATGTCGTTACACTGATACCGAGAACAGGCGCAATGCAGGCTGAAAGAGCCGCAAGACGTTTAAAGGAAGGCATTTTAACGAATGAACGTGCGATATGATGCACTAATGGCCTTGGCTACCTTTCATCTCATGTCGACGGTTGAAGACGATCTGGACAATTAATATAGATTAGATCTAACCCATGTTTACCTCTCAGGGAGTCGGGGAGGCTCGGCAGAGAGTTATGGCGAGCGTGAATCCCTGACACCCTGCAAGTAACCCCAGGGATTATCTGCAGGCTTATTGGGGGGGCCAAGGGGAGCTACCCAATCAGATGGGACTCTATCGTGAAACCGGACCCCTTTTCGAGAACATCCAATTTCCTCCATACATAGCTTCGTAACAAGTTACGTAGGTTGGCCGAAGGAAGTGGTATTGTTGATGCGAATCCGTCTTCTGAACCTACAGCTAGTTGCGTACGTAGTCCCTCGTCGATTGAACGGAAAAGGAGTTGTAAATGTGACTTTATGGTGAACCTATTTTCCACCACTCACGATAATAGCGCCGCTCCAGGACCGCTCCAGTGGGAGGGAAATTTGTGGGTCTCTTAGTGCATACCATTTTGGGGTATTGAAGCTTTAATTAAGCCTTAGGAGCTTCTATATTTCGAAGGTGTCATTGATATATGAGCGATAGTATTGTATGCGTGCCTATAAAGAGAGGTAAAGTTATCAATTCCTAACACAACCTCCGGAACATATGAGGAATCAAAAGTTACGTGTATATTGATACTTACTTCCGTCATCGATCAGGAGAATGTCGTATGGTTGAAGGCATCGTTCAACAACCGGCATTGACACCAACTATCGCAGATCCGGACCGTGCGCCGAAGCTAGGAAGATCATTCACAGCCTCAGTTGTCTGCTGATCATAGGTTGAAGTCGTTAGCTAGTCTCCTCCCTGAGCTAGCCCACATTGCCCCTAAAATTCCGTTCGTTTTCCTATTTCGTGAGGTTTCACAACGGACACCCACCGGGCCTTTCCGAATACGACTAGGAGTTCAACCACGCGTGAAGACTAAGTTAGATGAATATGACAGGGTTAGTATTACATAAACTATACATACTCCCTATTTCTCAACTGCCGAATGTCTTCAAATCTCGTGACACGTCAATATCGGATTGCAAAACCTCGAAAGCCCGAGTAGTGCGCATTCTCAACAACTTCACTAACCCTATCCCTTAAGCAGTATCGCCAAAATCTTCCACGAAGGAGTCGCGGGGTTTGAAAACCAAGTACGGTCCATCATGAGTCGATGTGAAGATATCGTATAAATGAAATTCGCCTCTCTGGCCGACCCCGACGTCGCCGAGGTCACCGGGCGCGGTCTCGAAGTCGAAATACCAGAGCGTTTTAGCGAGAGCTAAGCTGATCTCTAAGTACGCCGTAGGTTTCCCGGCGCAGCCACGGGAGCCGATGGAGAAGGCAGCAAAGGCGTCGTGCATCGCCTTCCTCGTTGTTGCGCCTTCGTCCGAGTCACCTTTTATTAGCCAGCGGTCTGGGTTGTATGTGAAAGGCTCCGGGAAGTATTCCTGGTTTATGGTTGTTAGTGATCATAGGAAAACCCAACAATTTACTCTAGAATCAAAAGAGCGTTGCTAGACTGAATGAGGAGAAGCACTAACCTCGTTATGATGCAACGAATAAGTATTAACGCCGACCTTCGTCCCCTTCGGAATGACATGACCATCAACTATGAACGGTCTACCACCCTCTTCCTCCGGAGCCAAGTGTCTCCAAAGCGTACCAGGCGACGGCGGCGACATCCTCAGCGACTCATCAATGCACGCGCGCAAGTACTGGCAGCCCGCAAGCTTGCTTCCGCAGATCTGATCCGCGCTTTGGAATGTCGTCCGTATTTCCGTCGCAAGTTTCTCATAGCATCTAGGATTCCGCGATAGGTAGAAAAACGTGGCACTCATCGCGGTAGCGCTTGTGTCGCCTCCTACTCGAAACTTTTAGTGCCTACTCATTAAGGAAGTGAGAGTGTATCGACATACCTGCTATTATGAAGAAGAAGGCCTCGTACCACAGATCGCCAAGGCGAAGACTATCATCATCTTTAGCGTTGATCGCGTCCGCGACGTGCGAGTACAGATCGCGCTTGGCGTGCACGTCCTCGGCCATACGGCTACGGATCATTGTTTCCATGAGACGCGCCGTCTTCTCCCGCTCCTGTTGGAAGAACTTGTTGATATAGAGCTGTAACTTGTACCGCGGGATGATGGGGATCTGCATGAACGTGTTCATGCGATGGTTGCCGCGCACAAGTTGTTCTACGAGGAACTGGTTCTCCTCGTTAGTCTGGAGGTGTAAGCTGTATCCGAATGAGAGGAGCCCGACGATGTCGAAGCTCAGGTAGCTGCATCGCGTCTTAACATCGGTGGCTTGGTGTTTGTCGTTGGCTAAATGCTTGATGAATATGTCGACCTGCTCTATCATGGAGGGCTCAAAGGCGCGCATGGAGGCGTCCGTGGTTGTTCGCCCGACGAGCTTTCGCTTACGCCGATGCAAGTCTCTGTCTAATGCATTCCAGAGACTAAATGCGCCGGGCTTCGACTGTGTGGCCAGGTATATTGGAGCCTTTGTAACTCTTTCATTTTGATAAATGTCTTTCTTGGTTAGTACCTAAGTTTTGGTCATTCCATTTTCGAGTTTTCGAGTTGAGACTTACCTCGCATCGCGGTGGCAGAATTGAAAACAAGCCTATCTGGACCTATTCGGACCACAGGACCTATTGCACATCAATCAACCAGCGGAGTACATTATTTTCGGGTAGCTCTCACGAACCGTGTTTTTCGTGGGTTCTCCATATCTCTATGTGAAGTATTCGTTTGAATGCGAAGAACCCAGTGTAGCCGTTTGTAAGTTTAGCTATCAGCGGTCCTGGATAACTCCTCAAGGGATGTAGGAGTACTTGGTAGCCCACATAAAGAGCAACCTTGAATATAAGTTAACGATAATGTTTATTTGGAGGTATTCCGACGGTTCCTTACCAGAGAGATGAAGCCACAAAGAAAATACGTCACACCGTCACTTAACGGATTAGGTGAAGCCATCTGAGGCGGCTTATCATTAGCAAATAAATGAATTGGCTCTCTGGTTGTCTAACCTCAGCCCGGGGTTTAGAGACAGTTCAAGGAGTAGTATTGGATGTGGGGGGAAAGATATCATTGCTGCCGTCAGCCAGCCGCATCCTATCATAAGGGTAGGTACCTACCCGCTGATCGGCATAGGGCGGCGTTTGTGTAAGGGATCGTAAGACAGGGGGCTGAAAGCCAAAGATAGGCGTCATTGTGACCTGTCAGGTTGTACAAAGCCAAGTGTATCTCGGCAGCTCGGTTTATGGGATATATTTCCGATGCGTATCCCTTCATAGACTCACTCAAGCTGCTGCGGCTGTCAGGCAGCTGTCAAGGTAAAACAATCCATGATATTCCAACACCCTACATTCAACTGCTATATACAAGTTCCTCTTTATGATTTCCAGGTTTCTAATATCCTCCCAACACCAGATATTCTACAAGTACCTAGCAGCCTGGGTAGGTACTAGGTACATATGCGTGCTGACCTATACCTCTTTGGATTCGGTGTTGGTCTTGTAGTAGGTTGCATGCATGCACATACAGCTAACAGTATGTCATACCGGCCTTATTTCGAGCAGCTTCCACGGACCTCATCCGGGTCCGCGAAGCAAGTGCCAACACCATCCACACATTGGAAACCCGTTTTTGCTACTGATTTGCAAGCCGCTTCCCATTCGTTACCTCCGAGCTGGGCTCCGCTATTCGCGTCACACTATTGAGAGTTAGCCATCTCTGTGGATTAGGTAATTGGAGATATGAGGGCATCCTTACTCGTCCCGAAGCTGTGTTGTAGTTGCTGCCACCCCACTGGTAGGCTGCATTGTTGTATACGGTACAAGCATTTGTTGTCATGCGCCAGACGTAAGTGCCGCCGTTGTTGCAGACGCAGTCAGGATGAAGATCTCCTCGCCTGGTGAAGTCAGTTAGCGATTATTGTACCTGGTACGAGGCAGTGTGAGGACTAAAGATTCACTTACACAGAAACAGCGAGGAAGGCGAAGGAAAGACAGAAGCTAACGAGGAACTGCATCTTGTCGGGAATAAAGACTTATTGCAAAGCTGAAGTGAATGACTGTTGATAGAGAATGACTGAAGGTGAGACGACTCAAGCGAGTGAATGAAGAGTGTGGACCGTGGTGGTTGGTGTTTTCTCTTGTTCTCGTCTAGGAAGACTATTGCTTTATATCTATCTTGACCTTCGTGCCTTCTATCATGGATAGTAGGTACCGTTCGTACCTCCCTGCCCCTAGTCAGCTAGTATACTCTCAGCTACCGACCTGCCTAGAGGTAGGATGCACTTCCCCGGGGGTGGTAAGACCACAATGGGGAGACCTTATCCCCACCATACCCCACTATACTCAACCATATCTACCCCGCCAAGATAATAATTCTAAGTATTTACTTACCAAATTTATATGAAAAAATACATTTTTCCAACTTTCTAGAGATCTACGAAGCTCAATATTAAAGTTGAATCCTTTGGTCAGTGCATAAACTGGACTTTTGAGTGTGATTTTACTTAGTTCGTATGAGTTCCTGAGATGCCGCCATAACCCTTGTAACACGAGCGTTGCATAACTCCATTAACTTCATAAGGCATCGTGGGACTTTTCCTATGAAACGCTGTGTGTAGATCTTAAGTTGTGGTTACACAGATTAGCAAGGGTGTGGCTGAAATGGATTGAGTCTGATTGGTTAGCCAAGCCACGTCTCAGCTTCTTTAGTACGTAGTCTACGCTCAGCCTCAACGAACCTTTTATGCGTAAAGTCAAACACACCGAGCTTGGCTCGAACCAATGCTTGGTACTTTGCATTCTCAGGTGGATCGTGCTCCTTCTCATTTCGAGACTCAACGTCACATCTAATGATTCTCCGCATTGGAGATATCAAACTATTATCTAGAATCTACTAGGAAGATACCGACAACTTGCGATGTATAAAGGGTGGCAGCGACAACAACTTCAAGATGATTGTTCACCATCCACACCGGACCCAACAATCTTCTACCCAAGGCCACAGCTCCGTCACTCGTTTCCACAGAGCTTTCATTCATTAGGCCAGAATCTTATTTCGACGCCCAAGTCTTAATATTCAATATGCAATTCCGCGATCTTATCAGTTTTCTCGCCGTCGTCGGCGCCGCATCCGCCGCGCCGCGACCCCAGCCGTTGAGCTTTGATGACGTCGTCATTCTCGCCGAGGATGGTTCCTACTCCATCGTCAAAGAGGCAGAATACGCTGACATCGTGGCCCGCAACAACCTCCAGCCTGCTTCCCCAATGGAGATAGAGGCCCGCACAGCCGCTTATGCCTCCAAGAGCCGCCGCGCCTGCGGCAACTCCAACGAGGTCCAGGTCACCTCCGACACGAAGTTCCTGAACTGGGACGTCGCCATGTCCCCGGTCGTTAGCGCACAGGGCGGGTCCGCCTCCGTCACGCTCTCTTCGGGCTACATGCTCGCCAACTCGGTCTCTATCACGGCGACCGAGGGCGTCATAGTCGAGGCCGTTCTTACGGCCACGCTGTCCGTGTCCTACACCCAGACCTGGACCTCCACAGAAACCCAGGCCTTCGCATACACAGTCCCCGAGGGCCAATTCGGCGTCGTCGTGAGCCAGCCGTTAGTCCGCCGCGTCCAGGGCAACTACATCAGCGGCTGTGTCGACGCCCCGGACAAGAAGGTGCCCTTTACTAGCGATACATACACGAACCAGGTGTACGGTGGAGGCTTGAACTGGGTCCAGGGTGTCATCAGGCTTTGCAACAGCACGACTTACCCTGTCCCGTTCTGCATTGGAGAGGGCAGCCACACTTAAATGTAGTAGTTGGTAGTCGATATGGAGGATATGAGTGTATGGATATGGGCATGGGTATGGATATGGGAGGGTTTCCGTGTGAAGGATGTATAAATAGAGGGGTGGTAGACTCAATGTAGTAGCAGTATTTTCTTATGGCTATCTAAGACTAAATCTTCAATGACGTCACATTCTTTATGAAATATGTCAAAATCAAAGTGACAGGAATCCACACGTCCGAATTAGGTTAGTCTTTCCTAAATAGGTAAACAAGTACCTTGCAGTTCCTAGAGATTTGATTGGATAGAAATTAAGCTTCGACCAGAAAACGCATCCAGCCAAAGACCCACATATCTTTTGAACAGGAACACCCCGAAATTCATCGCAACCATCGAAGGTGGTTCCCCCACTTCTTCCTCTGCCATGTTGTAATAGAGCCTGCTTTTTCGCTGTCTCATTTTATTTTTCTATAAAAATTAAGGACCATAATTATGATAAAGATGTGGAAGTCCACCCCACCCTTATATCTCGACTTTAGCCCGCCCACTCGATTGAAAATTCAGGGCTATTGACGGACGATTATGACCTCAAACCCATTACCTTGGATGACGGTGAATTGAATGGTTCGAACGATCGAAAAGTTGCCTTATTTGAATGACTAGTTGGGTCCATTGGCAATGTACTCAGCAGGTATCAACCGAACTACGGTAATGTCCATTTCATACTCGTCGCTATTTTGAGGGGTTCCTGGCGCGAATTGCTTGTGAGTCGCGCGAATTATAGAACCTTTGCTCGAGGCCCCTGGGGAGACAAGTTTTCGAACAGAATTGCCTGCCCAGGACCGCAGACCCGACGCCAGTTTTTGGAGCTCAAGATGACTAAGAGTCTTTGGAGCTACTGGACAGCAAAATACTATAAACCCGCAAGTTACCTCGGCATGACACCATAAAGAAACCCCGGAGAATGCGTAAGTAGTATCTTTGGATGTGTAAAACCGGAGCGAGAAAACTAAACGGAAGGTCGCGGCCACGATAGCACTGGACACCTAAGTTAGCACTGCTTGACAAAATCTGTACGGATCCTCATATTTGACATACATAACTCCGACTGCGAAGAGAAAAGAAACACCAATCTTTTTCTTGGTCTTCATTTGGAGTCCCCAGATGACCTTCTGAGGAAGAAAGAAGATGATCAGATCAAACGCGAGGTTGACAGCCGAATTAATGATAGCTATGGCGATTGTATCAATGCATTTACCTGGAATCAAAAGGTTCCAGTTCTTTTCGAATGGCGAACAACCCGCAAGTTCAGTGATAATCATTGCAATATATATGAGGTTGTGAATCACCAACACGAAGGAGCTTGACCAAAAAAAGAAACCTCGGGTTCTTTGAGGAGCAAATATAGCGATCCACTCCAACATAATCGCCGACCTGATAAGTATAATGATACCGAAGTATATCATAATCCCTTGGAAGTACATCTTGTTATTGTTAGATATATTTTCGGGCCGGATACCTAGTATGTTCAGGAACACTCACCTGATTGACTTCAGGAAAGTCCCTGAGGCGCAAATCCCACATGTGGACGAACCAGCCATATGAATTCAAGAGCTTAAAGTAAAGATATATGAATGCAATATAGATAACCTTACATACCATTGTTAATGATCAGTATTAGATAATAAGCGCCTACTTCGATAAATATTACCCTTAGGTAGGTAAGTAGATACCGTAGGCAATATGAACAAAAAGGAGTGATCGTACAAATGCTGCCAGCCCCAGAACTGCAAACCATTAGACAGGTATCTGTTATATGTACAATATCTTCTCATAGGAGATCTTACTATCAGTTATCTTGACTTTCTTAAGCATGATTCTCGAATACATCCGGATAAGAACAGAAACTGAAGTTATAACAATGAATAATATAAGAACAACTCGAACAAGGTTGTTCTTATTAGGTGGGTTGTCGAAGTTAGGCGTGATGCCTGTAGGAGGCTGGATTGCTGGCCCATCAAGGTTGCCCCCTGTAGAGATATCCGGGTTTTCGCTCATAGGCGCCATTATCGCTATCGATTAGGGGTAAAATATCGTCTTCTAGGGGTCAGGGGATTTCAATACCTGGACAGGTTCTAGGTACCTACCTAGGTAGGTAACCAAGAGACTGATGATAAAAGTATGTAACATAGCAAGTTCATAATAACTTCCAAGGATGTATCAAGAGCCTGTTATAATATTGGCACTTGAACTTCGTCGCATGATTTCTATCTACTTACAGAGTACTGGAGGGTAGTTATGGATGCGGCTACCACTTTACACCACAAGGCAACGAATGGTTTCTAATTATTCTTGGAGATGCATTCGATAATTGTAGTTATGCGACGATAAGCTGATATTACACTGCAGTCAAACCGTTTTAAGACTGCTTCTAAAAAGATGGGAACTGATCCGATGTGGTGCGCTAGAAGCGGGTACAACTACGTTACAACTCCTAAGAGCGGGCGGAACGCGTTAGCCGTTATTGGCGCGATCTTGGAGGCGCTACAGCGGGTCTGATCTGATCTAACTAAATACAAACCCGATTACCGACATATCAGGCGGTGTGGGGAGTCCAACGTCATCTATAGATAAAGCCTCGCTGTAGGTGCTATAGGTGTAACCAAATGCTTTTCTTCTTTCTCAAAAAGCATTTTAATAACCCTAACACTTCATTGGATCGCTATCAACCGGTCAAAACGAATCCTAAAAATCTGCACATTCTCTGGTCGCACGAATGCAACCTCCCGGTGCGCCCAAATAGACTATTGAAAGACTGCATATACGTACCTAGATATATCCGTGGAGAAATAATGTCGAAGAAATTGCCATATCCTTAGACCCCGAAGACCTGGTACCAACCACACCACATCGCTGATTATGTCCGAGATACGCAAAAGTCAGGGAATACAGTTGCCTTTCAACAGCTCTATACACATTCTGCGAAATTCTCAAACTCCAATACATTTATTGATATCAAAATCAAAGCTGTAACCTCCAGGACGGAGGAGGTGTACTATCCGAACGCGCGCGTGGGAGTGCGTATTGCTACCACCGCTTACGAGTTCATCGGCATTGTGGTATGGATATTCAGCCCGGAGACCTCCGGGCGGAGACGGTTCTATCGCAATTGTTCCTGATCATGTCACCACTACCGAACGCGTTCCAGCGTGGACGATTCAGAGCTTCCTCAACATCATGAAAATATCTATGATTTCGGTAGCTTCTAGCACCGCCCTTCTTGTGTTACACGACTGTGCCCGATTGCGGATTGATGATTCGATCTTGATTCACGGCGGATCCAGTGCTCTTGGACCTAGTGAGCGAGATTCCCTAACTTACCCCTATTACCCCTATTTCTCCACTTTTAGTAGATATTGGACTATCGAATATGTTTAGTTCGAGAGATACATATTTCGTGGACGGGAACATAAAAGAAACAGTGCAAGTGCTTCATTGTGAACTTCAAGAACGAAGTACAGATTCTAGGATTGTCCATATCAGACGCTGTTGAAATCCCGACCGGACCCAAGTACTGCGCATCGAATAGATTCTATAACGCATTCGCACGTTGGCGATACGAACGAGATAGAATATATCATTCTGCGAAGGAATTTATACACTTAGCGAAGACGAATTTCAATGGGTCGCCGACTTTGCGCTCGCCGCGGAAGCCGACACCGACTCAACAGACCCACAGTGTTACGGGAATGGAATCTTTCGGGTTCCGAAATATGATGGCTCAGGGGTGCGGCGTTAACGATCTTCCTATGTTAGATCCTCGCTCAAGTACTTATCCTGGCTGGAGCGTCCGAGGCGGAACAGATTCTGGAGGATCCGGGAGATGATGGAAAACAAGATCGTTTCGGGGTCAATATTTCTGTGTAAGCAAAAGAACCCCCCCCCTGCGCTGAAGCAGATGCTGCTTTGAAGGTCTTCAGAAAGCAGTTTTCTAATCTGACTCTCGCTCCGCTAGATTGGATCGGAGATATCGCTTCGTCCGCCTTCGCGGGGACGGGAGAAATCAGCTTCAAATGATCGTTCTATCACTAGTAGCGGTTAAAGTCATCATGTATGTGTCTAGCTTAACTGGCTCGGTTTTTCCAATTCGATGGTGTTGCTAAGAGGTTGTAATTAAATTAACCGCATTCTGGATAATATCGATTGGACGCATTCAGGAGAAATATATTGAACACTAGGGCCAATACGTACCGGCAGTTAGTCATTGTATCAAAGTGAGTTCGATTTGCGACTACTCGCTGTCCTCTTTTCAGGGAAGCGCCAAGGGATTAATTGTCATATCCTAATTGATCTATTATTGGGATTCAGCGAAGAAGTCAAGTTGACATCGGACAGAGTTTCAACCCAAAGGATGGATAAAAGTGCTGAGTCCGCCGTAACCCTCGTCCGAGGGTTCTTCCTTACGTTCCTTGCTCCCACAACGGTCGCTGGATACCTAGTACTTAACCCGACCTTACGTGGACAAGATGCAGTTGGTATCACTTGCGGCGCTGGCTCTTGCCGTGCCTGCGAGTGCGCTGATTCGGTTCTCATGTTCCCAACTTGTGGTCGATCGCATCGACCCCTTAGTCAACCCTGGAATGGCACCATCCCCTCATTTACATCAGATTATCGGTGGTGTGAGTTATGCCATAGAATTAGAAGACTGAATCCGAGCTGACAAATGTAGAACTCCCTTAATGTGACCATGGATCCTGCCAAGGATATGCCTGGCGAATCTACGTGTACAACTTGCCAGTTCACCGAGGATACATCGAACTACTGGACTGCTGTACTTTTCTTTAGGGCTCGTAATGGAACTTTCAAGCGGGTTCCCATCCGATCCAACGTTGGTTTCGACGGTGCTGAGGGTGGAATGACCGTCTACTACATGCAGAACGGCCTGTCGGACTACCAGCAGCGATCTAAAGTAACGGCATTTAAGCCTGTAAGATCAAGGGTTCTTTGGCCATGGAATTAGTAGAACTGATCAGTATAGGGATTCCGGATGCTCGTTGGTGATTCAACAGCTCGAAGCGCCGAGCAAGCTGTGAAGCATAAACAAGTCACCTACACCTGCCTTCAAGACATGCTTACTCGTTTCCCCGAGACCAACGACCTCCCAAATAAAATATGCCCAGAAGGCGTTATGGCAAATATCCGGTTCCCGACGTGAGTCTAACATGCATACTTCATTGTACACCGACAGTCGAGTAATAACCTAACATATCATATCATAGCTGCTGGGATGGAAAGAACCTTGATACCCCTGACCATATGAGCCACATGTCGTACACGGCCAATGGGACTTTCGACTCCCAGGGCGCATGCCCTGATACTCATCCGGTAGGTACTTCCAAGGTTGGCTTTCGGACGACCATTAAAAGTCTTGGTTGAATTATTCGCTAACATCTTGGTACCCAGTGAGTGAAACTATTTCACATCCTTATTGCCAAATTCAGGGGGGAATACTAGGTAGTTTGGAAGAAAACGTCCAATGCTAACAGAACACGTTCTCATACACCAGCGTTCCTGTTCCCCTACTCATGTACGAAACAATTTGGGACACTCGACAGTTCAACGATCCTAATGAGTGGCCTGAGGATGGATCTCAACCCTTCGTTTGGTCTATGGGCGACCAGTAAGCGCTTTATTGCCTAGATAGTCTCTCAAGGGCCCGCTAACGTGAAGACCACAGTACCGGATACGGTAGTCATGGAGACTACGTCTTTGGCTGGAAAGGTGATGCCCTACAGAGAACTATGGATACTCCATGTTACGTGACGTGCCCTACTTTGACCACACAATCTATCGCCAACCAGAATAAGTGCAAGATTGATAGGACTGTTAAGGAGGATATCGATTCTTGTAAGTTCTCGACTTGGCATCAGTTGTGAGTAGTGGGGAAGACTAACGGTATCTGTACCTAGGGTTGACCGAGATTCCTGGCAGCCCCCAAATATCAAAGAAGCGTTAGAGGTGATATATGGTGCAATTTCAGATCTAGAAATTATAGGATCGGGTTTCGGCTTAATTATGATATTACCCCATTTTTCCAAGCGGCGCATTCAATGTGCCACATTGATAGGTGCGTCACATTGAGCGGCTTACTCTCTGCCCCGGCGACCTGGTTATCTGATATAATCGTATTCGTATTTGTGACGAGTGGCTAGACCCCATACTAATCCCTGATTTCTTTCCCCGCATATTCATACAGATGTGAGATGTGCTTACGGGAACAATTCACCATCGAAAATATTGGTCGTCAATCCAAATTGCAAGCGCATACTATATCATAAGTTCATTATAAATCAAGTAACGGCGTCCGATGCTCATTCAGGGGTAATGAAAAAGAGCATAATTAATTAGGTACGTACCTACTACAAGGATGATGTGTGTGAATATTGAAAGTATTACATATACCTGCATCCCAAGCGGTGAAAGAAGAACTTCACGATAAATAATACAAAACAAATCAAACATCTTCTGTTGTTTAAATTAATATCTTGCCCTCAGATCACTTCACTTTGCCGTATGGTTATAAGTTCACGACATTTCACATTTCTGTGAATCTGTCTCACCAGATTCTTACCTACCGACTAGGTGCCTACCTACACTCATAAGTGCATTCGCATTGCCGTGTCACTATACAATGGGAACACAAGAGATTATAGATATGAGCGCTGTGCTGCCCGTTCTACTACGAAGCTTAGGTGTTCTATCCATCGTGGTTCTGGTTCGGTTCTTCTATAGAGGATATGTTGAACGAAGTCGAGTGAGATCTTTGATGGCCCTAGGAATAGTGAGTTCGATTTCCCAACAGACGAAATGTCTATATCAAGAATCCCGAGACCAGTCACGACTAATCTTTCAAAGCCGGTGTTGCCACATTCCCTGTTATTCGGGCATCTCCCAGTCTTCCTTGAGTTTCGTGACGCTAACCCTCCGGATATTAACATATACTGGTTTCATACCTGGCTGATCGCAAATGCCGAGAAATACTTTCCGGGTCATGATAAACCACCACCAGTTGTCTATCTTGACCTCTGGCCCATGACTGGATCTATGGCTGCAGTGTTTGATCCCATCGCTGCGTCCCAATTTACGCAGGTCAAGAGTCTTCCCAAGGATCAAATTATGACCGACTTCATGATGCCACTCACCGGGAACATGGATATTGTTTCTTCCGACGGACAGCTTTGGAAAACATGGCGCGCGAGATTCAACCCTGGGTTTAGCGCACGGAACTTGACCGCTTTGCTCCCAGAAATCATCGAAGAAAGCCTCGTGTTCGTGAACGGTCTCAAGGACTTAGCAGGCAAGGACGAAAACTGGGGTCCAGTTTTCCAGTTCGAAGACAAGACGACCAACCTTACGTTAGATGTTATTGTTAGAGCGTCGACGTAAGTGGGAATATCTCAGCTTTGACCTGCCACTTCGACACACTAACTCCATATAGAGATTTGCGGTTACACGAACAGTCACGCAAGTCAAACAGCCCCCTGAAGACTGCTCTGTTGGAACAGATCAAGATGATGGGTATGGTGACCAATGCTGCAAGAGGGCTTCCCGCCATGAGGATGCCTTGGCATCGCGCGGCTATAAATCGTAACAACCGCGATATCCGCAATGTTTTGCTTCCACAGATAGAGAGCAAAATACGATCTGACAGCTCTACTAGCGTACAGAGAAAAACCGTCGTGGACCTTGCCGTGAAGTATGTCGAAAAGGACGACTCCGGCGCGTCGAAGGAAAAGCTTGATGACGTGTTCATCGATAGACTGATAGCAAACCTGAAGGCCTTCATGTTCGCAGGCCACGATACGACTTCATCAACCATCTGTTTCATGATAAAATTGCTGCAGGATGACCCTGATGCGTTAGCGAAAGTCCGAGCTGAGCATGATTCCGTGTTCGGGCCAGACCCGGAGAAGGCAGCGGAGATACTTACCACATCGCCTCACCTTTTATACTCCCTGCCGTACACTGTAGGTGTCATTAAAGAGACGTTGCGATTATATCCTCTTGCAGCGACAGTCCGCGATAGCAAAGCCGCTCCTGGGTTCGCCCTCACTGTGCCAGGTTCTCCAACAAGGTATCCTATGGAAGGTTTTGGGCCGTGGCTCGCAGTCACCGCCCTCCACCGCAACGCCGATTACTGGCCACGGCCGAACGAATTCTTGCCTGAGCGATGGCTAGCTGTCGAAGGTGACCCGCTCTATATCGCTACCAAGGAAGCCTGGGCGCCGTTCTCCCTGGGCCCGAGAAATTGCATTGGTATGGAGTTAGCGATGATTGAACTTAGGCTAGTATCTGTTCTGGTGGCGCGGACTTTCGATATCGAAGAAGCGTGGACGGAATGGGATAAGAAGCAGTAAGAAAACATCATACCAAATGGAAATTGCGAATTTGATTGCTGATCTGATTTCCTAGGGGCTCCAAAGCTACACCTACTCATATTGTGAACGGTGAACGCCTTTACGGCGTCGGGAACGGTACGGTACATCCTAAGGACGGCATGCCGGTACACGTGAGATTGAGATCTCATAAGCCGGCCCCCTGAAGGTAGGTACCGATAGATACTCTAAGTAGGAAATGGATCTGATGCCTGCCATCTCGCATTCCTTCGACTACCGATTAGTACAATATTTGAATATTCTTAAACTAAAATAGAACGTATCGATATCTACCTTGTAAGTGTTCCTATTTCAACACTAAGTTGCGATACGCCGCTAACGTGATCAATAAACGAAGCCAGAACACAATGTCCGCCCCTGCCACCGCGTTAGTATGAAAGACTTGCATCTCGATCTACATGACCAATGTTGGTTACTAGGTTAATCGTACCAAGGTTTCCATGTTTTAGAGATGAAATCTACTCCACATATCTCTATCAATGTCTTTTCCACTCTTGTCCAAAGACGAGAACTATTTTCCCCTTCACAATACATTTATGATAGCATTGTAATACCGCAACTACCATTCCAATCTAAGTTCCTAGATAGCTTGAATTTTTAATTGAGAATTGCGTGATATTCGCGATGTTCGGAACGCATTGCGTCATGAATACCGACGTGTCGTAAGAATTCGTACATGCTTCATCAGTAGATCTTGAGAAGGGGGTCTCAAAATGCATATATACCTGTCGTAGTACACACCTATACGATCCCCTATTGCCGAGACAGACTTCTCGATCAACTGTTTAGCGCGCTGTTAGCTCATTCTGTCAACCTTTAAATCTGCCATGAGTTTAAGAAGCTCAACCAACAACATTGAAAAGGGCGAATCCAGAGGTTCTAGAAAGCACTTTATGTAATCGAATTAGCATAGCTCGAAACTTTCGAAGTTATAGATCTTAAGACATCTTCTCTATACGAAGCAGTAGTCCAAAACACGAAACCCCTCAATTTATGGCAGACGCTCTTATCAGTTAAAGACTCAATGCCGCGTGGGGTGGGTGTTTAAGAATCTGACTACGTTTCCGCAAGTCCCGCCAACGAATAGACGGGATCCCTAGTCGGCATTCATGAGAAGTTGGGAGTAATTGTTCGAAATTGGGGTTGCACGGAGCTCACTGGTTGGCGTGTCTTTCCAGGTATACCATACCTACTCATCACAGCTCTAGTAAGCAAGTGGCTTTATACTTGCTACAAATCGCGCATCTCGTGTCTCGGTCTCAGCGGATTGTTCAATCGTCGATATTCTGGCTTCGCACTGCGCACTATCTGCCGCTCCCAAAATTTTCGCATCTTGATCCAGTTATTAGATTCGAAGCAATTAGGTAAGTTAACCAGATCAAATAGTTGTTGGTTCGGCGGCATCTGATATGCAGGTACGATTTTAGTCATCATTATTTAACTAGAATTAGAAACATCTTAACAACGTGAACACCGTGTACTCCTCTCTATAGAGAAAAGATCGACGGTGCTGAATCTCAATCGGTGCAATGCTCGTCAGCGGCTGACGTGATCCGACGATGTTGTGGTTGCGGCGGTACCTCAACCGTAGATCTTGAATACAGCATTTGTGTGCTGTTGCGCGGCTGTCGTACAATTCGTCTCATGTCAGCATTTTCTCTATTCGCATTGGATTTCCCAATGCAGTGGCAAGCTAATGTTCCTGAAGTCTGCCGGTACCTAGGAGGAATTGCTCCAGAAAAGGAGGCGCCAAGGTAATGCGACAGGGTACAATAAAGCTTGTTTTTAACCCTAGTTACAGTCTGTTCAGCGCGGTACCATCCTACCACTCATCCTTTTTCCGGCATACGTTGCTAATCCTGTGATAGATGTTAAGGAATAGGTGCGTATAGTCGACATCCTATTTACATCATAGCTACTAGGTATCCAAATAATTAGATCGAATAATCCATCCCGTGCCCTATTCTTGTTCCTCAAATTCTAGGTATATCCCGCAATATTCTATGAAACGCCTAACTTCTCTAGCATTATTTGTCAATCTCGCTTCAATCGCGACATATAAATGTATTTCCATGAGCAGCAACGAGGCTATTCAATATGTTCAAGATCGGCAGCTAGCCACTAGGATGCGGGCTTGCATTTATTACACACCTACCTACCTAATACCTGGAGAGGTACTGCCAAGGTTGTCAGCTATGTCGTATGTGTCTACCAAAAGAAACGCCTTGAAACAACTGATCTTTAAATAGTACTACATAGAAATATTGTTTAGCTACCGGTACCTATCTTGAATGAGGCAAATTGTACATAGTATATACCCCACGCGAATTAACACTGATGAGACTCTACACCTAGGTAAGCAATTAGTGAGAAAAATGTGACATTGGCAGCTGTATATCATTGGCCATGCAGACGCGATAGTACGACCAAATTCTTGATCAGTGCATACCCACCAACGATGCCTGGTCAAACATTTACTCCTCATTTTCATTTCTCTCGTCATTGTCGGTCATTATCGAAATTGATAGAAACCTCAAGCCGAAATCCGGCTCGGCTAAGACTGCCTATACAACTCATTAAAGGCAGAATCATGTGAAGCTATCAAAATCTTGTATAGAATGTTTCTTGTGGCCCCCACATCAGTGTCCCTACTGTAAATATACTCACCCTGGTAAGCTAAATAAGTAACAAACGGCAGCACCGGTTTTTGATCTGCACTCGCTTAATCCTCCTGGGCCAATTGACGACGCCGAGGGGCTCTGCCCGATCCTCCACGCATCATAAGGAATCAAGATATCAAAGTGGCCTAACAGGATCCCGTAAGCCAGGTTAACGGCCAACCAATTTACCTAAATCTTTTCTAATATTGCTGATTTCATCCACTAATGCTGATATCACATACGCCAAACAGAATGCAATTAGATACAAGACGATCTTTACCTACCTATACATTAGGTCATCCCCAGTGTTATTATTCCAACACTCTAGAGGCCAAGGGACCCTTGAGTAAATCAGTCCTAGCTAACTTCCTGGACAAGGGTAGCTGGTTCTGTAATTGTACGTCGATGGATGCTGTTAACCGTAGTAGGTGTCAAACCTCGTGGCTAAGTGGCTATATGATGCGTCCCGGTTGTACTTTGATGAACGATGCCGGGCTATGTACGACGGCGTATGTCGAATCTGGCGTGCTCCGAGATGAAATGATCGGCAAACCATGAAGTCAGCATGGAATCTAGGATTACATACCGTCAAGACAAAGCTGAGAACGCCATAATCCCTAATGCCGTGACACTTACCCGATTGAACGTGTGTTGGTAAGAGATCCAGAAACATAAAAGGGACTTGAACCCGACTTCCGTTCCAGTCCGGATTCCTCTCACCATCAACCGGATCCCGTCGACTACAACACTAACCATAGCAGCTCCAGCCGGCCCTGTTGACGCAGACACGCCCGAAGGACGATAGAACCGATTCATCGAGTTTATATCCTAGCTATAGAACAGTCAGTCAGTCAGTCGTAAAACAACACAGATCAACCATGCGTTCATTCGTTGCTGTGTTGGCGGCAGCCGCCTCTTTCCAAGGAGTCTCTGCGGCTCCGGTAGAGGGACATATCCCTCCCCACACGCCAGTTTCGCACACGCGATGGCCTCACCCTACTGGCTGGCCTCACCCTCACCACCCCAGCCATCACCCCAGTGGCGGGTTTCCGCACCACACCTGGCCGCCACACCACACCGGCAACTGGCCTCCTCACCACACTGGCGGTCCTCGCCATTCCAGCAGTATTATCTGGGCTCGGGATGAAGAGAAGCACGGCTCCGGCCACCCTCACCCCACGGGACACCACTCCCACCACAGTGGACACGCTCATTCCAGTGGCCACCACCATCACACCAAGAGCCACCATCACACTAAGAGCCACCACCACTCGCTACCCACCGGCCTTCCTCACACCTTCCCGGGCAATGAGAAGCACCACACTCCCTGGGGCCACGGCACAGGCATCAGCCACAGCCACCACCCCCACCCAACGGGCATTCCTCCCCACCACCTACCTCCCCATCACCACCCCAAGCCAAGCACAACGACGACCAGCACCGCTACCGCAACCGAGTCTAGCATCGGCGTCGAGAAGCGCGACGACGACCACTGGCCGCCGCACCACCACCCGGGCCACCCTCACCACCCTGATCACCCTCACCCGGATCACCCGCACCCAAGCCACCCGTTCCCCAGCGGCGGCTTCCCTCACCCGCCTCACCACGGCGGACCCCCTCACCACCACCACGGCCCGCCTGAGTTCACCGCCGTGCCTCAGCGCGCGCGCCAGGTGCTGCAGGAGATACCTCGCGTGGTTCGCGAGGCTAACTAAGGGGATACAGCTCCTTACCTACCTGCTTATAGGATAGTAGTGGGTGCCTGACAAAGCCTTGTCATGATAGAATAATAGCGTGTAGGATTAGTGGCGGGGGGATGGGGATGGGGTACGGCATATTTCATCTGGAGACGAGGTTCATTGGAGGATCACGTTTCCTTTGTGTCTTTTAGAATTTTGCTTGGGGAGGGGATGGGATGGGATAGACGGCGGGATGACGCGCTGGGGGTGCGGGTTTGGAAATCGTTGGATGGTGGTGACAAAGACGGACAGAAAAAAGTGCCTGAGATCGGATAAAGGTCCTAATGTCTTTGGATAGGTACCTATTCAGCGATTTCATACCTGTGTACTCTGCGTGTTTGTTCTCGCTACTTTCGATTCTAAATTGCTATATCGAGAGCTGGTTGCTTGGGATATCGCGATGGTACATATTTATCAAATCATTTTTGGGGATAATTTTCGAAGCTGAAAACTTAGGTGTGTCAGTACCTAAGATGGATCCATAACGCCACTTCGTCTCGTGAGGCTTTTCGTGTGATGAACCCGCGCGTGGGGGTTTATTAGGTGATTGAGGTGAGATATTTGCAGCAAACATGTACCTAAACAATGGCTGCATACCGTGATAGGTACTTGTACCTAACTAGATGTGTCGGGCTATGACAAAAGGAACTTGGAATGTATTAGGTATAAACCCAACAGCCAACTAAAAAAGAACGTGAATCGATAAATGGCTGTCGTCGCATGTGAAAAAAGCGGTGATATAACTTGGGCACAATGGGAACCTTAAAAGTTGAATGATTTATTGTTTTATTCGGCGGGTTCGCTTTTTAGGTTCACCTTAGATTTTTCAATACAAGCGCCACTACCAGTCACCCGTGTAAGCCACGAACCTAAATTTATGGAGTGAACATTCCAGCGACTTTAATTTGTTGCGATCAGATTCTTCGAAGAATCGAAACTAAACAACATTTTATCGTACCTGTACCTAATAAACTGTATATTAACCCCAAACATATCCGTCATAGATTTTTCAAACGCCGACTTCTCTATTCATAAAGCGGACTACATTCAAATCAACTTAAACATCGTGGGCTACGTGCGACATCACTACCGGCACTGTCGACTTTACTGTGCATCACCCTGACCACACAGTAATTTCAGTCACTGTTGGTGACTTTGCCACGTGAGCAATTCGGGTGGGTACCATTGGGTGGGCGATTGGCGGGCAGCAAAAATAACAATTACTAAGGCGGTGTTAAGGTTGTCGCCTGTCGCCTGGGCAGCAAGGGTTCAAGGATTAAGGATTTTCAAGGGTCCTGTTTTTACTGGAATCCACCGGGGTCCCTTTCACTGCAGCGTTTCAACAAACTCGGTGTGCGCCTCTCGCATCTTTCTCAGCTTTGCGACATTTTCAATACCTCTATTTTTTTTACTCTTTTACTCATTTCATCGATATTAAGCAAGAAATCGCGATTCCGATAATCAAGTTCATCTCTCATTTATTTTTTTAAACTAGGGTTTTTCGTTATCTTTTCTTCATCGAGATACCATGCGCGGAAGCGCCGTTTCTTCGGCAGCTTTCACCGCGCTCAAACAGCCCCTTTCTAGACTTGGCCGTGCCCATTTATCCACTACATCATCTCACAGCAGCTCCGGAGCTCGACTCGGAGGTAACATTCGCAAGGCCAGCACCGTTCCGCACAGCGTCAACCATTTTCCTCATGGCCATCAATTCGAGCCGGGTGTCATTCTGAAGGGATACTCTGGTCGAGAGTACACTATCGAAAATGTTCTGCAGGACAGACAAGACCGTCAGGTCTATCTCGCCAGGTAAGAAAATCGAGAAAAAACTCCACTGAAATGACGTTTTTTCTTCCTTTGTCGCCGCCTATGTGGGGTCATCGGACTTAACTCCTCTTAATTCTAACATTTCGATAGAGCGAATGAGAAGATGTTCGTTCTGAAGAGTTTATTCGAGAATGAATATAACTATGCGCTTCCTCTACAGCTCAGGTTCAACCATTCGCCTTACTTACGCGCGCTCCGGGACACTGTCCCGGACCAGAGAATGTTCGTCAATGAGTACATGACGGATCATCTACTCAACTTCGTCTTCAAGGACCTGTCTCTTCCCATGCAGAAGCGCGTACTCCGAGATACTCTTCGAGGACTCGCTGCTTTGCACAACCAGAACATCGCGCATTTAGGTGAGATTTGGCCTTTCGGATTTAAGCTCGGAAGTTTTGCTGACGTGGCGTTTCAAGACATTAAAGCCAACAACATAATGATCGACTACCGCGAGACTCCGGAGGGTCTCGTCGTTGACCGAGTCCAACTGTCTGACTTAGAAGACTCAACTCATATTCCGCCTGGACAAGCTCTTCGCGGGCTTCAGGTCGGTAACCAATTCTGGCGCAGCCCGGAGGCACACGTTCAGGGCGCAGTGGGCAAGCCCTCGGACATATTCTCCTTGGCGCTCGTAGTAAGTTCACCAGTTTCTACTTATACTTTGTGGCTACATGTGCTAAACGCCCGGGTAGTTCGTATTTATGCGCCTGAAGATGGTCATATTCCGGATTGACAGCGCGCCCGGCGTCAATCTGCTGAAGCCCATTATCGAACGCCAGATTTCTACTTTCGCCGAGTGGGATGACTTCGAATCCTTCATGGATTACCTAGGTCGCAAACATCCGTGGGCTGGCGAGCTGCGTCGCATGGCTGACTCCTTCGGTACCGAGAACCCGCGGCGGCCGTTCTCGTTGTGGAAGAGCGATGCGCTCGACCCCGATTTCAAGGATCTCATCAAGAAGATGACCAACTTCGATCCCCGGCGAAGAATCACGGCGCAGGAAGCCCTTGATCACGTCTGGTTTCACGATGTTCCAGAGGCGTAAATTGGCCTCTACTTTTTCTTTCTTTTTCTTTTTCGATACTACGCTTATGCGAGATGGGTTCATGCACACGGGATCAATGGATATGGTCAGCAGGCAAATTTATAGACTGATACAGGGCTTTTTTAAGGATAGACGCGAGGTATAGACAACAACAACCACGACAACAACAAACAGGCACGACGAACACCAGACAGACACAAAAAAGATAGAGTAATAGTAATGGCGCAAGCAATAACAAATCCTACCTACAGACTTCATACTTCATACAGACGTACCTGATTCTGCATGTATTGTGGCTACCTGACTCGGGCTCGGCGCGACCTTGGCACTTCGATTGTGGTGAGAATGCCAAGGTGATGAGATCGTGGTACATTTAGAGTATTGGGTATGTATGTTTGTACGACATGTCTCACAATAACGTCATTTCTTTATGTGGCTTGACGCGATATGGCGTAGAGGCGTAGAAAGTTGGTCAGGGAGAAGCCGGTATTCCGGCTTTTGTTAGATGCAGGTGTCCTTGTGTGGTACTTCGGAATCGGTGCGTAGGAGTTTTGGGGATATAAGATAGAGATTTGGAGGTTGTATGTTTTGATGCGTCAAGCTGAGTGGCTTGTAAGTTGTCCGCTCATCATTGGGATGCGTTTCTTGAGTGGTGTGTAGACTACTTAGCATTGGAAATACTTCTGATATTGGACACTTTCATGAGATTTACTGAGAATTACCTATACAAGGTTATCGCAACGTGCATGAGGTTGACGGTCGACCTACCTCATGGCTTTCAACTTAGAGTTCGCACTCGCAGTCTCCTCCAAGCGTTCGAAGGTATTAATGATCAAAAGATTTCCGTATCAATTCTACGTATATGGGTTCTTTATGTTCAACGATGCTTACCTGGTAGGTAAATAGGAATAGATCATTTAAGATGGCGAGGACGACGTCGCGGCGGAAAGGGGTCGTAAATTTCTTGAGAGAATAAAGCATCACTCAGAACCCCATGCAAAGGCCGCGTGTCGCAACACGACATTCGAAAGAGCCATTATTTTCAGCGGCGGCTTAGAAATTTCAACGTCAATGTTGTAGTCTGAATGAATATCAACACCTAATTACTTTGAGATTCGTATTAAATACGTGGAATTTTCATAGTCAAATTCGCGAGCCGTGGATGTGACAATTGTCTGTTCCGTTCAAACTCCCAAGAAACTGGAGGTCTCACAAGTTTCAATTGGTCCTTTTCAAAAGATCTATCTTGGCGTAGTTCTTGTGTGGACGAATGAGGCATACGTCCTTTGGGGTCTTATACTAGTTTAGTTAGGTTAAGATCCAGATCGTCCATTACAGAGTAAGTAGGAGGCGCGCATATGTTCACGAAGGGTTCAATACGAGAGGCTTTAGAGGCTAAGCTAGCAGAAACGGCTCCTCATCTAGATTGTATGCCTGGAAGGTGTTAGTGCTGTGGCAATCCCGAATGCTACTTCGACTATCTACCTACTGTTAGTTGACAATTCCAGCGCTGCTAGCCTTAAAGCTTTAAGCCAACTCGTATTGTCGATTATGCGACAAGGTCGGGAAACTAATTGGGTTTCAGCGTCAACGTATTACGTGTAGAGTGTCAATAAGTCCTCGATTAACTGATCTTGAAGTCTTGGTACAGCAAAAGCGGATGATGTTGTCTGGAAACCGTCAATTAACAAACGAAAAGAGAGAGAAATTCGGGGTTCGGCAGTCTCAGCTGGCATGCTGTAGGCTATCTCATCCTAAAATAAGGATTTGACAGCGGTCTGTTATATCTAACCCGAGTTTGTTAAGGATTTCCAGCTAGCTCAATGCAATCTCGTTTACTTATCATGAACCCACCGAAGCCCAATTCGCCATTGGCCATTGGCTGTTGATCCGGGGGCTGATCTTTAACTGCCTTAAAGGACCAATGCCCCAACAATGCAATTGGGAATGTTTTTCTTTTTCAACTTCGCGCCGCTCTTTTCCTTCCGCTGCGGTCTGCCTCGAAGTCAACTGTGAACAATGATGGCATTCGCGACGACATTCGCGATGTCGGGTCCTAAACGCGTGGTATTGGCGACATCGGTCTTCTTGGCGCTCGTCACTGCGCAGTCGACAGGATCTGGCACGTGCACAGACACCCACATCTTCTTATCTCGAGGGAATAACGAGCCGTATCCAGGACGGCAGGGCAAGCTGGTGGAAGCCATCTGTTCGGGGTTAAGCAGCTGCGACTATGAGGATATTGCATTCGATAACGCCCTAGAGACCGAGTATTGCGGTGCCGTGGAAGCCGGTCGCAAAGCCGGTGTTGCGCAGATAACGGCGTACAATAAGAAATGCCCCGATTCGCAGCTTGTGGTTAGCGGGTACTCGCAGGGTGCGCACGTTCTAGGCGATATCCTTGGTGGCGGCGGCGGGACTTTCTTTCAAGATTGCACAACTCCTACGACTGCAGGATTAGGTTCGGGTTCGGCCGCGGGAAAGAAGAGTGAGTTTCAATCAAAACACGAGGAGATAAACTCCTGTTCTGTTTCAATTGGCTGACATGATGCGCAGTTACCGCGGCTCTCTTATTTGGCGATGTACGCCATACTGCCAGCCAGTCGTTCAATACGCTGGCTGGTGCGTCTATCAGTGGATTGTACCCTCGATCTGGTGATCAACTCGCGGGGTTGAACCAATTCGCAGGGGTGTTACGGGATTGGTGTCAAGGTGATGATCCGATTTGCGCACAAGGCGATGGTAAAAGGACATACGAAGTTGAACACCATTTGAACTACTTCGATGTTTATTCAGGTTCTGCTGGAGATTGGGTTAAATCGAAGTTGAAAACAACTACAACTCCATCCACTACTTCATCTGTTATTTCATCTTCAAGCTCCACAGCGGCGTCGAGCACTACGACACTGATCACAACAACGTCGAGCGCATCGAAATCGAGTACAGCGGAATCGAGTACAGCGGAATCTAGCACAGCGGGATCTAGTACTGGGGGATCTAGCACCGGGGGATCAACGACGACGGCATCGAGCACGGGAACCGCGTCTACCGCATCGGCGTCCACCAGTTCGGGCTCTGCAGCTTCAGCAACAACCTCTATCCCTTTCCCAGAAGCTACCAGCTCGGGCACCGCTGCCGCACCTTCGACAACGTCTAGTTCTCAGGGCAGCGGTGCCGGAACTATTGAATGCATGAAGGGCTATATCAGTTTGACTGCCTTGGTGTTTTCTGTTTTTATGTTAGCCTAGTTACCTACCTACCTACCTATATAATACTTAATTCTGCACATATACACCTATACCTCCGAACGCCGGGCTACCGGAGAACCACGAAACTGCTACACTACCGTAACTCGTATTGAATCTCAATAGTTGCGCCCGCTACCGCAAGAATATGGCTCGGCTCTTTTACATACAATAGAATTCAGTATATGGCGTTAGGATATCATAGCGAAGAACCCGGGTCTAACAACGGTGGGATGAAACCTCGCCGAAATACGCGTATTCCCTCATTGAATGCGACGACCCAATATGGAAGATGACGCGCTTCGGGAACGATGTTATGCTCTTCGAAGACGAGTTTAGGGTTAGTACTGAGGTACAAGTCTGTTTGGTTAGGATGCGACACTAAGAGACCAACAGTCCGTCCTCTTAACCTGTTTGTACGCTTGACGATTTATGTGTGGTAACCATCAGTGACGATCATGAGCGCAAGTTCTGTTGGAAGCTTTTGCATTGGGATGGTGAGGACGCTGTCATAGTCCTTAATGGTTAAGTGAATAAGTTAAGTATATGGGAAGATGTTGGACATTTGAAGAGTCATTGGTGCGTCTTCAATATTTACCTACTAGGTACTCATGGGGTGGAAATGTTGTTTGTTGGTACTGGGTACGTTTGTTTGGAGTGGGGGGTGGAAGAGGCTAGAGGGGCTAGAGTCAGGACGGGATAGCCGTTGCACCTTCCCGCGTCCGGTGTTACACGAAAAAGAATGTTGGTGCAACTGGCCGTATGAAACGAGAATGATTCCTTAGCATTGGAAGGAAAGACTCAAGCATATTCTGATATATTACCGGCCAATAGATCCAGACCCCAATCCATGCCCCGCCTCTCTGATCATATTTCCAACTCTCATTTCAAACAGAAACACCTATCAATACGATTTCAACATCATCAAGTTGACTACTAAATATCCACGCCCCGACTCGTAACTCAGCTTGCAACCCACCATGGTATACACAATGGTATTCAACGTTGACGGTGGCTGTCGAGGCAACGGCTACAGGTACGCCATTGGAGCTGCTGCCGCCTGCTTGATGATGCCAGGCTCCTATAAATACCGGTTTAAGACCAGCCGCCTATCCACGACTAATTATGACGCAACAAACCAAAGAGCCGAAATCCTAGCTATCACAATGGCTCTTAAATGGGCATTGGAAAAATACGATACGCTCGATTCAAACCCGGAGCTAGATCTCACCATCAACTCGGATTCCCAATATGCGGTTGACTGTATGAACGAATGGATCTACAAATGGGTTAGAAACGGATGGACAACCACGAGAGGACAACCGGTCAAGAATCGTGACCTTATCGAGGTGGCTTCCGACCTAGATGACCGCGTCAAAGAATTAGGCATCGTCGAATATGTCTACATCCCAAGAGAAGATAACCAGTGCGCCGACAAACACTGCAACGAAGCTCTAGATGAGATGGAAGACGAAAATTAGCTATACGGTTACAAGATGCTAGCACAATCCATCCTATGGGATATATTGATCACTTGCTATTGATGAGTGTACTATGGTATAGTTGATGGCTAATAGTGGGCTGTGGTCAAATTTTTCTATCACTAGATCAAGCGGAGCAATAAATTATCATTTCAGAACTTCTAAGTTGACGCTTGACTCGGAGCTCCCGAGCCTAACGGGCTTGTTGGTTCTCAGGGGTGCACGTGACCTTACAGGGCAGCAGGGCAGCAGGGGTACTCAAATGAAGCTGTGTTCTTCAAAGTTGGAAGTTTATAACAAACGATTAAAGCGAACCTTACTGTGGTGGTTTCGGGTAAATATTAGGACTAGGTATTTCGAGTAAAAAGTAATTGAAAGCGATGCATTACAAGTTTTGAACCAATCTTCATATGTACAAATACGATTGCTAATTTCATAGTAAAAATCCATCCATGGATACTAGCGTACGATTATCACCGATGGCGTCAACACCACGACCCCTAATTTTTAGAGCTTAGGCTGTATTACCCCACTATCGATAGATACTCCGCGCCCCACAAATGACCTCCATGATACAAAAATTCCAAACATTTGGGTCACCGATAAGGTTGAATTCGATCCCATATCTCGTCAATTCCAACGCCTCACCGTCCTCTCATCTCCTATATCGGCGAAGCTGTCTGACAAATCTATATCCAACCTCATAATAAACAATTAGCTTCTGCCCTGTTGACCAAACTCAACTATCAATTGACTTTTTTATATCCGACAAGTGCGCTGTCTGAGCAAGAAATAAAGACAGAAAGAGCTTGAAAAGCTGTGACAACTTTCGGAGCTAATTGACTCGAGCGCGGGGCACGATGGGGGACGCAGCCCAAGACCTCGACGCCAAAGGAGGCGCTCTCGATACGGCGAAGGACTTGTTCGCTGGAGCTGCTGGAGGAATTGCACAGGTTCTTATAGGTATGTGATCTCAATTAACCTTATTATTTTCTTACTATTGCGACGATTTCTGGGGTGTGTTGAAATATCACATGAAATACAATGAGAAACTCCGGTTCAAAGACCTTCACTCAAAGCAAAAACTACTCATCGATAAAAGGAGATGGAATAAAAATGGGCGAAATTACAAGAACATCAATCATTCATCTAATCTAACATCTCACCATCTTGTCTCACTCACCTACTAACCCCCACCCAGGCCAACCCTTCGACATAGTAAAAGTGCGACTCCAAACCAGCACAGCCTACAGCTCCGCCCTCGACGCCGCCTCCTCAATCTACGCCAAAGAAGGCCCCCTCGCATTCTACAAAGGCACACTAACGCCTCTCATCGGGATCGGCGCCTGCGTATCCATCCAATTCGGCGCCTTCGGCTGGGCACGTCGGTACTTCGAGACCGCGAACGCTTTGTCCCACCCCAAGGGATCCAAGGACCTCGGGTACGGGCAGTACTTCGCGGCGGGCGCCTTCGCGGGGGTCGCGAACTCCGTGATCTCCGGACCCATCGAACACGTGCGTATCCGGCTGCAGACGCAACCGCACGGGGCAGCGCGACTGTACGCGGGGCCGCTGGACTGCGTGCGGAAGCTATCCGCGCATTCGGGCGTGTTGCGGGGCTTGTACCGCGGAGAAGCAGTGACGGTCTGGCGGGAGGCGTTCGCGTACGGGACGTGGTTCCTGACGTTCGAGTACCTGATGAACCTGGACGCGGCGCGGAACCGCGTGCAGCGGTCCGAAGTACCGGCGTACAAAGTGGCGTTCTACGGGGGGTTGGCGGGGGAGGCGTTGTGGTTGGCGAGTTACCCGTTCGATGTGGTCAAGAGCAAGATGCAGACGGACGGGTTTGGGGCGGGGATGAAGTACACGACGATGCGGGACTGCTTTGCGCAGACGTGGCGCGCGGAGGGGGCGCGCGGGTTCTGGAAGGGGATTGCGCCGACGCTGTTGAGGGCTATGCCTGTTAGTGCGGGGACGTTTGCGGTTGTGGAGGCTACGATGCGGGCGATTGCTTAGATAAACAGGCACTACATACAGTATCTATGGTAGAGGGGTTTAGGGGATAACATGGATTATTTCCGGCCTGGGACGAATACAAACAAGGCGTTGGGCTTCAACCGAAGATGCTTAAGAACGGGGCAAGATGGTGGGGGGAGGGGGCTCGCGGGAATAGATTTTATTATTATTAAAGAGCAATTCAACACATCAGATGTGGGTTGCGCATGGGCGCAAAATTGCAATAGATTAGGGGCCTGTGATAGACAGGCAAAAATTACACGATTCTTTATTCGCTATTCTCGACTCGCCTTTGTAGAATCTTTCTCGCGTTGGCTGGCGTGAGGGATTCCAACCCTAGCTCGGATAGGAGCTTCTTGGCTTCTGTGTTATCTGTGAAGACGAGGTCGCTGGCTTGCTGGAGAGACACGCCTCCGTCCTTGGCTTCTAGGGGCAGGTTTAGTAGTTGCAAGCCGTCTTGCAGCGTGCTAAATGCTGCGGAGCCGTCTGGAATGTGTCGGGTTATGAGAGAGGTGATTGCGTCCAGATCCCTAACAAACTGGGCGGCACCGAGTGTTGTGAAATTCTGCGTCATGAGAACATTGGTCCAGAGTAAATCCTGCAGTTTCTCAAGCGACTCTCGCCATATTCGGCGATAGACTGCTGTACTCAATGCGGTAGAGAGGAAAGCCAGGTTTCGCTTCAGTATCTATGATTATGTCAATAACAATGCTATGTTAGGTAGGATATAAATGTGAGTATTACCTTAAGAGGTTCATCTAGCTCCGGGGTTAAGGAGAGCTGGGAGGCTTCGACTACAATTGATTAGCGAGTTGGTAAAAAAACAGTGACGTAATACAACCTACCGTGAGTATTGTCACTAATGGTAGTCCAGTGAGCCTTAGTGAAATAGGGCCGGAATGCTTTCTGATGCGAATCATTCAGAGCTGAAACAAGGTATTCCTCGGCGGCCTTGCGACGGTGGGTGTATGCCGAGATAGTCTCATCAAACAATATGCCACCATCACCATCCGAGCCTACGACTGAAGAAGTTTTGTCCTTAACATCCTCGTAACTCATTCCGCTAGCAATATCGCCGTCACCGTGGCTCCTCTTAGCCCTAGTTTGAAGTTGATCCCAAAGCGTGACGAAGAACTATGCATAATTAGTAATAGATCGATATACATCCCCAGAAAGTTGAGTCTTACCTCTTCATTACTCCAATCTTTCAAGGTAGCAATTATATGGTCAGAGCTACCCAACACTTTACAAAGTGTCTCAAATGCGCCTGTGCCTTCCAATGCAGCGGCTTGTTCTTTTGTTAGCCCATGAAGAGTTCGGCCTAATGTCGAGTTGATCGTATAGTAAGTGTCCAAGGAATCCTTGAAGCGGTCATGATAGTCATCCAAAATCTCAAGCTGGATATCGATCAGAAATCGGAGCTTGTGAGAGAACCTGCGCACTCTTTCGTATTGAGAGGTGACGGATCTTAGCAAATCCGTTACTCTCACGGCGCCAAATGTAGGTTTCATCTTTCCAACCCCGCTGTAGTCGTAGTCGATGTTTCGGGCGTCGAGGGAGTTCATTATGACATGGTAGCGCTCAAGAGCAAAGTCCTTCTCCGCCTTGAACCAATCATCAAAATGTTTTTCCAGTACTTCCGATGTTAGACCAGCCCAGCCTTTTTCCGGGTCGCCACCATCATAGTTGAATCTGGAGCGTATCTCGTCATCTAAATCCATTAATTGTACTATAAGACTGCTCAAGAATTGCGGGTTCTGCAGTCCATGCTGGACCATAGCATTCACCTTCTCCCTCATCACAGGTAATAATGCTGTGATCAGAGCACAAGCAGGATCCAGGTAAACTGACAAGCCCCCCACCTTGGTCTTTAGAAATCGAGATGATAAGATATAACCCATATTATCCCGGAAGAAGCCCTCCCATTTATCAATCAGCGCAATGAATTGGGGAATGCAGAAGGTTCCGAATGCGTGAGGGTTGCTGGTCGCATTATTGCCCATAAACTGAAATTGGAACCACTGCACGAAAGGCTTCGCCATTACTTCGATAGGTAACAGCGTAACGATGCCCTCGGAATAGAGTATTTCGGGTACTTGTAGATCGACAAGCTTCTCGAAGCATTGAAGCCACTCGCCATCCATTTCGGCGTTCGTATCGACTCCCTGGGGCCAATCGCGTTTCTTAAGGATATTCTCTAGTTCCGCTGACATCGTATTCTTCATCTCCTGCCAAAGCTCCTCTGTGATTTTCTCGACGTAGTTTACCAGGTGAGTGGCGGCCTCATCTGCCGCCCTTTGTAGCTCTCGTAGACGGATGCTTAGCTTCTTCAGTCTGGAGTAGGACTGCAGCGCAGCCTTCGGGTTCTGTGGGAGGTGTGAACGCGCCTCTAGCCGTAGGTTCTCGACGTCTTGTAGTAGCGACACATATTGATAAGCGAGCTCCACCTTATGGAGCTGCTTCATCGGTTGTTCGAGACGGCGGATGGCTTCGTCGGGGGCGGTCGACTCGGCGACGATCTTCATGCGAACGTCGATGCTTTCCTGGAGTTGGTAGAACTCGTCAATCGACTTAGCGAGTCCACCCTGCCGGTCTTCAGCTGCGCGTCGGGCATCTTGGAGCTCCTTGGTGGCATCATCGAGCTGGGTTTGCAGCTGGTTGCGCTGGATCTCGACGCTTGCAAGTAGGTTGTCGAGGCTCTCGAAATCGGTAGTGGACTGGAGCTTATCGTCGAGATAGTCCTCTAGTCGGATATCGGGCTCTCTCGAGTAGGAGTGCGCTGGCGCATTTAAAGCCATGGTTGCTTTCGGTTTACTGAGGACATGTTGCGGAATCGAGAAAATCGTAAAAGCCTAACATTGAGTTATAGTGTATTATTGATTAAATGGGATATGCATTTATGCGAATATTGTTTGAAGACTAAGGAATTATGTAATCACTTTTGGTGGGGTGGCTCTGCTTGTATAACCATTCCGTCAATTGATTTATTCAAGATGAAATAATTACAACTTCAACTATTTGGCATGAGTTTTTCGTTCGAGGTAATATGCAAAACGAAACGATTCCTGTAATAAAATAAATTTGATCCAAATGTTTTATTTCATCGGGTTGTTTTAGCTATTAATGTTGGTAGGGATCCCTCTGAATGAAGTTGGAAATAGTTTCTAGACTTGACTTAAATCCGTTAGGATGAACGAGTTTGGAACTTTACGCGGTGGAGAACCAGTGAGGCTCCGTGCCGCTATCTCCAACGTCGATCGATCGTCACCAGAATCGGCTAAGTTTCACGGGACATGACGACATGGCTACCGATGAAATTCTAGTTCTAGATATGCGAAAGCACGACCGATCGTGGGGAGCCAATGAAACGCTACCTAGTTATCATTAGGATGCGGAATAAGTCGCCAGTGAGACGGGAAAGCAAATCGTACCACTAAGGAATGCATGTGAAATGAATACAGGCTACGATTATTCGTTTATAATGCCGTTCCCTCCGCGAGAATTCAACTCATCAACCCCACATGTAGATTCCTCTATCATAGAGGTCACTTGACCGGAAATTACCGAACCCAGAACCCTACAACATGGTTTCTAAACCAGCCATGGTTAAGGAACGTCCTAGGTCGTTTGGAATCGGAGGAGCTGGAAACATCCGTATGCACTCACATTCTCATATAACTCACTACCCACCTACTTATGTTAACCAACTACTCTGTGCCCCCTAGGAACATGGGAAGATGCAGTTGTTCACGATGCGATATCTGCAAGCGAAGCTGTAGAACGCCGCAGAAGCAGTCTAATGAGTCTAGGCTCAGTAGACAGTGCCGATTCGAAATCCTCTAAGATTTCCGGGCGTTTCAAAAGCATATTCCGAAGTCGTTCGAAGTCGATACCGGAGGTCAGCGAGTAGAGTAGATGGCCCACGGAACATATCTCTATGAACTAATGGTAGTGTGATTGGCAATAAGTAATAGTAAAGGAGTTGAAGGTAATACCACGGGGTCGGCATCATTTATTGGGTATCTCGAAATCGGAGTCTACATGACATATCTAAAATACGGGTTTTCTTTATCTGTCAGGTCCTGAAAAGCAAGTTTGGCTCGTTCGGTTTCATCTTCCACCATCATGGATTCCTTCTTGCGATTCTCGTATCGTAGAACAATAAAGAGGGTTATGGATGCTAAAATGGTGATGCAGTAGCTACAGCAACAAGTTAGTATAACGGTGCAAAAGGCATTAGGAGTAGTTGTACACGAACCATATGATGAGACCAAGCCACAATTCAGGATAATGGGAGGACTTGGTCTGACTCTTGATCAATTGGGGGCCGATAATGTTTCCTAGCATACACGTTAACTAGGTTGAGTCTCGGTACCCAACGAGTTAGAAGAACTTACCAACACAATACGCTACGAAAATAGTCGCCGATGTAAAGCTTTTTTTGGTATGCCCAGCGACGTTGGACATTCCAAGTGTGATGATCAGACTGACTACCCCGCCGAAGGTTCCTGTGAGCGTGTAACCCACCACAGGGGCTGCAGCGTGGTATGACCACTCGCTCCTCCAGATAATGGCGCATCCCGCAATGACAGGAAGGCAGCATATGATTAACATGAAGATTCGAACGTTAGGGTAGCGCGACCCAAGCCACCCAGTGAGTAGAATGGTAATCAGACACAAGCCTCCCAATGGAAATTGGAAGACGATAGACTCTAAAGTACTCCAACCGAAGGTCGACACGATCAGTGGACCGAATCCAGACACGGCACCATTAACGGTATAAGCAGAGGCCATCATACTGGCGATTAACCAGATCTTGACATCAAGTACAGCTTCTCCGAGCTGCGACCATTTGAACTTTGTGCAGCGCACTCCGCTCTGGCCATATCGCAACCTCTCCACCGCCGCGAACTTCTCATCTTTTGTTAAGAACCACGCAGATACAGGCGAACTTGGCATAGCAAAGCAGAACAAACCGAAGATGAACGTCAGACACCCGGTCAGGAGGTATATGTACTGCCACCGACGTAGACCACCGCCCGTGATCTGGGCGAACCCGTAGTTGAGAGCACCGCCTATAATCGTCCAGATTCCGGTCGAGGAGAACCACCAGCTCTGTCGTAAGGATTGCTCTTGCTGTGTATAGTATCCACTGATAATACACATGAACCCCGTTGGGATGACACTTTCTACGAAACCTAAAAAGAAACGTTGTGCATATAACCCCTGGTGCGACGTGACTGCAGCCGTGAGCATGCATATTAAAGACCAGAGCACGACGACACCACCAAGAACTCTCCCCATCTCGAATCGTTGGAGCGCATATGACATAGGATACAGTCCGCCTAGCATGCCGAAGTAAAAGATGGATGTCGCCCAACTGAGCCGGGATGTGTCAACGGTAGTGGGGTGCCGCGGGTCCGGGACGCTGAGCTTCAAATCGGCCGTCATGCCGAAGAGCGCTGCAGATCCTAAGATTGCCTAATAACGACGTCTATTATGAGCGCCGATATACCACACTAATGAAAATAGGATGTATAAGATGGTACCTTATCGTAATATACAAGACCATCTTGGTATTAAGATCAGTAAATTTCATGTAGCAAAGAATACCAAAACTCACAGCCAACAGTCATAGCGGGAATCAGGAACCAGTCGATCTTGCGAACAGCACGCCGGACTACAACCGGATCTACGACATGTCGTTCTTCCCCCACCATCGCGATAGCGACGTCCTTATCGCCAACGACCTCTGCATTGTTGGGCTGTACTGCTTCATCGGCGTTCGCCTCTTGAGGCTCAATTCCCATCTCCATAATCGTAAGGTACAGAGTCTTTTCTAACAGTAACAAGAAGGATGCGTGAGAAATATAAAAAATGGGCCAGGAATTTAGTCTCTATTCCAAAATGTCTTCGCTTGCACTAGTACGGTAACGGGAAGGCCAAGACGACGGACGATCGTCAATTAAGATGTTGTTGTAGACCCCCACGTTCGCTATCGCCTCATCGCTTGTAGGGCTGTTCTAGGCCTATCTGGGCCATCGTTTGTGTAAGAACATATGGCATGGTAGGATCGTTGAAATACTTTCGATTTACATATTAAAAAAAATTCATATTATAAAATTCATAATAAAGACTAAATAATATTAAGTAAAACGATTGAATTATACAAAGATGAAAATGATCAATTGGAATAAGATTCTAGGAAATTGCGATCGGGTGGCTCACGATTACACCAGCAACAAAATTAGGTAATCAATGACCTAATATGTTTCACCGTACACCCGTCAACTTTAATCCTTCTACTTCTCTTCTTACTTTTCAACTGTTCGTGTCCATTTGTGAAGCTTTCGAGGTCAGAGATTCCTTAAGAATTCTCTTGAGAATGAGAATCAAATTCGACAATCTAGCCTTATATGGATGCATGTAACGTTTGACTCTACCTGCACATTGCATCATATTCAGATATTACAGCTTTCCAAACGCCGAACGGCAATGTCCACGAGACTTGGTTCATAGAGAGCCACATTTCCCTTGTCTGCCTCTGCCTCATTGATTTCCCCTTTTAGACACATCATACAAGCTGCAGCATATATATTCCCCGTTCTGTATCTCAGTTTTGATGTTCCAGATTTCTTACCTTCGTCTAGTAAGAATGGCTTCACCTTTGCTAATTGAGTGAGCGGTACGTTCTCTGCACTAACATTGACGACACCATCTACGAGGTATTGCAACGCGCGCCACTCCGCAATCTCAAGCATCACAGTTCCTAAAGAGTACACGTCCATAGTGGCGCTGAAACTCGTTGTCGGATCGCCAAGCGCGTGCGGATGACGGTAAATATCAAATTTAGGATTTGCGGAGGGCTGTTCCGAGATTTCGCTGGGAGAACCGACACGTGCGAAGGCGAAACCGGCAAGAAAAGGCTCGTCGAGGGATATCGAGCCGTCCGCTTTTGGGAAAAACAGAATATTCTGCGATCGCAGGCTCTTGTGTAACCATCCACTTCGATGAAAATTTTGCACGAGATGGGCAATGCTTAGAGTAAGCTGAACTCGATCTGTGAGGCTAGGAGGTTCAATGCCATCTCTTGCAGAAAAGAGGTCAAGAAGTGAACGAGGTTCAATTGGGTTGTCAGGAGTGGGGTGGTGGAACACGAAGGATATTGTGTTGTCCTCCATCACTATACCCTTGCACAACAGGGAGCGGAATGTCTCGTCCTTTGGGGCATTCAAAAGTGCTGCTAAATTTTCGACTCGAGGTAGGATTTTGCTCCAAGGCAAATTGGTGATGGATTTCTTTTCGACGAGCATTACTTCCCCATCATAGTCGGCTAAACCCATGAATTCATTCTTCTTCAAGGGTTTAAAGTTGGTAAGTTTCTTGCTGGATAGGGGTTCTAACTTCTCAAGTAGCTTCCGTCTTTTCGGCGTGCTAGTGTCTTGTTGAGTGGGTGCTTGCTCCGACCCATCGAGGCATATTCGCAAGGCCTTGATCTCAGCTGATGCAGCAAGGGCTTTCATGCTTTGAGACTCCGCTTGGAGCGTTTTAAGGGCCTCGGAAAGGGAAAACAATTGGTCGAATTTGGTGTTTAGTGAGACCATGTTAGAAACGATGTCCTTGGTTGAATTGAGGAAATCGTCCTGTCGCGTGGGGTCTAACAGATTCCAAAGTTCCCGAACGAGGAAGTGAACATCTGCGGCGAGCTTCTCGATATTGTCCTTATCAACGGCAGCCCACCAGAGTCGCTTAAATATATGCTGGCCTTGCGCCACTTTCGCTCTTGCGAGGATTTGACGTCGGCTGTCGTCTGAGATACCGGTAAATACTCTGTCTACTTCAGATATAGAGTAATTATGAAGCTGGGCGGTTGTCTGATGTTCAGCATCTACAATTGGAACAAGTTTCAGGCCGTATCGCTTCTTGAGCTTCTCGGTATCTAAGAGTAGGTCTTGCAATCGCTGAAGAATCATTTCAACGGCATTCGAATTCAAACGAGGATCAAGTATTCCATCGCCCGTCAATAGGCCCGCGCGACGAGCCCAGTCCGTCAGCTGTATCTCTTGGATATTGAGGATGCATTCAATTGCCGATGCATGCTTTCCAAGGTTTTGTGCCGTGGATAAAAGGACGAAGCCTTTAATACATCCCCCAAAGAGCTGCAGCGACAGCGATATCAAGCCCGCCGTACTAGCTGTGATACTAAGTGGATCAGCCATTGACGTCAACTGTGTTTTCTTAACCTCAGAAGTCAAGGGTTCCTCGAAATTCGAAATTTGTGAGGGTTTTCAGCTTTCTGCCTGGCCGGGCGAGGCATTTCTTGGCTGCATACTGCACGCAAAGGGTATAGTTAGTGGCTACCTCAGCTGAAAATGCACCCCATGAGCATGAGTAAACGCGCTACATGAAAGGGCTACCCTCGCATCTTCTCAATTCCTTAAAGGCTGGATTTCAATTCAGCAGTACAACTTAATATGGATTCTAACCGAGCGGATTCTATTAGACCATTCACCAGCAGTGAACCTGCGTTCACCGAGGGCGCTGGAGTAGACGGACAAAACTCACTACCTGTCGAGACCTACACTCCGAATGTATTTGACTTGGTGTTGCCTATTGGTCGCGCTAGAGATACAGTCAAACCAACATTTCCTCCTGCTTTTCTTGAGAGCGAAGCTGTTGATTCCTCTCTATTTCTTGGCCGTGGTGCCTCGTTCACGGTCACACGACAGGCCATACCGGCCGGGCCGGAGAACATCGTGGAGCTGATAGATATGGGCGGCTGGACCGTAGAAAGTGTAGTAAAGGCCCCAACGCGTCCCCGCCATGTGGTATACAAATCAGCACGAGTTGCATTTCAACCTAACGGTAAACCAGCGACACGCGACGATAGTCGGGCTCTACAAAGCGTTCTGACGGAATTCCACGCGTTGTTGCATCCAGCGCTACTGAAACATCCCAACATTATCGATTTTCTCGGTCTTGCTTGGGGTACCAACCACGCAGATCCGCTTCATCGTCTCCCTGTTCTCGTTGTCGAGTACGGTGATCGAGGCACTTTGGCAGATGTTCAATTACGCGGACCTTCATTGACCAATGATTCAAAACTTGACATATGCCTTGGTATCGCGCGAGGCCTGAAGGTCCTTCATGATAATGGCATAATTCACGGGGACGTCAAGCCAGACAACATCGTCATGTGCTCACGTAATGATGGGTCCCTTGTGCCCAAGCTGGCTGACTTTGGTTTTGCTATGATCGAATCTACCGAAGCGCCCGAGGTCATGATTGGGAGCACAAGAACCTGGCGAGCCCCTGAAGTCTCTTCCTCTATTCCTGTCGCGAAGCTTAGGCTTACAGATGTGTACTCCTTCGGCTTAGTGACTTGGTCACTTGCTATCGACGGCAAAGATCCGTTTAGTCTATTCATTTCTGATAGTTTACATGGTGAGGAGCGACTTTTAGAAATCGACCGTCTCAAACAAGCGGACAAAGTTCTATCTATGTCGAAGCTAGAGGCATGGCTTTTTGACTGGGGGTTTACAAACAAACTACATTTAGCAACTTCCCACATCCAGGCAGATCCGTCGCATTCGTCTGAGGAGGCCCAGGATGGAACACATGTACCAGCCAATCCCACGGAATATCAAATTCTACAGGCGCGTCTTAGGACGCTGCTGGCATCCTTGAGGCAGCTAGGACTACCAAAAGAAATGCTGGCTTCGGCCGTCCTGGGATTTTACCGCCAGCAGGCTTTCTTCAAACATCTTGATTCGCTCTTCTCTCACACATTGACCAAAGATCCCGATCAACGGGATCTGCTAGCTGTAATAAAGGAACTTGAAGGTCACGGTGTGGAGATGACTAGGTAGGAGGTCCGTAGACCGGTGAAGAATTTGCTAACTGTTTTTAGGGGCCTCGCGACGCTGGACATCGCAGAGTCTAGTATCAGCGCGGACGGCTTAACCAAACATAACTTAAAGGGTTCGGGGGATACAATGCTCGAAAAGTACACATTCTTTCGATGTAAATTGACCTTCGTAAAGAGGCTAATACAGGTGGTTATGTTAGTATACTGGGCACGATCGATTGGCATAGATTGGGATTTAAGGTAATTATTCTATAGTCCATCGTAATTATTTTCTAACAATTGATACAGTCTCATCTCTATTCATGGCAGATGACGAAAGATCTGGACCCGAATGTACAGACTTTTATCGTCAACACTCTATTCCACCCAAATGATGATACTTCTAAGCTTGCTCAAGCAGCATATTTCCTTAACGGATACGGAGTTAGTTCCGACGTAGACCAGGCTTTGGATAGTCTTGTCCAAGCGGCTCGTAGAAGGGATTCAATTCCCCAAGCATTCTTGTACAGGGTGTTTAAAGCATGCCAAAAAGACATTCCGTCGGAAGTCCCTATCTTACAATATTTGAAGTACCATGCTCTTAGAGGGTCACGCAAGGCGATGCTAGATTTGAAAGAGCTAGACTCTACGGAAATGGAAAGGACCAAGGATCTTGTAAGGTTCGGCTATGGCGGCGTCGGGGCCGACTGGTATCTTGACCACCAGTGGTTTCATGGTCTCACGCAGTCTACACTAATGAGTAAAGATTTTCGCCCCGAGCGCCTTGGCCCAAAGACCAACTTGGCTGATATCGCAGTCAATAAACGAGGAGATAGGATTACTCATGCGTCGGCAGCTGTCGGTGCCTACGGTCTGCTTAGGGAGTTAATAACGGACTTCAAGCTCCCTGTTGACCTGCTCAACTCAAAAGGGGAAACAGCTCTATTATGTGCATGCCGATCGGGACATGCGGAAAGTGTGAAGCTTCTACTTGACAATGGTGCCTCCGCTTCTATTCAGTCAGCCAGCGGGGAATCACCACTTCACTGGCTCTCGTCATTCAAAGATAAGGTAAATGTGGCAGCGGTTGGAAAAGATCTAATTGAGATAGGCGAAGCAAATGTTGATGCTTTTACGACATGTCGTATATCTCATTCCATATTCCCAGGTACCATGGACGTCGATTTTCAACCTGAAGGGACGCCATTGTTGTGGGCCGTACATGACAACAAACCCCGAATCGTATCATTCCTCCTTTCTGCAGGGGCGGATCCGAATTGGCGATTTAGCCAAAGAGACCAGTCGCCTCTCGAATGGGCAGCATACTACCATCATACCGAGTGTTTAAGGATGATGATTGAGCATCTAGAAGGGACTGGTCCTGCACCAATGACGACCGAAGGGAAGAAAGATGTGCGACATACGGTGCTATATGGGCCACTGATAAGGCACGCAGTCCGTGCATCAGACAAGTTTTCCATGATCATGAGAAATGGTGCCGATTATCTTAATAGTCTCAAGTCGACACTAGCTCTCCTACAAGAGAAAACGAGGCTGGTTAAATTCAGTGTAGGAACAAATGAGACACTAATTCATTATGCTGTCAAGGAAGCGCATGACGAAGCCTGCAAGATAATACTGGAGTCAGGTTGGCTAGCGGAAGAAATAAATAAGCCTGCAGGACCCGAATCCCGGACCGCCCTACTAGAAAGTGTACGGTGGAACCGGCGTCCGCTCTTTCAACTCCTTGTCCAGCATGGCGCCGATGTCAACGCATTGTCGGCTAGTCCTTATGACGAATCTGGCCGTCGTACCTGGTCCGCACTACACACATTTGCCGACCAAGCCCATAATGATGACCTAACTCTTGTAGACGATCTTATCACTGCCGGCGTTCCCGTGGACGGCAATACTGCAGCTGCCCCCGATATCGAAACGCCGCTCCACATCGCGGCCCGTCGCCACGCCTTCCGCCTCGCAGATCGTCTACGCTCCCACGGCGCTAATATCGACGCGACATGCCTGCGCGCCGCATTTCTTACCGCCCCATACCCACTCACAGGTCTAGGTTGGGCTATCGCGCTTAACGCGCGCTACAGTTTACCCGGGCTACGGTATCTGCTCGCGCAATCTCCGTCTTTCGTCGTCGAACCCGAGCGTGGGCTCACTGTCTTGCATCTAGCCGCCTGTGTGCCCGCGGACCTGAGCTATGTCGGGGGTGGAACACTATCGAGAGTTGATTTCGATTGGGATACGCATCTGCTGCTTGTCCGCGAGTTACTGGATTGGTTCCAGGGTCCGGAGAAGCTGGATGCACGGACCTTGGTGGGGGCGGGGTCGAAGACGGCGTTGCATCTTGCGGCTGAGTACGGGAATGTGGGGGTGGTGAAGGAACTTGTGCGTGCGAAGGCGGATCTGTTGGTTAGATGTGAGGCTGGGGAGACGGCGCTGGATATTGCGAAGAGGGTGTGGGGTGGGAAGGGGGGTGAGGTGGTTTGGGGGGAGTTGTTGGGTTGGTTGGAATAGGGGTTGCGAGTGGTTGGTTTTCACGATGAAATACTGAAAATAGCGCCATTTTCCTTAATGTTAACCTCAAAATACTTTACACGTATATGACAGTTACGACATAAGAACCTACCTGTAAGGCTACCCAGGGCTTTGTCTTGCAAGCTCTCTGGATGAGTTGATACTACCTACCTATAGTACACTGTATACAAAGAATTTTCAAGTTAAATGTGGACAAACAAGACTGAAACCGGGTAGTTTAATCATTGTACTTAAAGAAATTGTGATTAATTAGTACCTAGCGGAACTTGCGCCAACAAAGCTAAGGTATTCTCATTAACAATAATTCGTCGCATAGGTAGTCTAGTGACCCAAAGTAGGTACACAACTAAATGCTCTACAGGAACCTGATTACCCTCTATTCGTAATTCCCGGCTTGTCTGACCACTATGAATGAACTAGAGCCCCCAGATGAGCCGGTTAAATGGTCAAGGTTGGCTAGAAAAAATCGATTTTACTTCACGAGGAACCCCAAACTAAAGTTTAGCGCTGTGGAAAGAATACATATCAGTAGGTGCACTTCTCTTCTCCCAAAATACCTACATTTTAGTTGAATGGTGAAGAGTGGTTCGCTCTATAAAAACTTTTAGGTATAATTAAGATACTGACATTGCTCACATCAGATGGCGGTCAACTTACATTCGCGGAACACGATAGACGCGGCAAAGAAAAGAGAAAGATTACCGTAAAGTATGCGTGTACTCAAGAAGGCCTTAACTGGCTAGAGAACGAAATACTATGTCTCGAACATCTTAGTGGAAATGAGCATGTCGTACAAACTATCAAGATAGCCAACAGCAAACTTAATATATCGGGCACCGGGCGTAACAGAAGATACCCTATTCTTGCATTGGAACACCTTCAGTTTGGTTCGTTGTTACAATTCCGGAATAGGGTTGCCGCTGCGGGTCGTTTCGTACCGAATAGAGTCCTTTGGCGAGTCTTTCTCTGCTGTAAGTGCTGTTAATGGTTTATGCCCCCCGTTAAAAGTGATGGCAATAACTAATACGCCTTGATTGCTGTTACTAGTGGCACGCCAACAAGTTGGATATTTATTTCCTCGCAGAGGTGGCCCGGATGCTCCACGTGTGAGAGAAGCAATCGGCGCGCAGTTTGGAAGTGGTACGCTAGGCGTGATAGAGGCGAATAATATGGAAAACGGAAACAGTCATCGATTTGGGGAATGTAGCCCTGAGAAGAATGATGAGCACCACCTCATTCCAGCCGTCATAGTGAGATCAACTCGTCACATCTATACTATCTAAGACCAAAAGCTTACACTGGCTATCACAGGCAACCGATTTTACCCATGGAAGATTATCGAGTAGCCTCGTAGAAACGGCGTATGCTCACATGCGGGCCATAGGATATGTGAGAAATCCCAGCGTATAAAGCTGTATATCTAAGAATGATCGTTTACTAACAAACCCGCAGTTTATGGCCGCGTTGGCATTGACGTTGGTACCGCACGAAAACATCCAGTACAGAGAAGAATGGCGAGTAATGACGAACGCGCAAGTGAAGAAGATATTCCCGGAACAGGATCTCGTCGAGCAAGAAATCCTGACAACCATTCCTAATATCCTGTGGATAGCGCCCGGTATTGATCACGAGATCAAGGAAATTATCGCGAGATGTTTGGCTTCGAATGAAGATGATATGTTGACGTACAGGAACTTGGTGGTTTTGTGCGAGGATGGATTTAGGTTCCGCACTCCGAGAGATATTGAGGATATGCCGCCTGTGAGGGATCAGGAGCTGGTGGGGGGAGGGGATCGGGCGTTTGTGAGGGAGTTTATTCTGGATGCGGATACAAACGCGGGACGTAGTATTCTGGGAGAGACGAATCAGTGGGGAGATATGGGTTGATCTTTGGCGTGCGAGATATGATTGTATATAAGATTTGTATAGAGTGCGAGTTTCGTATATTAATAATGCGCCCAAGGCCTATCTCAGCTATCTTGCAGCACTGTGTAGTGGCTAGGTTCCCTAAGTTATAGCAGTCATCCACTAAAGTCCGGCGGATAAATCGCTATGCCAATTTCAAGTTCCCCCGCGACGTGTGGCGCGCTTTTCTAGTGGCTCAGTCCTTAAACTGTAGCAGACTACCGCTGTATCCCAGGGGAATTGCAGGCGAGTGAATCAGCCCAAATCCTAAGCCACTTGTTGCAGTATTCAACGAGTGCTTAACTGATTTCGCACCAAGCAACGAAAGAAGCTAATGTATACCGGCGACGTACTAGGCTCCAAAAACTTTCAGAAAATCCAGGACAAATTCAGTAATCAAGTTCGAATGCATCAAATGTATCCACAGGTCCCGCGCCGATGTAAATACCCCCACCGGGAATATAGACGCGACCGTGGACCGAAGCCGCCACCATTCCGTGTCGAGGGTGCGGCATAGCCGGCAATTTGAACCACTGATCTCCCTTCACATCGTAAACCTCCGTCTCATTGAACACACCATTCGAGCCAGGGGCCGGATTACCTTCGCCCCCGAAAGTGGCTATATAATCACCAATCACACCGATCGCAAGTCCGCCGCGCGCCGTAGGCATTTCTGCCTTGGCCACCCACCCTTTCTCAAGCGCATTGAGGTACAGTGTCCAAGTCGTGTTGCGCACGTTAGGCTGTCCGTGATCGCGACCGCCGACGACGTAGAATGTGCGGTTTATCATCACGCCCCCGACGTGATCACGTGACGCTGGGAGACTTGGTAGTGTTGTCCATGCCCCCTTCTCGGTGTCGTATGCGGTGACTATATCGAGCGATTCTTGTGTTCCGTTGGCGGTGAGCTCGAGGCGTTCCATTCCACCCGCTAGGTAAACTGTGTTTCCGGATATACCGACGGCGGAGGCACCCCGGCCTTGTCCGGTCGGCATTGGCGGTAGGGCCGTCCATGTCCCGTTCAAAATGTCGTAAACGAAGCAGTCTGGTGTCGAGCGCCATATCTGGTCTACTCCGTCCCCTGTGAGCCCACCGAGAACATAGACCTTGTCATTAACTGCGGCGGCGTTGATGTGGGTGAAAGCCTTGGGGATTAGGGGAAGGCTTTTCCAGCTTTTAGTCTGGAATGAGTAGGTTTCGAATCTATTCGTTGATGGGATGGCCAGCCAACTATTGTTTGAATCCGAAGGTATGCCACCGAGGATGTAGATGTGTGTATCGGTTGCTGCGGTGCCTTGTTCTTGAACGGGGGCGCCGCCACCTACAGCGGGCAGATTAACCCATCGGGCGCCTAGCGGTCTGTTTGCTGGTTTAATTGGGGTTACCGTTACTGCAGTCGCCCAAGTTATCGCCGATAATACCATATATAACTTCATATTTGTTGACTAGGTACTATTGATGTTGTTCTTCTAGGTGAGCATAATTGAAAGATACCTAACCACGACCGAGCGAAGCCATTCATTTTATGTTGTGATCAACGAATTGAATGCTACCCCGAGTTACCTACCGTCCTCACCGGACGAAACGTTAACTAGGAGGTAGACAACTACCTACCTAGGTGGTGAGAGAGAGAAGATATTGTCCGTCTTGGCGACGGCATGTGTGTTCACGCATCTTCAGAGTGATTCCTCTTAAATCATTCGTCCGACCGACCGGACGGATAGGCGACACGAACTACATCAAGTTTCTCATCTCGATGAGACCCCAGGTTAGCAGGAGACGAGAACCCCCCGAGGACGAGCTTCCATACTCCAAGCTACCGTCTCCCGCTTGAGGAGTTCCTGGCTGTAATAGACAATCATAGTTCAGACCAAATCCGATGGAAGGCGTCGTTGATGAAATCAAAATTTTACTTGCACAGGGATGATGCGCAAAAGCTGTTGGGTGCAGTAGGCCACAGGATGCGGTCGCCAGCATAAATCGCGCTGACGAGGAGTTTACAGGCGGTACTAGTACTGGAAAGGTTCTACTAAGTGCCCTAGGGGACTTTCTTTAGTGCGTTCAGAAACCTTTGTGGCTGTGCTTACATAACTGAGGGGTACCAGGTGAAATGAAAAGTTTCTGGTTTGGATTCAATTTAGAACTTGGAAAGTAACATCAAATTATTCATCAACAATTTTCCTCTTCTACCTTCTCAACCTTGTCGCAAAAGCTACTAGCTATCTATGGATATGCGAAGCATCATTTCTTCTTACAGAAGAATTCGCGCCATGGATTCTGATCCCAACTTACCAATACGTCTAATTAAGGATAAATATTATTAATATTCTTGCACTTTGTAGGGGTCCCGATTTTTCAGCTGAAAGTAGGCGAAGCGCCGGCCGCTAACCACCCACATTCACTAATTGGGAATCGTGTCTGTTGTCCTCCTTCGACTGGTCTGCTTGTATCGTTTAGGGACGCAGCCTGCTTCAATATTGTACGAGTTCAGCTGCCCTCATACGTGGGAGGGAGCCCCTAAAAGAAGTTTGTTGATCGAATATAGCAAGGGATTGCCAAATGCGTACCCGAGCATATTCACCGACTCGCATCTTAATATCCTACATATTATACCTGTCTACCGCCTACCTCCACCTACCTCAGTGCCTAGGTAGACTTCATTTTCAGCCGCATCGATAAATCTACCTATCTAGTAGATATTAGGTAGGTGTCGAGCGAAATGGCCCCCACATACTCCGGTCATCGTTACGCTGAGTGCGGCGATGTCATCCTTTAGTATCCCGGTCTTAGCACTCTATTGGCTTCATCACGCTTTCACCTAGTACCATTTCGTCCACACCAATGTCTGTCAGCGAATCTGCATACAATCTATTCCAATTCGTCAAATTGTTGCAGATATCTGAGCAAGGGGACGGGATTTTTTTATGAGAAACAAGAGATGCTCCTCATTGGGTACTCAATATCGCTGTCCTTGCCAATATGACTTAGGGCTGTGAGGCTAGTTTGCATTTTATTGAGGCGACTTACCACGGATATTGATCCCCTAAACTAAGCTGAACCTCCAAGAATGGAAATCACCATGATATCAGATCTGGCTTGTGAATTCGGCCCCCAATGGCTCATCATTTTATAAGAGCATTGTCGCTCTTTAGTAACATTCTAGTTTCTTAACAAATTCTACCTAGTTCCAATACTAAACACTTTTCCGGACGTTGTATTTCAAAAATGACCTGTCTAAACCCCGACGACCATAACTGCGACATCAAAGACCACCTGCTTCACTTTCTAGGATGTATTAGGATAGAAGACAGGGACGATTTCTTCAAATCTGATCACGGTATTTGGAAACAAGAGTTTGAGCACCAGAAAAAGCATTTTCGTCTTAATGACAAAGAGGCCAGCGAAGTGACTAGACGGAAGAGAGAATCATGGAAGGATGACTGCGATAGCGAATTGAGACGTATTAACTTCCTTCGGAAAACCCTAGCTGCGGATAAGAAGGACAAGCATCTGGTTAAGGAAGTGAATAGCAGTCGGGCACGTTGGCAGAAGAAGAAAGGTAGACTTGTTACCGACTCGGCAATTGACGAAGCCGAGAGAGTTGACGAATATGAGCCGGAGAAGGACATCAGTGCACCCATCATACATTTCAAGAATGGACGCGGTGCAGATGTGCCTATCGATGAAAAATTGAACGGCCGTCGTGGTTGTGTGTGGAATAAGTTTCCCAATCAGAAAACAATTCTTAGCGATCTGCTTCACCACGAGAAGAACTTGTTACATAATGAGAATTTCTCTTCTGATCGGCTGGGGTATTTCCACATCCCTTCGAACAATATGATCGTAAGTTAATCTCCTGAAGCCAATGCTCCGACAATATGCTAGGCTTATTGCTAACTTCTATCTAGTGGGCCGAGGTGAGCATTTTTTCGAAAGAAAGAGAGATCGAAACTAATCAGTTTGATATTAGCATGCGATTAGTAGATATTTTGGTGAAGAGAGACCAGACTACCATGCAACACAGCGTGAATTAAACCGACAAAAGAAGACAAGAGCTTACATGGTTCTCCGGGATCAATATTGGAAGAGTCAGCTGCATGGGGGCCAACAGCATAACCCACCACACGCGAGACACCTGAGGCCTCTCTGTGAAACAGTCTCTTCAGGTAACTAGTATTGGATGATCATATAATATCATACATATACTGACGATCATTAGATCCGGAGAATGTAGACTATTTCCCCAGAAACATGGTGCTCTTCGTAAGTATTTTCCAGTTTGGGTGATGTCGGTTTCCTTAGGCTCACACAACTAACTCTACATTCATACAGATGCCATATCTCCATTGGGATATTTCGAGAAGAAACGAACAATTTGCAATGGAAATAGTTGATATAATGGAGGAAGCTAAAGGATTCCCGCGGCGTGATGCAGAACGAAATAGGGAGCCACAGGCAGATAGGAACGGTGATTCCGAGGTATCTTCCATGGGGGAGGAAGGACCGGTTAATAAACCATCAAGAGGTGAGTAGACCACTACTTAAACGGCATTACGGCCTTTTAGCTGATGTACTCCATAGGACCCATCATGCAAACACTTAAACAGAAATTTGGGTTCAGCATGGGACAGCCAACCCAAGCCAATAATTGCCTCTCGTTTCCAGAGCCAGGGAAGCACCGAAGGACGAAGGCACGGATATTAACAATGGGAAGTCTTCTAAAAGAGTTGAAATTGATCGAGAGTCGACTTCCAGTGGATGGAAACGGTCGCGTTCGGGCTAGAAATGCGTTGGGCCAGTACCTTCTCGACGCCGCGAGACTCTACGAAGGAATGTCCAATTATCGCGATAAGAAGCTCCTACGCAAATACCTCTGCGCTGATCCCCCATTGCATCCTCGTCGAACGCTTGATCAAGCCTATCATTGGACTCTCAATTCAACTTGGCATCGAGATCGGGATCAAGTAGTGTATCGTCACACTACGACGAAACCTGAAGATTTCCATAGATACGACCACTACGGTAGGGTGTGGACAGATCATGAAGGATTTGGTATCAAAGGCAAATGCGATGAATGTACGATGAACATTAAGAAGCTTTCTCGGGTCGTTATGGTTGATCAGCTATGGATGTGGATCCTCGATGCGAAGACCATTATCACATGCTTCCCAAAGCGATATGGGGCTAATAAGCAAGACACTTCTGCTATCCACAAGTCAATCAGAGTTCATCTTCAGGACAGCAGTGGCGATCAAATCCGAACGGTTTTTGATCTGGCCCTTGTTATTATTGACGAATGCTCCAACACATTCTTCGACAGAACCAAGACAGGGGATCGACAGCCGTTAGTCCTTGATGCCTTCTCGAAAGCCATTGGCAACATTGTGAGTACCACTGAGAGACTTTGGCGGGAATTGAGCTAACATATACCGACAGATGCAGAAGCAGACTGCTGCGTTCGAGAGGTTATGGCGCTGGACCGATGAAGCTAGTGAGATCTACAGGTCCAATACGAATGGTGATACTTCTGGACTCCATGTCCCGCTTTTGGACATCAATCCCGAGGGGCAACTCGAGCGCGAAATAAAAGATATCATAGAGGAGTTGGATATAATGATACACATTACTAACATACACAAGAAGATCCTCACATCATTCATCGCCAATGCTGAAAACATACTCGATCCATTCGGGGACTTTGCCAAGAACAAGAAGCGCCAAATGATAAGCCGATACCTATGGGACAAGTCGAAGAACAAATCAAAGGATTTAATGGCTCTTCTAGAAGCAATCGATAAAGATGATTGCAATGATCCTAAACTCAAGAAGATGCGTGACGATTACCACTGGTTTAAGCTTAATGCCGATGAGCGACTGATGCAGGTTGAGGGGAGAATCGAAGAGCTGAAGGACTTGCGCAGGAGTGCTAAGAACACTGCTGACGATGTGAGTTGCTTGTTTCGGGAAACCTCTTGAAAAAAGTCGCAACTAATTGAAAGCTCAGGTCAAAGATTTACTGGGGTTGAAACAACAGCAAGCCGGTGTCGTCCAAGCATGGCAAGCTGTCAAGCAATCTGAAGAAACTATTAAACAGGGTCGGTCTATCATGATGTTCACATTGGTCACCATAGTCTTCGTAAGTAACACCAACCATATGCATCTACCTATGATAACTTACCGAATTAACCTCATTTAGCTCCCCCTTTCGTTCATGTCAAGCATTTTTGGAATGAACAACAGTGCGATAAATGGCGACACATCAATACAATTAGAATTCGTGTATATGTGTAAGATACCTTACCACCACTTCGCAGTAGTCCACTAGCACTAACCTCAACCCAAACTTCAGTCTCCATCTCCGCCGGAGTCATCTTCATCAGCTTATTCCTCGCCTTCGGCAGCTGGATCCGCGCTAGTGTATTCTACGTGTTCAAATGGCTCATGACTTCACTCCTGGTAAACTCCGGCCTATACAGCATCTGGCTCGACATCAACTGGCCCAGCAAGCGTCTCCACACCGAAGCGAACGAATACTCCGACCGACTTAAGAAGAACGCGAAGATAGCGAATCTGGAACGCAGGCGCAAGAGGCGGGAACGGGACGAGGAGAAGGCTAAACGAAACGAGAAGAATAAGAGCAAGAATAGCCTTCTTCAGTTCTTGGAGAATCCTTCGTCTTATGAAGAGTATGGAAATGGAAATGGTAATGGTAATGGCAATGGCAATGAAAATGGTAACTCAACACCAGCGAGGAACGAACGCGATGTGTTGTCGATGGGACAGTTACGCAGGTTTACAAGCGGGGCGCGGGGGGAAAGGAAAAACGACATTGAGTCGGGGAATATGTAATCCAAACAGGGAGGCATACATCCCTCAATCCTACTATTAGGTATCTAATCAATCTGCGTAGCTTAAATTCTTTGTGCTTCTCCAAGCACAAGTGCGATAAAAATCATTTCCTAAAGTTCCTCCATCTCATCAACCTTCTGAACTACAGGAGCCTCCAAGTAATCATCTGCAATCAACCGCGCGACATTCTTCCCCATAAGCGCACTCGTCTCCATCGTGGAGATAAAGCTCTCTATGCCCGATGTATAGTACAACCCATCGCCAAGAATAGGGTCCTGGAACGTGACACGAGGGAGTTTCTGCGGGTAGGGGTGGAAGACCGTGGGGTGGTACCATGAGATAGGATCGACGACAGTCCACCCCTCGTCGCCATCTCTGCTATCAGGGGAAGTGGTGGATCGTGTGAACGTCTCGGGTACCTGGACGCCGAGCAGTAGGGACAGGAAATCGGGCGTCACCTTGTCCGGCGAGAAGATTTTATACACGTACTCTGTGTTCTGCGTCTTTGGGTTTGTGACGACTTTGACGAGGGTAGCGGAGAAGAAGCCGGCGCTTCCGGCGCCACTGGGTCCTGCTTTGGCTTCGTCGTCTTTGCCGAGGGTGGTGAGGACCGAGATGGGTACTTCGGATGCGGGCTCGAGGTTGAAGAAGGCCGGGCTGAAGCGGAAGGGGGAGGCGAAGAGTGTTACGTGTAGTGTTACGTATGGGATCGTGTCTACGGGGTGGGGCATGACGTTCTCGTCGTGGGTTATCCCGCTGAATTGGTAGGGTGTTGCTATGACGACGTCGTCGAAAGCTACGGGATGTGTTTCTGCTTCGGTATTGGTAGAACCGGATGTTTGGACCTTGATTCTGTACTTGGTTGTCTCTGGGTCCGTGGCGCTTGGTTCTTTGGAAATGGAGGATACGGTGGAGTTTAGCGAGACGTAGGCGTGGGACTCTGCGACCATGCGGGAGAATATTCGCCAATTGCCACCGTCTACTGCCACTGCTCCCTCGGGGGCCATAGCGACCTAAATAAAGATGTCAATATTACTTAAATGGTTTTATTATGTTCGCGATAACTGACCATGGTGCCTAAGCCATGTATATGGGCTAGGTTCGAGGCATAGTTGACTCGAGTGCTTGCCTGGACAATGTCGTGGGCGAAAGGTCCGTTAAGCTTGTTTTCTTCCAAGAACTGTTCTCCCGTAGATCCGGTTATCTTAACAAGGCCAAGTTCATAGGCCCTGGTGGATAGAGATCTGAACGGGAAATAGGGTGCCTCGTAGAGCTTCAAGAAAGTCGCGACGGTGTCTTGTACAAGACGATGGGTATAATATGGCGCAGAACCGTACTTCCAGAGGAGCTTGGCTATGTTCCACCACCCCCAAGAAGCGGAATCCTGGGTGTAGACGAAGTTCCTTCCATCCCATATGCCCAGAAGCCCGTCCTCGTCGGCGCCTGGGTTTTTAAGGGGCAGATCGAATTCCTTGCAGGCATCGTACAGGATGTGATTGGCCTCGACGAATATGGAAGCGCCTAGCTCAACTGGTTGATGAGGGTCATCGTAGACATCTACTGTGAGAGTGCGACCGCCGATATGACTGGTCTTCTCAAATATGGTGATGTTGACATCAACGCCTTCTTCCTTGGCGTATTTGTGGAGATGGTAAGCCGTCGATGAACCAGCGGCGCCAGCACCTGTTTAATTGGTTAGTACCTATGATGGATGTTATGATGAATGGGTATGACCAAATAAGATACGAATGTGCGGATCATAAAATTGATGAAAGAAAGATCTAAGTTTTGTATTTTTTTAATATTTGGATCACATCGTTAGGTACCTAGGTACCTAAGGCGTGCAGGAGAGACGAAAGGGTGAAGGAGCGTCACTTCACTTACCGATGATTGCTACTTGCTTTACATTTTGGTTTACGGCAGCGTCGACCCTGGCAACTGCTGTTAGATGCAATAGCAAACACGTAAATCGCGACGGCCTTAACAGATGCATGATTGATGAATCGTGATTTATTTATACGGTTGGCATGTTTACGATGATGAACAACACATCAGCTGATGATGTATGTGACAGAAATGAGCCATGAGATTAATGAGTTTAGCACAGCCACAGTTGCGTAATCGTGAAAGTGGCTTTTGCTTACATACGCATTGCTATGTCAGCAATAGTTTTACTATGCATTAGGTAAACCTTGTAGAAAATGATAATAAGTCGAACTTGGAATAACTAATCGAGAAAAGCATGAATAACATTGAAGAGATTCAACCTTCAAATGCAGGCACCTATGTTAACAGGTAACTTTGATATCGTTGTTCGATCGTTCGATACGTACCTGGTACCTAGGTACTATGTCTTTAATACTGCCCCCGACAATAGTTTTGGTGGGGGGAGTGATTCCAGTTGGTCGCGACCGGCACTGGTACTATGTACAGCTACTGATGCTATTGCTATTGTTGCTGCCGATGACTCCACACCAGCTGTAGGTATTGTACGATACAACAGCATATACCTGTGATGTCTGATTAACTTTCGGACTCGTTACTTTCCAATCCTCTACCCAAAGTAAAAAAACAATTCCTCTCTTTTTTCTTTTCTCTTTTACACTTCTATCTTCTTTTCATTCAAGTGAAGAATGCTTTTCACCCATCTCTCATAGCTTATCCAAGTTATAATTGACGAAAGGATGAATCCGGGAGCTTTCAATTTCATACCGGACGAACATCAAGGTCGATTTTATAGTAGAGAGATGTCGGCATCTAACGACTCACGGTCCCAGATACCGTGCCGGTATTTCCTTCGTGGACAGTGCCGGAAAGGACGCTTCTGCCCCTATCTGCACGAGGACAAGTCTGTCGTCCAAGATTCTACACAAAATACTACAGATGTATGATGATCAAAATATATCCATTCCATTTCATAGCTGACAATTACCATAGGTTCTTTATCCTCCCGCACACGAGGAAATCGCGCGCTCTATCAATGGCGGTTTGATCCGCTTTCGCGCTGGCGCAGTAGTTACGAAGGTGTCTCTACCAACGGACTTCTCTACTCTCCAAATAAACTACCTTGCTCCCGACAGCACCCGAGAGTCTGTATTGGCTCTTCTTCAATCACAAGATCTCATCTTACCGACCGAGATTGAGGTTTGCATGACCAATCAAATAGGTCACTCCAGTGCTCTTGTCAAAGTTGAAGATCCCGAATTCGCTAAGCTAGCTAGCAAGGAACTTAGCGAACATGCTACTTCGGATCACATTTGGATCCTGCCTTTTGTCGCTACTCCCGTAGAGACTCACATACTATCGGATTCCAACAATCTTCAGGTTGATTGCAAGAATATACATGTCTCTTGGCCAAAACCTTATAGGACGGCATCGCTCAAATTTGAGTGCAACGAGACTGCCAAACGAGTAAGGACCATGTTTGTCAATGGAGGGTACAGAATCCGAAGGGAAAAAGTGGGGTGTGGGATGCCGGTGGGCAGTGCGCCGTTGTCCACACCGCAGACCTGGACTCTACGCTTGACCGGAGTGCCGAGCGAGGCAACGGAATCCGATGTTTACAAGTCTATGCTACACGAACGTGATAAGCCGTCTAGCACTGAAATTGGAGAGCATACCTACATCCCCGATAAGGAAATGGGCTCACTCGAAATCCGATCTCTATTCACTTCTATCGGCCCCCTCGAATCGTGGGAATTGACCCCCGATATTACCCGTAAACGAATGAAAGTGAGCGGACGTTTTCATAACGAGAACGATGCCAGAGAAGCTACAACAAAACTCAATCAATCAGACTTGCCTTTCTACAAGGATGGCAAACTTTCCGTACGACTAGTTCACACGGCAACTTTTCAAGTTTCTGAGAGCATCTATGAGGCTATTCAATCCCGCCTCACGTATATTTCGAGAAACTGGAGAGCTCCTTTTATACACCTCACGGTGAATGGTGATTCGGACTCTTTTCAATTCTATCGTGTGTTGAAGATTGAGAGTGAACATGCTGCGTATTTTAATGCGGCAAAGAAAATGATCACCCAGATGCTGTCCGCTAGGGTAGCCAAAGAGGAAGACTCTTCCGTGCTTTGGCACCCGGCTCTATCCAGAGATGGTCCTCTTTTCGAACAGCTGAAGTTGTTAGGAGCGCAGATTGGAGTAGGTATTATCCGAAACAAGGCCATGTCACAACTTCGAATGTACGGACCACGATCCAAATGCCGACGATGCCAGGCAGCGATTGCTCGTGTGCTGAGTGCAGAGAAATCTGAGCCCTTTAGCATCCACCTTAATACCCCTGAATTTAATTGGGTACTTCGAGGAGGCTTGGCAATATTGAAGAACGCAATTGGCTCCGAGAAGATCAACTTTGATATCACGTCAACACCTAAGCGCGTGGGCATCATTGGCACAGCTGATGATTATGATGCTGCAGTTCGCGTCCTGAAAGACCGAGAAGTGGCACGGCAGGAGAAACCTAATTTGAACGAGAAGGATTGCTCTGTCTGCTGGTGTCAAGCTGAGAACTCGATACAAACGCGATGCGGTCACATCTACTGCCTGGATTGCTTCGAAAACCTCTGTATGACCTCTACCACAAAGGACACGGCTACTCTAATTCAGTGCGTCGGTGAATCTGGAAGCTGCTTGAAGACACTAAGCCTATCGGAACTACAGCAGCATCTTTCTTCAACCGCATTCGAGGAATTACTTGAGCGATCTTTCGCCTCATACGTACGACTGAATCCAGAGTCCCTCAAGTACTGCCCAACAGTGGACTGCGGATACTTTTACCGCGTCAGCACCACTTCCAAAATGCGGACTTGCCCTCACTGTCTCGAACAAGTCTGTACTTCGTGCAATGGTCAACACGGTGCGATGACCTGCGGTGATTACAAGGAACTGATAACTGGAGGATACAAGGCTTTCCAGAAGCTCAAGAAGAAAATCGGCATCAAGGATTGTCCCAGGTGCAAGACTCCGCTGGAGAAGATAGAAGGATGCAACCACATGACTTGTCGATGTGGTGCGCATATCTGCTGGGTCTGCTTGAAGGTTTTCAGCACGTCCAATGCTTGCTATGACCATATGAACAAGGTACATAGGGGAATTGGACTCTATCCAAATCATTAGGGTTGGATGAAAGTCAGGTATTTTGGGGTTTGAGAGGTACTCTGGCGTAAGGGCTATAGGATGTGGGAAATCTGGGCTTTCCCAATTGTTTGATAGTGCTGCGGACTGGGTGTGTAGTTTCTGAAATTAAATTCACGTGCAAATCCCCCCTTTCTTTTTTTATCAAGTGAACTTTGTGGAATTGTGATCGAGTGAATCAAGTAAGTTTTATATATAGTCTATCATCCTAAATGTATATACGAAGAAGTTTATTCTGAACAGAAGAAAAAATGAGGGAGGAATACATCCCACTCATCACAACATTGCCCCCCCAACATTGCCTCTCAACATAGGTAAACTCGTCTTAATAGTATGTCAGATGCCCATATTTCGCATTCATTCGCTCTCTAAACCTCATCACCCGATTAAATATCACTGTTGTGGTTGCAGATATACGCGCCCTTGCTCGGGTTGCTAAGAGTAGGAGGGTTGGTGTCGGCTTGTCCCCAGGGCCAGGCGGCTACAGCAGCGGTGTTAGCATACGTTTCCTATAATAAACAATCGTACCCAGCAGGTGAAACTCACGGTTGATAAGAGATCCAGGCTGAACCAGGCTGTCCCAAGGCCAGATGAACCAGTCGTTGGAGCGGAACTCGGCCTGCTTGTCGGCGGGGTCGGCGGTGTCGATCGAGGTCTTGCGCGTGTTGAAGATGGCGTGGTAGAAGGCGCCGACGAATACCTTCGCGTAGTTCTTGTTCTGCGCGCCGTTGGTGGATTGGTCGGATTTACTAGACAGTTATACCTGGTTAGATGGAATGGAGAGGGATGTGGCTTGATGGGGATGGATAGCTGGCTTACCCGTTGAATGTGTTCTGGATGTCTTTCCACTGCTTCACGTCGTACCCGCCGTGCTGGCCAAACATGAGGTGCGTTCGCTCCCAGTTGTTGTTGTTGTCGCCCTTCCAGACTACCGTCACGCCTTCCCAGTCGCTCTTGTGCCCCGAGTCGTGCTTGAAGTAGATGCTGTACGTCACGCGGAACTCGTGGTCTTTGCATTGGTTGATGGTGTAGTATACCGGGAACGGGTTTCCCTGGAGCGGACCGCCCTTCTTGGGGCTGAGCCATTCGCCGGGGTCGGCGCATCCCTTGTTTAGGTTTGCCCAGTTGCCGTTGTCTGGGTCGTTTCCGTTGGCTTGTTGCCCGTTGATCTGCGCTGACTCTGGGTAGCATGGCTTGTACCCGTGGGGGCGCCCGAAGTGGAACATGGGGACGGCGGCCATGGCGGCTCTGTGACCCTTGCCGTATCCATCGTCTGTTACGAGTTAACTTCTCTGTCGAATTGGCAAAGGTTGTTTACGTACCATCATGGAACCAATTTCCGGGGATTTTGGTGGTGTCTGCGAGGGCAGACCCAAGGAGGGCGGAAGCACCGAAGAGAGAAGAAAACTTCATTTTGAAGTACGGGAGAAGAATGAGAGGCAGATGAGTTCCAAGGCTATGAACCTGTGACAAGAGCGGATGAAGATCGGTGCTCGAAGATTGAGTTGAAGGCGGATGAGATGATGATCTGGAAAGTGTAGATAGACCAGGTCGGCGACGACCTTCTTATACTAAATACATCGCGCGGGTTGCACGACCGCGTTTTTGGCGGAAAAATAGTTGTCTTCATTTGGAGTTTCCCAATTCGGTCGATGAAGTCTGATTCCTTGCATCGTGGACATTGCTGAGCTCAGCTTCAGCTTCCAGATGGTATATTTGTGGGTCGAATTTTGTGGCTGGGCGAATTAAGCTTAACAATTAAGCTCCGCAATCTTGAATGCTACGGAAATAATCGCTAGTTCCTAATGGTCCCGTTTGTACGATAACTTAGTTTATAATAAACCTTGGTCATAGCGATTATAGTGTATAGCGATAATTATATATAACAATATTTTATGGGGGATTTAGCGATTTTATATGTAAAATAACGATATTTTTACTTTAATAATATATTATTATTTTTAAAAAACTTATTATTAAAATTATTATAAATAAAATATAATTTTAATTATAAAAAATTTTAAAATAAAAAAATAAATAATAAAATAAATGAATTTTAATTTTTAATAATTAATTATATCGTTGTTTTATTTTATGCGATTTTTTATAAACGATATTTAACGATATTTAACGAAATTATTATAATAAATCGTATTATAACGTTACTTAAACGGATTTTTAAAAGTTTAATATTAATAAAATATTCGATTATATTTAAATTAATTTTTAATTTATAAATTTAAAAAATATATCGTAAAATAGTTTTTTATTTTTTTTTTAATATAATATTAATTATTTTATAAAAACGTAATGTAATTATTAAAAAATAAAAATTAATTATTTAATAAATTAAAATATAATATTTTAAATAACGATAATATAAATATTATTAATAAGTTTTACGAAAATTTAACCGCTTTTTTTTTTAATTAATAATATTTATTATTTTTTCGAGTAAATACGTATATTTAAATCGTATTTAATTTTTTAAAAAGTTTTATAAAATTAAAAAAATCGTTAAACTTAATTATTTTTTTATTAAAATAATTTTTTTTAAATAATAATAACGTTTAATTAAGTAAAATGTTTTAATTATTAATAATATATTTAAAATTATTATAAACGAATTATTTAATAAATTTTCGGTTATTATTTTTTTTATTAATAAATCGTTTTTTAAATAATTAACGAATTAATTAAATAATTTTAAATTTAAATATAAAATTAAAAAATACGTTAAATATGGAAAATTTAATTTAATTAATTTACTTATTATTAAATAACGGATAAGAAAAATACGATTTATCGTTTTTTAATACGAATTTAACGATATATATAACGTAAACGAAACTGCTTTTTTTTAAAAAAATAATCTTTAATTACATTTTTATTATTAATTTTTAAAAAAAAACGAAAAAAAATAAAACTAAAATTACGGTAATATTTTATTCGAATTTAATAAGTTTTTATAAATTGAATTTTTAAATAATAAAAACCGTAATTTTACCGAAATATTTTAATAAATATAACCGATTTTTATTAAATTTTTTAATTAAATATAAATTTAATAAAAAAACGTGGATAATTAATAAAATATTTAAAAAATATTTAATTTAATTTAATAATTAAATAATTAATTATAAAATTTTTTTATTAATAAATAAATTTAATATTTATAAAGTTATATTAAAACTTATTATTTAAAATAATTTATTAAAAAATATTTAAGTGAAATTTTTACTTAATAACGTTATTACCACGTTTTAATTTTTCGATTAAAAAATTATTAATATTTAAAAACTTTTATATCGTAAAATGTGGTTAAATTTTATAATATATTATATATTTAATAATTAAAATTATTTATAAAAAATTACTTTTTTTAAAACTTACCGATAAGTAATTAAATTTTAAAAAAAATTATTAAAGTAAATTATTAATAATTATTTTTAAAAATTAATAATATTCGGATTTACTTTTAATTTAATTAAAATATTAAATAATTAATTTAAAATTAATTATTAACGATTTTTTATAAAAAAAAATTATAATTATAATTAAATAAATTAAAAAAACTAAAAATAATTCGAAAAGTTATAAATATTAATAATTTTATAAAATTAATTAAAAAAAAATTAATTTTTATATTTTATTTAAAAATTTAATTAATAAATTAATAACTTTTTATATAGTTTAAAAACGAAACGAAAAATAAAAAAAAAAAAAAAAATTAAAAAAATATTTATTATAACCGCGTTAATAACGTACCGGTAATTATTAATATAATGCGAATAAAACCTTTAAGTAAATTTAAAGCTTTTTAAAAAATTAAAAACTAAAAAAAATAAGCTTAAAGGGAAAAAATTACGAAATATCGCGTTAAATTTACGGTAGGAAAGGATTAATAAGTATTTTTCGTAATATTTTAAATACTTTTACTAGTAAATAAAGTGTAAAGGTATTTTCGTAGTATACGGGCCACCCTTTATGTGGGGTACTCCTTCTATTACGATAATTTATTATAGCGATATAAGAGTGGTGTTTTTTGGCAATCGTTATGGCCAAGGTTTACTGTATTATGAGATGAAGGAATGTAGCCGTAGATTCGCGAGCTTAGCCAAGGTAGTATAACAAGGACGGTATTATGTAAGAGTTCTAGACCCGTTCCAGCGCTGGCCGCTAATTCAGCGCGACAACGATGGATACTATCCCAATTATACGCCTATAAATACCAAAATGCCAAGACGCCACGGAACAACCGCATATATTTGATTGGGAATAGCTTTCTCTAGCTAGCTGGCATAGCCCTCAATTTCAACGACATGCTGATGCATCAGCAACTGCAAGCGATTTGAGAATATTGGGCTTCAACCTAACTGATTCCAAGCTATGTTTATTGCATGGCCCTAGATTGATTCCCAATGCATAGACAAATCAGGATTCTATTCCAGTAGTGAAAATAACTCCCCCTTGTTAAAATCCTTGGAGGCCTGTCTTCGGAGATAGTGAAGCTCTCTTCGTTAACAATGTTAACTTAAAAATCCGAAAAGATCTATGTACACAATATTGATCTAAGGTGTCGCGTCCTCGGGTACAGAAGGTCTTTCATATTCCATGACCACTTAATTTAGTAAAAGGATGAAGTGTATAGATAGATAGGTAGGTAGGTTGGGATAAATCGTAGGAGGTGATGATGATAAGGTCAGTAAACAGTCCTATTGGGAACCATCATCTCATGATTATGTCTTATTTTAGGGAACATAAGAGCAGCCTATTGCTGTTGCAATAGTTGCATGGGTTAAATCATCTCCGGTCCAGAAATATGTTGAACTCGGGTAGCATCTCTATTTTGGTACACAGTGGTGACTTTGGCGCGACCATAACCGAATAGTAAGTAAGATAAATCCCACTCTCGGACCTATTTCCATTCTTGTTGAGTTCTAAGGTTGAGATGATTTGGTGTTTATTTATGTTCTCCTACTTAACTTTTCACATGCACAACGTCTTTAACGGACGATGACCATAGAAAGAGAATTCCATCTAAAAATAATAAGCATACGGCATATTGGTACATAAGTAAGATATCTATTCGTAAGTAGAATGTTTTTCTACCAACCTATGTTAAAAATATCGAAATCAATGTGTAAAGAGCCCATACGCTACATCGTACAATAATAGTTACTTCACATAGCAAATGAGAATGTCTGAGGAGATGGGCGTTAAGAAATTGAATTTTTTTTAATAATACCAAGACAAAGATTTTCAATATGATTCCCTTACTAGAGATCTAAATAATGAATGAGTGCCTAGTACCTAGAGAGTCGCCCGACAACGATATCTTACGGTCTTGGAAGTTCCATTTGTAATTTCTCCTATGTGGAATTTCACTAGCATGTCGCAACTAATAGATTGTACGATACTTTATAGTTGTTTTCATGTCAAATCACAAATTTAGGATTTAAGAAGTGCACAGAATGAAAATAGTCACAGTTTTGTGTTGTTGATATTCAGATGTTAGGTCTTAAGAAAGGAAAGAGATACAGATAGGAAGGAGGAGAATAGGGGTTGATTATGTAAGGATAAAGTGGGTGGTCCGTGTGTCATTTTAACTTGACAGTTGATTGAATGCTGCCGGACCGGCAATTTTCCCCACCATGGTGTACCATGTACTTTCGCAATAAGGCTACAGAAAAAAAGTTCGAGATGGGTTAAGACCCACTTCGAAGCTTCCCATTCCCAATAACGAGGTTCAGCGTTTGTGCCCCTCGACAACACCGATTTTTCACAAAATAGTTGATCTTCTCACGGCAACTACGATATTCTTCTATCATAATGTCTGCTGCCCAGCTTCTTAATCCCAAAGCCGAGTCCCGGGTATGTCTATCCATTCTTCGCTCATTAAAAACCGTCCACTAACTTTTAGGCAAGCGGCGGGGTGAAGCTCTCCGAGTCAACATCAGTGCTGGTGAAGGCCTCCAAGATGTTCTCAAGTCCAACTTGGGTCCTCTCGGAACCATAAAGATGTAAGTATAACGTTGCTGGAACCATACCTCGCGTCAAAATCAGTTGCTGACACATATTAGGCTTGTCGATGGCTCTGGACAGGTATGAGCCACGAACCCCACGAACCCCACGATACGACGTGATATATGCGATTACGAACTGACCTTTACCTGATAGATCAAATTGACGAAGGATGGAAATGTACTTCTGCGAGAGATGCAAATACAGAACCCTACCGCTGTCATGATTGCACGAGCTGCCACGGCACAAGACGATATCTGCGGAGATGGCACAACATCAGTTGTCCTGCTAGTAGGAGAGCTTCTAAAGCAGGCTGATAGGTATATCTCGGAAGGATTACACCCTCGTATCATAACAGAAGGATTTGAGATTGCGAAGGCCGAATCTTTAAAGGTATGTTGTTATACTTCATTCAGTCTAGAGGAAGTCTATGTTCTTACCAAATGCTATCTAGTTCCTGGACTCCTTCAAGCTTCCGAAAGAGGTTGACCGAGAATTGCTCCTATCCGTTGCCCGAACGTCGCTATCTACGAAACTCAACTCGACCCTTGCCCAGAAGTTGACTCCTGATATTGTCGATGCCGTCCTAGCTATCTATCAAGCCCCCGCGAAGCCGGATTTACACATGGTCGAGATCATGAAGATGCAGCACCGCACCGCCTCAGATACCCAACTCATCCGCGGATTAGCATTGGATCACGGCGCCCGACACCCGGATATGCCCAAGCGAGTAGAGAATGCATTTATCTTGACTATGAATGTTAGTCTGGAATACGAGAAGTCGGAAATCAACTCTGGCTTCTTCTACTCTAGTGCCGACCAGCGCGATAAGCTCGTAGAGAGCGAGCGCAAATTTGTAGATGCCAAGTTGAAGAAGATTGTAGACCTCAAGAAGGAAGTCTGCGGAAACGACCCTAAGAAGAGCTTCGTTGTCGTCAATCAGAAGGGTATCGACCCGCTTTCCCTCGACGTATTGGCGAAGAACGGCATCTTTGCTCTGCGAAGAGCCAAGAGGAGAAACATGGAGAGATTACAGCTCATCTGTGGTGGTATCGCTCAGAACAGCGTGGAAGACCTATCTCCGGAAGTTCTCGGATGGGCTGGTTTGGTATACGAGCAACAACTGGGTGAGGAGAAGTATACCTTCATCGAGGAGGTAAAGGATCCTAAATCAGTGACTCTGATGATCAAGGGCCCGAATGCCCACACGATCACCCAGATTACAGACGCTGTACGGGATGGCCTACGAAGTGTGTACAACATGATCGTCGATAAGAGCGTGGTTCCCGGAGGCGGTGCTTATCAGGTTGCTTGTGCGGCTCACCTTAAGAGCGACGCTTTCAAGAAGACAGTCAAGGGCAAGGCCAAGTGGGGTGTTGACGCATTCGCGGATGCGCTCTTAATCATTCCCAAGACTCTCGCCGCGAATGCTGGCCATGATATCCAGGACGCACGTAAGTTTTATTCCAATTTCCCCTTACGTAATCATAAATACTAACATGATCATAGTTGCTTCGCTGCAAGATGAGCAAGCCGAGGGCAACGTTGTGGGCCTAGATCTAATTTCTGGCCAGCCCATGGACCCCACATTGGAGGGTGTGTATGATTCGTTCAGGGTGCTGAGAAACTGTGTTGCATCTTCGTCCAGCATCGCTTCGAATCTCTTGCTCTGCGACGAGATGCTTAAGGCGCGACAGATGGGCCGACAAGGTGGACCGGGACCCGGAATGGATGGTCCTGAAGAGTAAAGAAAAGGAGTGAATATGTGAACACGGCTAGCTGATACCACTGTACGTTAGACGCATGAGATGGCGTTGTTAATAGACGTGGATGGAATGATCCGTGAACCAATCAGGCCATTGGGGACATTTTGAGTGCATTGCTTACGTGATGTGACTGATACCTAGTACTTGGTACTACTGCTAGGTGCTGCATGGCTTTAACTGATGTAAGTAACCCCTTATAGTCCAACATATTTTAACCTTGCTCGCGGATTCGACACTTGACAGCGATAATACTAGATCCAGGGGTGACGACATTATATAGAAGTGAATAATACCCGCTTAACTCCGAGTCAACTCAACAACTACATCACCACTAGCCGTAAGTGGAATCTTCCAACCCGAGCGCTCACGACTCGTTTTAGAGCCCGAGATACTGTACGCCACGGACTTCTCATTCGTCTCGACCCACATCACAGCAGCCGCAGCTTTCAACGAGCCAGCTGACTGTGTCAACGTAACCGAAACAGCACCAGAAGACCCGTCATAGCTAAAACCCCGCACGCTGCCCGCGTCAATAGTAACCGTCAAACCCAACGGCCCGATAAAGAACCGCCGCGTCACAGGCCCGTTCGTCTGCACACTCACCCTCCCTCCATCTTCAGCAGAAAGCACTCCTCCATAAGCAAGCAGTCCGAAGGTCTTATGTTGCGCGACGTATGTCCCGGATCCGAGGACTAGGCCGAGGAAACCCGGCCCGTAGTCCCCGCTGTACCCGTCCCATTTCAGCGTGTCCGGGAAGGAGTGGAAGGACGCGGATGCGAAACCCGCGGCGTTGATGTTGGAGAGTGGACCGCTGGTTCCGCCGTATCCGACTTGGAGGAGGTAGCTGTCGGAGGGGTCGCTACGGAAGGCGGAGAGGAGGACGAGTGCGTTTAGGCCGGAGCCGTAGTGGTGGATTTGCCGCTCGATGCGCTTGAGTTTGCCGCCGTAGCTGGGGTGTGTGTGTGAGATTTGGAGGGGCGGGAAGGGGGGATTGGGATGGGCGGGGGGGAGGCTTACATATTGTCCCAGTATCTGCGTGCGTTACCGTTCCAGCCCCAGTGGGGGACTGTGGGTGTGTAGCCTAGCACGCTGTTGACTGTTTTGGTTGTTGTGTTTGCGAAGCCGAAGTATCTTGTTGAGAGCACGTTAGTGTTTATTTTCGAAAGTTTATGCGATTAAAACTTACTTTGACCAGTAATAAACGCCTTCCTGGCCCGTGGAGTCCCACGCCTGCTCGCTTCCATAGGGAACTGCCTCACCATCCCACTGTACCGCTCGAGATCTCATAGATTGCGTCAATGTATTGGCTTGAGATGTCAATCCCTCCCGCGTCAAATCAGTAAGGATCTCGCCGAAAACGGTCTCCCCCATGAGTCCGAGTCGGTTATACCCAACATCGTTCTTCATCCCACGTATAACGGTGCTGTACGACTGATTGAGATACCAATTCCAATCATGGCTCTTAATGACCTCAGGATAAGCCCGCGCAACGCGGTATAATGACCAGTACGCCGCCGCAACATGCACATAATCATACCCGCGATCGATCGCATACGCGTTATCCTCATTCCACGACGTCCAGCTCGTCCAATCTATACTCGAGCTATACGTGTACTTCACTGCCGAAGGCTGGTAGTAGAAAATGCTCTTGCGCACCGCAAAATCCGGCGTCTGGATCGTGCCCCAAAGCACTTTATCAACAAACGTCTCCAGCTTCGCCACCTCGTCCGCATCAGCCTGGATCGCCTGTTTCGCGACCGCGGCAAGATACGCCCCCACACCCCCCTCATCACTAAGCCCAGAGATCCAGACTCGCGGGTCCTGCGTCACGATCTCACGCTCCTCATAATCATACGTCATCGGCGAAGGCGCGCGACCAAACGGATCCGAAGCATCATCGAACCACTGCTCGGTCGTGATAAAACGGCCCATATCCGCCAAAGTGTCCGCGGCGCTCTTCGTCACGTGGTAATGCACCGTCTGCGTCCTCCCGTCCTCGTAATCGATCGTCAGCCGCGACCTGCCCCAAAACGTCGGCGATGGCGTTATCCCGTATGATCCCGGGGATAGCTGGCTGAAGGCGAGCGATTCTACGGGGTCGCTGGAGAAAGAGATCGCGCTGCTGTTGGATTGCAGGAATAGCTGCGATGTCGACCCCCGCGGGATGATGTACCCCGGCACCCCGAAGGCGACGGGCGTCCCGGTCTTCTGCACCGTCGCATCGATATCGCGGACCCCGCCTTTAGCTACCGAGAAGCGCACGCCGAATTGCAGTGTCTGTCCCGGTTGCAGGGTTTTGGACGACGGCGTGTTCCACGGCTGCACGCCCGCCCATTCGTTTTCGGCCCAGGCGCGGGTGAGCACTTGCCATTCGTAGAAGCCTTCAAAGGTCTGGCTGCCGTAGGCTGTGGCGGCGTAGGAGGGCTCGTTTAGGTTGCGGTAGGCTTCTAACGGAGTGTCGCCGAGGGGCGTGACGACTAGAGCTGCGCCGGTGCCGCTTATGGGGCTTACGCGGATGTAGCCTGCGTGCCTTCCCACGTAGGGGTCTGAGAGCGAGCAGAGGCGCTGAGTATCCGTTGCGGCGCGGTTCGTGAAGATGCTGTTGAATTCGGCGGGGAAGCCGAGACTTCCTAGCTCCACCGGGGATGGTCCTGTGTTTCCGATCGTGAAGCGCAGGCCTAGATCTCCGGAGACGTCGAGCCATTCACGCGTTATGTTCAGGGGCCCTAGGGTTGCGAGAGTTGGCTTTAGGTCAGAAGCGGCTAAGACGCCGGTTCCGGTTTTGACAGAGGTTACAGCCTTCCGAGCGGTAGAGGAGTCGCCGTCAGTCCAGGCACCGCTGCTGCCTTCGCGGTACCGGAACGTGATGTCGCCCCAGTGGTATTGGCCATTGCCGGCTCGGGCTGATATCAAGTCGAAGGGTAAAAAGTCAAATGAGTTGCCAGCCGGGGTCAGTGATGCGAGAACTTGGGCGTCGCGAACAATCTTCGCATTAAAGTTGGTTGTTTTAATGGTGGTATAGCCATTCTTAACACCCAAATCATCATTTTGGCATGCGACACTCCAGAGCAGCAAAGATAAGACGCAAGCGTAGCTGAAGATCTCCCTCCCGTGGTGGAACATGATGCATCATTGAGTGAACTTCATCAATCGACTCAGGTACGCGAGAAAAGAAAGATCTGGGGACGCAAATAGCCGGATCTCTGTAATTAAATGCCATCTCGCCCAGGGCTCCGGGTGCTCATGGCTATTCAGATTGATTAAGCGTATCGTAACATCGTCCGCCACCTTGATCTGGAGTCGCATTCTAGCCGCCCTGTCGCCGTGGACCTGCTGGGATCGACATCGTGCTCGCGGGGTATCATTGAAGCGATAGATGGGAAATCTCGAGTTGTTATACCCGACCAGCCGGCATGCTTAGCGTGACGTTCTTCGTATCGAGGTTTGCTAAGGAACTTCCCTTTTGGGATGATGAATCTTCAGACTTTGGTGGATCTTGTTGTAGGAAGGTGTCAGATACACTTTTCTCTCCTTGTATCTGTCACGTGGAATTAGGTATTTCAGGTGGTCTGTGCTGAATAGCTATCCTGTGTGTGCTTTGGAGATATTGTCAAAATCTGGTTACTCACGTGACCTCACTGAGACAAGAAGAACTTTTCCTAAGAGTTTCTGTTTGTAATAATAGAATTAGAACAAGATACATCTTTCATCAATAATTGAATGCTTCAATCCAACAGAAGGTGAGAGGTGAAGATATGTATTTATGAAGTGTCATCCATAAAGCGATATCACTTTAGTTAATCATATTGATTAAATGAAATGTCTCATCCGCGCGAGGTGGACCCGGACAACGTCGGGGCACTCCGGTAGCCCCTATTCCCCAAACTGGCGGTTACGTACGTGATGTAATCGCACACAAAACATTAGTGTTGAGTTAATATACTTGAAAATCAAATCTCACTCTCTAGCTATATCCGACGATGTCCGGTCCCGACTACCTCATATTTATAAGCACCTTTGTCTACCTGATAAGTGATGTTAAATACCTCAATTGAACTACAAACATATCGTAAAATCTAGTAAAATCTTGTAACCACCTAGGAGCTACCTCTAAAATGGCATCGTCTTCGGTAGAGCCAAACGACCTTTTTGGCGTGAAGGGACTAGTTGTTGTTATTACTGGAGGAGGGACCGGTATTTCAACCCTCTTGAAGAACCTACCATGAATACCAATTGACAAAGCACAGGCATTGGCCTGATGATGACAAAGGCTCTGGAGAGTAATGGTGCGATCGTTTATATCATCGGCCGCAATCAAGAAGTACTGGACAAGGCCGCAGGTACTGCTGTAAGATAATCGGCCAAGCAATGTAATCGGAAGTTATGGCTGATGTATAAACATGCAGCGGCACGGGAATATCCGCACGATCCAAGGTGATGTAACCAACAAGGCTGACCTCGAGCGGGCCGTTGCGGAGATCAAATCAGCAGTGGGCTATGTCAATGTCGTTATTGCGAACTCGGGCAGATCAGGCCCCAATGCTCGAGAGATGCTTTCCGAAAACAATATTTCCAAGTTTCGGGATCTACTACTTGGATTAGATACCACGGAATTCACCAACACGTACGCTGTGAACACTACGGGAGTGTTTAACACCGTGGTAGCATTCTTAGAATTGCTTGATGCAGGAAACAAGTGCGGTTTAAAACAGAGAAGCCAGGTTATTGCAACAGCCAGTATTGGTGCTTATGTGCGGACTCCCGTCGCTGGATACGCATATGGACCATCCAAGGCGGCTGTTGTCCAGATGATGAAGCAATTCGCAACCAGTCTCGTGCCATTCAACATTCGATCCAACATCTTGGCTCCAGGGTGTAGGTCTTGTCCAATTGGAGAAACTGTTTATGCAATCCACTAACATCAAATACCTATAGTTTTCCCTAGCGACATGACAACAGGAGTACAAACCCTGGTACAGGACAAAAAGTTCGTTCCCGAACAACGATACGGGGACTCGGAAGACATGGCCGGCGCGATCATGTTCTTGGTAAGCAGGGCTGGCGCCTACCTCAACGGGAATGTAATTGTAAACGATGGTGGTCGTCTTGGAATTGTGCCGTCTAGTTATTAGTAGGCCATAGAGTCAGGATGGATATTCCTAGTTGTCATCAATAAGAATCTCGATTAGGTACCTATCTCGATTATCTGAGGCTGTAATAGTAATATTTTCAATTCAGCCCACATGTATCGTCTCCAAATTTACTACCTAGTACCTACTAGTTAGGTATCTATCAGCCACTCGGTTGTTCTAGCCAAACAGCGAGCCTCTCCCCCTCCCTAGGGAGAAATCTTGCACGCCACGCCCGCGGAGCCATCATAGCCGATGGCCCTTTAGATCCATTGATTGGGTGGGCTGCATCTATTGTCTCACCTTCCGCAGGCACGATGCGGAAATGCGCCAGGAGATGTAGAAACCCTGTATAGAGCGATTTATGAACCAGATTCGACGCCGCGCACATACGCCCACCAATCCCGAATGCGAATTGATGTGAATATTCATTTGGAGAAGACGGCAGCCAACGCTCAGGGGCAAATATGTCCGGCTCGGAAAAGAGTTCGGGATCTGAAGTAGATAGATTAGTTTAATTGAGGACATCTAATTTGCTTTTTATATGACGAAAACAGACCTCGATTACATGCCCAGGCGTTGAGCAACACAAGAGTGTTGGCGGGAATGGTGGCGTTTTCCCACGTTACATCCGTGTACGTGGCTCTAGGAAGAGCGAGCTTCGATACCGTGTAGTAACGTGAAATTTCTTTCGTCAATGCATCAATGTACTCTATCTTACTCGAGGCGTACGCGCTCGGTGGTTGCTCCGGTAATCCTGCATCGCGTATAGCAGAAAACGCTTTCTCTTGTATGTCTGGCCGGTGAGCGAGAAGTAAACAACCGCAACCGATTGCGGCCTGGATAGAATCGGCGCCCTAGATCTACGCATAAGCTATTGCGCAAGCTGAATACCAGGTAAGTACCTTCGGAGAGGAGATAGAGGAAGACATACCGCCATCATACTCAAGCTAACACTAAGCAGCTCCTCTTGCGTCAACGTCGCCGACTCCGGATCCCGCAACACCGCCCCCTGAATACACGGCTTATCCTCGCCCCTCTGCACCTCACCTTTCAACTTCTCCAGCAGAACCCGATGATACTCTAACCGTCTACGACCGATTTCCTCAACATGGCCCTTAGGCTCAGCGCTCAATCCTAGAAACTGAACCATTGGCTCCCAATACCGGAGTAGTGGGATGTAATTGGCGTAATTCTTCTCCGTGTCGCGGAACCTCAAGGCCTCGCTTTCGATATACGCGATACTCGATAGTATCGGGTCGTCCGCCAATGACTTTACGCTCGACACGCGTGTCCCGTAGTTTAGCGTCAAACTTAGGTTCAGCGCGAACCGTCTCGCGGCCGGTTGAAAGTCGATCTCTACACTACCATCGCGACACGAAGAATACAAGTCCCTGAGAAACTCGCGCGCCTCAAAGTTAAGTATGGGCGAATAAGTAACTACACGCGCGTGGTTCAAGGCATTGGCGGCTAGCTTTCGCCGCCGCTTACAGCTGTCGTCCCAGGGCGATGTGCCGATCGATGCGACTTTGCTCATTTTCTGGTGCAGGACGTAGAATACGGGCCGTGAGTTCATACCGGAACTTTGGCCTAGGAAGAGTTGTCTGGCTGCTTGGGCTGAGTTGATGACCACGGCAGTGGTGTTGCCTAGTTGGATCTGGAAGACGGGACCGTGTTTGAGAGACCATTTTCGGTAGGTCTCGGCGGCGATTTCGTCACGGTGCTACTGATGTGTTAACACAGGTCTGATGTACGATATGGTGGGTTTAGTTGTTACTTGGAAGAGATTCCCGACGATGGGCCACCCGCGAGGGCCGGGGAGGTTCTTTACTCGACTGCGATATCGGACGATTTCATTCTGGAGCAGGTAAAAGAAAAGCCCCAGTATGGATAGGGAGATGAAATATTGGAGATGTTTTAGTAAGTACAAGATTGTAGTTTCTACTCTCGACATGTTGAAAAGGTAAGATTGTCGATCGAATGGGTCTTCTGGTTAAAGTTGATACTATGGATTGATAGCTTACATAGACGAGTAGAACGAGGCAGTGCTGACTATGCCTTTAAGTAGATATGAACAATCTTAAGCCGCGATGTCTTCATGACCCTTCGTGCATGATGAAGACGGCACAGTGACTCACTCTCGTGGTAAACGCTCTTGGAGTTTACCTATCCATCGACAGACGCAGTGCAGCCAAGACATTTAAAAACGCTGGCAATTCTATACCTATACACCTGGGCATCATTTCATCAAAGATGATGAATCCACACAAGAAGGTCTGTAACATCGTGGAGGATGGAACATATTAGGAGATAGGGCCAACTTGTCTGATATCATATATCGCTAAGCAAATTCTCCATTCTTCATCACCGCTTCCAATTACAACGACCATATCCCTATAAGGAGAGATGCTTTACTTAGTATACCCCTTTCATGACCGGTCCGTGTTTTCCCTCAACGGTCTCATAGCTATGTGGCTTATCCGCTGTGCCGGCCACAATTGCCTTTTCCCTACTACCCCTCAGCATCCATGGCGAGTCTCTAAGCCCCTTATTCCACACTCTCTTATCGTATTCTTCCTCAACCGGTTTTTCTCCTGTGGCTTGGATCTCACGAGCCGCCTTCTCGATATTCGACCAAACGCGTAGAATGTTCTCTCCTGCAAACAAGCGGATCTGGTCATCTGAAGCGCCACGTTCCATCAATAGCCGAACGAGATCTGGAAATTTAGAAACATCCTCCAATCCGATCGGCGTCCAACGCGTTCCAGAGAAGTCGCTCCCAACACCGACACAATCCCAACCGCAGACTTCTGCAATGTGAAAGACGTGGTCTACAACATCGTGTATAGTCGCCTGGCCTGGATCGACCATGTTTAGGAAGCGGTTGACGAACACCGCCATAACAATACCTCCGTTCCGCTTGACAGTTCTAAGTACGTCATCCGGCACGTTCCGCAGATGCGGTGTCACACCATATGCGCCTGAGTGCGAAAATATGACTGGTGCCCGCGCCACGCTCAGCACGTCTCTCATCGTCTGGTGCGACACATGCGCTAGATCGACCATAATACCCAGCCGATTCATTTCCTTGATGGCTTCATACCCCAGTTTAAACAACCCACCATCTGTTCCACCGGATGTCACTACTGTAAAAGCCGAGGTTCCGAACGAAGTGTCGCAGTTATGAGTTAGGGTGAGATACCGTGCGCCAAGATTATACATCTGCCGTAGGCTGGCGATGCTGCCGCCAATTTGGTGGCTGCCTTCGATTCCGATCATGCTGGCAATTCGACCAGATCTGAATGCTTTCCGGGCGCAAGCTGCGGTATCGCAGTACTGAAGATGATCGGGGTGTTCATTGATGAATCTCCTGGTCACGTCGATTTGTTCCAGGGTTTCTCTCACGGCCCACTTTCAGCAATGTTAGTAAGTCTGAATTCCTACCATAGACGCTGTAAGACATCAAGGATAACTTACAGAAGGATCTTCAAAGTCCTGCTGCCGAGCATCACATTCCGTGTACACACTCCAAAACTGACCACCCATCATCCCCGCTCTCATTCTCTGGATATCCGTATGTCCAAGGAGCTTCTTGGTAAGGTCTAGCTCGCCACTATAGAGACGATTATGTAGTTCTATACGCAGCTGCCAGGGAAGGTCATTGTGCCCATCAATCAAACTACAGATGTCTTTAGCAAATATCGTAACTATCGAAGATGCAAACACTTACGGTGTGGACTTGAGTACTCTCCGAGTCCGCTCCTCGTAATTCGTGGGGTCTACTGGTGATTCACTAGGCCATAGGAAAGCAAAGGGGCTCAGCAGAAACGCGAATCCAGCGACAAACAAATGGTTGCGAAACCTAGAGATGAACCCGGAGTTCTGCGCCTGATTGTGAACGACAAGCGATCTTTCTGGGGCGGCCGAACTCTGAGATTGATCAGGAGTATCCTGTTCGTCACCAGGCAACGATGCGCCCTCGGACGAAGCCTGTTCAGCCATGATATTCAACGTTTGTCTGTATTTAGATAGGTAGGTAGAAGTTGGCTTCAAAATTTCAAATCATGAAGTGCCCAACATCCTGATTATATTTGATATTGGGTTCCGTCATCGAAAGAAAACCTAGACCGAGGTGGAGAATGCCCTATCGAGGCTCTTGAAGACCATCATGGGGTAGTACCCGAACCCCACCATCACGTCCGCACTGTTCTTTGGTCCCGATCCCGGAACGAATGGTCCAATTATGTGCTGCTCTCGTCCCATTCCGTATAATGAGTATGACATCTATCAAATGTTCCAGAGCATATCGCGAAGTGAAAAATAGATATGCCTCCTAGAGCAAGATCTTCACGTTGACTCGTGCCACAGCCGATATTCAGCGGTAGTATCATTCGGTACCTAGCTACAACTTTATCCATATCATTCCGTATTTGATCCCTCGTCTCCTTCAAAATTCAGAGTCAATGTTCCATCAGGGGACGTTTGAAGGACAAACACCTCGCTATCGACCCTTGTAAACCCTTCTAGTGTCATAAGTGTGTCATGCACTGACTTGCGGAATATTTTTACCTTCTCACGGAATCCCGTGGGTTCAGGTCTGTATACCGGTATAGCTTGATGGTTCCAATCAGGGGCTCTTGCTTCCCTCAAGGCGATATCAGATTCTATCTGAGTAAAAAGACAACGGAATGAGATGAGGCATGCGACAATGAACGCTTATGCAGTGAGCAAAGTTAGTTATACATAGAAGTTCAAGATAGGGATGGTAGTGACGACTGACATATTATATATTCGATGCTGAACCAAAACCATATCCATGCCACGTTCACCGGGTGTATCTCCGGTTGGTCAATGGGTATATATGCTCCGCCAAAAACACTACCACGCACGATAGTGACGAGGACAGTAAATACGACGAGAGAAAAGAGGGCCGTGAGAATAATCTTCTTCCTAACGTCAATACGGACGTTCCAAAGAACATAAACTGGAAAACATATGACTACACTTTATAATTAGTATCGCTCATCCATTTTTCCTCGGGGGCTCTAGGAATGTAACCTACTCATCACATCCCCGAGCGCGTCTAGCAAGCATGATACAATTGAATTGAGATTTGAAAATATCCGCTTATCGCGAGTAGTGCAAACCACGACAATGCGTTCCACTGGCGACAGTAAGCACTGGTAGGGTATAATGCCGATCTCCGTCACCCCAGCAGCAATGTTGAAGACCAAGACGATCCACCAAAAGACACGGTATTTGGTAACTTTATCTCCAAGGCGGAAGAGGAAGGTCAAAAAGCTAAACTTGATCAACCATATTCCCACATAACCCATCACCATCAGAGCGACATGTCCATGTAGTCCTTTAGCAGCGTCTTCGAGAAACTGGGCCGACGGTACTGATGTAAAGCCACTCCGCAGCTGTGAGATGTTATAGGAATAGGGGACCAGTGTCTGGATGATAACGGCAGTTGCGATAAGGATGATCAGTGATACTAGCATCACATAGTCTTCGAGGAAAAGGCGCCGGAAACAGATAACTCGGATAGCCACTCGACCACTGAACGCAAGGATGCAGAGTGAGACGCCGGTCCATATGATAGCCTTCCATTGAGATTATTAGCATATGTCCATAATTCTCAGTTAGTTTTCAACAATGAAACGAGAGGGGGCGCATACATGGAAGGCTACATGTGAGATGAGTGGTGGAGTCGTCGCTTTTGGGACTAGGCTTTTAGAGAAAGAGGCCGGATTTCTAGTATAAAGATCCATAATAAGCCCCATCTTTAGTAAATGTGCACTTTCCCTGAGGTATATTCAACTTCTGGGGAGGGGGCCCTATTTGATAGCCCATAGAAGACCTAGGGTTCGAGACACAGAGCTGGTTCATATTGAAGCATAGAAACCCGGTGGATTCAGCGCCGCAATAACACGGGACAATTTCGAAATCGGCCATAATGGGTAGCCCAATTCATTATCGACATAAACCATTTTTAGTAGCGATAACTCTATCCCAGAGTGTGAATTGTGAATCGGGGCGGGGTTTGCGAAAACGAATCTGCATGTTGGAATAGAAAACTAAACATAGATCCTTTCCCGTATTAATTACTAGGGTAACCAAGCCTATGATTTCATCTCATTGGCGTGTATATAGTCCTGTAGAACGGAACGTCGTACGTAGAATCTTGATAGTTCCGAGTTGAAACCGAAAAGGAGAATGAATTGGAAGCTGTGTTACGCCTTTTATCTCATGTTGGGTGTACGATATTCATAGAAAACTAGAACTGAAGGAAGATTTGGATAAGCAACATTCATTATGTAAGCCATCATTTACGTAAGCGAGGGAGTATTTATGTAAGCAAGTATCTAATAAGTTTATGTAATCGATAATTTGGACTAGGCGATTCAAGTCCCAGACCTTATAGTGGGCTATCGGCTAAGATTTAGTGGTTGGCCGCTGTAACTTAGGGTATTCAACCGCTAAGGTAATTGAAGATAGACTTAGATGAGTGGAAGCTTTTGGACTTAACCTTCCTATTCAATTCCTTTGCGAAATAATACAACTACAATACATACAACATCCCAAAATGTAAATAGTACTTGCTGGAGAGGATCAATATACTGTAAGGGATCCCATAGACGAGTAAATTTTATTTACAAAGGCCGGGGAAGATTATTAACTGGAGCAGTACAGGTTGAGAAATTAACACGCAAGGGAATGAAAAATGTTGGGGGAAAAGCAAAAAGAAATTAGTGTCATGTGACTATGGGATGATCTTAGAGGAAAGTGGGTCATGATGAGTCATCATCAATATCTTTATCAAACATTGATGTTGATATTTCATCCTTCGATACCAACCAACCTCTTTCAATTAAGGGAGGATGATAATCTCGGTATCATGATTTCAAACATTGCCGCCATTGCGACTGTGGTCGCTGGGGTGTATTCTCTCCTTCATATCCTCTTGCATCTTACTCAAAGTCCAAAAGAACCACCCACAATTGGCAATGCTATTCCATTCATAACCCCTATTGTGGGGATGAAGACTTTGAAGGCAAAATTCTACGAAGTCATGAGGTGCGCCTTCACATCAATATTCCCCAATAGCAACTACTAACAGTAGCGCCAAAGAAATAAGTACAATCTTCCTATATACACTCTGCGCCTCCCAGGCGCAAGACTTTATGTTGTCAATTCCATCACCCTTATCCCTGTCGTTCAGCGTCAATTCAGAACTTTGTCTTTCACAGCCATCGAAGCAGCTGTCGCAAAAAATGTGATAGGTGTCTGCGAAGCAACAGATAATATCATATCCAGTAATCTTACAGATGATGACGGGTATTTGATGAGCTTCTCAAGATACATTCACCCGATGTTAAATGCAGGATCACCTTTAGATTCGATGAACAGGAGAGCCGTTCAAGTCATCTCTGAGTCTTTAGAGAAGTGGGCAAAGGGAGGCCCTACAACAGTGGATATGTTTCATTGGATCCGCCACGAGCTTGTAAGCGCCACCACTGAAAGCGTCTATGGGCCACAGAATCCATTTCGAGATCCTAGGATGGAGAAAGCTTGGTAGTATGTGCAAACTCGTGAACTACCCTATCCTCTTTGATGCGCTAACCAAAGTAGCAAATTTGAGCCGAACATCTTCATATTTATCCTCAATGTTTTTCCGTGGTTGTTAGCTAGAGAGGCTTTCCAAGCTCGCGAGTATATGATCACACTCTGGGAACGCTATTTTGACCAAGGCGGTCACAAGGAAGGTTCTGGACTTGTCCAAGCCCGTGTCAAGATTAACGAGGACTTTCACATTCCGATCAAAGAAACAGCTAGGGTTGAGCTGGGAGGAGTTCTAGCTATCCTTGCTAACACCGTCCCTTCGGCATTCTGGGTGATTTATCACATATTCTCAGATCCTCTAGTCTTAGAAGACATCCGAGCTGAGCTGTCTAACGGCGTTCGGGAGATTGATGGTGTCTGTACGATTGACATGGTTCACGTCAAAGAGTCCTGTCCCATCCTATTGTCCGTATTTCAAGAGATGCTCCGCGTCAACGGAACGGCCATCTCTGCTCGAATTGCCCAAGAAGACGTTATGCTCGACAATAAGTATCTCATCAAGAAGGGTAGCACCGTCTTAATCCCGTCAAGCATACAACATACAGACCCATCAATTTGGGGCGAAAACGTAAACGAGTTTTATCACAAGCGATTTGTGCGAGAACCAGGTGTCAAGCGTCCCAACCCTATCGCCTTTCGTGGATTCGGAGGTGGCACGACTCTATGCCCAGGGCGCCACTTTGCGACTACAGAGGCCTTGCTATTCTCAGCGTTAATGGCCCTGAGATTTGACGTCACCCCGGTGGGAGGAAAATGGGTCCATCCTACCACAGAAAACTCACCCTTATTTCCTGCTATACCGGTGCCAGATTCTGTGATAGATATCGAGATCCGCCCAAGGAACAACATGAAGTGGAATGTGTCATTTTCGAAATCCGACATGGATCTTGAGATCTCCGCTGAGGATATAGAAGGCATAGCGCCCAAGTTAAGTCACTAATATTCCAAATGAACGTTGGTACCGTCTCATAACATATCGTCCAACTTAACTAGATTCACTGTTTAATTATCTGATACTGGCAGACCGGTAACGTGTTGAACCCGGGCAGCCAGGAGGTACCTAAGCAAGCATAGTGGGGTCGACCAGCGACCCCACTTAGATATCTTTACAGCGTACTAGGTACATACAACAGCTACTACCAAGCACTAGCTAGCAACTTATTTTTTTCCTTCCCAAACTTTTGTCAGGAAGTCTTCAATTTGAGTGAACTCGAAGTCTGGAAAAAGTTGGTTCAACTCATCCGAAATATCCCATGCACCTTTTGAACTGCTCAGCAAAATGCCAATGGAAACAGCCTTGAGAAAAGCCAATGCTTGGTCCTCCGAGACCATTTTATGAATCGCTTTTATATTCCAATTCGTCTTCAGCTCCCCATTCTCAAGGTCTTCAACTTTGACTTTATCGACGATGAAGGGACGTCCTGTGCATTCACGGTAAATATAAATCTCCTACTGCGCATAGTCATAGACGTCACTCACCTCTAATTCTCTCGCCAATCTCAACGATTTGCGAGAAAGTGACCCTGTTGCCTCTGATCCCGCTTACCTTGGGCCAAGTGCCCTCATAATCAACTGCTCGAGCAACAACCCTGGCCAAATCTGCGACAGTAGTCAGAGTCATGATGGCGTCCTCATGACCATCCACGACTATCGCACGTCTATTCTCAAAATCGAAGACAGACTGCAAGGGGTCTACATGCTTAGATGTCTTGTAGGGATAGGCCAGGTAGTCCAAGAATATGCCCTGTTGAAATAGTGTGTATTCGAGAACCTGGTATGAGGGTAAGTCCGCTTTCCTCATCGCATTGATGCGATAGTCAGGGAAACTCACCTGTCCTTTCTGATTGACATCTTCAAGATACTCTCTGATGTTCTGCTTTACTCGTAACCAAGCCATGTCAACAGTGTCGTTGCTTTATGAATAGTCAGTCACTTCACTAACAATGCATTGACTGTAGCTATCCTCACCTTCCGTATTCGCTTGGCGCAAAGCGTTTCACGCCAGCTTCGATAGCGGCATCGATTAGATTCTTTTGCGACTTCTGGTCGGGATCCGAGAGGGTTTGGACGAAGGATAAGAGGGTGTGAGTCCCGCGAAGGACTTCGACTAGGCCTTTCTTATCATTGTAGTCCACCACTTGCCATTTAAGCTTAGGTGCGTCTGGAATTCCTGTTGGAGCTTCCTGAATGTGATGTTAACATAATTTGTGGAGATGAGTTAGGGCCTGTTGAAGAGTCTTCCTTACCTTCCTGCTCAAGATGATTATTTGATGCCTTTTTGACTCCAAAAGGACGTCGATGATCTCCTTGGAAACCTCTGAGCGACCGATCAGCCATAATGTTTCATCCCATAAAACTGAAGAGCAACTTACGTCCAGAACCACCAGCTACAGCAATTTTAACCATTTTGTTGGGTTTATCAGCTTAGGCACCTGGGGTACGTTTAAAGCTCGTCAATGGGAAGGATGTTTAAATATGTTCAAAAGATACTAGGAAATTCATCCACAGTACGGAGCGACACCTACATTTTATACAACTTCTTGTACATTGCGAAAAGTCCCTAGTCTTAAGGTTTCCCCCTTTTCATAATATTCAACCAATTGTTTCAACCGATTTTCGCTCAAAGAGGCATTTAGTGGAGACTCCCTCAAGCTTGACCCGACACGCTACTTTTCTCCGCCGCGGCGGAAATAAAATCAACTGGATACCTGGATTACTACAACATCAACCACCTCAAGGCATGCGAACCGATTGTTGTCTTTTCAATTTCTTCATCTCGCCGAGCCGAAGGAAAAAGTACCGGTAACTTCGAAAATACAAAAATGTCGGAATCATACCCCTGTGGCAACCCCTCCGCGGCGGAGGGGACACCCCGCAAGAAACGAAAACTTCGTAAGGGCACCCAAAGCTGCTGGGAATGCAAGCGGCGGAAGATCCGATGCACATTTGCAGCACCTACAGACACCACCTGCGACGGGTGTAAAAGTCGTCAAACGAGATGCATTAGCCAAGAATTTCCTGAAGAAATAGCATCTACAAGAAAAAGCATCAACAGGCTTAACCGAATAGAATCGCTAGTTGAACAGTTGGTTCAGCGGGACAGCGCCGATACGCTACATACGTCGCATTTGGATCAATCGGGACGGGATGCGACTGTACGGCGAGCTGTAAGAAATGTCGCTATTTCAAGCCACTTGCTTATCTGACAATTTCTTAAGCAAGATCCTTCAGGGCTCTCCAAGGCGGTCGCGACCTCTGGCCTAGAGTTAGAGAGTCAAGCGACTGGCGATCTTGATGGCCTATCCCATACTCTCCTGGAAGTGTGGCCTAATCAGGAAGATCTCGACATAATTCTAGGCATTCCAGTCCCCGTTTCGATATTATTTCACGGCGTAGTCTTCCGTCCCTACTCCGATTTCTTTTCCGGGCAAATGTCGTCGTCGCGATCCATGCTACAGCCACCCCTGCCAAAATCCCATCCAGTTCTCGTTGCAAGGAAATTGCTGCTACTAGCTACTTTCCTACAAGGCATCCAACCAAGTTCTGCTGATGAACTAGTTAGTCTGAGTTCGGACTACCATGATCTTATGTCTCGTGTATTCAATGTCGCTACTAGGCTCGTAACAAGCGATGACGAGCTTATCAACTCACTCGAGGGTATTGAGTGTGTCATGATTGCGAGTATGTATTTGGATAATGCTGGAACCCTCCGCCGCGCCTGGCTAGCAAACCGTAGAGCTATGGCCGCGGCGCAGATGATGGGTTTGCACACTAGCACCAGTTCACCGACCATCCTCGAAAGCGAAACGCGGGATCGCATTGATCCTGATTACATGTGGTTTCGCATTGTACTGACAGATAGGTATTTGTCGTTAATGCTAGGTCTTCCTCAAGGCACACACGAGAATATCTTCGCCCGCCCGGAAGCCCTCGATAGATGTATGGATGTGGAACGCATGGAGCGTATGATGGCAGTTGCTTCTAGTCTCATTCTCCAGCGAAACAGCGATCAAAACCCCGATCCTGCGGCGACGCGTAAAATTGACAAGATGCTACAGGATGCTGCCGCTATGATGCCCCCGCGGTGGTGGCTGATAGCGTCTGACCCCACTACCATCACTAATAACGGCGCAAAAGCATTTGAGGAAACCGTCCGCCTCATGAACCAATTCGCATACTATCATCTTCTCGTTCGAGTGCATTTACCGTACATGATGCTGCCTTCTTCAATTGAGCCAAGCTTCGATTATAGTAAGATGATTGCTGCGAGTGCCAGTCGTTCAATCATTACATTATTCGTTTCGTTTCGCAGCTCTTGTTTGGATACCATGTACTGCCGCGGCGTCGATTTTGTTGCTTTTATCGGGAGCATAGTTCTATGTCTTGCGCATATCGAAGCTCGTCGCCAGCTCAATGCCAATAGTGGCAAAGGTATTAACGTTTTCCAATCGCTTCAACATCAACGATTGAGCGACCGTGGATTACTCGAACGTACCCTCGAAATAATGGAGAGGATGGCTGACACTTATCACGATATAATCACTCAAAAGATCTCCAGCATCCTCCGGCCGTTGCTCGCCATTGAGGATAATTCTCTCCAAGGGGACTACTACCATGTTCACACCTCTTCGGATGCCAATAAGCAGGAATCTCAGTGCATCGGCGATACGAGCGAAGCTTTCCACGCTCTCCATATAAAGATCCCGTACTTCGGGACGATCCGGATCGAGCATCGCCCCTCCCTTCCAAATCCAATTGAACCGGTACCATGCGGAAGCTTGCCCGTATCGCAGCAGCCAGACGCAGGATTGGTTACCCTCCACGAACCAGTTTCCCCGCCCAACCAAGATAAAGGAGGAAAGACCCCCAAAAGCCGCCCGCTAGGCTATGAATTCAGTATTAATGAACCGGTCAATGCAGATTGGCAAGCAGTGCCATCGTCTTTCGATACCAGTGGCACGCAAGAGAATTATCTTAACCTCTTGGTTCCCGGGTTGGAGGCAGGCATAGATGACTGGGTGTTACAGGGAGTCGACATGGCTTTGTTTAGTAACCTCACACAAGGCTCGGAAGAGTCTGCTCATATTTAATGAGTTCAATTCCCTCATTGGTTTATATTATAGGTATATTACCTGTACCCGTTGAACGGGCAAGAACTTTTAGGATTTCGGAATGTGAGAGGGGCATAATGAGGATTGTTTCAAGCCCAAGATGTAAGTTATCCCACGTATCAAATTTAATGGCTTTTCTTGATTGTCCTATCCCGACTCTAGTATGAAACCCCCTATTATCTCCCCAAAACTCAATGCTAAAGGGGAAAGTTACAGGGAGTCATTTTGGCGGGCTAGCGGGGCTAGCGGGGTCGAGTGCCTTCTGAGCCCTGTGCACCGCCGTAGTCGAGCTCAGGTGCGGTGTCCAGCCTCAACTCACAGTTCAAGCTACCTTACCAAGAGCTCAATTCCAAGTTTGCAGTGACAAGTTCGAGGTATTTCTTTGACTATTTATTAGGTACCTATAACCCGATTAGAAAAGCTATAGTTTCATAAAGAGATCGGGCGGCCTTGCTAATGATTGGGTGGAAAGGACAGTGTTAAACACCATTATAAACGATTTTGACTGTGGACGTTGGACAAAGATTTAAACCCGTACTTTTGTAGGTATACAATACGGATAGGGTTATGATTGACGCTACAGGACCTACCCAAGCTTGAAGAATTCTCTTTGTTGCTACATCTAGTAGGAGCTTGGGCTCTGATTCGAATTTTTACTGATTTAACCTCGTATGTCGTTTACTTTCCTTCGCCTTTATATTGGTTTTATGTCCTTGTTTTTAGTTGTGGAAACTTACAAGTTTTGGTTAAAATCACATTAGCTCTTAGGTATTGATGTTCGCCCTATGTACCTACTAGCGTACCTATAGGTTACCGTTATAGTGATGGTGTACCTATTCTAGGTACCTACTAGGTACCTACCTAGGTAGGCGGTACACGCCAGGAATGCTGCAATTGGCACTTTTATTTTACAGGCGCTAAACATGTTCGTCCAGCTCTTTATCTCCCCATCTTCCCGTTCAATAACATTATCTCCTACTAATTCCTAGTACTAGGTATTCAAGTATACTACCTTCCTAGCTTTGATTTCGGGTCCAGGCGCTTACCTATTTGGTTAAAAACCCCGTAACAAAGGTATTGATTGAGACATACGGTATCTAATTCCATGACGTTATTAATACTGTGAGATATCATAGAAGATCGTGAGTCTTTATCATAGGGTAAGGAACGGCATTTATAAAATCTTTCTGCGCTACGTAGTGTTCGTGCTACAACAGCCTCATATGAAGTCGTGTATTATTTCGTATCCTGCAAGATATGGGATCTAATCAATGGCAAGATCCTGCTTTTGAATTTATCAGTCCGAATGAGGTACTCGCAATTGGCTTTTGTTTGCCAATAATATGTATTACGCTCGTCGGATTACGATTCTATGCGCGCCGGCGCCAGGGGACATATATCGGAATAGACGATTGGCTTAGTGCCTTAGGATCCCTATCTATAACGGTCATAGGAGCCTGTATAATTGCTGCCGAGCACCTCGGACTTATGGGTTACCCGACTCCTGTGCCACCAGGGACCACCACGCCCCAAGCATATATTTCGTTTCTACTATCTCACAAAGTAGCAGCCAAAGTAAATATCCACCCCCTACACATGAACTATTTTCCACATGTATCATATGCTAAAAATTGACAGCTTGAGTTCCTAATACAAGTTTTCCAGTGTGTTTCGTATGGGTTGGTGAAAACTAGCATCATCTTCTTTTCCAGGCGTATCTTTACGGGACACAAGAGTTCTCTCTTCGATAAGACATCACTATTCTTGATTATCTCCACAACTATATGGTCAATTTCCTATTTCCTGGCTCTTTTCTTCGGATGTAATAAGCCTTTGCCGTTACGCTGGGCACCGGTGCAATCTAGGGGGTTGGTTGGCTGTGACACAGTCAAGACGGAATCAGCAATCATCATATTGAATCTCATCCTAGATATATTGATTCTCGGCCTTCCACTACCGTCGGTAAAGTTTATCACCCCGTTGAGATACTTTCATTAACTCACATTGTAATTTGCAGATTTGGGGACTGAACATGTCGCTCGCAAGAAAATTCGCTATTACTGGAGTATTTCTAGTTGGATTCATGTCTGTAGCTACAGCAGCTGCGCGTGTTACCGTTTTTTTCGTAGTGTCATATCCAAACAAGGGGATGCTCTTTGATATAAATCGTGAGTGGCTTCGTTTTTACGTTTGCTATTCATTTCATTCATGCTAATAAATTGCGTAGAAACTGCAGGGACTATGCTTTGGCTTGGATTGCTGGAATCGTCCCTCGCATCAATTGCATCGTGTCTTCCCACGCTCACTGTTCTAGTTAAAGATGTTAGGTTCAGGAAGTTGTACAATCTCTTAGGTAACAGGGCAGGTCTTTTATCTTTTCCGAAGACAGCCTCCGGAAACAGAAGATGGCCCCGCCCTAGTGCCCATAATGACGACGACAATGCCTTTGCATTTACTGCTATGGACCCCAAAAAGAAGAAAGACAGGATTACTATTGAGCGGCAAATTTCAATACGGAGAGATGAACTATTGGTTTAATACCTATGTACGAAAAGTTATTTAATTTAATACATAATAGAATTACTACAGCTAAACAGGTATTCACAAAGAATTAGATCCTTGTGATGATGGGCTGGGGCCGCGTGCACTATGCGGGGCTGATTACGATACCAGACATGTACACTAAAATATAGTGGGAAGATCATTAAATAGGTCCATGAAGGTTACCTAGGTACCTAATATGCAAGGTACGGCCTTCTATAGCTGCGGTTTTATGAATACTGCTCGCCCGATTTGAATGCAACCTCTCATATCGCGATCGAGATTCCCACCTCATGTTTGATCTTCTTATCCTTGACGGGTTCGCCTTCTGGGACCATACTCCATGATAGACGTCCTGACGGGAAGCCTTCTGAAGGCATAGAGCCGAGATTAGTTGCTTTTGCGACGTATGCTCCGATCCAATCCGCAAATACTCTATCGTCTAATAGTGGAAGCACCCAATTTGCGAAGAGCTTATGAGCCGGTGTGGCATAAGTCTGTGCTTTCGCGACCAAGTTGCTGAGATTCATTAGCTCTCTCATACGTTGTTGCTGTTGTTTTTGGTATGTCGCAAAAGCCATGTTGAGAGCTGTTCCACTTGGTTTAGGACCTTTGGTGTCCTGAATAACTTGACTGATGCAATTAATCAGACATGCAACACCCTCAATGGCTGAATTTCCGCCGAGAGCAAGGTTGGGGTGAAGCTAGAAGCCGCCGAATGTCAGGAACAGTATTTATACAATCAAGGTACTAGGCACTTGTGCTCTTACTTTGTGAACAGCATCGCCGGCAAGTACAATTCGACCGTGGTGCCAGTGTTCCATTACCCCCTCTTCGAGAGAAATGACAGAGGCACGGATTCGGCGCTTCCATATCTCGCCGAAAAGTATCTGGTCTGTGACTGGCTTGTCCGCAACAATTTCGGCCAAGGTTTCGGCATCCTCGTCAGTAAACTTTTCCTGCTTAGGCCACGAAAAGGGTTGATCATTGCGGAAGATGACAAAAAGGTACACCGCGTTAGGTTGTGACGTAGCGAGGAACGTAAACCCTTTGTTATAAGTGGTTATGAGGTCCCGATGCCCGAGCTCTGGGATGGCGGGTGTCACGACGAGTAGTGACTTGAAGGTGGTTGTTAAGGCTATAAGATAGGTATATGAGCTTATGCTAAGGCGAAATTCTTTCAACATAGGGAAACTTGTGAGGACATACATGTCTTTTCGCTAGTGCGGATTAATCCGGGAGATGTTTTATTAGCATAATCCCACATTAGACTCCGCATTACGCTATGGACACCGTCGCAACCGAGTACCATATCACCAACTTCAACGTCGCCATTACTGAGCCGCACTTCAACTCCATTGGCGTTTTGATCCACAGCTTCGACATTGGCATCGGTCTTAATAAACGATTTATCAGGTAAAGCATCGTATAGTATTTGTAGAAACCGGCGCCTTTCTAGAGGATAGAAGCCTATTCCATGGCTTATGGATGTTAACGATGCCGACAAAAGATTACCATGATATTTGCGCTTCCACGTATCCATAGTCTGTGGTTATGAGATATGTATAGAGCGAATAAAAAGAAAGGGATTATATGAATCTTATGGCAACATAATTGGACTTACTTCTCTTGCACACGAGTATAAAGTTCGTTGTCTTGTATTAAGCGCCCATCTGCACCCCGGCATTGGAAACGATTAATTGGCACGGAGGCGGCCTTGATAGCATCTAAGCAACCGAGCTGATGAAGAACGCGTAGGCCGTGCGGCCACATGGCAATCCCAGCACCGAGGGCAGGAGCCACCTCCACATGTCTTTCAAGGACGACATGGTCGATGCCAAGCTTTTGAAGACATCCAGAGGCTACCAGGCCAGCCACGCCACCGCCAACGATAACAATGCGGAAGGGGCTCTCAAGATGGGCCATAGTTATGCGCATAGAATAGGCTGGCCATCTGAATATGGTGAATGGAAAGTATAGTGATAATGTATGCTGCTTGGAATTCTACTTGCCATTTGTACGGCGATAGAGAAACAGAAGACAATTGCACGTCGAATCGACTCATGAAGGAATCATTAGGTAATCTTGAGTTGTATTCAGAAGATGGCTGTCGAGGACTGGCGGATGGCGGACACCGAGGTTCGGACTACCGGACGAAGGATCCCGATTGCTTCGGGGTGAGTTTCCCGAACACTTTCTAGAAGGTCCGTTACGGCAATCTCAACTATAATTTAGACTGATTCCCGGATGACCCGGCACTTATTGGATTACTTACCTTGTATTCTACAATGGCCTACGTAAACCAAATTTACGTACTAGGTACTATGTAGTCTTCCTTTAAGTTCAGGTTGTGGGATTTGAGATGCCCTCGCTCCGAGCGCCTTGTTTCCTTATCAATGACCGAGCCTATAAACATTACTGCATGGTTGCTTATCTCAGGGGACTTCTGGCTAGGCATATCACTAATAGGTCAGATCTTGGCCTGTATTTAGGGCCTCGATGCGAAATTTTGACTAGGGGATTTATAGCGGTCATCGAATCCCCTGGGGCGCTGGAGCTTAGCGGCTTTGGCGCAATATCTAGTAGGATGCGCGGTAGTGCTTAGGCGCTGAGCGCCCTCGGTTAGGTTCTGTAGACAGCCAGCCGCTGCAGCCGCTGCAGCCGCTGGCGGAGGTTCATAATGTCAATTATTGGTCTGTCAATATTGAAATAGCCTCCTAAATCACTCAAAAGCTATTCGATTAGTTCAACTAACTGATCGCAGTTTAATTGATCAATAGTATCTAATTTATAACTTGGGGTGCCTAATCTTGGAATTGCCTAGGTGATACGCGCTGTAATTGTAGGAATGCTTTAGTGATTTGGGCGCTAATGAGTAGCCTAACACCCGTAAACTGCAGCAATAATAGCGCAATATGTCCCTACAGCCCCTCCAGTTCTACGTCGGAGACCACCTGGGTATGGGCTACGGAAAAAAGCCGTGTAAATTGCGATGTTCCTCAACAGTGTGGCGCTGTTATCTAGTGGCTTAGCCGCCAAGATAACCTTAAGGTGCGGCCGTTATCGATTAGAATTTAGCGGATAGCTCACTATCAGGTCCAAGGTTTCAGCCTAAAAAGCTCATAGTGTGAAAAATTACTGCTTATTTACTAATCACGCCCTAGCCAATCTAAATTAAATACCTATTTCCAACGAACCTGACCATTTTCCATTCCCTACAACAACGGATTTCATTGTATTCTCAATCAAGTACCAACGCCCTGGGCTGCGCATACCTGTGTAGCAAACTTGGTAATAGTGAGAGTAGGTCCGAGGAGCTGTTGGAAGGGAACGTCCATGCGATACTCCTTGAATATCCAATTGCGCAGCTCAGCACCGATCATTGAATCAATACCATAAGAAGCGATGGATCCAGCATCAGGATTAATATCTTCAGCGTCAAGCATCAGCATGCGTGCTAGCTTGTCGATGAAGTGTTCGTTAACAGCTGAAATTGCTTCGTCGGCGGAACTGGCTGCCTTAATGGTTGCTAGGATGCTTTGACTACCTGCTCCTCCGGTAGTGTCGTCAGCCGAAGAACTAATGGCGTGAACGACATGACTAAAGCGGGCATCTTCAAGCCAGAAACTGTCGGTAGAAGCTGTATCATTAACGGCCTTTTGAAGCCTGGCAGGGTCGAGACCTGGGGCCACGTGGTCAGGGACTCGTCTTAGATTGCTCGAGATCATAGCAGCCTCAAAGGACTGGAGAAGATGCTCTTCGTCAATCCCATACATCCCTTTGCGTTTGAGGGCATCTTCTAATTCAGCATTCTCGGCAACAACCCCGACACCCAAAATCATAGGTAAAACGATGGAGGTTGCAACATTATTATGGGTCAGGCGATGTCTTGCGAGCGAGTCAAGGTACGCATTGGCAGCCGCGTAGTTACTCTGGCCTGGCGTGCCGAGAATGCCGGAAACGGAGCTGGTCATGATGAAGAAATCCAGAGATTTGCCCGCTAGGACCGAATGAAGATTCATGGCACCAATGACCTTCGGCTTGGTGGATTGCTTCCATGCTTTATACTCCATCGAGTGGAAGAGGCCATCCTAAAAAGTGGTTAGTAGAGTGATTTTTATGCTATATATTGCGAGGCTGAGCACAACATACCCTTAATACCATAGCTGCATGGACGACACCTTTAATCGGATACTTCGTTGAGATACCGTTAACGGCGCGTAGCACATCTTCGCGAGATGTGACGTCTCCGCGGACAATCTGGACGAATGCACCGGTGGCTTCGAGATCCCTAACAAGCTGCGCAGCAGACTTTGAATCCGCACCTGAGCGAGAGAGGAAAGTGAACCTACGAGCCCCAGACTCCACCATCCACGAAGTAAGACTACGTCCAAGACCCCCTAGACATCCAACAAGCAGATATGACGCGTCGGGACTAAACTGGAGCTCAGGCCGCGATTGCATGATTTGGATAGGCGCTTCGGATTCCTGAAATTGGACAACAGATTTGGCGGCACCAAAAACGTCAGAGAAAGCAGATACTGCCTTGTCGAGACCAGCGAGATTTACAGGCTTGATCTTTCCAGGAGAAACGATTAACCGGCGCTCCCATAGACCGACGATGGTCGGCAACAACTCAGACAACTGTCCTGGCCGAGATTGATAGACTTCGAGAATGTCGAATGGTATGTAGCTGGCGCTGCGGTGGACTGGGATACCGTCAAGGACGTTTCGGCTGAGGTTAACTTTGCGACCACTGTCGAGGAACCGTCCGAACGAGGCGATGCATCGCCATGCTTCATGCGCCATTCCGCTATCGACGCTCCCGGCGCTGAACACAATATCAGCCCCGTGGCCGTTAGTCAGGCCTTCTAGACGTTCGGAGACAAGGCCTCCGGACGCTTTCAGGATATGACTAGCATCAACGCCAAGCTGATTTCGGATGAATTCAAACTCGTCGTCAGTCTGTACGACAACATAGGGAATGGCGTTCTTAAGCTGTGCGATTTTGATAGCAGCGGCACCAGCGAAACCCGAATTGCTCAGAACTAAGACATTCTCCCCTTTTCTCACGGAAGCGAGGGTCTCGAGGCCGTGCAAAGCCGTAGCGTAGGCCATCAGGGTGCTGACACACCCATCAATATCTTCATCGTTTCTGATTTTCTGCAGCATGGGAGCTGGAACTTGTTGGTAACTATTAAAGTAGCCAACGTTGAATCCTACCACTTTATCACCAGCCTCGAGACCAGGAACTCCCGCTCCTACTCTCTTCACAATGCCGCCGATTTCGTGGCTGAATGTAGTCGCGTAATCTGAGCCAGATATGGCCAGAACCCCTTCTTTCGTCAGACCGCTACTTAGGACCTCGATTTCGACATGGCCTTGTTGGATGTCATCGGTAGCTGCTTCGCGTTGGAACACGACTTTGCTTTTTAAGATTCTACCTGAGATACGGTCATTAACATGGAAGTTCTCAGGCTCAGCTTTGCCACTGTTCCTGAATATGCTGTTCAAATCATCTTGGCGAAGGAGACGACTAATGTAGGTCTTCCCATTAGAGATAGAGAATTCCCGCTCTGGCAGCTTTTCGGATTTAGTTGCTTGGAGTAACGCAACATTGGTAACTGACTTGGCAATTGCTTCCAGGCTAGTGTTATCGACGTCAATGTCAAGAACGCGGAAGTCAAGCGAAGCTTGCTCGGACGTAACGGTGCGAGCAAGACCGGATACCATAGCATATTCCGGTTTCTTTCCCTCTGTTAGTCCACCAATACTAACCCATAGGAGCGAGGAGGTCTTGGCTATGATATTCTGAACCGCGGAAAATTCCTGCTCGTTGCAATCGAAAAGGAGAGGGCCCTCGAAATCAGCAAGCATGACGACATGCTCAGAAATGGATAATTCGAGAGAAGCATCTAAACTAATAACGTCAATATTCCAGGAAAGAGACTCGAGTGCAGTCTTGACCTTCGAAATTGCGGGACTTTCGCTATTGCGGTATACCAGCTGCACCGAGCGGCTGCCGTATTCGGATATTTCGCTATTGGCCGTGGTAATGGTGATTTCGGAGTTGATAACATTTGCGCCATGGCCAAGCAGGCGCCGTAACTGAGGTGTTAGCTGCTCTTCCTGGCTAGCGATCATAATGTCGTATGATCCCTCCTTTAAATTCTGCAACTCGGTTCCCTCAGAGGACTGGACCGTAATAACTTTAGCGTTGTGATATCCAGATATGATGATATCAGCTGTCTTGGCTTCTTCATCTGAGGACACAATAATAGTATATTGAGCCCGAGGATTCTTGGCGAGAATTTTAGGAGCATACATTGCTCCTAACTCAATTACTTTAGCGTTGGGGTATTTGAACAATGCTAAATTCATTAGGTCGGATGTGGTCAAACCACTCCTGTTTTCGGCAGTATCAAAGTCAAGGTCCCAAGTCATCTCGCCGTAAGGAGCATCTTCAAGTGCGCTCTCGGCCTTCTGGGGTACTGCGGCCTCATAGGCGGTTGCCCGCATGTTGGTGATCTCCATGACCATCTCGCCATCCTGGGCTGTCAATTGTACTGTGCTTTCTGAAGTTCGGATACCGCGGCGGTGCACAACGGCGTAAGCATTCGCCTTCTCGGCTTTTAGTTGCTTCTCGGTCGGCGGCCAGATAACCACCTCATCAACAGATACAGGCACAACACCACAGTCGATAGCATTAGTACGACCGGCATAGATGGCCGCAATGCAAAGCTGTAGTGTCGAGTCAATGCACGCGGGATGAAGTACATATCGTGATTCGCCGAGACTCTTCATGACGACTTGCTTAATATTGGTAGCGCAAGCGGCCTGGTATCGCTTACCATCGAAGCGAATGTCGTCCATATCTTGAAATGTCTCCCCATAATCAAAACCAACTTCTCTAAGCGCCTGGTTCCAAGCTTTCCCCGTTGCGCGCTGCGGAAAATCCGGAATTTTACGCGGCGTCTTCCCACGAGGGCGGGTATTAATTCCAATAGAACCAGACATATGGTCTTTCTTAACTCCTTCATTATCAATCGACGACACGTTCCAATCCCACCATTCGCTGCCGTGCAGTGATGGTCGCATACTCAAGACTATCTCGATGCCGTCATCATCGTCTGGAGTTACTAACGCCGTCTTGATCGAGACGTCGCGTATCGCGTAGCTTTCGATCGGGATAGGTGTCTCTTTGAGCTCATTAATCTGTCGGATTGCCTCGATAGCCATGGAAAAGTAACCGGCGGCAGGGAATACTGATTCACCACCTAGATGATGGTGTTTGAGCCAAGGAAGGTCGCGTATCCGAAGGACATTACGCCAAGTAGGCTCCGCTAAGGAGCCCCCAATCACCAACTGGCCGAGAACATCATGTCGGGGAAATTTGGGCTGTCGCTGTTCTCGACTGCTGCGGCTCTCGGCCCAGAACGATCGAGTATAATTCCATTGGTACGAAGGAAGATCTACGATTGTTGAACCTTTCACCATCTTCCCGTCGGCCGACGCCGCTTCAATATAAGCACTGCTCACCTTCTCCATGTCAACTGGGTAGTTTCGAAGGAACATCTCACCGGCAACCTTCAAGAGTTGGGCGGCACAATCGTTGCCTCTTAGTAACGTTGGGATATACTCAATATTTTCGGCCTTCGCCTTCGCCTTGATTTGCTTAATGGAACTAGCCATGGCCGAGTGAGGACCGACTTCGATGAATAAATCGACATCTGCGAATTGCTCGGATCCCAGAATTGTCCCAACAGCCTGATTGAATAGTACAGGGCTTCTCAAATTGGTAGTCCAATATCTCGCGTCCAAGTTGGTCTCAGCAGGGAGAATAGAATTTGTGACAGAAGACACCATCTTCGCAGTCGTTGAGAGGGGTAGACTGAAATTCTGTGACTTTTTCGCCGCGCGAAGGAGTGCTTCGTATTTCTGGGCTACGGGATCGATATGATGTGAGTGATATGCCTTTCCGTTGGTCTTTACGGGGCGAGCGAAAACGCCGTCGCCATCGAGATCAACCTTGACAGCCTCAATAGCGTCATTGTCCCCAGATAGTGTTACTAGCGACGGAGAGTTATGACACGCGACACCAACCTTGCCCTTGAACTTTGTGAGGTAGGGCTCAACTGCTTCCGCACCAAGGCCGACAGCCATCATAGCTCCTCCAGTACTCATATCCTTAGCAACCTGACCCCGATAATAGGCGGCGATGATGGCCTCGTCAGATGAGATCAATCCCGCCGCGTAAGCAGCTGCAATTTCACCTGATGAGTGGCCCACGGTAACCGTAGGACAGATGCCCCAATATTCGAGTAATTGCACCACGGCAATCTGAATAGCCGTGCACAGCGGCTGGGAAAACTCCGCATCGTTCACTGGCGACGTGTCCGCTTGTTCAAGTAGGACGTCCTCGATAGACCACTCCGGACCGTCGTTTAGCTCTTCAAGCACAAGATCAAGGGCACGTATCGAATGCAGAAAGTGGGGACAATATACCATCAACTCAGCGCCCATACGGGCCCACTGAGCCCCCTGGCCAGTGAAGACGAAGCCAACAGAACGGATACTCTTTTTGTCCGCGAAGGTGAAATTCTCGCTTACGCTATTGAACACACTATTTAAGCTGTTATAACTAGCGACGGCATAGGCTTTGCTTGGTAAAGAACTGCGTCTGTTACTAAGCGTGTATGAGAGATCGAGTAAATTGTACTTGGCAGCAACCTTTCCGTGAGCATCGATGTTGCGGCGAAGAGTGGCCTTGTCGTGGGCCGAAAAGGGGAGAAGGAAAGAACGTTTACGCTCCACGGCTCGGCGCCGGCCAACAAACCGTTGCTTCTGAGTCCAACTGTCCAGATATGTGTACCTTGGTGCGTGTTTCGTTAAAGATTGGGTGTCCTCAACGATGATGTGGGCGTTTGTTCCCCCATACCCAAAGCTATTAATCGACACGCGACGCACAGGAAGCTCTCTAGGGAATGGAACAGCCTTAGTGGGTACTTTAACCTTCCATTCGTCCCACATGATGGCAGGGCTAGGGTCAGTGACTCCACGGATTGCCGGAATGAGTCCCCGTTCCACGATCATGATACCCTTGATCAAGGCGGAAAGACCCGACGCGGCTTCACTATGACCTATGTTTGGCTTTACCTAATTACGAAATTCCATTAGTCACTAAGATCTCTAAGTTCATTAAGAGTAGGTACATACTGCTCCAATTAAAAGAGGCTCTTCGCCTGGCTGACGGTTCTTATTCATAGCCATAGCCACAGCGTTAACCTCAAGCGGATCTCCAACTGCGGTGCCGGTTCCGTGGCATTCGAAATATCCGGTTAAACGAGGGTCAAGATCACCTCCTCTCTTATAGGCCGCCGTAATAACATTCATTTGGCCTTCGCGGTTGGGGTGTGTTATACCGGCGGCAGGGACTTTGCCGTTCGAGTTGGTGGCGGTAGACCGGATAACGCCGCGGATCGGATCGCCATCCCGGATAGCATCAGAAAGGCGCTTAAGATAAACGGCGCCGACTGCATCCGCCCGACCGTACCCATCTGCATCTGCATTGAATGTGTGACAAGTCGAGGTAGGTGAAAGAACACCAAGCTTGGCAGTGTTCATGTGCTGGTCCACGGTGATAATTAGGTTAACGCCACCAACAATGGCTCCTTCGGCCTCCCGATTTCGTAATGCGTTGCACGCGTTGTGTAAGGCATATACGGATGAGGAGCACGCTGTGTTACACATGACTATGAGGCAGTTCAAGTTAGTATTGACTTCCTCTTCAAGTTCCTATGATACGTACTACTAGGGCCATTGAGGTTGAAGACGTGACTAATACGATTGCTAATAAGGCCAGGATCTACGCCAGTCGCGGCTAGGCTATGGCGGAAGGAGGGCTCCTTGAACGCCATTTGCTGCCAGTCAGCCGTGAAGCTAGCGGCGAAGACAGCAGTACGGGTTCCCGAAATTTTCTCAAGCGAGATGCCTCCAGACTCAAGAGCTTCGTACACGACTTCGAGGAGTTTGCGCTGTTGGGGGTCCATCCACATGGCTTCGACAGGCGTGATACCAAATAAGCCAGGGTCGAAGTCCGAGAGCTCGCCGTTCAGGAAGTAGCCACCAAGCACGGCAAAACTGCCGGGGCGGTCGTTGTTCTCGTGTATGTGCGCATCGATATTGAACCGCGACTTAGGAACCTTGGGCGTCTGGCCTGAGCGCTTCTCCATCATCAGGTTCCAGAACTCCGAGGGAGAATTTACATCTCCGGGAAGTCGACAGCCTGAAAGCGCTCGTTAACTCCCTGATTGAGTATCTAACTGGGGAAAGATGAATCATGAAAAACTTACCCATGCCAATAACGGCGATCGGCTCCAGCTGCTCATCAAGAGGCTTTTCAGCGTATCCGGGGAAAGATAGGGCTGGATATTCATCCGCCCCCATTGAGGAGGAGGCACTTGACGCTGCGGTGTCTGGAGTTGGAAGTTCATGGCTTGCCGTAGGGCGCTCATCGTAAGAAGACCCAGAAGACGAGCTCGGGCTTCTTGTTAGTGCCGGCATTGTTATTCGCTCAGTAGATGGTAATGGTGGCACGATCGAAAGTGAAAACTTAGGCGTCAGGCTGGCCGTTGACTGTGCTACTGCATGAACTGGATGGGCTGATGTCGTCGTAAGATTATGTGTTCAGGTATAGAGATATGGGGTTATTATAGCGAGGTTCGTTGGCGGCTCGCTAGATGCATCGCCTTGGCCAGAGTCTAGATCTCGTGGGTTATTCCGCAAAGTCTCTCCGCAATCAGATCGGGATGATGCGGCGGCCGCTTTCCCGTGGTCTGAGGGGACGGTCTTGTCAGCCGGAAGACCGAGGCGGCCCGGATGGCGGGACGGGTAGAATAATTAGATAAGATTAGGTACCTAGGTAGAGGTAGTCTGGGTGGCGTTGAGCAATAGGGGGCGGGGCCGAGTTGCCCGACTTGGGGTACATACTGGTTTTCAGCTTATACGATCTAGGAAACACGAGCGCGGGCTATAAGGATGGAGACTAGGTAGGTACTAAGCATGCGCGTAAGCTCACAGTAGGAGAAATGATCCCATCAGCATAATCCGGATCTATGGGCTTACACTCATAGGAAAGGCATTCGTTAGATGGAGAAACTCTAGGATGAATCTTAGGGCATGTAAAATGCTGTAACACGCAGTAATCCGGATTCTTAGCTCCGAACTCCATCGGTAAGATGCAGGACTAGCAAGTAGTCCGCGGTAGCCTCGCCAAATCCCGATTACCTGACTTTGCATAGCCAGATAGACGCACGTTGGCGGCGTTATCGGGACCGATTATCTAGGTGCCTACATGGTAATCGTGAATCTCACGCCATATAAAGATGTGAATCCTGTTTGTGTAATAAACATGTCTCTTTGATCCACGTGAGCCATATGTGTGATATCGTGAAAAATACCGCTACAGGTATAGTGATGTGATCACGATAATCTCGTAGATTTTTACGTATTAGCCTACTAGGTAGGTACCTATGAAAAAATCTAGGTAGGTAGGAATTCAATGTCGAAGAGTGAAGCATACCTGGTACTTAGGTACTAGAACCTAGTAGCTACCTACGGAGGATCGAGGATAATACCATGTTAATGCCATAATTTTGAGTTAAGCTGAGGTATTGAAATGTTGCTTAATGTCAACCTGTATACTCCTACTAGAGCAGAAGATTTTCACGTTGTCTAAACCGGCAAGGTCACAACGCCCATTTAAGTCTTTTATCAGTGATTTGAGTGATCTGGCATCAGTATTCCAAGGTTTACATCAGAGCCTTCTCGAATTGTGCATCAGTCTTAATTACCTCTTTGTTCGTGTCGATGCACATCGAGAAGAAATCGACGTTTTGCACATGATATAGTTTCCAAATATTCTATTGTCGACACCAGCCTAGGTACCGGTATCTTCATACTAGAGTTTTATATCGGATACATAACCCCTTTAAGGAGCTTAGTTACCTAGCTTGCAACGGTCTGCTATTGTTGAAGGTGAGACCAGCTAAGCTTGCTTGCTTGCGATTTCCTCAGTATCCATCTCAGTCTCCTTCCTACATAGTAGCCAAACCATTCCCATTCCTGGGCCAAAAATAGTAGTGATAACTAAAAATCTCAATAAAGGACGTTCGTATCCCGATGCTCGCATCGATGTTTCAGAATCAAGCATGTAAACCCCAACAGCAATAACTGCTAAGGAGATTATCAGAAGATCCCACTGTATGAATATCATAGCTCCCTCAGTCAGTAGATTTGGACCACTCTGAATGAGGCTGTAGTTGGGCCAATATATTCTGCTCCAAGAAATATCTGGGGATATATAGGCATATGCAAGAACGCCGACACGGACGATACTGCTAACCAAGCCAACTATCATGTATGATACTTTGATCGGGCTTGCCAGTCCTTTATAATCTTGACTTGAGACCATATAGCTTACTAGATCCTGGAATGGCCCAAGAGTTAGAGGTGCGAAGAACCAAAAAACCGCAGCGTCCTGGATTTTAAAGGGGTGAGAGCCAATAGCCCCGGGGATAAGTAGGGGAAGCGAGATTAGCACGCTCCAGACCGCTGTAAATGGTAAGGCCTGGGACTGATCTTTAGGCACGCGGGGTCTTCGTGTCGACCGCTCCTTGAAATATAAATGAAGGTAGATTGGTAGAATCGCGGCCGCTCCGCACCAGTTCCACAAGAATTGCCAATTGGCAGTACTATGACCTGTAAGTCTCATAAATGATCAAAGGCCGATAACGGGGTACTTACTATCGTAGGTAGCCTGTCTTCCTATTTCTTCGGTCCTCAACGAGAGTCATCATGTTGAAGACCACCAGCACAAATACCAGGTCAACTAGCATTAAAAGCGGCCCAACGTCAGATAAATCGGCTAGGTTGATGACGGAACCAAAGAATACCACGAGGAGGCCAGTAACGTAGTCGATAGGCCATATTCCCGTCCACGCTCTTTTGACCGGAGTTCCGGTCGGGAAAACACCATTCCAATTTGTCGATATCATGGCCATGAAGGAGCCGTTCATCATCATGGTAAACCATTGAGTCATAAACGCTAGAAACGTCATGGGACGGAACACGTAAGTTGGGTCCGGAAGCGCCATTGTTGAGGACATGTTTGATCTTTGAACTGAAGTGTGATTAAGAGATTAGTTGGTAGTAACTGAAACGTATGTAAAGATGCCCAAATGGTTCAAGTGGCGTGAGAGATTCAATGAACTACGCAGAAATAGCGCCAGGTAGGTAAACATGTATATTTCAGCTCTAGGAATCGGAAATATTTCATATTTCATGAGATTGGAAGTTTGTACTCTTCACCTTGAACCCTATACCCTGAACCTGGCCGGCTGCTAGTTCTTCTTTCTTTCGGGCGCCCCTCTCCGCAGTCTTCGGAATGCCCCACTCTTTCTCGGTCCGTACTCTCCGCACTCTCTACAGTCTAGACTTGTTAACCACAAAACGACAAAACTCCCGAAATGTATGTCCTGATTAGCTGCGGAATAATATGAAATCTTTCATTGGTCCGTATAATTCCGTCTGCATCGAATGTTGATGATGTGATTAAAGCCGTTGTATTAGCCTTCAATGAGACATGGATACCACTGAAAGAAAGAGAGTGCCAGTGTAACTCTAAATATTATATCTATTCAGAATCAATAGTAAAGGGAGCACCTAGCTAGTAGAGAGATAAATGTCTGAGAAGTAAATCTACTTTGAATTAAACCACCAATAATCGAATGTGATGGGCTCAACTATCGAGCAAGTAGATGTTGTCGTTGTGGGTGCCGGTATGCAACGCAGGTTCTTCAAAACAAATATTATCATATGCTAACATTATACGCAGGTTGGAATGGTCTCATCTCGGCCAAGACATATCTTGACTTTAGACCTACTGCCAATCTGGTCGTCCTTGACGAGCAAGCCTCTATTGGTGGTGTTTGGAGCGAAGAGAAGATATACCCAAGTCTATACGCCCAGATCAAGCATGGTCTATTCGAATACTCGTTCTACCCTATGCGACACGAAGGGATCACGGAGGACGGTTATATCTCTGGCAATACCATCCATACGTACTTGAACGATTTTGCTTGGGATTTCGATCTGGTTCGACGTATTCGTTTACAAACTACGGTAGCCAATGTATCTCGTGCCCCGAGCGGTGGTTGGCATCTCGAGATCGTTGGGAAGCCTCCGATTGAATGTACAAAACTCATTTACGCCTCCGGGGCAACATCGCATCCCGTGGTACCTACCTGGCCTACGGACAATTTTAGATCACCTGTCATTCACTCATCCGAATTGGGGTCACACCTTGACGCTCTCAATAAAATTGGCTCCGCGACTGTCATCGGTGGTGCTAAGTCCTCGTACGACACGGTTTTTTTCTTACTTAACGCCGGAAAGAAAGTCAATTGGATTATTCGAGAAGATGGATCCGGTCCTCTAGCTATCATGCCGCCTTTGCTTTTTGGTTCCGTGAATACAATGGATATTGTGACATCGAGATTTGTTACATTGATGGGTTCTAGCATTATGAGCACGGACGGCATCGGTCACCAATTCTTTCAAAGAACACTGCTAGGACGGTTCATAGCCTGGGTATTTTGGTTGGTCGTTAATTGGATTGCTGATCGCCACGCCGGCTATTCAAAATCAGAGAATGCCAAAAAGTTGAGGCCAATGCCACATGGAAACGGGTATGCGCACCACTTCGATGATATAATTGACTTGGCAGTTTCTAACAAAGTTGATCTAGGATTTTCTGGGCACATGCCGGGCTTGGAGCCGCGAGCGTGCCCCTTTTCTGGAAGACCTTCCATGCCGGAGACTGTTCGGTTCACAGAACAGATATCGATTCGCTACGCGAAAATAACATCATTAGCTTAAAAGACGGTACTCAATTCTCCTCGGACTATCTCATCCTTTGCACGGGGTTCGATAAATCCTTCCAGGTCTTTGACGAGAAGTTACAACAGGAATGCGGCCTTATGCCTGACCCGGCGCAGAAGGACAGATGGGCTAAACTTGAATCGGACGCGGAAGAGAAAGTAGACGAGCTTCTTCCTGCTATTGCAAATTCCCCATTGACCTCTAAGCAATTCGATCGCGAGAAAACTGCCGGTGGCCGAAAACTTCTACATGGCCCGAGCAGACATTACCGAAGACTTATCGTACCTTCGCTCGCAGCTCAAGGTGATCGTTCAGTATACTTTCCAGGGTTTATTCACTCCATTTATACTCCTGTAGTATCTGAAGTACAGGCGCTATGGGGAGTGGCTTTTCTCCTTGGTATGCATAATCCACCTGGTGAAGAGGAAATGGAGAGAGAAGTGGCCGAGTGGAATGTCTGGTCTCGTAAGCGGTATGTTGCGCAGGGCAAGAAGCATGCTTATGCCATCTATGACTTTCTTCCTGTAAGTGAATATCTGGATATGTATATGATGATATCTAATAGTCTCTAGTATATCGACCTACTTCTCAAGGATCTTGGCATTAATCCACATAGGAAGACGGGCTTCTTTAACATGTTTAACCCTTCTTACCCGAGCGAGTATAAGGGTCTTATCGATGAGTTCCACAGGGTGGCAATAGAGAAACAAGTAGTGTACTGAGGCATATCGAAATTTTAGAAACGTTTGTTGGCGTGCCTAGGCGGTTTCGCATATATCTCATTTTATAGGGTATCAAGCCTTATAAGTTAGTGAAGAGGTGCACCCCACTATCATGGATTACATTGAGGGGTAGGCATGGATGGTCCGGGCTGTGGAACTTCCCTGTATTTCGTAAATACAGCGCATATTGATTACGTGAGTTTCTAGGTACTGCTTAAACCGATTGAATTCAACTGCAATCCTGCAATCGGCCAATTGAAGTATAGATTTTCCATAAGGCGTTTACAATGTTGAGTTATAAAAACCCATACTGGAGTACATTTGGTGAGATTTCTCAGATGAATAAGTCTCAAGAACAAAAAAAAGTCCAGGATACCAATCATGGTGTTAGAGAAAACCGGATGAGCATAGAATTGAGAATTGTAGTGGATGTTTTAGTGGAATGTGAATTGATTATAGTGGATCTCAAATATTTTACAGTGGGATTGTACAAAGAATGTAGTGGGCGGTATCCATTCGTCATTACAGCCCTGGAGCTAGAGTGAATAATAATAAATTACAGTGCACTTGTACAGCGCATAGTCCGCTATATTATGCTTAGATTTAGTGAGTCAGGTTTACAACATTGGAAGTACCTATATACCTCGGTAGGTACCTAGTACCTAACTAGGCTTAGCTACTAGGTAGTGATTGTACAAGGGTTGCACAGGCCCTTACACTTTATTGCACAACCTTGGAAGGCCCATAAGATCCTAAATACCGCCAAGAGTGCTAAGTTGTGGTGAAAATAGCCCTATAGTCTAGTGTACATGAACCTTAAATTTAACCCCTATTCTACACATTTACAAAAGAAATTCTAAGCCTTAACTACTAGGTACCTACCCAACACCGAACGATCTATTCCTCCTACTTCGCGGGACAGTATAATGTACTCGTCTTGTTCAACTCAAGCTTTGCATAACCTCCAGTTCTCATCCTCAATCCACTTTTCACTGCCTACTGCAGTGTGGGCATAGAGTAGAGATTCCGGGTCGTACTTGTTCTTGATCGCAAGCAGTTGTTTGTAGTTGGTCCCGTAAAACTCCTTCTGCCAGTTCTGCTGCTTATAGTTGGCCTCGTTCAGATAGACGCCACCTCCAGGTGAGGCGGCGTCCAGCATGGGCTGCAGCACATTTGCTGCATAATCTTGACGTTCGGCCATCTCGGCTGGGCTAGCGTGCTCGTCCCAAACACCCGGTGTTAGGCAGACAGAGATGCTATCACGCCACGCGGGCAATACTGCATTTTTTGAGTGCGCTTTTCCTGTCACGTTCAAAGCTAGGCAGGCTAGAGGATCGAAGGCTTTTGCAAGAGAAGCGTTCCGAAGAGAGCCCGTAATGGTCGGATTTTGCGCTGGATCAAGGAACATCGCACGCGGGAGAATTCGGCTACCAGTAAAAGGAGCGTAAGGGGTAATTCCTTCTGGCAACGGTCCCAGATAATGATCAAAATGGTTATAATAATTTTCCGCAATGCTCGTCGTGTAGTCGTAGTCGATGCCACGCTTAGTAAGATCATCGAGGAAAGGCTTCATCAGCGCATTGACCTTGTTAAGGTCAGCACCAGGCATAGTGACAACCCATGAGTCGAATACATTATTGGTGAGAGTATAGAGCCAAGTATTTCCCGAATCGACGAATGGTGCGAGGAGTGTGTGGTATGATCCGATAGCTTCCCAGAAAGCGTCGTTGCCAACCTTCGTATCGTTAAAAGTCAGCTTTGAGCCACCGACAATGCCGTCACTATGGAGCCTGCTGGTCATAGAGAGAGCAACAGCGTAGGTACCCCCGCCACCGCCACTCATAGCCCAGTAGAGATCGGAATTTTGCGTGGGTGTCGCGACCAAATGCTTCCCATCCGCAGTCACGACTTCCCATTCTAAGACGTTATCCGCGCCCATACCATGCAAGCTACTGAGTAAGGAATGACCACCTCCTTGAGAGTATCCTCCAGTAATTCCAACTGTGGGGCAAGATCCTCCAACAATACGGTGGCCGGTAGCATTAGCAGCTGCGTAAGCCTCGAATCCTTCGACGCCAGCCCCTAACTTCATAGCAGGACCTGTGTAATAAGATGATTTGTAATTAGGAATATACTTCGTCGACTTCAAATTGTGAGTCCACAGCGATAGCGCCCCTTTTCCAGTTGACTTGCCCAGATAACTGTCTAAATTAGTTCCAGTCCGTAACATGCCATCGTAGTAAATAACAGGACTAGGTACTCACTCGTGTCCGGTATTTTTGATGACCAATCGCACGTTGCGTTTACGAGCGAAGTCGATTCCAGCCTTGACGTCTGCAACCCCTGTTACATTGATCACATAGCTGGCACGATTGCCTAACTCGCAAGCCTGAGACCTTGGAGTGAACGCATCACAAGTATAGTTATCAAAATACATGCTGAGGACTTCGCTTGGATTATTGATCCTATATTCGCGTTAGAAGCCCAAGCCTTTGCACATTCAGCTTGAGACATACCGCAATAGAGTTGGGTCAGCCCATGTATTCTGGAGGGTAGTGCAAGTATCAGCATTGTAGTTGTTGAAAGGCTGGTCGTGGCAAACACTAGCGACGGGAACCGAGGCAATCAAACGGCCATTGACAGTCCGGTTAAGGCTGTTCCAGTCCGATACTTTTGGCCAAGCGTCGTCACCAGGAAGCACCTTGCAATGGCTTGAGGCATTGGTTACGGTGTTTTGTCGTTGACTGATGACAGAAGCTCTAGCCACAACGGCTAGGCTGTAAATAAGGAACTTCTTGTTAGACATGGACAATCCAGACGAATTCTTCAAACTGATAGGTAGACGGAAAACAAAGAGTGAGATGCTGCTTGTGAGATCAAAAACTACGATGAAAAGGACAGAGCCAGCGTTATTATATCTTTATACGAGCTCGTCTTTGCATCGTGTTGACAGCTGATCTGCTTGTACCTGTCACCAAGTCTAGGTCGCCGTATCTATTTTTGTTCTCAAATAACCAGGACATGACCACAAAAATTCTGAATTGCCTCTTCATTTCTCGCTAGTTACTGTAAAAATCTGGTTGCTTGCCAATATCGGTTGATGCGGACCGCTTCCTATGGGCAATCCATCCGTTATTCTTGGGGGCTATCTGAAGGAGACAAACTTTCTAAGCCTCTCTTTACTCAAGACATACAAAATTGGGGTCTAGGAGAATCATGTGAATCTAAATTGATTCCAACATTTTCAGCTTAGAATCCTACTCGGAGAGGGGCCGAGATGAACATCCAAAGAGTCATTTCGTATGTTGCCTCAAAGTTGTTTTTGAGCTGAGAATATGAACCACATCTTAGAATAGTGCTCGCTATTTACGAACGCCTCAGCTGAAAGTTTAAGCCATAAGCTACGCCCCTTCGGCAAGATAATTGGTTGCCTAATACCGTATGAGGTCTAGGCTAAACCCGAGATCTGATAGTGATCTGTTCGCTAAATTCCAATGGGTGGCCGCTATAATTCGAGCTTAATTGGGGGGCTCATCCACTAAGACCAAACCACTAGACAGTGCGAAAGTCGTTTAATTTACGCGGTTTTGGCCACGACCACATCGTCGAAACACCCGCCAACTAACATATGCTTTGTAACATGAACTATTGAAGACTAACAAGAATCTTTACAACCCAAATCTACTTTATGATCCTAAATGAAGAAACGGGCACGCTCTTGATAGGTACTAGATAGGTACCTAGGTAGGTAGTTAGGTAAGTACATACTTGATTAAACTCGTAATGCAAAGATGTTAATGCGGAATAACAAGAAACATGTATACCAGAGTTCACCCAATCGAATAAAAATAAGACAACTCGGCAGTTGTGCGGCTGGACCGATTCATTACTGCCTAATAAGTACAGAAATAGAACAATTCTAACGCAATAACACATATCCACATCTTTATGCGGCGCTCCTCTATCGCGACAGGGGGCGGCCCGCGATCTCCGGGCGGGATGATGAGAGCGCGGACTATTGTCCGAGTTTGACCCACCTAACGTCCTAATGTACCGACGGCGAATCCGAGGCTCCGCCAGTTGTTAACTTAACGTCGAATAGAAAAGTACGTGCGTTAAGATATAAACGGAAATTCCGTTTCGAATTAGCAAGAACTTTCTCGTTACGATTACCCAGTATACATTTTGGGAACTATTTTGGTTGACTTTGCCTAAGTCTACATTCTTCGATAGCCCCTATTTGCACTCATTCCACACTTCATCAGGAGCACTGTAATCACCATGGGCGATAAAAATATTACCCCAGCTCTCACAGGTTTCCCAACCACTAAACCGGCCATTCATATGAAGGTGTGCGGCTCTGTGGGAAATGTGTATACCTAGGAGTCTTAACTAATACCTCCCAGGCTGGCTTAGCTGGGCAGTTCCCATGCGGAGAGATTTATACTGGGTCGACTCTCATTGGTGTCGTAGGTTTAGTCCTTTTCAAGTCAAGATATAAGCAGCTGCTAACTAGCGCCCCCAAAGCCCCTTTCTTGGGGCGTGATTGAGTCGGTTGGCGATTTCGAGCCCAAGATAAAATTTACGAAGATCCATGGCCACGACTGGTTCCGTATCGATGCGGACAAGAAACATGGCCGTTTTAACGTTTCTTTGATCGCCACAGACGAAGAGGGGAGGTCCATTCGCCTTAACGCGGATGGCGTCGTTGAGCTGAATGAGCATACCATGCCATTACTTATGGGGGACCCCAATGCCAAGACTAACCCCTGGGGATTTGGAGGTGAGCACATTATCCCACCAATATTGTTGTTATCTTGCTGATGAAATGTGAAGTTGAACATCTCAAGTTTGAGGGAGGTCATGATGTTTATAAGCCACTCGAGGGCATGCTTTTCGCCTGTAGTCAGCGATTTGTGAAGAGTGATGACGGTGAAGTTTCGGTTGAAATTCGTGCCTCCAAAATTATTGCTGGGTCGGGACTTGAATAGAGACATAGCTCACTGTTGCGATGTACTTATATAGAGAATTGATGACTCCAGTTATGTACTAGGTACCTACCTAAATATGCATTTCATTAATAACGTGCAAGGTGTAATGATAGATTCTGTTCTTCGCTGCAATGATAAAGGATTTGTTTCGTCTCCGATAATTACCATTTCGCCAATCTAGGTAGCTAGTACCTAGTAGGTGATACATCTATCTGGGTAGGTATATTGAAACCATATTTTGAATACACTAAATCGTTCTAATGGCATGTTCCTAGTTGATAATTACAAAATAGCATCAACTAGATTCAATACACTTCAGTCGCGAGGACGACAATCCCTTGTAGAGTTGTGGTTACTGTCGAGTGCTCGCCTTTTCTTGGCCCTTCCCTCCGAGTCGGATACTTGACACTCTGCTTTTTCTAGAAGCCCCAGCGGAATATGTTCAGGTTCGATTAAATCTTTCATCGAACTAGAGAGAAAGCGAATCGACTGAATGGAGTCCGCAGCATCCTCCCCCCCAAGATATAAAGTGCGAAAGAAAACGTGGATGGCTGTGGTAATGGGCCATGCAAGAAATCGGTTTAACTGTCTGAAACTATCAAGTTTGTTACCTGTAAGGTTTCGAGCAGAGTCAAGGGCCTCGACGATTTCCGTTGCCGCAGAGGCGCATTTGGATGTCGCCTCGGTGGCAAGACTGGATGGGAGTTCGTCCTTCTCAACTTTAGCAAGAACTGTATCATGTAAGTTTATCTCGATCGAATTCAAGTTCATTCGTAACGCCAAAGACAAGGGATCGTCAGTTCTTTCAAGGTGCCGATCTAGTATTTTGGTGCGGCAGTACAGCATTGCCTTATCGATTTCGTAATGCGTTTCCCAGAAAGCGTGAGATGATTCATGAATCGAAGATTTGATGTGATCGAAACAGCGGTAGTATAATGAAATCATAATGGTAGTAGCGGCGAACGATGATAAATCCACAGCTTTCGATAGCTCAAAAATCCGCTCTAGTGATGGCATATCGTGGCCAGCTATGGTGGCATCATTGAAATCGCCAGGACTGGGGAGAGGTATGGATATCTGTACCACATTAGCTAGCCGGAAGGAGTGTGGCTATCATTCTTTTCTTACATGTTGATGAAATGTTAGACGGGAGTTGGTTGTGATGCTTGAGAATGCATCAAGGATGTAGATCATCCAGAATGTACGGCGTCTCTCTTCCCTTTCGACAGAAGTGGCGGGAAGGGGGAGGTCCATACTTAACCCCCATTGCGTAGTGGTTCTAACACCAGCTTCGCCCTCCCCGTCCAAAGCAGTTATCTTGGCTAATCTAATAGCGCGCCCAAGAGTCATGAAAGACCTAGCGAAGTTAGGCCGTTTGAGTTCGTAAAGGGTCAGCAATGTACAAGCTTGCAAGGTGTTGATACTTGTTAAAGAATCGCCACTCTCCTGCCTTTCGCATACATCGAGGAGATTGCGAGCCTGGTTGTAAGAACTTTCGACGTGGGATTGAAATTCAGGCATTCCAAATGCACTTAGCGCGGCCATGGCATATGACAAAGCTTGAACCTCAACGGAGGGTGAGGATTGCGATATCTCTATCTGGAAGCGCAATCTGTTGATGAATGGCATGACGGGATGGAATATATCGAAATAACGATTGTAACTATTTACATTAGTCTTACCATTACGAGGCACAGGTGTGCTAAACCTACAGTCTCGGTAATACATTTGTTGAAAATGCTGGAACCAACTGGCCTGGAGATGACCCTGACAGATCCAAAGAAATAGGCTCAAAATAAGGATTATTATTCCCATCTGGAATTTGAAGCCCCATGGGAAAATCATTAGATATCGGAGATGCCAAAGCATCAATTGGAAAGTCGTAAAGGTCACCGATAACTTGACTAGGCCTTAGGAAGTTTAGTAATCTGAAGGTACCCCCCAAAGCGTTCGACTATCTTACCAATCAGAAGCGGTCTGCTTGATCATGTAATCCTCAGACATTACATTCAAAGTATGTAAGTCTTGAGACGAAGGGTGCAATGAGTTAGTTGCTTGATTTATCGCGGGTATGGTCCGTGGTGTTGGTAAGTCTGTATTCATATCGCCTGACGGCGGGGTGAATGGATGGGGACTTTGTACGAGTGTACTAAGAGCTAGCTGGGCCTCGGCTTGCTCTAAGGTATATGGTCAATATCATAGAAGAAGGTTTTGGGTCAACAACGCAGTATTTCAGGTTATCACTCACTGAGTCTATTATTTAGGGTCATCATGAACTGCGACAAGTCCATTTTTGAGGGCACTAATGGGGAGCGGGTTGAATAATGGCACCTATTACCCATCTTCTCACATCTACCACAGGTTGGGTCTTGTTTATCACAACGGACCTTTCTGTCTCGGCCTACAGCAATAAATATTAGCCCATGATGTCTCTCGGTTCATTGACGATAGATATCTCCATGAATTTGTAGTGGGTTACTCGTATGAGATGATAGAGAAATCGTTGTTCTTACAGGCATCGCAGGCTAATCTTCTCACAGAGATGCGAGTTGACGACGGAGAAGCAAGATCTTTGCCAGCACTGTGATCATTTGCTTGGCCAGTCACGAAAGTCGCAGCTGCTAAACTGCCGGCTCTAGATTCTTTCATTATTTGATCCATCTTCCGATACAACATAGACATCGCGATGATATGATATATAATCTCTTGAAATAGCAAGAACTTACTGACAGCGAGTCGCATATTTATCGACAGGGTCTAGGACTGCTATAAGGACTTAGGACTAACTAGACGAAGATAAAACGGTTAGTAATACAAATACTACATGCCCAGTGATCTGACTTCCAATTCCACATCCAGCAACGGCACAGGCTTACCTTTCTTTTCGTTGCCGATCCTTTATCACGCAGATATTAGCAAGTCACAACGGAAGAGAACTGTAGGTAGACATAAAAAACAAGTAAGCATAGATCATCATTCTTGTCCACAGAAAGCCAGTTAAGATGTAGATACGCCTTATCCATAAAGAAATACGATCCTACCCAAACCACTCTACACCTGGGCACCCATAAAGTCAGCAGAGGTATGTTGCACAGAAATCCTCAAGTCAATAAGCAGACCAGAAATGTTCTTACCTCCTTTTCCAAACTTACCAATTAAACCTCTTATCTTTATCACGACGCTGAAGAAGTGCACAAGATTCTATGCATGGACTATAAGCCGTGTAAAGGTCCCATAATAAGCACCTTCTTACATTTGAAAATGAGCGGACCATTACCCTCAAGTCCAGTACATTACCTATGTACCTACTTAGGCGTGTATAAAACTTATACTTCGTTACACTGAAGTATTCCATAATCGTTCGGGAGACATATGGGATATGAATTATAATAGGCTAAGTTACCTAAACAAAGTTGCCTTATACTTCCTAGCCTGTGAGTTAACTCGCAAATTTACTCCTAAATAAGTAACCTCACCCGAATTAAAAAAATGGTATTTTAGCTTTTATAAGGCAAAAAGTTCTGTTTTTTCCTACAGAGCAAAATTACCTAGGTAGTTCAGACTTTACATAATAAAACGGTTTATATACGTTATATAATATTATCGGTGTTAAATTGTAGATGTGACTACCTAGGTAGAGAGTTTCCGTACACTCCGAACGAGCCGAGGAGTGAGAACAGGAAAGCCTAGTACTCTGAAGAAAATGACGATAACCTCTAAAAAATCGGGCTATTTTAATGGTGCCTTCCTATTTGTTTTCGCATTCGATAAGTCATCGATTCCTGACAAATACTAGCACCGAATTAGGCAATGGTGTTGGTGTTGGTGCTGGGGTTAATTTTTAGCGTTGATGTTAATGTTGGTGTTGGTGTTGGTGTGTTAGTTGTGGTGTTATTGTCCATACTGTAGTTGCTGTGCGAAGACTAGGACAGGTCGCCAGGAACATTGAAAATAATACGGAAGACTAGGGCCCTTTAGTCCCGCCCAGCTCTCGGAGCTGAAAATGGATAGTCAAAATGTATATTATAGTTTCTACTCGGGGACAATTCCGCGTCTTACAATAATTTTGAACTTTTAGGACCATTTTTACTCGTGTATGTACTTTCCAATCCTGTACAAATGGTGCGGAGATGGACACATGACTTCGAAAATGATTTTCTGACTCAGAAGGAAAGATTCCCAAGGTAAAAGGCTTACTGCAACACACCTTTCGCCATTATTAGGTAAGCAATGATCTATTCGCCCAAGAAAAGAAAAGGAATTCCACAGTTAAAGAAGGTATCACAGTCCTCGGCCTTATAATTCATTCCCAGCCATAGTAATATAATCCAAATCCAAATCTCTCAGCTTCAAAGGTACGGTTTAACCTGCGCCTCAGTCCAAGCCCAAAATTGCTGTGAAATGCCTGTGCCACCTTCCGCTTTTGTTTTTGATGCCTCAATCATCTCCTTCGATATCTTCCACATCATCCCCCATGGCGCAACTATCAATAGTCAGTATAACTCTTCGCAAGCATGCAAATAGGAACAAAGCACATACTATGACTGCCCGACTGGGCTAGAGTAACCTCTGGAGAGAAAGCGGCAAACAAGTTGGTGTAGGCTCCGTATACTGGAGGGTGTAATAAAGTTCTTCGTAAGAACCAAGTCGTTACGGCTCCTTGATCACGCCAAAATTCAGAGTCGAGGGCGCCTGGATTTAGCGACATCGAAATCACGCCATCTGTCCTATGACGGGTAGCAAACTCGGTAGAGTGTAAATAGTTGCCCAGCTTGCTAAGGCTGTACTTATCCAATGCCCCCTTCTCCTGAAATTTTGCTAAGCCCTCGACAAATCCTTTAGGACTCACTGCTTCTGCGGCTGAAGAAGAGACCCATACTACACGAGTCGTATTAGGCGGTGAAACCTTGGCGGTAGATATGAGGGTCGGTGTTAGAAGTTTAGTCAAGGCGAATGCGCCGATGCAGTTGACACCTAGCTGAAGTTCATAGCCTTGCTTCGTCTTCGCATCTTTGTCTGGATACCCAACACCAGCATTATTAAACAAGACATGAAGCTTTTCCTCCTTTTGGAGAAATTGGTCTGCAGAACTCTTAATGGTGGTAAGATCGGCTAGATCAAGACGAATAAATCTCAAGTCTCCACTCGAGTAAGGTGCCGCAGCCTTGATACTCTCAATAGCCTTCTTGGTCTTCTCTTCAGACCGTGCCATCATGTATACCATGGCATTCTTAGAATAGACAATCTGGGCAATTTCCTTGCCTAACCCCGTATTTGATCCAGTGACAATGATAACCTAGCCGTACGGTAAGCAAACGTGACATTACAATAGGAATGCGGAGTAAGATAAGCGTACTTTGCCTTTTAGATCTGGAACATCCTTGTCCGTAAATCTGGGCTTTGCGGGGCAGAGGAACTGCTGTATACTACTGATGGTACCTGGCATTATGGCTCGATTTGTTGATGATCTGGTTAGGATATTATAATCGTAGAAACTAATGGTAACGTAGTTTACGTCGAAAGCTACCTGGGGACACCTCAGCAGGTTGGTATGTAGTTATAATATCAAGTTGCTGCAATTGAACCAGCAAATATATATGGGAAATAACTCAATCTTCCATGATATCGAGTACGTTAGTGAAGCCGTTGTCGAAACTGAGAAGCGAACAACTCAATTATATGAAGATATCCGCGGCATTCGCTTAGGAAAGTCCGCATTGAGACATCACTAGTCACTACTCCGCGGGTTTCGGTGTTGCTGTGTCAGATGTTGGTTTTTAGTCGCAAAAAAATACCTTTCCAGGTAATCCCGGGTGCGCCGCCCGCCATAATCCGTGTGGACCGCACGGGCCGGGCCACTTGCAGATCCACTGCGGTCCGAAGATATCCAACATTCTTACAGCTTTGTTGACTACTAGGTACTAGGCATTGATGATGGTGATAAAAAAGGAGCCGCGGATTTCAAATGTCGTTTAGTGAAACCCGCGATTTCTGAATCCGGTTACACAAGGGTAATTGGTTGGTAAGACATTCTTTCCCGCGGACATGCCAGCCAGTCACCATCCTGAAGCTCGCATCCATATATTATCGATTTGGGTAAAGGATGTATGTGCTGAAGCTTTGTAATTAAAAACACATGGATTGGACATCATTGGCATCGTGACCAACAGGTATTTGCGCTGTGCGACCATTATTCTTTAACACGAGAACATGTAAGCTTATGATTCGCATGTTAGCAAATACGCAGACCAAAGTCTGTTTGTACAACACACTCGAATTGATCAAAACCGCAACCAATAATCTCCGAACGATCTCGGCCTCCGGAGTTCTTACGGGAGCCAGATATCTTACATGTAATGATTGGATTGGGTACCTAGAATATCGTGCCAGTCTACATTTAGTAAATGATGCAAACGTTTATGCCTCGATAACTGAGTGATCACCAACAACATGAAATGCTACATGTGTGGTTAAAATTGGTGCGAAGTTCCACGCTGGTTTCCAAGGTTTTTATGTATTACCTACGTCTGTGAAAGAGAAACTAGTTGTTAATAAACAAAAACACAAAAAGGGGTCTATTATGTCAGCAGTTCTTAAAACCTACTGTGGACCCTCGTCAACCTGCTTAGTCATCAAGCTTACTAACTCTGCTTAGTCAGTGGCCCTATCTTAATTACCTAATTGTTCGAAACTGTGGAATTCTTTGCTTAGTCACCATAGTTAGTCTTTTTTGCTTAGTCATTATGTTTACCCCTTGATTAAGATTGTTTATGTTCATCATTTATGCCTTACGCAATATCAAAATGCCTAGGTTGAATTTTAGCATGGCTGTGAAGTGTAATTATTATCCGTGGAGGCTCTACGAGGAAATTTTGGCCCAATTCAAGCAGGAACCTATTTTTCTTGACATATATCGGGGCTTAGACAATCAAGTCGGCGCAAAGCCTCCAGGGCTCACACCGCACTGCCGACTCCTGCCTGCTACTGCCTACCACTGCCACTATGATGGCGCGAACATATTTCATATATGAATGTCTAGGTTCTAAGGAGAGAGGACTTTGAACGGCATCGAAACAATCATATGTGGTTGTAGATTACCTGTTGCAAAACTGCTGATATTCTTTCACTCATACTATTCCCTTACGGCACTTATAAGCGATAACAACAATAAGACTTCAATATGGCTGCCGCATCATCAAACAAGTCGTTTTGTTTCTATGAGAATTACCTTGCGAAGAAAGATGGTATAATTAACAATGACGAATATTATCACCACTTATTTGACCATTTCACTGGGAAAATACACGAAGACAATATCGAAAACTGTACCGGCAAAGACAAAAGACTAAACAGGACAGATCTACTTGCAGATCTAGTTCAGGGTATGGTTAAGAACATGGAGCATGTTGAAGGTACATTATTCACACATCGTCCCCAAAGTAGATCTTATGTTTCTAAAACTATGCCTTATAGATGCAACTCCCTTCGAACTTGTTTTCAAAGCCTACCATACTGGTACCTTGGAAGATGTTATTGCACAGCACGATATTCTAGATGGAAAGTACGTTAGATACATTCGCCAGCTTTTGGCAACGCAAGCTTTACTAGATAGACGGGCCGACGTCCTACATTTCTGTCTGGGTCGAGGCGACTTCGATTACGAGTATAATTTCACGTACGAGGCCGACTTGGTAACTGTGGACGAGCATCCCAAGACATTCGCAGTTCTTGAAAGATCTGAGTTCCGTGAACTCCATCCAAGAAGCGATCCACCTTGGGTTGCTTTTGATGTTGGTGGAGATTTCCCTGTTGACTGGTAATCAATTGGAGGCGAATATCAAACTATGGCGTTGTTCGACGCGCGGTTATATTTCCCGAAGAATCAATACATTATTGATAGGTTTACATGCAATTGGATGCATAGAATGTAATTACATACCTACTTGGTATCCAGTCCCATTATGCTGGTCGGGAGTTTAACAGCTAAAAAAGGCCCATCATATTTCCATTATTTGTAATGCAGTGCTGGGTAGTTAAAAATCTATGCCTTAATTACCATGATGAAATAATTAGCGTGGCCTAAAGGCGAATAACCCCCGAAATATACCTTGAACCTGGGTTCGGATCGTGAACATATTCAGTTTAATAGGAAGCACGACATCAAATTGGACCTATAATAATACGTCGAGCAATGACGCGACCTCTAAATTGAATTGCGCGAGACGCTCGGCACTTTTTTGACTCCATAGTAGCTGGTGGGCTATTACCTAAGTCTACACAATGTCGCCATCGCTACAGTGGGGCATCAATAGGTTCCAGTACAGGGAACGAGGAACAATAAAATCATGTTTTATATTTCCATGCAGACGGAAATAAATTACAATGTTCCAGTAGTCTCCTACCAGCTGGATTTTCGTATCCACCGCGAGGCATAGGTAGTTAATTACCTACATGTTCAATTAGTTAGCCTCAAGGGGAAAGTATTCGTTGTACTACCTAATTACCCCTTTTTTATGTAGGTACCTACCTAGCGACACAAGATGTCTGCTCAGCGACAAGCCACCACGCCCTCTCCCGCCAGGTCTACTACACCTTCCGATCATGGTAGCGACAGATTTCAAGGGGGAACCGAAGATAAGAAACCTATCGAAGTGATTCCTCCTACAGCGCCAGCCTTAGCAACCCAAGAGCCTAAGCGAGTGGAGGGTGCTCTGGGCGATGCAGTCTTGCGCTTTCTAAGACTTCGAAAGGGTCCAAAGAATGAGGAGTTCGATCTCGATGCCGTATGTGATAATCCAAACCCACCAGATAAGTATGAATACACACTAACATGGTTCAGATTGCTACACAACCGAGTATCTGGGATTCCGAAAATGTAGAAGAGCTCAAGGAGGCATACATCCATCCGCAATGGGAGAACTGGTCTGCTTTCGACCCGAAGTTTCGTTGGACTTGGAGGGAAGAGAGAGCAGTACGGCGCAAAGTCGACTGGAAGATCATGGTAAGTTCGCACTCAAGTTTATATGGAATGGTGATGTTGACTTGTCAGGTTTGGGTCTGTGTTATGTTTTCCGCTCTGAACATCGACCGAGGCAATATCTCCAACGCGGTTTCAGATAACATGCTCGGCGACTTGGGCCTGACGCAGGCGGATTATGTGAGTTAAACCCCAAATACGAACATTCCCAATCCTAACGGACATAGAATACCGGACAAACTATTGCTCGGGTTGGCTTCCTAGTTGCTGAACTTCCGTCACAATTAATCTCAAAGCGGTAAGTGGGTTCTCGTAGATATCTCATGTGTCAAAACTAACAATATTTAGTATTGGACCGGATCTATGGATTCCGATCCAGATCTGCCTCTTCAGTATTATCTCGGCTCTACAATTCTTCCTCAAGGGGAGAGCCTCCTTCCTAGCTACCAGGTATCTAATGTAAGTTCAGTTACATTTGATGTCTAGATGTCCTCACTCACTGGGTATTTAGTGCAACATTCCAAGGTGGCTTCATCCCGTAAGTCTCCCCCTCACAATATCAAGCAAGGCAGCTACTAATTTAACAATAGCGATACGATTCTCTACCTTAGTTACTTTTACACTGGTACAAGAGTAAGTTATTTTCCTTGTTATGACTACCAAAGTAGTACATCTATACTCACCTTCGTAGCTTCCAATTAGGCTGGCTTGGTACTGGATGTCTTCGCAATTAGGTAAGATTAATGTCCCATTCACCAGCTACTTTTCTAATTCTCTGAAAAGTCGATATCGGAGTTGGATTTAGCGCTGTAGGACTTCTATCGATGCGAGGTATCCTGGGTTATGAGGGTTGGCGATGGTTGTTCCTCATCGAGTAAGTCATAATCATCGCGAATTATCTAACGCAACTCCCACTAATGTTTTCAGGGGCGCGTTCACTTGTAAGTAAAAACCATCAAAATTCATAATTCGGAGATTAATCGCCTTATAGTTCTGGTTGGAGTATTTTCCTTTTTCCTCATGCCGCAATGCCCGGCAAAAACGAAAAGCTGGTGGAATCCCAAAGGGTACTTCACAGAAAGGGAAGAGAAGATTATTGTCAATTCAGGTAGGGAACCCTAAAAGATTGATATACTGGGAAATCATGCCTAACTTTACTTATAGTTATCCGGGATGACCCTCAAAAAGGAGGCATGTTCAATCGACAAGGTCTCTCCGTTAAGCAGATTTGGAAATGTTCCAAGGACTACGACATGTGGCCATTATATGCTCTGGGGTTATTATTTGGCTTGCCCAAATATCCGGTCAGCCAATACTTGACGATATCCTTCCGAAGACTAGGATTCAACGTCATTCATACCAACCTGCTTTCGATCCCGAATGTCATCGGTTCCAGCTTAACCATGTTACTCATAACTGCTTTGAGCGAATTGATCGATAACAGGAGCTTCGTGTCAATGGCCGAAGATGCTTGGCTGTTACCTTGTTTTGCTGCCCTCATAGCATTACCCGATCCCATAGGTCCTTGGGTGTACTTTGCTATAGCAACGGTGTTGTTATCGTTCCCATAGTAAGTATCGACTCCCGGCCAGAGGAACACCACGTTAATTCGATCTAGTACCCATCCGATTCAAGTCGCATGGACAAGTAGAAACGCGGGATCGGTTCAGAACCGTACAGTGTCGGCTGCGTATGTAAAGCTCACCCTTCTTGCCCTCTATCATACTAATCAACCTAGTATTTACAACATGTGGGTGCAAGTCAGTGGGATGATAGGAGCAAACAGTGAGTACTCCCCTGAGCTTATCGAACACACGTGCTAATCCCGGAAATCCAGTCTATCAATCCGCCGATTCACCACGATACTTCAAAGCGAACAAGGGCTTATTGGTCATCTGTGTATGGATGTGTGTAAGTGATCTCCCCTCTCTTCGAACCTCATGTGGATAATTTCTCACGTCTCCAGGTCGTACAATACCCTGGTACATACTTCTACTATCGATGGAGAAACAATTCCAAGGCGAAGAAATGGGATGCCATGACCCCAGAAGAGCAGGAGGAGTACAGGAAGACTACGACTGATGAAGGCAATAAACGGTTAGTTCTCCTCATCTAATAACCTGTGAATACCCCTCTTAATAATGCATTTCATAGCCTTGACTTCCGCTTCGCTCTTTAGACCTCGAATATAACCAATAGAATGTGTTGAGAGTAACCGGCCTCAACACGAGTATCATATATTGAAGCCATCTTCTCTTAATTATATTTCGTTAGATTTACTTAGTAACTTCAATCATACTGATGATGTATTTTTGTTCATCGCGCCGAGAATGTCTCGTAAGTGGTATCACGGCACAGCGGTGCTGGGTCTCCCCTCCCGTTTGCAGGGGCTGCAGGGGGTAGCCTGTTAAGATCGATGGAATCGTTGGTAGTACCTCTTCCTCGGGACCAATTAGCTTCGGGTACCAACATACTGGACTGTGGGACTCTTGTGATCGCCAAAGGAAACCCCACAGGGAATCGGATTGGTGGTAATCACTAAACGGGCTGACGGAGAAGTCTTCTTGTAAAATAGCGACGGAGACACAATAGGGACAACGCGACTCTAGAAGAGCTAACTTCTATTATTGCTCATTAATTGAGTTTGGTGGTTCTGTCTATGTAGGTATGCTGTTCGTAATTGTACATTTTGATACAACTGGGCAGGGTCGTCGTCTGCGGATGTCTCGTTACCTTGCACACACGTGGAACGAGTATCCTGAGCGCAATCATCTAACGCTTTCGCATGCATTTTCGGATGGTAATACAAGTCTAAAAAAGTACTACTTCTGACGTTTCAGCGTATTTATCGCCATTTCTATTAGGCCGTCCTTTGCTTCGCTAGCCGGGAATGCGCCGAGAGCCGCGATGGCTTTTTGCGAGTACTCTTCTGCTAGAGCTCTCGTCTGTTCGATGCCATCGCTCTGGTAAACTAGATCGCGTGCCTGTGAACAAGGTTAGTAAGTAATTGGCGTTGCGTTACCAATAGGGATGGTTGTAGGTCATACTTTTTGCACATCGCCTTCTTGTTCGAATTTCCTCCCCACTAATGTTCCTAACTCCGGTGTCGTCTTCCACGCAAACAGTAAAGGTGCAGTCGCAAGACCTAATTGTAGATCTGCGCCGGCTGGCTTTCCTAAATCTTTCCCAGATTTAGTATAATCTAACATATCATCCACTAATTGAAATGCTAAGCCTAAATTCCGGCCATAAGAGTAGGCGGCGTCGACTGTGTTGATATCTGCCCTGCCAAGAAGCGCTGCTGCCCGGCATGACTTAGATATCAAGCTGGCTGTCTTGAGATAAGTCTTTTGTAGATAGTAGGTAAATATGTCTTCCGACCACTGTGGCTTTTTTTCGTCCCGCGCAGTATTTTTCAACTGCATGAATTCGCCCTCGACTAGGTTCGCTATAACTGTCGCTAAAAGTTCAACAACCTCCGCATTCCGCAGTCGCGCTAGAGCGACCGATGCTCGGCCAAGAAGGAAGTCACCGGCTAGAACAGCCATCTTGTTGCCGAACTCATAATTCGCAGATGGCGATCCTCGTCGCGAGACTGAATGGTCTATCACATCATCGTGGAGAAGTGAAGCTGTATGGATGAGCTCCGTGATCTCGGCTAGGCGGCGCTGAGATGGGAGAACGTCATTTTCGGTAGACTCGGGCTGCGAGGAGTAATCGGCGTGAGGAAATGAAGGATTTACGTCTGAGAGGACGCTGAGAGGAGAGATTGAAGAGTCTATAGTGGCCATGGTCTGCGACGGCGGCAACTCCGGAGCTTTAGGACATAACGAAGTGGCTCTAGACATCAGTAGAACTATTAATGGCCGAACATGTTTTCCCTCGGCTTGTGTATAATATTTTGCGACTCGATCTAAAGAAGGATGTCCCGATCCAAGAAGTTGTCGAATATTTCCAGTCAAATGTTTCATCTCTTTGGCGACGATTCGTAGAGGGTCAATAGGTAGTTCGGACTTAGTGGCTCGAGTAACGGCGTTAGTGACCATATTGGAAGCAACAGAAACCGCGGCCGCCCATGCTGAAGATCTTTTGGGAGTATTATGGTATAACGATTTTAAAACACGTATCCTAAGATCTAAAGACGTTGCTCTCTGACAATCCGAACAGGGCGAAAAAACCGAAGGTCGACCGGCGGCTGCGCGGGCTTTTAAGAGCACAGAGGCTCCTGTCCGGAGCTGCATGGCGTCCGGATTTTCTGGCCTAGAGGGTACTCTAGAGGCCCAATTGATTTAATTGTGTCGTAAAGTAGGTGGTCGAATCATCGGGGTAACGATATCGTGGGATTGGGAGCTTGAAATTGGAATGCGATCGTTTGGGCGCTGACACAGACACGGACGATGATGATGATTTACAATTAAAAATTTAGTGCTTTAACGTTGGTGGGACGTTGAATTGATGGACCGATGGAGGGCGTGTGTGGCGTAAGTCCATGCTATCATGTGGCTTGGCCAACTTGGTCTGCTTGGTGTCGGTGTTATAGATGCCGACTAGTACCTAGATACATGCACCTTAATGGATCTTGAAGACAGTGCGATCGATAACGGCGAGATCCACTTAAGCTTTACGCTGTACTTTGTGAATTCAATGTCGCTGCTTTCCAGTTGACTTCCACATCATTCTGCTTCTTCTTCATTCATAGACATCGGATCATGCTCAACACCATAACCGGATATGGTACTTCTCACAATGACCCCCTCCATCGTGGAGGCTTTAAACAAATTGGATAATATGAACCTTGATGTTATACCCCTAGACAGCGAAAACAATTCGAATTCGAAAGAACCATCATTGAAGGATCCGAAGCTTGGAAACCCCATTGGTCATGGTCAGATTATCGACATATGGAAATACCTCAACAATACTCAGAATGGGAAAGGTAATGCGACAAGATTGGAGGAACTTCTCCGCGGTGCGACGGTCTACGTTCCTGCCCCGCCCCCAAAATCAGAGCCGGTTCGTCGTCTATTCTATTTGGGTACTTAGTATGTATGATATGAGTTAACGACTAACGGAAGCATTCATAGACCGACGAATACAAAGCTTTAATGGCCCGATTGCGTTACGAGGAAGAGGAAAGGTCATACGAGCGCATGCTGAAGAAGGGTCCTCCCAGAGAATCGTTCGCACGAAGATTTCCAGATGCCCCGATGGCACATTCTTTCGCCGAAGTTAATCGACCTACCAAACCCTCAGATATAGGAGACGATATCGAACATGGAGATATCCAGAAGCAAATAACTCTGGTCATCAACTTTCTACTTAGCATCTTTGGTGCCGGTGCAGCGCTCTGGATAGCCGCCAGGTGGTGGAGTATCCCGGCGCGACTATTCCTAAGTCTAGGAGGTAGTATCGTTGTTGCTATCGCAGAAGTTGCTGTCTATTCCGCTTATACGTGGAGAATGGCAGAGGGTGAGAAGACCCTAAATAGGAAGAAAGAGGTTAAAGAAATCGTTCAGACTTGGGTTATTGGAGAAGATGAGAACGATAAAAAGAAGGATTACGATGAGCCTTTGATGTTAGACGAAACGGACCCTGCGACGAATCTTCGAAGAAGGATCAAAGGTCCTGCATAACCAAATACTAATCCAAAGGTTAAACAATCTACCAATCGACAACATTTATTTTCATCACTCTGGCGTTGCATAGGTAATTATAATGATACTAGGTAATAAGTAACACCTATTATTTCGGATGAACAGCTGCCAATTCATGCTTGCCAGCTGGTCGACAGCTGGCCCCTGCGCAACCTTACCATAACCAGATACGCCCCCACATTCGCGTCATACGCTAATACAGCGACGCGTCTAAGGAATTTCGACCAATTTACGCGTCTCTCCCTTCTACTTAATCCACTCCTGAGCTTCAATGCTTCTGAAGCATTGGCAGGTGGAATCAATTTAATTATGGGTATCCTTAATCCAATCGTTCATTCCTCCATTTCTTCATTACCATTCCATTTAAAATTTTGACGTCGACATTTTATATACATTAAATAACTACAATGGACTCATCTAACCCAGACGATCAGAGTGAGCCAAGGTAAGCACCGTTACAACCAATTATACGTGTCACAGAGATATACTAATAACACAACAGGCTCAAAGGAAAACACAATAAGACGTTAGTATCTTTGTATTCTTTGCATTTATGCGACTCGAATTTCAACTGACTATTGTAGGCGACCTCTACGAACCTACAGCAAACGTGCTTTGCCGACTGATACATCAGAACCTGTATCGAAGAAGCGACGCATTGAGGAAACAAGTATAGGTCCGGAGCGAACAGATGAGGCGACGGAACCACCTCACCAATCCGAAATCGCCTGCCCTTCGCCGACTCTACCTCCATCCAAACCTAAGAAAGGGTCAATCATGAGCTACTTCAAAGTTATGCAACCCATGCCAAGTAGCTCAGCCATATCGTCAGAACCAACTTCTGGGCCTACCGAACCCGCTAGTACACCTCCGTCATCCCCCCCAATGTTTGACTTAAATCGAAAGAAACGACGAAGGCTCACTACACGTATAATATCTCGAGCCACGTCTAATGATCCGAACCAGGAGGATATAGTCGAAGGAGAAGACCAAAGGTCAGATGATATAGGTGACGGATCTGTAGCATCAGCAAGCCCAGCAGATGCATTATCCGACGCCAGTTCGAATACTCTCGACCGCCCGACCGCGAAACGGAAAAAGCAATTTGGTGTTAGAAAACATAGAAGGAATAAGGAAGATCAAAAACCAAGTGCAGTTCAAACGACACTAAGTCTATCGCTCTCGGAGAAGGGGTTCACGGAGTGCAAGGAATGCAATATGCTATATAATCCGCTACACAAGCAGGATGCGAAATGTCACGCTAGTCGTCATGCAGCGATGCTTAAGGCGAAGTCGAGTACTCCTGACAATCAAATATCGGACTAAACCAGCATAAGGACAACATGCCGTTTAGTGATAAGCGATCCTCCTAGATCTAAACCAATTGCTAGGGAAATATTTCGCGCCTGTCTCACCGTCTTCGTGTAGCTACGCGTATCCCTCGGAACTATCTTCCAGAAAGTACCTAAGCCAAGCGTTCAACTGAATGACGATATACTAGTCCTCTAGTATATAGAATAGCCCTATATGAATTTCCTGTGGGGGTGCCATGCAACCCTACGATAGAAGTCGGCATGGCGGATTTCGAAAAGTTCAGCCGCAACACGATTAATTTACATTAGGCGAATTCTGACAAGTCGTTGACGAGATTCCCCTGACCGACCCCCTGATCTCAATATGCCGGCAAAGCTTGGCATAGATTGTGTCAGCAATTTTCGTCGGCATTCCTCTTTTTCCCGGCCGCCGAACCAGTATAGCGTCATTTATAATAAATGACAATGCGTACCGTTGCTTGGAAATCGCGTCGCAACCCTCCCCACATTCAATCAAGCATGTCAGGCATCCCGGATATTGTGGTGTCCTCGCGATGGGCGGAAAACAGGCGAATTCGCCTCCCAACTCGCCTATCATTCGATCAGTCGATCACACAAAAGCCGCGTATCTAAACAATCGTACACAAGGGCGAGTGATTTCGTATAGATTTTCGGTTCTCTACCCGAAAAGACGATATCGCTATGATCCTGGATTTATGTTCCTTCAGATTGCTAAGTTTATGGTAACGCATGAATAGGTTTGATTAACGTGATCTGCGTATCCTATACCAATTGGTCCGATTGTCAAATCCTCACCAAAGAAAAAAACAGTTCGATTAGTGGAGAGACCACAAGAGGCCAAGGCTGCGTTGCGCAACTACTAAGAGCACAAACAATAGCATACTTTCAACTCTGTTCGACGTCTCGTCCCCGCCATGCTACAGGCTGCTTTCTTGTGAACTGAATCCCGGCAGAAAACGGGTAGAAACAAGAGATCATCATAGATAACATACGTCTATCGCGGCAATTTACACGATGTTTATTAGGCATCGTATATTGATGGAAGATCGGGACGGCCCTAGATATCCCGCTTAGCGATATGGTACGGACCATAGCGAAGGAAGCCATCTTAATACACGCGCTACCCTTAAGCACGTCTTAGAAACACCGCGCTTACCACGCATTTATCTTGTGTAACTCTGGCGTGAGTTGTGTTTGTGACTCATGCAAACATCGTCAGCATGTCATTACAGACAACAGGTACCTTACCAATTTACAGGATAACTGTGCCTAAGACGAGTAATATCATAGCAAAGCAGTAATCCGATACTTCGATCTACTAGTAGGTCTACATACGGGTATTTACCACCTACGATAGACTTAAAATAACGGAGATAGCTAGTATATTAAGTCAATATAGATACACATACCACACAATGTTTCTCTACACGACTAAGTGCTTTACAATAATAATCTAATATTAAGCGATTATGAATATATTCTGTATTGTTTGTAAGATTGTGAAATCGCGGGGTTAGCAACTTTCATTCAGTAATGGGTGGGGTGTCGCGGCCCGGTCTCCTGGAGTATGTTGCTCCGATTCAAGCTCCAAGATTAAGTCTTGAGTCTTGTACAATGCAGTGCAACTCCATCACCAACATCTCCAGCCAAGACATAATATACAACATTGTCACGGCACTGTCACCCAGAAGGCATATAATATGTAGGACCGTAACCTTCAATACCAGGCACACAATGTACGAAGGTGCAGCTAATTCATGTACTATGCAGGTGCTGAATTTAACCACTAGTATCCCCCCAATCTGCCGATCCTAGTCAGGGGGGTTCAATTCTTGGGGTCTCTCATTTTCTTCGGACCAGACTATGAATTGAGAGCACTTATATCTATAAATATAAATTACCCAGATACGTGAATATAACCCGGAATATGGACACTGGTATAAAGCAATCAATAAGTTGTATGTACCTTAGTACACTCGTGGTCCAGAACGCTCCTGCGAAGTGGAGCTAATAGATGATTACCGAAAAGGGTAATTTAAACCTCTATTGGCCAATCACGTACAAGAAGACTAAAGAAGACTAAACCTTCCGCCCGCAGTCTAGTAACGGTAGTTGCATACGAAGAGGGTTGCCTTTTTCAATCCCGTGTATCTGGGCCTCAAGTGACAAATAAGTGTTCATTTGTTTGCCCAGAAGATGTAGATTGTAAGTAAATACAATTTAACGTCACTTGATACACACAACTTGAGACTATACACCAAGTACAACGTACCAAGTACCTACTTAAGTACACATCCACCTCTACATCTACGTACCTACCTATCATACATGCAAAACTCATAATACACGACATATGTAAGATACTAGGAGGTACGTAAACAACCTTACATATATGCATATCATATCTGACCTTTATGATTGGGCATTCTTTGTTGAATCCTGCAGGGTTACCATCATCTATCTACTTACTAGGTATTCATCTACTAAGACGCTCTCGGGATTATACTAAATCGTCTTTGATGATACAATATTAGGTAGCTACCTTCAATTTGCCGTTCCGCCATACATTAAATCAGTTCATTCATTCAGCGCCGAGCCGTCCATTATCATAGAATCCTAAATCCCATCCTCGGTTCCACTAAATCGCATAGGCTTCCTATCATCGGTGAACTACTACCTACCTAGTCTACCCTTAAGCTTCCCCCACTCAGCTTATGAACATACCATATACACTGGTATACCCGCCACCTTGAATGAGGAGGTGAGTGTCACCAAAGGCTCATGAAGTCATATATATGTCATGTCGTACCTCATGATTCAGATCCAGAGTCCGTCAATCAATCAGCACCCCTCAATCAGATACACCTAACTCTTCCGTGTACTAAGATATACAATACGGGAGAGTCATGTGTAATCTCGGCAAGTTGGTAGCCGGCGCCTCTTTGGTCCTTACTACCATCTTGCCCAACGTTGTGGCTCAAGCCCCTCCATTCACCAATTTCACTGTCTATCCAGATAACGTCGAAGCCTCGTATGTACCCAAATACTATCCCCTCAGACCCCCAGCCATTCCTCTGGCCGTTAGGAGTCCGTACACAAGTGTTTGGTCTTCCACCGTCGGACATGGGACACTTAATAGCCAGATGCCCATATTTTGGTTCGGTCAGGGGCTAGGATGGGAAGGAATCGTTGTTGTTGATGGCAATTCCTTTGAGTACATGGGTAGCGTAATCAACGACTTTCCAGAGCTATCATATTTCAACACTACTGTACCCCTAGAGGTTAGATTCGATTCACAGTTTTCGAATTTCACATTTCTTGCCGGCCCAGTAATCATCACCACAAGCTTCTTCTCGCCCGTGATACCCAAGGATATCTGCCGAAGCTCTATTCCGCTCAGCTATTTGACGACCACGGTCCAGTCGAGCGATGGAAAGCCTCACCATGTACAGTTCTACTCCGATGTCAATGCCCAGTGGATCGGCCTAGGCAACGAATATGACATCATAAAGGAATTCCATACTGGTCCGGTAAATGGGAATGGGACGGGTAATACCACTGACACGCCAACTAGTTGGATATTACGCCCAAGATACCCTTCACTCTTTGCGGAGGCTAATCAAATTCCAAGATGGGGGAATTTTTCGTTTACCACAAGTCCAGTGGGAGCTTCCAATTTTACGTACCAGAGTGGCTCTGCAACGAGCGTTCGATTTGGGTTCGTGAACAACCGTCGGCTCAATAACGATGCCGGTTCAGTTACGCGGGGCTTTGGAAATCAAGAACCTGTTTATGCTTTTGCGCATGATATGGGCGATGTCCTCGAGACCTCTGTTCGCTACACGATCGGCTCAATTCAGTCACCCTCCGTGAGATACCTTCACAAAGGAGGGTTGTCAAATTTGGCGCCATGGTGGGAAAAGTGTTACGGCGGGATGCATGATATGATCAGTTTCCATTGGAACGACTTTAACACAGCCGCTGCACTTGGACGCGAGTTTGAGACAAAGCTCAGAAGAGATATTAATATCTTTTATAGAGGAAGTGAACCTCCTATCTACGGAAATAGTAGCACATCGTCTGCATTCAAAAACAATGCAACATACAGAACATCAAATGTTCTAAATGGGACCGATCAATACGGCCAACAATACGAATTCAACCCTGACGCAGCGTACGGATACCTCGAACCTGGCAACGGAACCGGACTCGCTGTCCCATTCATCTCAGAGGCGGAATCATACTACGCAATTGTAGCATTATCAGCGCGACAAGTAATGGGAGCCTACGTATTCGCAGTTCCTCCCTCCGTGCCCAACAGCTCAGATTCCTCCATAGAACCTCTAATGTTCCAAAAAGAAATCTCCAGCAACGGCAACATAAACACCGTCGACGTCCTCTACCCCGCCTCCCCCTTCTTCCTCTACGCCAATCCAACCCTGCTCAAATACATAATGCAACCGCTCCTCGAGCTCCAAGAAGGCGACTTCTACCCCAACACTTACTCCACCCACGACATCGGCGCACACTTCCCGCTCGCAACCGGCCACGTCGAAGGCACAGACGAATACATGCCTGTAGAGAACAGCGGGAACTTCATCCTCATGGCCTACGCGTACTACAAATTCACCGGCGACGCGCGCTGGCTCACCGCGCACTACGAGCTGCTCTCGCAGTTCGCGCAGTACCTAATCGACTTCTCGCTCGTGCCCTCCGCACAACTCAGCACAGACGACTTCGCCGGCGAGCTCGCGAACCAAACCAACCTCGCCATCAAAGGCATCGTCGGGCTGCAAGCGATGTCCGCCATCGCACGGATAGTCGGGAACGACGCCGACGCATCGTCCTTCGCCAGCACCGCAGCAGACTACTACGACCAATGGGAAGACCTCGCCATCGACCCATCAGGGCGACACACGCTCCTCGCGTACCAATGGCGGTCGAGCTGGGGGCTGTTATACAACGTGTATTTCGACAAGCTCCTCAACATGGGCCTGATCCGCCCGCGCGTGTACGACATGCAGAGTCGATGGTACGCGACAGTCTCCCAGGTCTTCGGCGTGCCGCTGGACAACCGCCACCACTACACGAAAAGCGACTGGGAGATCTGGACCGCGGCGACGTGTTCGCGGAGCACGCGGCGCTTGTTCGTCAATGCCGTCGCGTACTGGCTTAATGCCACGACGACCAATCTGCCGTTCTCCGATCTGTATGAGACGGTGGGCACGGGCGATTATCCGTTGTTGATTGATCATTTTAGCGCGAGGCCGGTTGTGGGTGGTCACTTTGCCCTGTTGGCGTTGGGGAAGACGGGGCAGATGGCGGGGGCCACGGGGGGAGATACGACGGGGAGTTTGTTTGAGAAGAATGGCACGGATCCGTTGCCCCATCCGGATACGCCCTCGGTGCCCCCGTCGTATGCGGGACCGGTGTTTAAGCCAAGGGCAGTGCGGAAGCAGGCTGTGAAGCCGGATGTTTCGTGGCTTGAGAAGAAGGGTCGTTGATGGTTTGACGTTATCGAGGTGATTTGTGGTAAGCGACGGTATGCGAAAGTGGTACGGACATTTTTGGTCTCGCGATCTTGCTTTCTTTAGTTTTTTCACAGGTTGTCTTTTCCTACTTTTTCGCGTTGAGTTATGTTCATGGACATGATCGCATTTACATGCATGTAATGAGATATAAACGGCGTTTGTAGAGTCGCTAGACTACCTAGCTTTAGGGATGTCTTAGGTGCTGATCCTACTGGGTAGCTACCATGAATGCCATATAAGTCTTTCATTTTTCATGATAGTGTGTCCAGCTCACTCTTCTGTTCTACGGCTTCCATGGTACACGCATGATTAAAAGATATCAGTACCTACCTATTAGTCATACCATTCATCTACCGCATCCAGCCAAATGCTTTCTCTTTCTGCAGCGCGATGTAGAAGGTAGTATTGGCGTTGGTATGACTCTGTAGACTCGGCGCAACGACGTAGGATCGCGCCTCTTTCTACACCTTCTCGGACGAGTACATCTATCATGGATTCTAATTTGTACAATTGTGCCACGGCCATAGCCCAATTTCCGGTTTCTGGAGTGTCCAACCTTGCGCCGTATTCACGTAGGAGGCGGAACATAGCCATGTTTTCGTTAGAGACAGCAAAGACAATAGGTGGAGGGTAGCCCTCGTCAACCTTCGCCCCGGCCTCAAGAAGCATTCTAGTCATGGTAACCCTTGACAGTCGCGCCGCATACATAAGCGGGGTATTGTGAGATGGAAAATTGTTCGGGTCTGCTCTATGATCGAGAAGCACTTTAACAACATCTACATTCCCGCTCCTAATGGCTACTAGTAGTAGTTCGTGCATGTGATAATCGTTTTCCAACTCGTTAATTAGGTCCTCTTGGTTAGACCATGGGGCTTGACTTAGGAGATACTGCATCATATCTGCGTGGCCACTGTTTGCTTTTCTATGAAGCTGGCATAATAGATCCATACGATTATCGGAATGGATTAGGTGACTCTTGGGAAATATAGAAATAGCGCGCTCGTAGTTTTCCGGATGTCGCGTGCTGATTATTGCTTCCTTAACCCAGTCGTATTTCCGGGGCCAGCGGCCGTCTTCGCGCTCTTCTGCGGTCGGATCGATGGGCTTGATGTCGAGTGCGAAGTCGAAAGCGTCTTTATAGCCAAGAACTGCAGCCCAGTGAAGAGTGTGTTTCTGGATAGCGGAATTTAGATTGCAGTTCGGATTAGATGACATGAGAAGGCGTAACATAGATACATCACCCTTGAAGGTGGCTGCTTCAAAGGCTGTACCGAAGACGTCACCGGAGACATCTTTGGTTACTTTCCCAGTGGAGAATTGATAGCCCTGTGAGATGAGTTTCTCAATATATGGTCGACAACCAAGGTACACGGCTGCAACACAAACGTCCGCCTTTAGCTCTTCGTCTGAGCATTTGAGACGGCGTAGCGACTCTGGGCAAAGGAACTCAGGGTTCGTGAAACAGGCTTCGTCCCCATTACTGAGCGTAAGAAAGCACAGAGATTTGAGACGAGAATGAATACTAGCCTGCTCCATGTCGCCAATCTCCTTCGAGATAGTCACGGCAGCATGTCGAATGCGACCAAGGGCTGAGTAGGGCTCTTTTTCAATCCATGCTTGGTAAGCCCAATACTCAATGATAAAGGCGCGCCAATTGTCGAACCTACACGTCAATGGTTTCCAAGGAAAATCCATCAAATGGATGTCGATAAGACGGAGGCGAAAGATGGCATTGTCAACGAAGTGTCTAAATTGACCTGTGAGCGGTGAGTAAGTACGTACCTAGTACTTAGTAGGCAGAGGTGTAAAGTTAGCATGTTTATGAACTCACAGTTGACGAGACGTAGTCGCATAAATCGGTTAAATTTGCGAGAATATGCTAAGTTCTCAAATATGAGCTCGATGAGTTCCGGAGCGAAGTCAAATAGATGCATGATGATCAAGTGTTAGGGATATAGTAAAGGTAGATGGGCAGGCAATCGGTCAATGGAAGCTCATTAAACCGCATCGAATGTTCGTAGTAACGAGTGGATACGTACTAGAGCATATCAAGAAATCCTTGCCATGTAAATCATTCGCTGAGACTGGTATTGAGTACCTACCTAACCTACCAGGTAGTATCTTACTAACAGCACCTAACTAAGATAGTAAGATGGAAGTTGGTGGCGAGCCATCGACCTATTAATACAACAAAAAGTCTCCAACAAGCTGCATGAATCGTTCCCGATCTTCCCACATAGACGTATGACTTGAATTTTCAAGCGTCACCCATTTGACCTTATTGATCGTCTTAAAAAAAGGTTCAACCACAAAGTCCATAACCTCGTCGTATCTCCCATTCAAAAGCAATGTCTCGGCCTCAATGTTATGCGCATCTTTCCAACCCTCCCAATCCTTGAGCGAGCCGACGGTGTCGAATTCGGAGTGTCCTTGCCTGTACAAAGCCATGTAAGTAATCAAGCAGCACAAGAAACATGACAGCCGGGGGCAGGCAAGCAACTCAAAAGTACCTAGAAAACAGACAAGGAAGTCAAACTCACATAGTCCCATACGCCGTCGAATCATCGCGAATATTCTTAAAAGTCCTCTGAATCGGCTCGGGCAGGGGATCCAAGCGACACACAAACCGCCTCATAAACACCGCCGCCGCGTCCTTAAACTCCGGACTCTCATGATCGCCCTTCGCATCGCACTCCTTAAGCGCGCGGCCCACATCCTCCGGCAGTTCCGCAAGCCGTATCTTGCACGCCTGCTTATACAGCGGCATGCTCGCCGGCGCACCACTCAGCACCAGCCTCCTCAGCCCGCGCGGTCTGCGCGCCGCATACGCGCTGCCGAGCATGCCGCCCCAGCTCTGGCCCAAGACATGGAACCCGGAATCCCTAAGCGAGAGATGGTCGACGAGCTCGTCGAGCTGCTTGACGAACAGGTCGAAGGTCCAGAAGGATTCGTCGCCGGCTTTTTCGCGCAGATGCGTGGACCGCCCGCAGCCGATTTGGTCGTACAGGATGAGCGGGATGCCCCGCGATTCCGTCAGGTCGAAGAGTGCCTCGAGGTAATCGTGTCCGGACCCGGGGCCGCCGTGCAGGGCGATGAGGGGCGGTGTGGACGGTGATAGGGTGCCGACGATCTTGTACCATGTCTTGCACGGCTTCCCCGCGCCCGGGGCGTCGAAGGGGAGCTCGGACTCTGAGGTGGGGGGTGGTGGCATCCTGAGCTTGTTTTTTTTTCTTGGTTTTCTCGTAGGGCTGAGGTAGGCGGTGAGGGAGAAGGGGTTGGTTGGCGTGGTTGTGGTTAGATTGGATTGAACCTGGAAATATGGTGTAAGAATATAGCTCGCGGAAGCTTGGGAGGAAAAGACGTAGTTATCACGTGGAGAAGCAAGGTAGGTAAGACAGTGGCTGGAAGAGCCGGAGATAGGCATGACATCCTTGCAGTCAAGGCCAGTACCTTTGTCGGTAATTCGACCTATCATGCTCATGATAAATTGTGACTGTTGGAACGGAAATGCGACTCTCCGAGCCAGAGCCTTGAGTGTTATCCAGTCGGCGAGTGGCATTTGCGGACCCGCATGTGGGAAAGCGAGACATAGCACATCGCAGACCGAGCCCGGCTCTTGGTTAGATTGGTCACATAACGATTCCCAGAACCGTTACCCGTTTCGACCCTCCGCTATCCGGTTTGTATATTGTCATTGGTTTACTCAGGTACATCCGTGTGTCGCATTGGGGGCTATGCATGTGAGGTAATAAGATATTCCCCGCTCTTCCTAGGGATGATGCAGAGTCGCGCCGTAGGGCTTGGTCGGTCAGGGGTATCCGTAGGGCATTCGTCCCGTATTACATATCACCGCCGACTCATCAGGTAACACAGAGCTGCAGCCAACCACACTCGAGATCAGTCTATCTGCATGAGATATATTAAAACCTCCCATGTCCACCTGCCAGGGACTAATAACAAACGGGTCATGAAGTTTTTATTTAGGCGCTGTTTAGGGCTTTACCAGCGTAAGCTCAGGATATCTAGGTACCTATTTCCCCGGACCAATCTAGACTTCTCGCTATCATGTCCTACGACCTTCACATAAGCAGTGATCATATCATCATCCGTCTTACTTTACTCCACATTGTTGTTATGCGGCTTAGCCTTCGGCTTATTCCGTTCAAATGGTCCTGGCCGGTACGTGTAATTCCCCGCGATGAGCATCCTCTGCCGTGCCCAATTGTCGAAGCTATCCCATTTCGTACATGTCGTCGATGCATCTAGCCTTTGCTCTTTACCGTCGAGTGAGGTTTCTTCGTCAACCCATTCAAACGTTGTGATCGCGGTGTTCGCATGACACATGACTGCCTGCCGAAGAACGTTGATACAGTGATCTGAGATACAGTTAGACTTAAAATAACACCTATCAGTAAACAGAAGGTATGTGAAGACGAACCCGAATGTGCTTTTCCAAGATGACCGAAGTATGGAGAGTCCCGATATATCGGCTCGTAATAATCCCAATGGACCACCATTCGTAAGTTATTGAGACAATGAAGATGATGGTAGACTCCCATGGACCCGATATAATCGCCACCGTTAACCCGGACCATGTTGGTTTTATTGATGCCGAGAATATCTAGTTCATCGCCAGTAACTCTGATGTTTATAGCTTGAGAGACTTAGTAAAGTCCGTTAAAAATAGGTACTTCAATGAAATATAGAACTCACCATGTAGTAAGTCATCCCACGCATCATCAAGTTCTTCTGATGGGTCCTGGTCCCAGGGAGATCCAGGCGAAAACCATTCAGGTCTTTTCTCATATCGTAGGATATCTCCCATCAAAGCTTATGATCATGTAAGTGACCTAATTGAAAATAGTAGGAAGGGACTCATACGTAAGTGATAGTCCGATATCTCCTTTGATTGTATGGAAAATTTCATCGCGATATCGACTGTTAACGCTATAGCAATATACAGTAGCAACACTATTATCGCCAAGGAAAATGCGTGTTCCCGCAGCCACGAACGTATCGGCCGGTGGCCATCTTCTTGGTTGTCTAAAGCATTACCTAGAGAAATTGTGCTCTCTTCGGTAGAATGGCGAAGAAGGGGATCTCGAGATTCTTGAGAATGTTTCTCCATGGCGTGGAATAAGACGAGTCCAGGCGGAACTCTGGTGAACGGAGATGTTATCTTCGAGAGAATCGAGACTTGGGATAATAATGACCCAGGAAGATGTGAAAAGGGGGAGATCGGCTGACCAGAAGTCGATGCCGGTGGCATGACGCGAATGGAAGTGTAGTATCTGGACCTCGATAGACCTGCATGCATGTGGCGTGGAATGGAGCATGTTCCCTCTGCAACAACTTTAACCTTAGCCTGTTACCAGGTGCCGAGCCTTTGGATACTACCCACGAAGTAGGGTAGCAGGATTATGATATGCGAACCTGAAACCCACGTCCTATCTTACGGTGAAGCTAACACCCCCCTATTTACGTCGGCGGGTCCGATCACACATCGATATGCACGAATCCGCTAGTCGTGATATGTATATCGAGATACATCATCGATGGTTACACTAGTTAGACTACCTAGGTAGGTAGGACTTGTTTTGCTAGGATCGGCGTGAGCATAAGAGTAAGAAGTTCCCACCGAGTGGAACGACATATCACGGTTCTCCAGCACCTTTCACCACACTAAGAACTCAGTCGAATTTCATCCCTAAAAACAAGCATTGTTAGCAAAGAGACCGCCAATATGCTCTACAAGACAGTCCTCTTCGCCTTCCTAGGTTTCACCGGCATTGCCTCCTCTATGGTTCTAGGTAACCTACCCCTCCTACGATTCTCCTGATTCTTGTTTTCATGGTAGTTGCTTACAAGAGATCCAGGAAACCGAGACTCTAGCGTCAGCAACCCCGTCGAAGCCAGAACCCCGCCGTCTATCATTGCCATTGCGGACGTTGTGGATGAGGCAGACGAATAAATTCAGCGAGTCACCTGTATGGAACTGCGAGATATCATGTTAGCTATGAGGGCAAGGGTTTATGGGTAGTGGGGAATATGATTCTACTGTGATTCAATTGCGAACTCATACTATACCAATTGAGATATGATTATGGATATTCGAATACCCACACATCTACCTATGCTTGTATCTCGATGTGATTTAACCTTAACTACGCCGTAGTGATACATCGATGGAAATCATCGACTACTTAAGCTTAGCTCGTTTTGTTACGGCAGTTGGTTGCTAGCCGAAGACTAATCTTGAATAGGGGTAGGAAATAATTATATTATTCCTGAGATTGTCAAATGAAGATTTGAATGGTCGAGAAACGAATTTCTATGCCGAGCCATCTTCCCTGAAGATTAGGTGGCACGTTTACCGCGAATAGAAATAATTAGGGGAGTTGAGAAAGTTCATCTGATAAGTTTAGTGGCGGGGTTGCATAGAAAAGGGGTCTAAGACAGATTTACGAGTCTAGTCCAGAAGGAATGCCAATGTCCTATTTTGGGCAATTCATGGACCGATTAGGAGCTGTTAGTCTATGGTAGAGAGAAAACGTACTCAAGTCCCTTGCGAAATGTTACGTGCGGAAGATTATGAGAATGTGCTATAGCAAGTAACGTACCGCGATAAAGCTAGGAACCCTGAAAATGGATCCCATCGGCCTCTAATGCACAACGACATGATGGGCTAAGACATGTTTATGATAAATAAAGTAGGTACCTAGACAGCTAGAAAAAGTTGCGGGGTTAGCGAGAGGACCACACGACAAGGTACGTTGCCGTGTTCGTAGCCTATAGGCCCTGGACGTCGCCGACAACGATGTCGATCTGAAGGCGCCATCGCTGAGTAAATAGAATACGTGATGATTAAGTGTGCCCATGTAACGTAGATCGGTGATACTGTAGATCTTGTTTTCTCTTCGAAGGACTCCTGGATATCGCCGGTGTTGTAATATTGGCGAGGTGACGCCTACAAGCCAGCGTTACATCGGCCATGCATGCTGACCCGTTATGCAGCGACAGGGCATTAGGGCAACAAGAGCTCTGCTGTTACAGATGATATAGGCGACAAGCTTCTAACCAATGGCTGTTCAGCACCCATATGTCTTATTACGGCGGCGAGATTTAACCCCGCGACCTACGCAAGCCACCTAAGCACTTTGTGTACTGACTTTAATCGAGTCAGCTTACCTGCCGTCGTAGCGTTTCGGAACAGGGACAAGGCCTCATACGGGCTCACGTAAGTTTCTTCTTAGGCAGGCTCTCATAATTAATTGGCCATGTCGCTCAATTTAAGGACGCCATGCGGAGCTCTAGCCGTAAAAAAAAAGCGCGTACATGATAGACAGTCTACCGGCACTGGATTCGGAGATTGCCTGGCTACTGAAAAGCTCCCAGGTAGGATGCCGATTACCGGGCATCTAAGTGCTACCCAATGAAATCCACAGCGTCCTCGATGTTTCTGTAACCTGAGACATGGTTAGAACAAGTCATAAGCACTTGAATCCAGGACGAGTTAGGATATACACGTAAATATCAAATTATTTAATTATATGTGCAGAAAGGGTAAATACACCACACCCGCCAAGCTAAACTTCCCTAATAGGGCCCTTGAAATAATGTCTCGCCCTAACAACGTACCAAACGACGCTGAACACGACAACAGCCCCATACACCACCACACTCCAATTCAACTCCTCTGCATCGGGGTGACTCGACTGGGGCCAGAACGACCAGAACAGTAAAAAGGCAGTATATACACATGCGAAAGCATTATTAATCGTGCCGAAGGGCTCTGGAAGCTTCCAGGGCCCCCAGAAGAGCTGGTCTGCGTTTCGCGGGTCCTCGTCGGCGCCCGCGATGTAGGGTTGCAGGGCACCGGTGCATCTACGCCAGAGGAGCAAACTGCACGCGAGGAGATACGAGGAGTAGATAGCGGCGAGAAGAAGAGAGAGTAGTGCGGATAGGACGACGGAGGAGCCTAGGACGATAAATGAAATCACGACCGTGATGCCCATGGTGCAGATGATAGCGTAGACGGGGAGAGAGTTTTTGTTGAGCTAGTGGTAAATAGGTTAGCGAATGCGGGTGAGCTAGACGGGGATATGTAAGTGCCATTAGTATTAGCATCAACGTACCTTGACCAAGTACCTATCGAAGGGAAGTCCCTTGTCGCGCGCGAACGACCACATCATCCTAGACGCAGATGCGTATGTACTGATAGAGCTCGCGATCGCAAGGACCAGCACCACGCCGGCCATGATGCAGGCACCAGTCGTAGACTTCACAGCGGTCTGGAAGATATGGAGGAACGGGTAGAACATAGTATCGGCGGCAGCTACCGCGGCGGGTACGTCGCTAATGCAGAATAACAAAGCGATGACCATAGCGAACCCCAGAGCCCCGTTGATGAAGATAGTGTAGATTAGCGCGCGGGGGACTACAATGTTGGCCTGGCGGACCTCCTCGGACATGTGGACCGCGCAGTCGGCGCCAGTAAGAGTGCTCGCGACGGTGGGGACGCCGACGAGGAACGCGACTGCCTGCGTTGGCCAATGGCCGTTATTGGAGAACGTGGTGAACACCTGCGCGGGCGTGTTATGAGGCGCGAAATAGACCAGCGGGACTAGCACGCCGAAGAAGCCCGCGAGATGCAGGATCAGGACGGCGCCCTCGAACTTGGCCAGCGCACGGCCCGTGGTCGAATTAACCAATACCGAAAACACCGCCGCGGCCCACATGATCAAGACCGTATGCCATGATATGGCCTCGTAGCTGGGGCGGGCTAAGACTATGATACCTTGGATGATGGTGGAGACGGAATATGAAGTCGTGATGGCGATGACCTGCCATGCCAGCGTCGTAAGCCACGCCGTCAAATATGACAGGAAATTGGCGCATGAATCTGGCGCCATCATAGCGACCCAGTGATCTATAATCCAGTGCATTGTTTAGCGCATATCCCCATCCCACAGCAGGATGAATAGATGAATGGAGCCTTACATTGTCCACCTGCAGTCGGAGCTATAGAAGCTAGCTCAGCTACAGTCGCGTAGACAGAAGTGACGCCGACCCAGCCGATTAGAAAAGCCCATATTACACCACCAGAGCCTCCGCTGAGGAACGTAGGCACGGACGTAACCAAGATCCCCTCCCAAGACAACAGAACGGTGCACGAGAGGCCCAAACTCGACATAAACCCGAAGCTGCGATTGAGGAGCGGGCGTTTCCCGAGCCGTCTTAGGGTGGTGTCATCGCGGGAAGAGTGGTAATTACCACCCGAGAACTCGGAGAAGGAGAGGAGCGTGTCGCCGTTATTCTGCGAAGCGACGCGCAGCTCGATGGATTCCTTCGACGTGCCTGTGATATCCATTATATCGAAGTCTCGACTACCTGCGAAGTGCGGCGATCACAGCATGAACGGTAGGAAATTTGGTGTTTGAGGTAAGACAAAGAATTGGTAGGACGAACCAGATAAAGTTAATTCGACGAATAATTCGAGAAGGCGATCGGTGTCAGCAGCAGGTTACTTCCAAGATTCGGTGGCTGAGGGTGCTGTCGCAGCGTTTCGGTGATTAGAACTGCGCTACCCCTGCTGGGTTTTGCTGCAGGTCAGCCGTTCTGTGAAGGAGCTCCGAGCTTCTCGCAGGGTATAGATCAGAATACTCGGTGCTCATCAACGCTGTTTTCAGCTCCGGCTGGTTCGTCTGTAAATCCATTTGTTTCAGCACCTTTAACCGAACGCGGACCTGAAAGTAGGGCGTTCAGGACAAATGCGACGCGAGCAAAACCTCGCTTCTAGGCATACTCATGGACCTATGCCGAGCCTCATTCGTGCTGACTCTGCTGAGGAAAGGTATGAAACGAATATACGAATGGGTAGAAAACATGGCTATTTCGGCCCGGTTCTTTCTCATTGCGACCTTCCACGATAGCACCATACGAATCGCTGCATGGGAAGCGTGGAAGTGAAGAAGCCGCCCTTGTCATTGGGGGGTTTCCAGGGTTGTATTGGCTGAAGATTGGCTGAAGGATTCTGGAAAGTAACCCCAATTAAGGCTTTGATTGGTGACGGGAGCTGCACTGGACCTGTAAGAACCGTAAGAGTTATAACAGAAACCCCGTCCTAACAGCGCCGTGCTATTGCGTCTTCGGCTATCCACTGTAAGACGTATATCACTCCACCCGTTGCACCCGCCCATCTTTTCAGCCCAATGCTGTACTCCCCCACAACTTGCCGGGGGCGGGATGCCGTCGACTAATACTTCGACTAGTATTTTAGATGCGCATAAGCCATTGCTTAACTTGCTCTTCAATCCACTTCGCACATGTCAAGTTATGTGAGTGATGTGTTCCGCATGTTTGTCATTTTTATATGTTGAGATATGTTAATAGATCGATCGTCTGGCGCTTGATGCATAAAACGAATGCGGGATTTGATTCGGAGAGGGTATCTCGTAGATATCTCCATGCTTGGTTATCGAGCTAGAACCCAATACTCAACACCCATATTGACTATCACTGCATCGTAGCAGGGTTGAGGCGTCTTCCTAAGCCTGCGATATTTTCGGAGGAACATCTTTTCTAGAGTTGGTAAGAAAGATTGAAGAGTCTTGAAGCAACCAGCTGCCGTAAATATCCCTAAGCGGGAACAGTCTTCAGTAAAATTAGCCGCATACGAACACAAGCCCCCCCTTCTTAACAAGCTATTATTGATTAAGAGCAATGCATTCTATATAAGATCTTAACACTGAAGCATAGCACTTACGATTTGAACGATGAAGATGAAGCATATCGCGTTTAACCCGAATATTTCCGTTTTGACCTTTCCGGGTGAAGCTTAACCCATGGCCCAACCAACCAGTCGCTTAATGAATGTTAACATCAGGTTCCAATTCCCACGCCGCGTTCAATCGTCACGAACCCTCCGTATAAAATCCAATCAGTTGTACCACCTATTCCATATCATTCCAACATGATACCCATGGTCTTAAATTACGTACCTAGTAGGTACTTATACATCCAACATACTCTTAATCTGCTGGGGAGGCACGTTTGTGGATTGTCCGCTATTCGTGCTTGAGCTTCTCTCGCTCGTACCTGGGCGTCGAGGCTGTTCGGTAGACATCTCTAAACCTCTACCTCTACCTGCAGAAACCTCAGGATTCGCACCCGGGAACAGGAGACTGGCCGCCACCTGCATCGTTCGCTCAGACCTTCGCTGGTCCGACCTGCCCCCATAAGGCGTGTACGGTGGCGGGACAGCTGCTCCCCGGACGCTACTATTAATGCTATTTGTGCGTCGCATCTCGTCCATTTCTATCGCGTTTGTGCGATTGGTGTTTGGCCCCGCTTCAGCCTCAGCTTCCGCAGCTCTCCGCTCTGCTAGCATTTCGATCTGTGTTGCGGTTGGCCGTCCACCTCCGACTTCTCGTACGTTCCGCATGATGCGATCTCGCATGTTTTCGGATGGTATATCGCCGTTGGCACGACGCCACCAAGCGGGCTTACGAACGAAGCCGAGCTCTTGGTCAATATCCTGCCCGCGTTCTCGTCGCTGGCGCGAGAGCTCGCGATCCTCATTCGGGCGCATAAAGCCGGCAATGATTTGGATGATGATGATTAAGAGGGTTGGTGCATATCCTCCAAGGTACATCGCAAGTAGATTAGTCCCGACCTTCAGAGGCGACAGGTAGAATTCCCAGGCGCATAGACCCTGGTACGCGACAACAGCCAATGAAAGTGGAACCATTAGGACAAACCGGAATGGCATATATCCCAAAAACCCAATGATGCGGTTAAAGAATCCACGATTGCGAGGTTCATAATGCCGAATAGAATGCCAGAGAGATACCATAATCGTCAACCAACAAACGAAGAGGCAGAATGTTGCCGTCTTGAAACGGACATCCGTAGCAGCCGGTATCGCATTCTCTATCGCCTGTTCAGCAGAGCGCTGTAACTCAATCTTACCCCAATTTCTCGGGACAATTAAAAAGAAATTCTACATCGCAATAACTAATTAGTACCTGATTTGCCTTGTCTGGACATAATTACTTTGATATTGACTTACCAGCCATAGCCATAGATAGAACCATAATGGCAGCCAAAATTCAAACATCCCTCTCTTGTCATTCTGCTGGAGGACAAACGGGTTTGGATCAATGAATTGACGTTCCATCCAACTACCCCAATGTCGCACTCCCTCCCAAACAACGGCCATAATACCCATCTGCATGAGGAACCAGAAGAAGACATTCAAAACGAGAGGAAGTTCGACGACACGATATCGGTCAACATCAATGCCGGTAAAAAGGCCGACAAGTGCCGCAGCGCAAACGAATATTGACCAATACCATTGCCATCGCCTTCCTATCGGATAGAATCTCTTCTCCGCCGGAAGATGTAGTTCTCCATGTTTCTTCAAATTTACGAATACGAATATCAGGGACAAGGCAAAGGCCACCGCAAATCCAACTCCGGCACGCGCACGATTACCAATGGGTTGCGTTGCTAGATAGCACCAAGTACTATTGAGAAAGGTACCGTTGGGTAAAAGTCCGACCGGGGTATAAGGCGAATCGACAAGGAAACACCATGATCCATTGGAAAGTGTACTATTCGTAGGATAATACGTATAATTCCAGTAATCAAGGGTCGTCAAGTTGAAATGGATGCCACTGATTACGGTGTCGGTTGAGTTGTCGCCAGTCGGGAAGCTCAAAATATCGCGTAAATCGATGAGAGTCATGGCTTCGTCGGATGACCCGCGCGCGGGGATTTGTCGTCTTCTATGTCGTCTTCTATATCGATCTCCGGGTACAATGGTAACGAGGTTACGATATTAGAACCATCGCTAGATGACTAGACGCGCGGCGACGGAGGGAAAGGGAAGAGAAAGGAAAAAGAAGAGGAAGAGAGTTTAAAATTGACGAGGTTGCGGAGGTGGAGATTGCACGGTCGATTGAATCCGGAGCTTCGGATGGCATTGCAATGGAAGTTTTCCAAAAAGTCGCTCAATCAGCAGGCCATCTCCACTTAATCGCTCCCCGATAACAGAAAACGGTGCGATCAGTGGAGCGATAACGGTAAACGACGTCATTCCGAAATGCCGAGAAAGACTAGCGGGGACTAGGTACGTACTCTGCATATTGTTTTCCATTTTCGGTCCAACATTCAATGTTTACCTAAGCCAATTGGATGACACAGCAACAGACTGCTTAGCTAAGCTTATCCATGCTCATAATTCCTATCTTATGCATTTCAATTCTTCAGCAAATATTGCAACCGCTACACACTTCATATCAAACTACTCTTGGAGGATCAACCTTGGAGTCAATCAAACAGAGTTCTTAGAACATAATAAAACTACCCATACTGTCATATTCATCAAGACTCGATAGCCTAGAAAGGGGTCTCCATTACTTTTTATTGAAGCAAGGGGTTGAATGTTGGTAAGATTGGTCAAAACACATACCGCTAGCTTACAGCATCATGGAGAATGAATCTAGACTTTGGCAAGAATGCCGGGGTGCAGCTCCAGGCCAAGACTCTTGGCTTGCCCATCATCAGTCTAGACACGGACAATTAAGACACGATTCCTGAATCTTGATAATTGCTTTACTCCTCAATTTCTCAGATCTCCCACTCGATCTCTATTCCAGACTTATTAGAGGACAATTACGCAATAAGCTATGCGGTCGAGCGATGTAATATTGTCGGCGTCTTGGGTCATCGGGGGCGTGCTTGGGAGTTGTCCCAAATATTCATCTTACTCCACGTCGCGAAATCCACCTCTCTCGCCCGGCGCCTACAAACTCGCATACCAGCGACCGTCTCCAGAATGTCGAACATTAAACTCAACCCTAATCGAAGAAGCCATTAACCGAACGAAAGATGCGATATACGACGAAGATCTATCTCGCCTTTTCGAGAACACTTGGCCGAACACGCTCGATACGGCGATAAAATGGCGAGGGTTCGCGGCCAATAACACGGAGGAGGAGCTGGCTTTTGTCATTACTGGAGATATCGATGCTATGTGGATTCGAGATTCGGCGAACCAGATAGCCCCATATAAAGCGGTATTAAAGAGCCCTACCAGCGACATTGCCTCGCTGTTCCGTGGAGTCATCAATATGCAGAGTCGTTATTTGATTATTTCGCCGTACTGTAACGCCTTTCAACCGCCGCCCGAGTCAAACATAAACGTTCAGCCAAACAGCGGCACGTACTCTGTCACACCAAGCTATGATAGAAGTATAGTCTTCACTTGCAACTTTGAGCTCGATGACTTTGGCGGCTTCTTGCAGCTCTCGCATGATTACTACACAGCAACAGGTGACGTAGATTTCTTCGGCAAATTCCAATGGATTTCCGCTGTGCAATCTATTCTTGCCGCTTCAGAAGCCATGAGGCAGCCTACGTATGGTCCAGATGGCAAATGGATCCCCCCGGCGTACACTTTTCAATCCCTAACTATGTCAGCCTTCGGCACATTGGGGAACAATGGAATGGGGGCTCCCGTAAACGATACGGGCCTGGTGCGGTCCCCGTTCCGCCCAAGCGATGACAGCGCCATGTTTGACTTCAGTATTCCCGCGAACATGATGCTTTCAAGATACCTAGAATCGACCTCAGAAATCATGGAGCGATTACCAAACGCTCCGAAAGGTCTCTCGCGGGAAATGAAAGATATGGCCACCGAAATTAGGGAAGCTATCAACCAGTGGGGTGTTGTAAAAGCGCCAAATGGTCAGAAGATATTCGCGTATGAGGTCGACGGGTTTGGGGGTCAGAATTTGATGGATGACGCTAACATCCCATCCCTCCTCTCGGCGCCTTTTCTGGGGTACTTAAACAAGAGTGACGCCATCTACCAGAATACGCGGGCTTTCGTCCTAAGCAGAAGCAATCCGTGGTGGTGCACTGGCCCTTATATTAACGCCATCGGCTCCCCACACATTCGACCCGGTGCAGCATGGCCCATGGCGTCGATTAGTACGTGATTTTAGTAACCACTTTTTCCTTATACTTGGTCATTGGCCAATTCGTCATGGCTTAATACGTTCGCGGGCTCCTTCATTCACACCCCGATGTTAATTCCTCTCATCCTTTCCAAAAACTGACAAACTAATTACCCTGATTGTCTAGTGCGAGCAATGACCTCAGACAACGACAGCGAAATCATAACAGCGATCACAGAGGTTCTACGGAGTACAGATGGATACGGCCTCATCCATGAGAGTGTCGATACTTTTGACACAAGCAAATGGACCCGACAATGGTGAGTGAAAGCTTCACGCTTGTCGTATCTTGACGGACTGTCTAGACTAACTCCGTACTCAGGTTCACTTGGGCAAATGGACTTTTTGGCCAGATGATTATGGACCTAGCTGATAGGAAACCTCATATCCTGAAAGAGAGCTTCCAGCCTTTTTTCATAGAAAAGAGTTAGGGTTGTATGCGCGGTTAATATATTTGTATCTCCAGCTGTATTGTTCCGTAAAATCCAGTCACCCCGTGGTCATATTAGTCAACGAACAGTATCGTCGCCACCCAACCCAAAGCGCAGCTCGTAATTCAGACTACCGACGGCTTCAGATTTAGTGTCCCATTAAGGCACGCACCAAAAATCCATACCTTATCGTAGATAAATTGTGCCATACACTTAATAACCCTTGGACCTCCCAACCGTAGGTATTATTCAAATGGGTAAACTGAATAGCGATTATTCATTCAATCCGAATCTTCCTCTTCAATTACCCCTACTACTGCGTAACTTCCCTATTTTCCTTCATCAAACACAATTTCTTTGCGTGACAGGAAATACGCTATCTCCTCGAGTACCTACCAGGTGCAGGGTACTCCAGACGAGCCAATTGGAGTCCGTCCGAGATCTAGGACTTGCCTTCTACGGAAGCCGGACAGCAGTTTGAACCAATCAAATTCCAAGAGAGTTTCCGTGACACCTAGTGCGATACTTCGGTTCATGGCAAACCCAAACAATGGAACCCCCTTTCCTCGTTACTATGATCAATTTGTTACGGTGCTTCTTTCTGTCGACTTCTGGCATCTCATTATCTTGCAAATCGTTCTTAGACGAAGTTTCTTGCAATGAAGCGTAGTACACAGGGAAGTGCATTCAAGGAAACATAGGTATTCCTCTAAGAGTCGTTACCTCAATAGGACACATCGTCCCTAGTATCGCTCATCTAGAAAGGCCATCCAAGTCACTCTGTTAGGTAGGTATTCTTTCAATGTCATCACATATCACCAAGAAACTCACATTTCGCGGAACAGGATTCAATTCGGTTCGCATATCGATGGACAAGACATCCACTCAACACTACCGAAGAGACATTCCGACTGCCACGGCCAATCTATCCCCTTTCAACGATATAACAAAACCAAGAAAATCCAGACCAGGAAACAGTCCGTAGACCAGTTCCCCTAGGCCACGTAGGCAATTCCGAAGATAGATAGGTACCCAACTCCCTATCCTATCCAGAACTCCGCGCCAAGGTCCTATGCAAGCCAGACGAATGATACAATCCGTCTGTAACTTCAATGCCATGCCATATGCATGCTTCAAAAGAAAGAAAATCAAGTAACAATGTAGGTAACAAAAGAAATAAAGCAAAACTCGCTAGGGGATAATCGCCAATTCCTTCCTCCTCCCTCCTTCATTCTCCCTCCCTCCCTAAAAATACTACCAAATCCGAGTACCGTAATCCGACCAGCCAAAACCATAGAAGAAGACCACCAATCGAAGAACCTAGGGCCCGCGCCCCAAGCCTCACGCCTCACGCCCCATACCGACCCTAAAACGGGATCTTGTTGTAGACGCAAACCTGATCATCGCACATCTAGTCCGATGATGGGTTCGGGTCGACCGGCAAGTTCGCGAGCCACTGCGCCTCGTCGAACTCGGGCAGGGCGCCGAACTCGTAGTTGGACAGCGCTGGGTCGAGCCACTCGTCCCAGTTTATCGAGGGATCTAGCTGCAACGGTATAGCCTGCTGTTGCTGTGCCGGCTCGGGCTGCGGCTGCGGCTGCGGCTGTTGCTCCTGTGTGGGCTGCGGCTGCTCTTGTACAGGTGCTGGCTGTTGCTGTACGGGCGCTGGCTGCTCCACGGGATCTGGCTGCTCCACTGGCGCTGGCTGTTCCGGTATTGGCAGTGGCTGCTCCGGTATTGGTTGCGGGAGCTGTGGCACAGGTTGTGGGGGCTGCGGTGGGAGCTGTGGTGTAGGTTGAGACACTGGATGCAGTCTCGGCTGCTGTACGACCTGCACTAGGTATTCCCATAAAATCACGAAATCCTGATACAAAGCTGCGTCGAAGAAGTTGGCTTTCTTGAGATTCAAAACGAATGAGTCCATTCGTCTTGTTTGGCGCGACATGTTTCTTGAAGCGAAGTATTCTGCGACGAAAAGGGCATGTTAGCGTGGAGGAGCGCAGAGTTAGATTAAGGGTTTGAGATTATCTGGTGGGTCAAGATGAAGTGGAAGAAGGGAAACGTACGGTAGGCCTCGACAAATTGATGGTGGACAAACAATGGGTCAAAGGCATTGTAGCGTCGCAAGATTACCATGAGCAATGCCAGATTCTTGTGGTCATCAGGAATTTCGGGATCATTGTCGCAGATGAAGTGGACAAAAGGCGCGAAGTAGGCTCGCTTGGCTTCGTAAAAGTCATGGTATTCTGAAAGAGAGATAATATATATTAGCACGCCTCCTTTAGTGGAACCTTTCTTCGCGCCCCTTCAATTTCAAGGTTTTCTTTTGATGAAGTCGATACTTACCACGCGTGTTTAAAGGGGGACAGTCTCCAATCGCTAGTCGCATATTTTCTACTATCCGAACAGGTATGTAAAAGTCCATTGGCGTCTCCACAAATTGCTTTATCATGGACAAGAAATTGGCAGCGGCATCCTTCGGGTCAATTCTTTGTGGTTGAGGGATGGATTGATGAGACAAGACCTGACGAGGGGCAAGAGCAGATTGGTCGAATTGAGAAAGATGAGCATTCGGGTTGGAACCGTTGTTGAAGGGTTGCTGAGCAAAGGCTGCTTGTTGATTTATGGGCGATGGAGCGCCAATTGGAGGAGTCATTGGGGCCATGGTATTGAAAAGCTGAGGCTGCACAGGTATTTGCGAGACTCCCTGAGCCATCAAGACCGGCTGATGGTTTGGTGGAGTCAATTGTTGCGATATTTGCGGCTGTACGAAGTATTCAGGCAACTGTTGATATTGCATCACGGGAGACTGCCCAACCTGTTGTACAATCTGTGATCCAGCAGGAGATGGAATTCCTTGTGGAGCTTGGACGGAACGGGGATTGCGAACGCGGTGCTGATGCTGTACACGAAGTTGTTCGGCGCGGTGCTGTTGACCCTGAGAAAAAACGTGTACACCATGTTGCTGTTGACCGTTTGGGGTATATTGAGCACCTGGTTGCCCCTGAGCTGGCTGATGATGATACGTCATATGATGTTGTTGATATGGCGACACTACTTGTTGTTGAGCTAGTTGCTGGGCAGTTTGCTGAACCGGTTGCAACGCGGTCGCGTAGGGATTGAAAGTCCCGTTCATTTGGCCCATAGCAGGATACTGCTGTTTTGGCTGTGGCCCAGCCATCTTGATGATCGTGAGAAGTTTCGGGCTATTCGAGCCGAAAATTCTCTTGAACGTGTAGAGATAAAGGGAGTTCGCGACGATAAATGGAAGAATTAATTCTACTCAGGGAAACACATAGGAAATGGTACCGAACTCGAGTCCTGTCTCCGATGAATTCGATGAATTGAATGGTGGACTTAGAGTTCAAGCCTCAAAAACGAAACTAAAAGCTGACTTGTTAACTCGACGCCTTCCGGATAAAACAAATGAGTAAATTCAAATTCTTTTTGTGGGAGAAGAAATGAGGATATAAACTTTGAAATTTACTACCCACAACCTACCGCCCGGCAGTAAACTGTGAACTATCAACTGAGAACTGAATGTCGACTGCTACCTAGGTAGGCAACCGGTTGGACGAAGCTGGCTGGGGGTTGAGAGATACGATGCGCACCTTTGTTCGATAAATGTCCACAGTAGGAACTGAATTAGATAAGCAGAATTCCGATTTAATTGATTCTAATTGCTTCTCTTTGTTATGATCTCGACTTCCCCGTGTCTACTGTGAATCAAATCTTGTCTGCTTAACGAACGAATTATTGGTTAGCCGTGTCGATTTACCACGACCCCTATGACTTCCAGGTTAGCAATAATTGTAGATATGACTCGGCTCCGAAAAACATACGTACCATACAATATCTCGATAGAAAATAATGTATCCAATGTCGGTATGATGTTGAAGTTCAACATAAACGAAAGTATTGCAATCGTCGCGTTCTAATGGTACAGATGGTGAGCTTAAGAGACAACTAGAAACTGCCAGGACATACAACTCAGTTGGAAACTACTGTCAGGGCTGTCTTCTGCAGATGTCTTACTTAGGTAGGTAGTTGGAAATTTTTACTTTAACTTTTACCATTCACTAAGCGCAGTTAGATCTGACATGGACTTTGACCATCAGTTGCACAACCTAGGTTGCCACATTCATAACCGTATTGGGGGTGAACTTCTCCTTCTCCATTGTCATGTTTATGTGCCTGGTAGCTCTCTATCATGTCCGACACACTAATCAGGAAAGTGCGTAAGTAGAGAGCAGGAACTCCTCTAATAAATTCATTAAGAAGCCACATACCACATACATTCGATATATCGAAACTTCTTCTTTAACATGATCAAATTCGTAGCTACCGAATCTTTTCTAACTACGGAGAATTTGAAAATAATAATTTCATAACATGAATAGAGCTCAGGAAGTTGTATTTGTCATAGATGTTTACCTTAGTACTTAAAGATACTAACGTAACACACAACAATTCGTCGCCAAACAACTTGCATGCCTCGATTGTTTTTCGACGGTATAATCTCGATGAAGTCCATCTGGTAATTAATGAATAAATTTGACAGCCTCACAGAACTAAATTATAAACTAACAAGGTTGGCAAGTACCTAGGTAACTACTGTTATAAGTCGCCGGGTCACAAACCGGATGCCAACACACAACTCCCAATAGGTAACCAAGTTGTAGGAGAGCGTACGATTATCTTTCCATGACTGCCTTCTCTTGCTCATGTAGATCATCATAAGTCAGCCAAGGGTATTTATAGCCCTGGTATTGAGGAGTTTATCTTTAAGCAGCTTGGATACCTATCAGGAATTGGAACCTCAAGGTTGGCGTACCCCGAACACAATAATGATGGGGTTTCTATAGCTCTACCTAGGCAATAATTACGAGGGTATCTAAATATTCAAATATATTGCCCTTGATGCACGTTGATGCAGAGAAGAGGAAATGTCTCATTTGGGACTTCATTAGCCATTCTCAGTCTCACTCTGTTAGGTTTACTACTACAGAAAAAGGCTTGGAATGGCTGAATGGAGATAGGAAAGCATCGATAATGTTTATATTGTCTTTAAACCATAAAAACAATATCAGAAAAGTTAGCAATGTGGTACATAAGCTTAGGGCTAGGGTTCAAGGCGACACGGTCCTCAAAATTTGGCAATGGGTGCTGACCGAAGGCCCTAGAATAGTAAGATTGCATTGGTGGGATGAGTTCGTAAAGTCGTCGCTGGGATAATTCCATAATCCGTAATCGACCTACCTAGATAGATTACGAATTATGGAATCGTTCAACCTAATCGGTCTTTCTAGGGCGACTTGACTCCTCGAAGACTATGTATGTCAGCCTCTCGAGTACCGCTGAGATACCCGTATTTCAACCCTCGAAAACATACACAGTAACTATTCTCTTCGGGGAAATGCATAGAAAGAATAATAGATTTATCTTCTACAGTAAAAAATGGAAGTCTTGCCCAGGGTCTTTTCTCAGTGATGAAAAATGTGTTATGGGCGAGCCTCGGCTTACTTAGAAATAGGGGCAACGATAAACTGGTAGATAAACTGGTATGCCTAGGTATCATTACCTCCATCTAGATAACGGCCATGCAGAAGGGAATTGAAGTTTCAAAACTGACATTTACCTAGGTAGGTAGGTACCTACCTAGGTAAGGAGTCTTTCCTATAACAGAACCTTACCTAGGTAGAGACTTATATAGGTAGGTAGAGAAGTTCGATAATGATGTTTTGGAACCTTAACCGATATTCATAAGAATGAGCGCTGCTGAATTCGAGCTATTATCTTCATTTTCAGGCCAGTGAAAAGCTTCTCCAGAACTGGAAGAGATGCTTTTTCTCGTGTTCTTATCCTCTCAGAGTATCACACACAGATCCAACACAGTTTATACAGGTGAAGATAAACATCTACTTTGACAGAAGGAAGACAAAGTCTGCCGGATGCCTACAAGCCACTTCTCATTTAAAAATTGCTAAGTAGGTAGGTAGGTAGGTATATCATCGATTGATCTCTACGGTTGTCTGACTTTCCCTTATGATTGGCATGAAGGTTGAGTTGTTTGGTCTTCCACAAGTCATCAAGCATCAAACCATACGAATACTATTACGGTCTCAATTTCCTAAGGAGGCCAACCGGCAGGTGTTTCTGTTATATCAATATTACGGGTAAGGCTTTCAATATTTAATTCAAATACATTAAAAATAAGACTATAGATCGCAGTTTTTGCATATAAATCATCCCTATCTAGAAGCCAAAGTTACACGATACCCTCATCTCTGCCCAATTTGACGTCTTCCACCGGCGACCCCCATTGGCATGAGGTTAAAACGTCCGGAGAGGCGCCGGCCGTAACCACAGGTGTCGTATCTGAAACCCGGCCGCGAGACTATATTTAATTACGAGGTAACCCATCCGACGGGCCATCGGTACCCTAAACCTACATTCACTTTACCTTGGGCAATCTGATCTCTAATCACATGCAACGTAGGACAGCTTATGTACCTAATATGTATGTATGTACGTATGTACGTAGGGGCCATCCCCAACCCGCGCCGTGCCGCTCCGTTCCGGGTTTGCTTCGCGGCACATCTCGACCCTAAGACTCGGCCGAAACGAACCGACTATCGCTTGAACGGAAAGGTGGAAAACATAGATACCTAGATGAAAGAAAAAAAGCAAAAAGTTATGAGAGACGGGATAAGACGAACGCTGATAGGCATTGGGCACGTAGCATCGATCGCATTGGTCGCCGATCAGGATGCAGAACCCAGCACTTGCATGCCGACCACGCTACATACCGTGCTACCCACGCCATACATACCTACATACATACTTACATATCTACTGACTTACCTAGTACCTATATCGACGAGGGGATGGGGTGATTGGCGGGCGAATATAATGCCAATCGATGGGCTAGATCGCACAACAGTAATCTGCGTAGATAGAGGGGAAATTCCAGCTTGTCTTTTTTATCGAGGCCCTTTTTTCGGTGTGTAGAGGAGATCGATAGGTCCAGCGATACAATACCAAGACCTCCCTAGTGCTGTGCGCGCGGGGGTTCCGCATAGTTGCTGGCGTGAGGCATGAGTAAGGATCGAGTAGGTAGCAGATGGGGTAAACAGAAGCAAGCAGGGCGAACCGTCATAATGTACGAAGTATGGATGTTGGAACATGTTAGACAGGACTACTGCAATAGTTGATTGAGGGGCTCGATAGAGTTGGGCGATGGGGAGCCACAGCAGCTTTGGGACGCTCGCGCGGGCTTGCTGCTAACGTCCAAGCGTCCAAGAGTCAGGCACACGTCGGGCGTAGTGCGGATCTCGGGACGAGCAGGATGAGGTTGCAATGGTGCAATGGCCAAAACTGCGAAAAAGTAAAAAAGGGGAACAAGGCACAATGATGATGGTTACTTTGAGTCATCTGCCCAAGTGGCGGTCAGGAAAGGTGAATGAGGAGAGGAAAATAGAAAAGTATATAAAAATTAGAAAATTACTATTACCTGGCTTGACAGAGTATTGCTTAACCTTAACTCTATTATAGTAGTAAGACGTAAGGTTTCTTAGGCTCGAGCGCGACATGAATCGACATGTGGGAGGAGTGGAGCAAATGATTTTTGGAATATTGGAATTCTGAGTTCCTGGCTAGTGAAGTCGTGTCGTGTTAATTGTTGGAAAAAAGATACTAATAAGAATTAAATGAAATAAAATAAAATAAATGGATCTACGATAAGAACAACGATAAGGAGGGGTTCGGCGTGGTGGAGAGACGGGAGTGGGAAGTGGGAACCTGGAATCAAGCTCCCGGTGATAACCGCCTCGGATAAAGTAAGAGGAGAATACGATGAATAAATAGGAAGACGAAAGTACATAAGTACCTGGTTAAGAATCTGGATATGGCTGGTACTTAGATACCTGCCGACGTACTGTGCCTTGCATCCTGCAGGTTGATTTTATTAGAAATAGTAGCATAAGACTGTCACGACCTAATGGTATGGTATCCTACATATTGTATTATACATACATCCGTAATATGGGATAAGGTTGTGAGCATGTGGTTGACGAACTCGTACCTAGGTAGGTATGTACGTACCCGATGTATTGTACGGAGTACATACCATACATAGTACCTTCACCTAGGCTCTAGCTCTGCTTACCGGATATTCCCATGCTTCCCAATGCTCTTCCCTGTCTTCCAAGGCTGTCCTTATGGATGGTTCGAATATCCTGTCCCTGTGGTTCAAGGAACGACCCGAATCGCCGGGGCGTTACATACATAATATAGAATGTACCTAGGCATGTAAATGGCTGGCTGGTCGATCCAGGAATAGCTTGGATTCCCCAAAGTCAATCTTGACATCCTCTTAGTCGAGGTAAGCAAGTTTCGTATTGTGGCGTTACGACTCTCCTATCCATAATTCCACATTTACCACACTCACCACATCTTGAACTCTGGCTACTTAGCCTCGTTACTATCGATGAGTATGTATTTGTTGAGCCGTCTCGATGCTAGCGCGCCAACCTACACGTAAAGTCGTCGTAAACCACGTTTCATCTCAGCCCTGTACCTTGGCAGGATCTCTCGGATCGATGGGATTGTTCGCCAGGTACAGACGAAGCAAGTACTGTACATGAATGCTGACTGCTTACGCACGACTAAGGTAACCGGCGATAACGGCCTGGACTTGGGTCTGAGAAGTCATCTGATATGTATAGAGCCCTGCTTGAGTTAATTTTGCATGCTGCAAATACCCCAACACGGCAATCGCCTTAGGCAGAATCCGGGAAGTAATCTGCAGATGTACAATACCTAGAGATAATTAACAGCATGTAATATAGCTCGCTGTTCAATCGATATTAGCAATATGACGCCACTTGCATTCATCACCGACTATCTCGTCTCCTGGTAGGGCGTATCGATAAGCGATAGTGTTGCGTCAGATCAGGCGGGGGAGGGGAAGAAGAGGGGAAGACCTCGACTAGCAGCACTAGCAGCACTAGGAGGTTTAAGAGACAGGGGGGATAAGGGACAGGGCAGCAGGGGAAGGTCGGATTCGACAGATCTGGCCGCCGCTTTTGCTTTTGCTTTTTTGTCACTTTCGCTGACGGTCTTCTCCTTTGGGTCGTTAAGGTCGTCGAGAGTTTTTATCGTCTTAGATATTGATTGCTCTTAGTACTCCGTAACACGTAGTCAGGCCTGTCTGACTAGAACGTGCTGATGTGTTGGTGGGTAAGGGTCTTAGACTACTAGACTTCTGTGTCTACTTCTGGAAAGCTTCATGGTGTCGTATACATGAAACCAAGAGACTCATATCGGGTGTAGTACCAACCGGTCTATTGCTCGGGCCGTGAGTGCAAGGTACTAGGCAGGCAGGTAGATAGGCAGGTAGACAGGCAGACAGGTAGGTACCAAGTATGATGGAATTCCCGTCTCTGCCAACAGCCACAGCCTCGGTGGATAGGTACGAACAGTGCTGGCTGGCCATTCGAAACGTATTGCAAGTCTTACAATAATAGGAGACAGGGCGGAATTTGGTGTGTTATGACTAATGCAGATAATACTACTGCATACGTGGTAGCTAGGCGGTGGATCATCAGGTACAAGAACCACGATAATGGATGATGGGGACACCGCACACACGTCGCACACATGTCCTGTGTTTTGTAGGGCAGGCGGTGAGGGTTTGATGGCATGTTCGCGTATCTGGCAATGAAAAAGCCACAAAATTGAAAGTTGGTCTAAAGTTTTCGATCAGTGCATTCAAAATGTGCTTGCATGTATGTAGCTGTGTATGTAGGTAGGCTGGCAGGTCAGGCAAGGGAGGGGGAAAAGGCTCCGAATGAAGCGAAAGGTGAGTGGAGAAAAAGCTGATGGAGGGTATCCAGATGCCAGATAGTGTGGTATGTGTGAGGTACCGTAGAAGAAGAGTGCTACGATTTACGTCGCAACAATCAGCTGGACGCTGCCCTGTGTATTCCCAAACGGCCTAGATGTGATGAACTGGCAGGAATGAGGCGAAACCAGTAAGAACTCCGGGACCCGAGGGGATCTTTACACGATGTCTCCGATGACACGATGGTCTTTGATAGGATGTGATCCTTCCTAGTGCCTCTGGTACCTATATAGGCAATACAGGCACGAGATAAGCTCTCGAACATCCAGCGAGTCAATACGCGCCCGTTGTTCGTCTGTTGGGATGATGGATAACCTCCCCGGCAATAAAAACTAAATGATAGACGTCGAATATAGTTACTGGAAAGACAGGCGTTGCGTCAGAGAGCCACCAATATGATGCAGATCATACCCGAATGGGGTTTAGTCAACAGCAGCCCTCTCCTCAGGGTTGCAGAGATCCGGTGGGTGAACAAGAGATCGTTTTAAGCAACTGATATAATTAAAAAATGCACATTCCCTCCATCGACTAAATTGCCCTTTAAAAATGAGGCCATCCGCCTCACCGATAGGTTTATCAACGGTGAAAAGATAAGTGTGATTAGGTATGGATCATGAGAAAAGGGGTAAGGGGCAAAGAGTAAAGGAATGGAGGGGCAAGGGAAAAGAAGAGGAAATTGAACATATACCTATTTCTTGGGTACCTGAATATCTAGTCAATATTCCAAAGGCTTGAGCGAATCTTTCGATAGTATTTAATACTTGCGATACTATATTCGCGCGGTTCTAGACAAGCTTACTTTCTTGGTAGTTTCGCAAAGAAAGCCAAGTTCGGGATTTCAGCTAGGCTTGTAAGAGGCTTTGTCTGATCATAGATTGTCGTAAAAATCGATTAGGTCCAGACATTTTCAGTATGTACCGAAGAGGAGCGCGCTTGTCCTAGGTCGTGCCTGGTGATAGTCCCAGGAGAACGGAGGACAGGATTTAAACGTATAAGTACCTAGGCAGCTAGGTAAGCAAGTCAGACATTTCGTGGCACAGCACGCACACGACCACGCCGCCACGAAGGTGACGAATATTCGGGACCTTCAGGGACAATAGAGGCCCTTTTTCCTTTTTCCATCTTGTCCCTTACGGCGGTAATGCTAATGCCGATGAAGTGCATGGAACTAGTGGGTATATTAGTCGAGATGGAGATTTTTAAATTCCTGTGCCTTGCTGTGCCTCGCGAGCTGAGGCGTCCGTGCTAGGACTCTTATATTACTAGTTGCTGCAACTAACAATACTAACATGTATGTTAGGCAACTTGAGTCGTGATCAATTATGTACCTAGATATGTATCATGTTTGTGATAGCGGATAGTTGTGGGGACCGGAGAGGTCGGGGGACGAAAGGTGCATTTGTTGTATGATGTTTATTAAGTCCTTAAGGGACGTTGAAGATTGGGAACGATGCGCAGTAAATGAGAAATTATCAAAGACTTTCAATTTTTGATCCCATGATTACTTCCTTCTCATCGTTACCCGAATCCGGGACCTGTTTCCCTGGAACACAAGGATACGCTAAAGATTGAACCAATCATGTCATGCTAATCATGCTGTTTTTTTATAGAATTAGTGAACCCCTGCCAGTTTGCTGTTGCCTCCCATGTCTAATTCTCAGGGCTGCTAGGGTACCTAGGTACTTTTTGTGAGCCTGTCCCTGCCCTGACTTCCCTAGTGCGATGGCGATGGGAAAGAACAGGTACATTGGTACATACGATTTCAGGGGTTATTACCTCTAGTACGCAGGGAAGTTGCCCAGGTGCCCTGTAGTTGCTTGTCCAGCCCCTCGCACCAACAGTAAAATAATAAGCTCGCTACGCAAAACCCCTCTATTCCTCTTTTTTTCTCTACTTTGCCCCTCTTCTTCATCCATTCATCCCACCATAAACCAAAGAAAAGAGAACTTCTAACTTACCAAGTTATGTTCCAAGGCTTAATTCTTTAATTCTTCGTAACCTGATATCTGTGCGGTGGGATTCCTCCACATACAAGTCCGTAACTCTTGACCTTCGACTTTTCAAAGAATAAAACACCTATTGTTTTCCTATCGTGTTCTTGTTCAGCGTTTTTTCTGTTCTCTTATTACTCCGTTGCTACCATTGGATTGTTACAATAGCTGGTGTTACCGTCGTCCGAATCATCTACCCCCTATGTTTAGCTGTATTTCCTAGTTCCAAAAGAGAAAAATAAGGAGGGGATATAGAGAGAGACATGACTACGAAACCGACACTACTATACAGCTAAATGATTATCTTTGCCGTTCGATGACCTCACTAGCGCGCCGTTCTTATCGACTAGATGGACATTCCAAGGTTCTTACGACTCTAACGAATGAAGCGTCGCGATAATAACCACATCAGGATATCCACTTCTGTACGTCTGTTCCTCTCTATCCACTTTACCAGGCACACACACACGCATCACTTCGTATAGCTCTTCATTCGTGCATATTTCCATACTGCCAAGCCTTCCCAAGTGTCAACTGTCCCTGTCAAAATAAAAGAGGTACGGCTTTACGGCTTATTATTTATTTTTTTTACAATTTTTTATTGTCGAGTAACAATTGTTACCAAGTATGTACCTACATACGGCTCCATCTGCATTTTATTGTACAACATGTTCTATTACACACACACTCGCACATGAGAAACTCATTCCTATACATATACCTATCCAATATTATACAGATACATACCACACACATACACACACACACCAGACACACTTCGACTAGGGATCCCCATCCATCTATCAACCCTATCAATCTAGCCTGTAAATCCATCGCAAGTCAGGATCATTGACAAGCCGAACCATCCCAACCTACCTTCCTTGCCTACCTTACCTACCTACCTACCTATCTCATCATCTTACTTCGTCGCCCCTCCAACATTAACACCTTTTTGTATTTTTCTCTTAATCCGCTTTGAATTTCGGATCCCTTGTCCTTTCTTCCTCGCCTCATACACATCCCTTCTTGCCACCTAACCATCATATTTTCTCACTTGCGCAATATTAGCATCAACTCTAAACAATTCAAAGCTACAGCAAAGTGATTCATTTCACTTCCTAAGGGATAGTTATAGGAAATACTATCAAAGTTATAGTTACTCGGTTGGCCCCTCGACTCGGCAGCCTGCATGGTTTTATTTTTTAATTCGACTCTCAATCGCTTTCAGCTTGATCGACCCCAACTCCCGCTTCTGGATCAAGCCTCCAAGGTGGTTGGTTAGTCCCTGGCCTAGACTGCTCGGACTCTCTCTTCTCACTCGCCGTTCGGGATGAATACGTCCTCGGTTGGAGCACGATAACTGGTTAACAAAAAAAAATCGATGTGAATATCATATCGTCTCTCTTGTTGATTGATGCTATTCATATTTGCATCTATCATAAACGGATTGTTTTGAATCCCCCTGTCGCCGCTTCTGTTTTAGTCGGTCGCAACATTCCAAGGGCGGACATTCGTCATTCCAAGCCAGGATCCATCCTATCTTACTTCCATCTGTCTCAGTTTCAGCCGCTGCCCGCTCAACCTGACTCGAACTCCCCACCGAGAATTCCCGGAACCTGAGCGCTCATATTCAGAGAACATCTCCGTTCCCATTTTCAGATCAATAACCACCGTTTGCTCTGCAACAAATAAATTCTACGAATGAATTATATCCATTTTTCATTACTGTCCCCCTTCTCCCTTCCTCTCGATTTCAATACCTTTCTTGCATCCGTGCTTCTTTGGTCTTTTTGACCGGTCGCAATTAACTCCCGACGTTTCCGCGTCGCCTATCACCAAGAGGCTTGCATTGCATTCTCAACCCTAAGAAAGTCGTTGTTTCAAAACAAATCCAAAATACAGACATATCTGCCATAATCGAAAATAGACGCCCCTATTTCTACGGGGAACAATACTATGGCAGCAACATTTCGGCCCGTCAACACACCGATGGCGATCGAAGTGAAGAAGGACGACGGTGCGGCGCGGTCGCCTACCACGCCTACCCCGACGAAGGCCACCTTCGGCCAGCGACCGCTACCGACATCGCCATTTCCGCAAGCCGTTTCAATTCCCGAGAGCATCGAAGAGAAGCAAACCCCGAAACAAGCCTCGAAACCGACGCCTAAGCGAGAAAATTCTCAACACTCGAAACGGTCGCGAGGAGACTCTGAAGACGTTGATATGGATGAATCAGATGGAGAAACTCACGGAGAAGATGGTGCAGGGTCAGATGATGAAAGTGTAAATGCAGATGGGACTAAATCAAATAAGAAAAAGAAGTCACAACGGTTTTACTGCACCGACTACCCACCTTGCAATTTGAGCTTCACGAGAAGCGAACATTTAGCAAGACACATTCGGTATTGCTTTGCGCTCCCTTTTACCCTGACAAATAAATATCGAGGCTAATGACCATAGGAAACATACCGGAGAGCGCCCATTCCAATGCCATTGTTCACGGCGATTTTCGCGGCTAGATAACTTACGACAACATGCGCAGACCGTGCATGTGAACGAGGATATCCCGATCGATTCGCTTGCCGCCACTGGCACGAGGTTCCAAAGACAGATCCGAACTGATCGAGTACGACAACCAGGAAGAGCTCGAGCCTCAACGGCAGGGAGCATGGGTACTCCAACTCGTGGACACGCCAAATCGCTTTCTACTTCGAGTATAAGCTCTGTTGGCTCCACCTTTAGCGCCCGAGAAGACGTGCGCAGACGTCCACCGCCCCTGGTGATGGCAGATCCGAGGTCGAGACTGTCTATTGATACGTATCACGGTCCTGAAAGCGCCTATTCGTATCGACCTCCGTCTCCGAGCGATTTCAGTACGCCAACCTCGGCAACCTTCTCAACTGGTCAGAATAGCCCTAGGTGGGGATCTGTAATGGCATCTCCAAGTTCATCTCACCAGCGTCCTCAGAGCATGTACAGCGGCCACAGAACCCCAGGCCGACGACTCAGTGTACCTTCTGGTGGAATACCGTTCCAGTCTCCTCAAGGCGCGACCTTAGGTCGTCCAATTTTTGGTCCAGGTTCGGTTAACACCTCAAACCCTGGCGCATTTTCTCCGACTAGTAGCCTACTAGGATCGCCTACGTCCTCCGTGTTTTCTTCTAGAAGAGAATCTACGTCACAGACAGAGGATTGGCGTCGTCGTACATGGCATCCCGATTCTACTAACTTCAACACTATTAGCAGCAGTCGCTTAAGCAACGTCGTAACTCCGTCCCAGTTCCAAAGTCCTCCTGCAGCTCCATTGCCTTTAGCTGTCCCATCACAGCAAAGCACAGCGCTTCGACTACCCGGCATAGAATCATTTGGCCCCCTCCCGCATCGCCCTGCGTCACCTCCCAGACGAAATCCTTCCCCAATGATTGTTGATTCTGAAGTTTCTCATCCACCGGCCTTGCTCCCTGCCGCCCACTCCGGTGATTCCGACGAGAGACGGAATACAGCTAATTGGGACATGGGATTACACCGAGGATTAACTCGACTGGATATCACGTCCAATAACCCACCACCACCAGACGCAGCGCGTACTTGGGCCCGAGAAGCGAGTCATGCCGTCGAGGTAGAGGCAGAGCGAGTTAGGATAAACCCCCCAACCGTACGGTTCAACGAGCCGATAATTATGGAAAGCAGACCACCGGTTGCAGCTAGCCTTCCCAGGGCGTATCATCAACATACTATGTCCGCGCCATTGGTCAACGCTGGAAGGGAAACAAAACGGCGAGGGTGGTATAACGGACCAGTGACGGTCCACGCTGAAGCACCCCCTGAGAAGATAGCTAGGGTAGATCGCATGATCCACCCAAATATCAACGAGTTCTCGGGTTTCCCTTCCAGAGAAAATGTCACAAACGCCCCGCCAAGAGAAGAAAATTCTGGCGAGCGAGACAATATGCTTCGGCTACAGGCACTAGTTGCAGTCGCAACGAGCGAGGGGAATGCAACAACGGCATACTAGTTGTCATAGGAACGAGCCCCATAAGATCACACCATTACATCATGTCGATAAAACTCTTATCCACGAAACATACCTACTACCTAGTACACATGGACCCTAACGGCTGCTGGGCACAGCGGATTTACGAGACTCACGATTTTCCTTGGACATCTTTCTAGAATCAAGCATTTGCATGATATACGATCGCTACTCGGCTTACGAATATACCATCTCATTTTTATCTACGCGGATTGCAATTGCATTTACTATTGGATTGGGTTATATAATGGTGGCACTAGTTGGCGTTATGGGAGGAGGATTCGTTCACAACTGAGGGAGGGAAGGCCTACCGTTTCCACTCGTTACGCGGCCGCAACCATCTCCGCCATTGCGTATGATGCGTTTCCTTCAAGAATCCTCTCGTTGTTCTTGTTTCGGAGAGGTTGGCCATCGTGGATTTACACAAGATATATGGGCTGCAGCGCTGATTTTTTTTTTTTTTTTCATTTCTTTTCTAATATTTTCTAGCTGATGACTGATGATATGACTGAGATACCCGTTCATTTTAAGATGAGGGTAATCGCAAGAATGGGAGGGAACTAATGTTGGTCTTTTGCATATCCTCTTTTACGTGGCGGCGAGCATGAAGCTTTTCTCAGGAAGTTTCGCAGTCCGCTGCTCCGCTGATTAGACAAGAGCAGAGACTTTTCCTTTTTTTGAAGAGCTGAGAAAGCTCAGAACACTTGCTGTGGGATTGATACCCCAATTTTCTATCGGATATTTAGGTCAGGTTTTTTCCTTCGTTATTATTCTAGTATATGCTTCCGAATATACTCGTGATTACGAAGATTCCCCGAGGTTGAGGACTGGTCAAATAGATAATCGCAGCTCTCGTTAACACTTGTTTGGCGATCTATCCATACTGCAGCATTGCGATGATGACTATTAGTGAATCGCATCATAGCGTCCAGAATAAGTCTAGGTGGAATTTTTATACCTATTTATTATGGATTGACATGACATGGTCATCTCATCTTCTAAAGTGTCACACATAGGAGATGGCAGTGGCCTAGTTTACCCGTCCTTTTCTCCAAAGCCGGAAATTCCCCTGGAGTTTCCCGCCAATGACAAAAAGTGAAGCTATGGCAGTAAGGCCTGATACAATAGCAAATACAAGGTTCATATTACCATAACCAATCCCATCGCGGAGGGCCCCGGCAACAACGGGACCGACTGTGAGACCGGCACAGAAAAATAACGAGTTGAAACCGTACAACTGAGCATAAGGACCGTTAGCACCGAATAAGCCTGGGTTGGCACGGTCGTATTCTTGCACTACATAGCTCGTCTCGACTACACTGGGGGACCCAATAACAGCTAAGCCTACGCCGTTGAGTGCCAGCAAAGCGCAGTACAAGACCACGTTACTCCCCCCCGAGAGCGGGTGATCGGAGGGCAGGCGCAGGAGGATGAGGGTAGGTACGAGATACCCGAAACCTAGAACGGAGGCGAACTTGGTGCCGTACTGGTCTACGGCCCACCCGGCTACAGGACCGAGGATTAGATACGGTATATCTAGGGCAATGAACAGGAGGCCGGCGTCCAGAGAGGCGAAACCGAAGAGCGACGATGCTTCGGTCGGGATCGTAGCGTCGAAGACGGCGAGGAGCGAGGCTTGTACGAAAGCTAGGCTAAAGCCGACTAGGAGACGCGGGTTTCGGAAGCAGAGGAGGATGGGGAGGGTGCGGGTGAGTCGGTTCGGAGGGCTATTGATTTTATAACGGGAATTTTCGTTCTTGTTCGGTAGTAACGCGTCATTTTCCGTAGGAGCTTCTTCATCGCGATCACCGGCATCATCTCCCCGCGGTCCGGCCCCCCTATCTTCATCCCCTCCATCGGACACCGCCAAGCTCGCATCATACTTCGCAGCCGTCTTCTTCTCCACGACCAACAACCGCATCACGAAATCCAATCCTAACACCCCGGCTGCCACGCCGAATACCCCCGAGTACCCGGTCTTCTCGTACAGCACGCCGCCGATCACAGGCGCCATCAGCTCGCCCACCGAGATAAAGCTGAACACGCTCCCAACTACCTTGCCCAAGTTCGCCGGACCCACCGTATCCATGATCATCGCCAGCCCAATCGTCCACACCACCGCCGCACTCACGCCCTGCAGCACGCGCGCCGCAAACAATACCCCAATACTCCTCCCAAACGCAAGCATCACCGTAGCCGCAAGCAGCGCAGCCAGTCCGCTTAGAAACGGCGCTTGTCGCGATGTAGTGCGGTCCGCGATCCAGCCGGCTGGTACGGAGGATAGGACGGAGGCCCCGGCGTACGCGGCTAGCAGGTTGGAGACGTAGGATTGGATCTCGGGTTCGGGGATCGAGAGGCGGTTGCGCAGCATGAATGGGAGAACGGGCACGATGAGTCCGTACAGGAAGAGGTCGGTGAAGAGACCGATGGCTACGGTGGCGATTATGAAGAGGGTGTTGGAGCGGTAGTGGAGGGCTAGGGGTGGGGGGTTTGTGGGGGGCATTTTTGGGGATTGGTGGTTATGTTGGTGAGGGAGAGGTGAGAGGGTTGTATGCGTGAGGTTTGGAGACGGGAGTTTTGGTGGTGGTGGTTTATGAGATTGTTCGTTGTAAAGTGTAAGGTGTGTGTCGAAGCTCTCCGATTGGTCGCTGGTGCTGGTTTGTTCCTGCAGATCGATGACCTCATAGGGGACGCTGTCGGACAGCTTTACTACAGCCACAGTGATTACGTGAGTGGCTCAGGTTACGCATTTAAGTCCGGAGTCCGTATTACTTAAGTCAATGAGGCGTCATTATGGGGTTTTTAACTGGTGATCGGGACAGTCGGGTTTTTACGAAGTAGATCGAGAGGTTCACCAGCCCCAACACAACCCCTATTTAAAAATTGCTTTCACAAGCCTTTTGTAAAACCAGCTCCTATTGTTATGAAGAGTTTCCTTTTCTTCGATATACGCTCAATTGTCTACATCATCCAGGGTGGCAAAGTTTCATACTGCTCTCCCCATTCTGCAGGAATTTTGATAACAGCTGAACGCACGTAGATATGCATGCCCCCATTCCAATTCAATCCTTCAATACACCCGCCCTTAATACTGACGGACGGTCGCGGTTTACCATCGGCATCTACAATGCGGTGAAACATGCGCGAACCACACTCTGAGCAAAAATAGCAATCCATGCTACGGCCTTTCTCAGTCTGTCGCGTGTAGCACTTCAGCTTGGCCGCGAGATCAGGCGCCAGGGGGAATAAGCCGTCCGCTGTGTAGATCGCGGACGTTCCAAATGCTGAAGAGGTTTGCTTCTGACACTCAGTACAGTGACAGTAATACAGCGTGATAGGCGTTGCTGTCGGGGTTGGAAATGATACAGTACCGCATTGGCACCGCACTGTCAGCGGCTTGGCGTCAGGCGCCATCATGAATGTCTCTTACGATACTGACGAAAACTCGACAAATATTATATCAAAGATCTAATGCAGCGATGTTATTATCAGGAATAGAATTAGTGCTTTTCTTCACGAAGAATTTGAGAAGTTGCGCAAAATGGAGGGGTTAGTTATCGTGGAATTATCATTCGCCCTGCTATCTTCAACGGTTCGAGCCTCGGCAGTTCCCTAGACGCTACTGACAACCCCTTTTTTTCCAATTCATTCAACAGATACCTACTTAGGTACCTACCTAGCTAGGACTTCACACTGAATTATAACAGAGTCGCAGACATAGAACGATAATCTACTGATTATCTAAGACAGCATCATTTCGGTGAGTCTCGATCCGTTATTTGTCCCCGCTGTAGGACGAATGGAGGACTTTAGTCTCTTTTCCAATCCTGCAGAAAAGTTTCGAAGCAGCTCTAATCAAGAAAGGGCATTCTGCAAATACATTCAACAGCCAAGTACTTCGTAAGCTAGGTTACTGGGTAGGTATTTATCCGTTCCAAATTTGGTGAAACCGAAGTTTAACGGCCGTTGCTAAAATAAGTCGATGGATTACTCTCGCGGCTAAATGCACTCTAGATCATATCGCATCAGGGGTCCTATTTAACCCTCAACGCCGAGCCGGGGTATTGGAACCCTAGATCTACATCACCTACTTTGTTCAATCATGGCCATGTTCTGATATATAATAATTCATGGGATATTGTCAGGGGTACCCCACAATACGTCTAAAAGTCGGCCTTGAGGCGAATTGTCACATTCTAACCTGATGATATGGGCGTGATCCGGAAAATCTCGTCGTATTCGTCTAGGAGACAAGAAATAAATATGAACATACTGTCTCGTAGAAATTCCGAGTTGTGACTGGAATTTCCTTGCCCCTTTCTTTTGAGGAGTCTGACCATTTGCCAAGATGTTGTTCGAGTCTGTAATCACTGCCTTCACATTTGCGCTCTGCGCTTCGGCGAGGGCTGTTCCCAATCCTGTCGAGATTTTCAAGAGGGCACACACCGCCGGTACCGTTATAAACAAGTGCTCCAAGCCTGGTGTCCTTGCACTGGCCTATGATGATGGCCCATATCAATACACCTCGTCACTTGTAGACACATTAGACAAGGCAGGAGTAAAGGGCACATTCTTCCTCACTGGAACTCTATATGGTACGAGAATCGCATCACGGGTATCAACAAGTGCTAACATGAATAGGATGTATCTATAATCAACAGGCCGCAGTCAAAAAGGCATATGAGTCTGGTCATCAAGTTGCCTCTCACACCTGGTATGGTTATCGACTCTAATTTTAAAAAGTAAAGATGCTAGAACATTCACTGATTTTCATGAAGGACACATCCCCATATGGGAAGCATGGGTGCCGCTCAGATTCAGAGTGAGATGGAGAAAGTCGAGCAGGCCTTCGTCAACATCTTCGGCAAGAAGCCACAATACGTGCGACCGCCGTATCTCGAGACTGGCGGTCAGTTCTTGACCGTCATGAAGCAAATGAACTACACTGTCATCACCGACGACGTAGACGCCGGCGACTGGAACAATCAATCTCCGCAGCAGAGCCAACAGAAGTTCCAGCAAGCCGGTGCGAGCGGTAACGGACATATCCCGCTGATGCACGAGACATACCAAGGCACAGTCACGACTCTTACGAATTGGCTCATTAACTGGGCGCAGACCAATAACTTGAAGATTGTCACAGTCGGTAAGCACTCCTAAGCAAATCTTGAGGCATAGGAGAATTGACTAATTCCGTGGCAGCTGAGTGTCTTGATGATGCAAATGGCGCTTATAAGGATGGGACATTCGAGGGTGATGGGAAGACGACCTGCTAAGGAATTTTAATTTTAGGCATTCCGTTGAAGGTCATGTCGATACTAGGTACCATCTATGATCGCTTGTATATAGCAAAATCCAAAATGGCCTCAAAAAGCGCTACGATTCAGCCCCATCCCCACTAGCAGCGAAGATGTTAAGCCGGTCTATTTTTCTAGTACACGCAATCAACAAGCTAACTACTGTCTAATGGTCAATCCTACTGGTAATGGGGCAATATCTAAATCCTTCCTGTCGGGTCATTTATATGAGCCGGCTTTACGGACCCCTGAAATGATTCTAAATCCGACCAGTCTGAGCCCAGGCACCAGTATCAATATCAAATCCGACTCGGCGCTTATCACCCCAACGGTTACCAAAACTTTAGATTAGTCCTCAGTGGCAGTCAATTTCTTTGATCGTCTGAATTTCAAACCCGGGTTGCGATATATTTTATTCCGAACCGGTATGACGGAGTCGAGTTAACGTATGGCCCGAGACCTTCAACGAGAGCTGCTGTATGTATAAAGCCTCAAGAAGCCCTCTCTATTATGTAAGTCTGTATCAATGTTACCTAAACTTCTAAACTTCATGCTGTACCACGAAATAATCATACCTTACCCTTCTGTCATCATATTTCCAAAGTCTCCAGAATGTCTCAATTCACCCAATTATTCCCATCATGCCCAAAATTCACTGATAAGGATGTCCCAGATCAAATTGGGAAGGTCTTTATTGTCACTGGCGGTGCCTCGGGAGTAGGGTTCGAAGTATCGAGGATCTTATATGAAAAGAACGCGACGGTTTATATTGCAGCAAGGACCGAGTCTAAGGCTGGAAAAGCCATCAATAATATCAAGCAGCGCTACGGAAGTAATGGCAGATTAGAGAGTTTAGTGCTCGATCTCGCAAATCCCGCTACCATTAAACCTGCAGTGGAGAGCTTCACATCCAAAGAGCAAAGACTTGATGTACTGTTCAACAATGCAGGTGTGATGGGTACAAGTCCTAATGAGAAGACAATTCAAGTAAGCAAAGAGCTCGCAGGTCTATCTAGATGATCATTCGTCTATTAACAAGGGCGCTTAGGGCTACGAATTGCAAATGGGAACTAATGCTCTAGGCCCATTTCTTTTAACCAAGCTCCTTGAACCAATTCTCATAAGAACTGCTGCGCGGCAAACGTCTTTTGGAAATGTGAGGATTGTATGGGTTAGCTCCATGCTAGACATCGGTACACCCAAAGGCGGTGTAGTCTGGGATGCACAAACAGATGAACCTGCGCTGCACGTCAACATGATGGCGAATTATATGCAATCCAAAGCTGGAGTTACCTTTCTCGGTCATGAATTCGCTAAGAGACTTAGCGACAAGGGAATCATCTCAATGGTGAGTTTACCCCACTACCCCTAACCCCTTTTTATACCCACTAACGATAATTTTCCATCGTCAATAGTCTCTTCACCCAGGCATGTTGAAAACTGAATTGCAAAGAAATATGCCTGCACCAGTGCGTGCAGCTATGGTATGGATATAAGTCCCAGGATTCATGTTCCGTAATATCTCGTCTAACCTCTTCTTAGGGAATGGTATTCAAGGGACCTATATACGGTGCTTATACGGAGTTATTCGCGGGGCTCTCGTGTGATATTACGGCCAGAGACAATGGCGGGTATATCATTCCTTGGGGCCGGATAGGCTCAGTTCCGGGGCATATGGCTGAAGGTATGAGATCAGAAGAAGAAGGCACTGGTCTATCAGAAAAATTCTACAATTGGTGCGAAGAAACTATGCGCCCGTATCAATGAACCGGGTGACATTGTTATTATAATCATATAGTTACGATGGAAAGAATCAAAAGCTTCACAACAGTGGCATTTGTCTACACAGTGTGCGATAGGATAATCAATCAGAAAATACTGTATTTGATATAGGCTACAATTTCTAAGGCTGCACCTAATAGTGACCCAGCGACTGGATATTAGTGGATTACATTTATTTAGATTAAGGCACCCGGTCACTGGGGAAAGACCCTACACCGTGCGAAGGTAGACACATCTCATACCCCCACGAAACTTCGACCTCCAGCATACCGATTAGGTCTAAGCTTATAGCGATCGATCCACTAAGTTTTGGTGGGGTTCCCCTATAATTTGAGAAGCTCAGTCACTACCATTAGTCCCAATCGCATTTCAATTACGCGGACTTCACCCATAAGCAGAGGTGCGAAACTTTTAACTTAGATCTTCATGTTTTATATGACCAATGTATCTACGGGTATCTTCTATGATATATCACTTCTCAGGTTCTAGATGGCTACTCCGAATTGCAAGACTTCCCATCTCAGCTAGCCGATCGCCTTTGACTTGTGCCAACTCATCCGCCTCAACCTTCTGCAACCGCGTCATGTATTTCGTGAATGTATTTCCAAGCCTTATGACGGTATTGAAGTGTTTGGCGCATAATCTCTCTTGTTTATTCTGCGCGAGAGCAAGAGCACTTCTTACACAGTTTCGTATCTGTCGACCGTTCAAGGATTCTCGCGACCATGATTTGAGGACCTCCTGACCCAATCCCTTACATTCTTCTTCGGTTAGAAGAGGGGGCGAGCCGTCGATACGTTTACGTCCGAGATCCTTAATAAAAATTGCCCAGACTTGCTTGCGCACCGATTCGCTAAACTCTGGAATCCCGAGAGTTATGTGGATTCGCGATTGGAAGGCTTGGTCGAAGGCACCGACACGGTTACTTGTGAGAAACATGATTCCCTTGAAGTACTCGAGCGTTCTCAAGAAAACTAGCGATCAATACCGATTAGACAAGAAGATTCGATTCGATTTTGATGCAACTTACTTGATACCAACGCGTTACGAGTCAGGTTTTCATAATCTCTATCTTGGAGGAACACGTCCGCTTCGTCCAGCAAAAGAATCGCGTCCCAACGCACAGCCAGATCGAATATCCTAGACAGCTTGAACTCTAGCGACTCGGGGTCGGTTCCTAGATCACCGGCAGTGACCATATAAAGGGGCTTCTGAAAACTTTCCGCGACACATTCTATGAAACTTATTAGTACTATTTCACCTGTAAATTTTGATATTCTTCCTTACCTGCTGTCAAGGTTTTCCCCACTCCTGGAGGCCCGTGGAGCAAGATGGAGATACCCGCTCCTTTCCCAGGGACAAGGTCTTGGAACGTATCCGATTTCCTAAGATAGGAGGCAACCATGGCTTGGACGACGTCTTTGTATTCTTGATCAAGCACTATCCTTGACCAGGCGTTATGTTGAAACTGAACCGGCTTCAAATGGGCAACGTTATACTCAGCTAGAGTGATGTTAGCAATACGTTCCTCAGTGCCATGATCATGTCGAACAAGGGTACTTACACCAATACTTCTGTAGCAAAGAAAAGGCGAGTATCTTCGGCGGACACAATATAAGCATGAGATCCGACGGCTCTGATGACGGTTCAATTAAATTGAGTTCGGCGAACGACGTGTTTGAATAATCCTTTTCCAAGGAAGTCACCTGTCCTTTCCGTCCCGATTTGGCGATATATTTCATGGCAGCGTCGAGGTTCTCGCTATGCTTGGCAGACAAATCCGGAGGATAGGGAAGACCTTCGTCTCGATCTGGTTCTTCGTCTCTTCGTAAATCTTCATACATCCCATAATCGACCATAACCCGATCCCTTTCGCCTTTCTGACGCCCTGCAGGTTCATTCTTGACGACTTCCCGGTATGTGGGGCCAGAAAGCTCCCAGAATATTCTACCTCTGGCGATTAATTCGTTTTTGATCTCGTCAGATCCTAGAAACCGTTCAGGAATGTATTTGAGCGACTTGAAGGGCCTCGATCCTTGGAATAGCGGGATGCTGATCACATGGCCCCGGCGTCCGAATTTCCCATCGTATCCAGCCTCCCCCATGTGATAACCGATAGACCAGCAATACAGCTTCAAGATTGGTTCAGAGGGGGGGAGGTCATCCTCTACATCATACGCGTCTTTCTGATATTGGACAGAGTCAATTATATATGCTGAGGTCCCCCCGTCTGGCTTTGGTTTGAATACCAATGTTCCGGGAGTGTATACCATCCACAGACTTGCATAATCCACCATCTCAGGGGGTTCAGAAGACGTCATCTGATCAAACCTATCGTTCAAGGCAGAAAAGTCGCTTGACAACAAGTCGAGGACCCCTTCTGCAGATGAAATCTTGTCTCTCAGCATTGTATCGGTTGTTGCAGCATCTCTATCAGCCTTAGCTAGAAATTCCCGCATGGCCTTTTTCCTGTGAAAAAGATCGACGAAAGGCTCTCTAAGTGTGATCGATCCCGAGTCGACGTTAGAATAAATTTTGAACTTGCCCATCTCTGATAAGAATTGGATGAACATCCAGGATTTGATCTTGATGGTGTGGTTGCGTATGGTCCTCTGTTCGTCGACATAACACATCACTGTTATGTCAGGGATATCGGAGTATGTCGAAGATGCTTTTTTGTTTTTGATGTCTTCTTTGGGCGTGTAAGGATGGACACTCGTCCTCAGCCTACCAGTGCGGCGTTCTCGGTACGGAATGCTGATCGACCTTGTTATATCTACTTTCCCTTCATCTGTGCCCGGTGCCGATTTATTGATTCGAATATATTCACGATCGTCATCAGAAGGGTCAGAAGAGTCGTCTTCATCTTCATCTCTCCGGTAACGGCGCCTTTCCCGCACCGTTTTAATCTCAACTGACGCATCACGGTTGCTGCTGCGACGTGGAACAAAGTCTTCTCGCTCAAGAAAGTCTTCTCGGTCAAGATAGTCTTCTCGTTCAGGACGGTCTTCCCGTGCACTCTCGATCTCAACGGTGCGTGTCCTTAAGCGCAACGGAGATTCCGACCGACGCTTTACTTCTTCAGCCACCTTTTCGTATTTTCTTCTATCTCTATCACGGGTGAATGGAGGGCTTGGGACGCGAGAATGAACCTCGCTCTCATTAGGAGAGACGCGCTGGCGCGCTACTGAAGATGCAGGTTGATTTACTTGCACTATACCAGGCGCTGCATCCCCGTCATATCGAGTCTCTCTGGGAGTTGAATAATTCTCATTTTGTATTGTCGGTGAGTCCAATGGGTAAAATCTAGGTGGGTTGATCTCCCTAGGGGGCATTGGTGGGGGATTCTGTGGGTAGGTTTGAGTGTAAGGTTGAGGCTGTTCATACACAGGAACATAGTAGATCGGTTGTGGTTGAGTTGGTGGAACATCCTCATACTGCCGAATTTGTCTCATGGGGGGTTCGAACATTGGTGGTTGTTGTCTTGCATGAATTTGGTATGGAACGCTTGGTGCTGGCACCGGTTGATAACCTCTATATTGAGGCTCGGCGAACTCTCTTGGAACCCCATACGATGACCGCACAGTTCTAGGCTGATATTGTATATTCTCAGCCCACGCCGTTCGCTGCGGGCCTGGTTGTGATGGCTCCATGTCGTAATTCTTCAGATATATTTCTTAATGAGCGACCAGGTCATGAAATTGGGAGATTTTACCTCGAAGAAATCATCACGGCCTTCAGAGGTGGCGAGAGAGACTAGATATTCACAGGTTTGATACCCAGCCTCAAATAGTATGTCCCAGCACTGCCTTTAGCTACCTAGCTACATGTAGGTAGTACGTAGATATATCTCACTATCCCTGCATTCTTTGCATATTAGTTGACGGTGGCTGCATATCTAGTACTTAGTCAGCTTAGGCTGACTCCATGGCGGATAATAGCGTAATTGGATTGGGTATTGATTCGTTGATCAGAGGAGTTTTATCCTAAGATGCCCAAGCAGGCATAAATGTGGCTGAGACCTTTCGCCCCCCCTGTACCGGTATGAAGTAATACCCTGTATATTATCGGCATCCCAGTCCACACGAAGCTGTTATTTACTAGGAGAAATCAATCTTCACACTACTTCTCTAACTATGTCGAATGAAGACCATCAATCAAAGACGAGCAAGAAGGGTTCGCCTAGTATTCGCCAGACCCTCACTAAGGGGATCTTTCGGCCTAAGTTAAAAGTTCCTTCACGAGCAGTTGAATCTTCCAAAACAATAGGTACACAAAACCAAGAGCTTTCGGAAGTATCTCAGGAATCATCAATATCAGCCACTGCTAGGCAATGGTCAGTTACGCTTGCAGCTCAACCACACATAAAAGATGGATTTGAAAATTTGCGAAAAGCTATCAACGAATACAATGTCGAAGCCTCCCAGCAGCAACGTCATCTAGTCGATCATGAAAATGTACGGCTAGAAGAAGTGCGAAAGATAGCAGAAGGGATCCAATCAGATTGTGAGCGAGAGAACTCCGGGAAGAAGATTCGATCTACTATGAAAAATGGGCTGAGAAAGTTCTGCGAAACATCACTCTATTACTCCTCAATCATGGATGTATTAATCCAACAAAATCCTGAATGGGTGAGTTTAGCATGGGGAACAGTTAAGTTTTTGTTGATGGTGCCTGTTGAATATCAGCGCGTTAAGGAAAATATTGCGACAAATCTCGGCAGTCTTGGGGATAAATTTGCCGTCGTCCACATATTCACACAGTTCTTCCCAAGCGCCAATATTATCAATGCAACAGCCGCCATGTATGCAGCATTTGCCGAGTTCCTGGAGACATCTGTTCGTTGGCTCAATGATAATTTATTCAGTAAGATTTGGTGACTTTTTAACATTATGGAATAGGTACTAATGAGGGCAATGAAGAACGCATCATCAAGTCGACCTTTCGCCCATTCGATACAAGTTTGAAACCAATTTTAGAGAAGATAAACCAGAGCTATGGGGTCCTCAGGGAGCATGTAGAAGCTCAGAGACTCATTAGAGATTTCCAACATAACCAGCAACATCAAAAAGACTTGGCGGCCTTAAAGACGTCTGCTGGCACAACGGACCAAAAACTGTCAAGGGTTTTGCAGATATTAGAAGGTATGATCATCACCGTTGATACAATACGGAGAGACGTAAACCATGAACTAAAGAAGTTGTGGTAGGGTTGATATTGGAACAAGAACAACCAAAGGACCTCCAAGTCTCTACGAGATTTAATACGCCTAAAAGTAAGTAGCTTCGGCTATAGACCTTCTAACTCCTCTAATTTGATGAACAGAAATGCCCAAGCAGCAAAAGCCAGGCGTATATATCCTCCCTGCATTAGGTCCGATGAAAATGTTTACCTTAGGTCTCGAACCCATGGAACACGACTTCGATTTGATGAAGCACAGGCAAGCATCGTTTCCAATCATGCAGTCTTACGAAGGTATAAACATCTTACGGCGTGGAGATTTCAGAGGGTGGATTAGCAGTACTTCATCTAGCCTCCTTTGGATAGACGGGTACGAGAAACCAGGTCGGCCGAGTTGGCTTGGTGATCTAGCCCTATGTGTTACGCAAGCAGCATTTATATCTGGCTATGAGGCCCTATACACCTTCAACAGCCTCCGATTCCACGATTCCGAGAAATTTACAGCGCGGACATTGATACAGAGATTATCTAACCATCTCCTATGCAAATTTCCGGAGATTTATGAAACCGGTGACACCGACCTTCTCTGTCCCGAGATATTTCTTGCAGCGCAGACGGATATTAGATTGTCGTGGAAGATCTTTGTCGAGTGTCTCGCTGCTCTTAAGTCCGTTGCAGTGTACATCGTGATAGAAGCTATTGATAGAATACAGCTTCTACCAGAAAACCAAGACGAATTTCTGTTTGTTTTGCAGCATCTATCCCAGCTCGCAACCCCAGGTGCCGTCAAGAACAAGGTGATCAAGGTTATGATTACATCAACTAAGCCCGATGCTGGTTTCGACTTTATTTTTAGAGAAACTAGAAGAGGGGACGCACAAGATAAGGACGCTCATGTTTTGATCCGAGTATCTCCTGCAGCAGCAAGGAGTAGAAAGCAGAGGTCGATACCAGGAGTGAAGAGGAGAATCCGGATTCCCAGTAACAGCCACGCTGGAGAAGGATTCGACTTTCATTGCGAGAAAATTCTTAGTGACAGCGATTTCATCCCAGAACCAGATGATATAGAAACAGAGAATATCTCTGATTCCGAAAAAAGTGTTATCCAACCAATGGAATTCGATGAGGATTTCGATATTTTCGATGAGATGATAGAATCCAGCCAAGACAAGAATCAGGGGTCAGATGAAGTATCGGATTTTTCATCTTTACGGGATGTGGATTCAAATCAAACACGTTCCAGGATTGCTTCTAATAGTTCTGCTATGAGTTCGGATGGTTCGCTGGACATATTTGGAGTGATATAATAGGATCGGTTATTTTTCACGCACATCCATAGATGGTTATTGTGAAAGGGGGATGTATTAAATATAATGTATGATATTAGGTACCTAGTACCTTATGAACTTAAACAAACAGCCAAGAATTGCACAGAGATGCACAGGTGTACACAACCTTTACTGTACCTCGCTCCTTCGATGTTCTAACAATGATTGTCATAACCGTCTAGTTGTTTCCCAAGTGCTTCCCCGTCGCCTCCCAGTTGCTTCACAGCCTGGTCGCGGTTGCTTACCACTGTGCTTGCTACTGTGCTTGATCTCGAACGATAAGGTGATAAGATTCGGTAGCGGCAGCCATAGATGAGAAATCAGTACAGCACGCCATAACCGGTAAAGCGCGCTGACGATCGGTGGGTCGCGCTAAATACTTTCCCCCTCTTAGCTCTCAGGTTTTCCTTTTTTCTCCCGCACCCATACGAAGTACACAGCCCACAATCCACATTGGGCATACCATACATTAACGAGTACCGACGCAGCAATAAAAAGGTAACTCGCATCTCACGAAGATTCCCCGGACATCCGCCGACAACTTGCCGTCATTAGTCCTTGTTTCGCGACGCGCTCTTTTAAGAGCTGATGATCTTAGATGGCATCATACCCAGATCCATCTGCTGGCGATGTGCCGTCAATTTCGGCAAGTCAGCCCACAACGCCGCATCAACAACAGCAACCGACTCCACAACAGCAAGATTATGATTCACTACCATCGCCAGTCTCGGTGCCGGCTACCACTGTCGCGCATCATGGACTTCAAGTCTTGCAAGCCACAACTGGGGCTCCTTCAACTCCCGGACCCGACGCAAATGAATTAGCACAGCAGTATGCGCAGTCGGCGACGATGCAAATGGGTGATCATCAATTCGCTCCTCCTCCCTCTATTGACACATCAATCACAGCGACGCCTGGCTCGCAGAAAGTCACGCGTTTACGCCGTGCCTGTGATATGTGTAGTCAACGCAAGGTGAAGGTAATTATACCCTTTTACCCCTCTTTTACATCTTTAACAATGGTTTTCGGCATACCTTACATGCATCCATGTGTCCATCCATGATACTAGATAGTATGTTGAAATAAACTAACAAGATGGATAAATAGTGCGACGAGAGTGGTCCGCCGTGTAAACCATGCTCGGACCTTCAAGTTGAGTGCACCTTCAATCGAACTATGAAGCGGCGCGGTCCGCCGAACAAGCACGCCGAGGCTGCTAGACTAGCGAAGCGACCGCGTAACGAAGATGTGTCGCCCCCTCCTCATCACGCAGCTGAGACTCTAGTTTCAATCGCTGCTCATAATGGTCAGGCTGTAGCCGGAATAGACGCTGAGACGATTGCTCCTTGGCCTATTTTGGAACTACTGGTGGACGACTTCTTTACCTACATACATCCTCTAATGCCATTTCCTCACGAACCGACGTTTCGCGCAGCATTGACTAGCCGTATGGATAGATCCAGCGGCGAGTTTCTGGCCTTGGTTGCTAGTATGGTGGGAGTCTTGGTCGCTTCGTTTCCTCGAAGCGCACGATCTCACCTTAAGGCCCAGGATAGTACAGGTCTATTCTCCTCCGCGGTGGATATGATCGATCACTGCCGCGCAATTGCATTGGAAGCTCGAGGTGCTCAGTTCATGGTGAAGGATGATATGAGCGTCGACGTTGCCGCGACAAGCTACTTCCTAGGCCTTGCTGCGGCCCATACCCTGCAGTGGCGATTATGCAAGCGTTTCCTCACTGAGACGATGACTTTCTGTAGAGAACTGCTTGGTACTTACCAGCAAAGTGGTCTCTCTACTGTAGCACAGCGTATCCCCGGTCTCACTCAAATGTTCAACGCTTCCGCCAATGGACCTATTGATCATATCAAGGATCAGATTAGCAAGAGAATATTCTGGGTAATGGTTGCTGGTATTAGGTAAGGCCCCCTTAATCATCTAGTGCTGTATTATGTTGATTGGACTAATTCAATATAGATCGATGACTCAATTAGGAGTATCCATTAATGAGATACCTTTACCTCCTCCAACTTCCCAGGAACCGTACCCTGAACAACCTATTGAAGTGGACGATCAGTATATTTACTCAACTCAAATACTTGCCCAACCGGAGGATGTCGCCTCTCTCATTGTCGGATTTAACCGCAATATCCGAGTTTACATGACCATGAATGAATTGGTCGGCGTGGATATGTGTTACGGAATTAATTTCTTCGATTGGACTGCACAGAAGAACATTCTCAGCAACGGACTTGCTGCTGCCAAGCAAGCTGCCGACGACTTACCTCCCGAACTTCAAGTGAAGACAGATAACCTTCAACATCTTGAAAACCACACGATGGGTTTCGACGATTCAGATCTGGAATACTACCCTCCTGCCCTCCCTATCACGCAACCTGCCAATGACTTGCGGCGTATCTTTGCGGAGCAGCCTTTGCGCCGCCGACACCTCCAGTTTGAGATCCAGAAAGCGAATATTCAGCTATCACAGCTAGCTACTCGCTCATACTTTGTTGAGCGATATCTGAACCTACGAGATATTCGCCGTGCCGATCCGAATTTCGCCGAGAGGGCGAAGACGGAGGAAAAGGATGATCGAGACAGCATGATGGAGAACGAGCGAGAGGTGATCGTTCAGAATCTTGTGACCGTGCTGGCATCTATTAGTCAACGCAATATGGAGCCCAACGGATGTTCTCTGATCAACAAGATCAGACAAGTGGCTAGCACGTTGGTAGAGGATAGCAACAGCGCAGAACACAAGGAACAAGTTGCGACTAAGGCTAAGGGGTATCTCAACGGCTTTCTTGATATTCTCATGAAGTTGGAGAAGATAGGAGCAGCGCCTAGAGCTGAGACGATGACCCCTCAAGACGAGGAAGAAGAACTACGAAACTGGACGAGCCTCAAGGAGTATCAACTACGGTTCCTGTCAACTGGTGGATTCATGGGAGACGGCTATTAGTACCAACCGACCCCGCCGTTGCCCGCGTATTACTGGTCATATTAATGCCCTTACGATAACAAAACAAAACCTCATCATACCCCGAATTTCGCTTCTCTACTGTTAGCTATTCTCACCACTACGGGAACGCCAAAAATACCTAAGTTGCCTTGTGATCGGGGCTGCAAGTTTGACTTTGAGGTTGAAGTACCTTAGCTTGCGATATTGTACATAGCTCTGCTCATCGATAAAGCCGTCATATGGCATACCCTCTGCAGACCTCTGCGAGTACCTTTAAATCGACGAATCCATGCAACTCTGCACTCGTCTATGCCGTGTGAATTGTGATTGTGAATCTATGCTTTACCAATATGATGTATGGGTTTATTTTAACTAAGCCTCCAAGAACGACCAGTTAATTAGGTAATAATCACGAAGTGACATGTTTTCTGGATTCCAACAACATAGAAATTCGTATACTGATACTGGTTGCATAGACATTCACCCGTATCCCCGAAGGGGATACTGCGCTTTGACTAGCAAAATGGGCAAGAATTGCAAGACGATCCGAATATTACCCGATAGGTTATATTCGCATAAAGATCAGGCATTTAGCTGCATTACCATGCTTATGAGAATAAGGTTAGTAATATATGTAATTATATTATATATGTATTTAAAAGAAAATACATTAGGTTTATATGGAAAACCTACTGCGTCGGAAGTACCTCGGGCTAAATTGCAATTCTTGCCCATTTTGCTAGTTAAAGCGCAGTATCCCCTTCGGGGATACGGGTGAATGTCTATGCAACCAGTATCAGTACTGCTAAATTGAGTCCTAAAAGAGAAGCATTTTTCGAGATGGATCGATGCAGATGAGGCTGAGTAAACATTCAAATGTGGCGGTGCGAATCTTGTTTCAAAACCTTCCATACTACTACCTGGAAGACCCTGGCAGGGCAGGCCGCGTTAGCGGATTGAAAGCTAGAAAGGGCGCTAAGGCAGGCAAGGGTTAGCGCAGGAAATTGAATGAACCAAGGCTGCCAGTTGTCCTAAGAAAGAAAATGATGCGCAGCAATTTTAAGAAGTCCGTCCACCGATTTGCACCGATTGCACTGATTGCACTGACAGGTCCAGGTCGCTCGCTGTTGGTTTGTCAGGCTTCAGAAGGAATTAAAAAAAAAAGGTGCACATGTGTTTCTTTTACGAGCGTACCTAGGTAGACAAATAGGCAGAGACTCACACGACCATTTTACAACTTTCGTCAAATTATTTCCAATCTTCTTCTTTTTTTCTACCATTGTAACCTCTTTCGATTATCACCGACAACCGACTACAATATCGAACAGGTCAGAGGTTGGATTCTCGCATACTAGACGAGGGAATAAAAGAGAAAGGAAAAAAAAGAAGAGGTCGTTATCTAGCTCCAATTCCCCGTTGACCTCATAGCCAGATACCCTGATACCCAGCTACCAAGATACCAAATACCCAGATAGCCGTCGATAAAATTGTATTATCAAGGGATAATTTCGGGTCGCATCCACCACCTTTATTCTAAGACGATTACAGCAAGGCCGTGGCTTAGGGGGGATTAACGGATTAACGCCTGATCCACCTTTAAGTCAGCCTCCTACAGTTTCTCGACTGCTTTAACTGCTACGGTACGTTCCAGGGATCGTGAGGAAAGGAGTCAAGAAAAAAATAATTCCGCGAAAACAACCTGTCCATATTCAACATCGGTGCTTACCAATTGCAACGTAAAGCACCGGCAAACCATCTCTTTGAGCTCTAGAATAATACTCTAATCACCATATTTGATGCATTAGGAGTCCGTTAATCTCACGCGACAATAATCCGAATACCGCTATTACAATTGTCAATACCCAATACACAATACCTACCTAATATTACAGCAACTTATCATCCACTATCCACTACCCACCACACTTCTGACGTGACGTCAAAGGAGAAATAAGGAAAGAAAGAGAATAATATGTCGTCGGGACTGACGAGACGTCGAGGAGCTGGCGGTGGTACGACCACTGAAGATGCCAACGGAATCAGTCGCTCCGGCTCTTCTCAGAATGTACGCGACAGCGCCCCCGAGACAAGTTACGAGAATAGCGAGAATGGCCACAAGATTGCGTTCGACCCGCGCGACATTAGCGAAAGCGCCGAGAGGAGTAAGCAGCCGAAATTAACCTTGATGGAAGAGGTTATATTGCTTGGACTCAAAGATAAACAGGTATGGATGAATGCGAATTGGAACATCCTTCTGATTCCACTTGACTTGATCAAAAATCCAGATCTAAATAAATAAAATCAACAAATAATGCTGACGACGTATGCGACATTTCATAGGGCTATCTCTCGTTTTGGAACGATAACATCAGCTATGCATTACGCGGTTGTATTGTCCTCGAGCTCGCTTTTCGCGGTCGCATCGCTATGCAAAAAGATCCCTCTAGACGGCGATTTCCTCTAGCCGACCGAACGATCGAAGTCATCGATGATGCTCTCACTGGTGAGGTGCTACTAGACGAAGCTCTAAAGATGATGAAGCAGAGTGAGAAGATGAGCGTGAGCGCATGGATCGACCTGATGAGCGGTATGCAATATCACCTATATCACCTATACGCCACCCAAATTTGATCCATTCCCGACTTTACTGACCGCGGCCTTTTTTACCCGATAGGCGAAACATGGAACCTCATGAAGATCGGTTACCAACTAAAGCAGGTTCGCGAACGTCTGTGCAAGGGTCTCGTCGACAAGGGCATCCTTCGCACCGAGAAGCGCAACTTTCTTCTCTTCGACATGGCCACTCATCCTGTCGCTGACGGTGGCGCGAAAGACGAGATCCGACGGCGCGTTAGGAACGTTCTAACTCAGCGCACCGTAGTCTTGCCCGCCTCCCAATTCCTGCCTGAGAATCTCGAGTTCCGATATATCCGCACCATATCTATGGTTTGCGCCGCATATGCTGCTAATGTCTTGGAGAACGCGTTGAGCACTCTAGGCCACGAAGCGCGAGAGCGCGCTTTTACCCAGACCGATGAGCTACTCGCCGAGTATTCTCAGTTCCCATTCGGAAGAAAGACGGGCTCTACTGGTATCGGAGCTAACCTACCCCAAGTTATTTCTGAGGTGAGCTCCAACTTAAGCATTCTTTTGGTAGTTAAAGTACTAATCATAGTTGTGTATAGGAAATTAATAATGCCAAGGAGAAGGAACTCCAACTAGAGGTCGTTGCCGCTTGCTTAAGCGTCTTCACTCGCCTCGACTCACTTCTATAAGCTTGGGCTTCGCCTATTTTTAAACCCCTTCTACTTGTACGAAACGCGATAGAGCCGGCATTCACACTTCGTCGACCACACCACACCCGGCACCAAACCCACCACCATCCCACTTATCCTTGCCTCCCCGACACGACCCGATTTCCACTTTCACCAGACCTTGCCCCCTAATAATGTTGAGAGCGGACGAAAAAATCGTTGTTCTGGATTAGAAAAAGGGGTGGGATTTTAGGAACATGCACGTACGCCCACGCCAGCCATGACACAACATAACACCACACCATCCACTACACCCATGGCGCTTCATCAAAGCGATGTGGGGATAAATGGTATTTTCAAGATTCTCAAACGGATTAGGGGGATCCATCGGGTCGAAAAAACAACAACATCAACATGGGAGAGCAACGACAACACCAACCGCAGCAACGGAGTAGAGAGCAGAGCAGAGCAGAAAGCAGAGCAAGGGGAGAGTTGCTGATGGAAAACGAAAAAAAACTCTTTACGGTTTTAACGCCCACAGGCAAAAAAGGCATAGGCAAGGAAAGTAAAGTAAAGGAGGGGGTTCAATCATGTCATTTCTCGACCGTGTTGTAATAGTCTAAAAATTCATGGATTTTTTTTTCTCTCTCGGCGTTTGGCCTTGCCTGCTTCCTTACCCACATACCTAGGTACTTACGACGATCCCATTATGATTGCTTACTTTTTTTTTTTTTTAGCTTTGGCTAGGTTACCTATGTAGGTAGGTAGGTAGGTATTTATCGTCCCTGGTGCTAGATGCGGGATTGGGGGATGCGGTTGATGCGACCGGTGTCTTTTCGCACGTATGGTGGGTGGAGGTCCTCTGGGGATTGAAATCATGATCTTTGCATTTATAATCTCGTGTCTTCGTGTCTGCGTATTGCGTCTTGCTCCTTATTTCGGTATCCTAACATTTGTATGACATTCTGCCACACTTATCCCATACCAGTAACCCAACCCGGAACCATCCATCCTCCTATTTAACCAAACATCTCAACCGCAATCCCTCACGCCTTCCCCCGCCTTAACCTCTCCTTCCAACCGCCCTTCTCAAAAAGCCAAACCGCCTCAACAGCAAACGCCTTCGCGCTCATATGTCCGCGCCCCTCCTCCATCCCCGCCTCCTCATGCAAACTCCGCATCACCGCCCCCTCCTCCACCTCCTCCCACACCCCCCTCGCCATCCCGTCCTGCGCGCCCCCGAACTCGCCCCGCCCGAGCCGGTATAATATCCTGCCCAAAGTCTGGTACGCCAGACACCGCTGTCCTGGTACCGCGCTCCGACACAGCCGCGCGAGCTCGCGCACGGTATAGCCCGCGGCTTCGGGGGCTTCGCCGTGGTGGTGCAGGCCTTTGGTTGAGGGCACGACGCGCGAGATGCGGGGGGGGAGGAGTTCGCCGCGGAAGTTGAAGCGGAGCGCGGAGACGGGGAGGGAGTCTTGCGATGGGTGGTACGGCGAGTCGTAGTCTGCGGGCGAGTTTGTGGTTGGGATGGGTGCCATCCAGGCTAGTTTCGAGGGGTCGGCGGGTAGAGAGGGGAAGTACTTCGTGTGCAGTTTGGAGAGGAAGTCTGGGTCTGAGGGGTCGATTTCGGTGTTTGGTGGGTGTGGCCAGTGTGGTTTGGGTTGGGGCTCGTTGGTTTCGGGGGTGTCGGTGGTGTTGGATTCGGTGGCGGGTGGGTTGGGTGTGCTGTCTGATGGAGGTGCGGGTGTGGGCTTGGGGATTGTTGTCGCTTCTTCGTCGGCTTCGTCTGCTACTGAAGCCCAGCGTACCCGTTTAGAGCCATTGTTGTCTGCAGGCTGTTGCTCTGTTGGTGTATTCTCTGTTGCGATACTCTTTGATTGGATCGTAGTATCTTCTACCTGTATTTTCGGGGGTTCTTGCGCCTGGTCTAAGTTGGTAGAAGTGACGTCTTGTTGTGTAGGGTCAGGAATGTCGAATGGATCATTCTTCTTAGGTTCGTCTAGGTTGGCGCGTTTAAGAAGCATTTGGAGTACTGATGGGTCCAGACCGTTAAATAGTTCCTGTCTGGCTGCTTCAATTTCCTCGGGTGACATGGTATCTAGCTTCTCATTGTTCTCACGGTCTATCGCTTGCTTCTCATATGATTTAAAATCTTTGCTCGAAGTCGACTGTGCATCTTGTGTACTAGCGAAGGGGTCTTTTGATGTGGCAGACTCTTTTTGCTCCTCTCCTTCTATACGTGCACCCTGTCGCTTCTGCTTGAATGTTGATATCCTCGTCCGCTTTTTGTGCTCCGGAAATCCGGTTGTCGTCGACTTGATCTGAGGGAAGTTTGGAGCCTTGGGCTCAGTCACTTCCTTCTCTTGGATATCTGAAATAAGGAAGTTCATGATTTCTATCTGGGTGGAAAACACATGAACTTTGAGTGTTCAGCCGTTGACTGGTAAGTAGTGTGAAATGTGGTGTCGTAAGGTTGGACTGTGATTGAATTAAAAATTGAAGGATACAAGATGTACATCTAAGAAATCGGAACTAAGAATTGCACATTTTCAAAATTGACGTAACAGCCACTAGGATTATAAGTGGACCTATATACATGTGGCTGGTGTGTCGATAGTGTTGCGTTAGCGCGTCGATATACTCCAACTTTAGAATTTCCAGAAGGACTAAGCGCGAAAGAACGCTTGTTCGACCAATCAGAGGAGATCGGCCCGCGTCTGATTGTAACGGGAATGAGAGACACAATTTTAAGCTGAAACTTAAAAAAGTACGTACCGCAAGGGTGCATGATTCCCATTCCAAATGTCCTTTGACTTGTAATTGTGTTTTCTATTTCATGCATACTATATCAATAGATATTTACTTGCTAGGTACCTAGTATGAACAAAATTCCGGTTTGTACCCGTGCACTGGCATTTGGATTGGCTTAACTATGGTTGGGTCATTATCCGAGACAGTTCATGGGTAGAAGTGGTACAGATTGTCAGATTGACGAAGATAAAAACAATGTGCACTTCATTTAGATTTATCGTAATATGACAAGGAAATACGCATTTCTGCTTACTAGGTATGATATGGTGATACCTAGTGTAAGTAAGTAATTAACAACAAAGAGTTTACGATATGTCAGATTGATTTATACTACATGTGTACGGCCAACACCGAAAAACTTTAGTGTCGCATGATGCTTTATTAAAAGTCCAATGCAACCCCACTTAGTATTATCGTCATGAATGTTGCATAAAAGGAAGGGAGTATCTTATTCTCAATTCCCTAGTGAGCTGATAGACAATAAAATGACTATACCCCGACTTTAAAAGTAAGTGATACTTAAACAACAACAAGAGTTAATATTATCGCAGAAATGTTTGTCTCCTTATACATATTTACAATTGATAATCAAATAGAAGTAGGCTAATAATAGATGTGGTGTATTCCATATCCCTGTTCCTCAAGTTGACATATCTTAGTAAGCAATGTTTTTCTAATTATCTAATAGGCTTAAAAGACCCTTGTCATCATCGCGGCTATCTTGCGTCAACCGTCCTGCCGTCTAAGTGGGTCTTGTGAGACTTTGGGATTATGAAACAAAGGTACGTACCCCGCGGTATTCTCTGCTCTCACCCACAGTTCGGCGGAGAGGGAGGCTCAAGCTGCATGAAATTGAACAGTTCCCCACTCTTACTGCCTTTTTAAGTTTGCCGACCGTTCGGCTCATCCAACCCGGCGCTACCTATTCAAGGAAAGTACATCTGCAGCTATACCTGACCGCATACTACATATGTACACATCCATTCTTAGAGCTACCTTAACTAAGTCATATTAATCATGACCTATGCGGGAGATAGGGACAGGGACTTTCAAGATCTAAGGCCCTGAGGTAGATGACGACTGCCTACCTAGAGATTCCTTTCGACGACGGAGCGACGCGAAAGTTTTCAGCCGAGGCGAACCCTGCGCTTACCATATTAAGTAAGTAAATCAAGAATTATACCCTTATCTTATACAGTGCTTGACCCAGTGTTAGTAGCGAACGGGATATTTAATGTTTATTCTATTCAAGTTGTAACTTGAATGTACCTCGGAGTTGCCAGGACCCAGCCACATCTGGAATTTTTAGTTGGTCGCGTCCCGCCGAGCGGTCAATCAAAGTCCAACTGGCAAACTCCTAGTTTCTATTGCTAGCTTGAAGGCTATGTGACCCGATCCTTCGTATCTTTTCGTCCGGTCGTCCACAGTTGCCCACGGTTGCCCCCCTTTCTAAGCAAAGTTCCAGTGTATTACAGAACCCCTGGCGGGTCATTCACGGGTCTTTCACCTCTCCGTCTCTCTTTCGTACACATCATTACTTACCTATCACAAACCACGAATCTATGAATCCCCCGACTTTCCGTCTTCAGAAGCTAGCTAGAAGCTAGAAGCCGAGAAAAGCCAGAAGCCTAAGGCCAAACCCTAGGGCCACCTCATCACTCCGAAGTGTCATACGCCCACCCTCCTATCCTTCTTAACATTCGTTTTCTTACCCTTCTTGGTTTGATGGTTCCTTGATGTTCTAGTCTAGTCCCTTAGATATTTCCCTTTTGGTATAATTATTAGGCTCCATCGTCATCCCCCCCGAAAAAAGCTCAGGCCAAAAGTCCAAAGTGATAGTTCCTTGTCCCTACTTGTCCCCCCCGTCTCAGTCGTCCCAGTCCAATCCACACCCTAGTCGGATGACTTTTTCTTTCGCGATCTAATGCCTATGCGCCTAATAATTATCTCTTCTTCCTTTTCCACCCCCCATCATTGCATTGTAACAGTTCCCCCTTGAATTCCTAGTTGTTCCAATGACACCCCCAGGCTTACCTAGTTCCGATCTCTAATTCGATTTTTTTAATAATAAAATTTCCCACGCAACTCTCATTTCTAGCTAGTTAGATGGCCCCGATTTTTCTCGCCTTGTTGGAGAATAATTACCATTAACCATTTCCCAATCCCAATCCAAAACTGAAAAATAGTAGCCATCCCCATTCCCTCATTCCCCATTCCCTCCCGCAATCTTTTGCAACTTTACAATTCTTCCTCTTTTCTACTACTTTTTCTTCACAACAAAGATGAGTTTATCAAAATAAATCCATCTAATTCCATCACTTCCCCACGACTTTTCATTTCCTTTTTTATGTCATCTTACGCAAAAAAGTCAAGTGCACCTAATTCGATTATTCTCGAGTGGCTTATACCACTATAATAACCATTTATAATTCGGCAAAGTTTGGTACGGGCGGTCCGCATTGCGAAACATCTGCGCGATCTTGGTGAAGTTATTCAGAACCCGGACTCTCCATTTCCCATCTCTCCAAGGCCGCACCGACCACACGATTTCGAGGTCACGTTACCCAATAGCGTGTGTACTTCTGTACAACACGGTCCACTTGAGCCACTTGAGACTTTCACCAATCGCCCCTTTTAGGCGAATTAGTCAATCAGTCACAGTACGCGGTCGCTCTTTTTTTCGCGTACCTGCCTACTTCTTGCTGTAGCTGAGTCCACGTGCATCCACCCGCGCCTACTCAATCACGTAGCGCTCAACCGAGTTAGCTTCAAAGAATAGCCGGCAACCAGTAAAAAGATACATAAGATACAAATGTACAGTTTCTGGATTGGCCAATTCTAACTATAAAAGAGAATTTATACTTTCAAGGTTCTCTAGAAAGTGGGAAATTAAGCACGACAGTTACGACGGGAGTTTGTCTTTTTCTCAATTGCTCAGATAAATAAGCTGAAACACTTTTCGGTCTACTTATCTTGAGATTTCCACTCACTAAAAATTTCATCAAGAAATTTTTGAATTACAAATATTTCAACATTACATCACACACCACAACACTACACAACCTCAACCTACCCTCATTAACCCTGTTCATAAGACAGGATAACTGTCTGTCTCTTTGTCTTACTTCACTTAACATCCAGGGTTAGTGTCGAAGAACAGGATTATATCAGCAGACCGTAGGAGACCGTCACAATGGCTGCGGGCTCTAGCAACGCCCCAGCGCGATATAGCTCATCGCCTGAGTTGTCAGATCCACCTTCTATGTTATCAGCTCCTGCATCGCCATCAGGGTATAATAGAGCGAAGAATGGAGGTGAACTGGATGAGATTGTGGTCGATCCCACCACTATTCGATATGATGGATCCGGTCAGCCTATGTTAACGAAGGATGGCTTACCAAGGAGAAAGCCTGGCCCGAAGCCGGGGACAAGAATCAACAAACGGAGTAGTACGAATCCCGAGGAGGGTGAGAAGATCAAGCGGGTCCGGAAACAGAAAGAGAAAGATCCGAACACCTCAACCACGTCAAGGAGGCGTAAGGTTACATCGTTGGATGGTGAGGCGAGTGAATCACGATCACGGGCAACTAGTGTCGCTGGTGGTACAGGCAATGGAACAACAGCCCCTTCGCGACAAACCAAGATCACTGAGATGGTCACTGGTCAAAATCAAAACCGATTAGAGCCAACTCCTCAAAGAGAAGTAAAACGGGAAAACATACTTGGATCCATGTCCAACATCCTGAACGCGGAACCCGAGCCACCACAGCAATATTCGCGTCAGCAGTCCCAGCAAGCCCAGCAGCAGCCGGCGCGCCCAAGCATGCCTTCGCGGACAAGTGGCACGAATTACGACCCCATCCGTTCATCAAATTACGACCCGATACGGGGAACTATGAGCTATTCTAATCCAATGGGATCTCCTCGCGGCCCGTCCACCACCACGGGTATCGTTAACCGCGCAAGCGCATCTCCGTCTATCGCGAGTCTTGTTGACCCGCCCGTGCCCAATATTATTTCTCCAGTCCCGTCACACACGTCTTTTACGCATAACGTACAGTCACATTCTCAAGCACAGTCTGGCGCCCATAAGGAATCGAGCTCAATGCCGGAATCACCTAACCCCTTCCGCAAGGAATTCATTCCTCCTCCGGCGCCAAAGCCTCCTACGACCGAGGCTAAGGAAGTCAAGGAGACTAAGGAGACTAAGAAGTCGGTGCCACCTCTCGCCCCTACGGCTACGGCTATGTCTAAGATTGAAATTCGGCCAACGTCCATTACTACTATTGGTGGAGCTGGTTCAAAGAAGCCCTCGCCCAAGAATCTGAGCCTAGCATCATCTCCTCGCGTCAACGCCACGAAGGACTCCCTCGCCCCTCTTCCCGCTGGACCCGAGCGCTCTATCCTTGACTTCGGCAAAGCTGAACCGGGATCGGAGACGGTTGCGCCATCGATCATCCTCAACATTCCACTAAATGGGGAGACGAACAAGTATATAAATTTCATGCGTATGGCCGAAGACCAGTACGGTTGGGAGGCCCTTCACCCGCGACAAGCCGAACACAAAGCACGCAAGGCCCGCATTGCTGCGGCATCCGCTGCATTAGCCCAGAATGATTCCAGTCGCGAAGGGGACGAGATGTCGGTAGATGAATCTGACAATGAAGATTCCAACGTCGAGATGGGCGGTACCAGCGGACCTGACAAACCCGCCGATGGGAAACCAGTAAAGAAGAAGAGGCATTTCAAGGAGGACGAGTATGACAAAGACGATGACTTTGTTGACGACTCTGAATTACTCTGGGAGGAGCAAGCGGCGGCTAGTAGAGATGGCTTCTTCGTGTACTCCGGACCCTTAGTGCCGGAGGTTGAGAAGCCGGAAGCCGGGCGGTATGTACATCGAATTCCCTTCAATGATCGAATTATGCTGATTAAATCTAGCGGTGATGGTCTACCTAAGAGAGGACGAGGCTCGCGTGGCGGTCGCGGCGGTACACGCGGAGCTACTAGCACGACAGGGCGAGGCCGCGGTGGTGGACCTGGGTCTCGTGGAGGAGTAGTACGAAAACCCCGAATGACAAAAGCAGACAAGGCTCAGATGGATCGCGAGAAGGCCGAGCGCGAGGCAACACTGTTGAAATCAGCGACCGGCGGATCCTACAACGTTCTGCACCCGGGCAGCCCGCAATTTGCGGGCCTGTAGAACTATGCATTGCGAAGGAGTTGGCAATGAGAAGTTCGTGTTTGTAATATATGCACACACAGCATTGGCGTTAGGCGACATCTCTTTGATCGCCAACATCAGGCGTGGGGTTAAAGGGTCTCGAACACTGGCTCGATGGTTAAGCTCCTATTTATGTTGATACCATCACTATCACGGCGTATATGGGGAGTTGTGGAATTCGGCGTACAATTACTCAGTGACCTCAAATGGTTAGATTTGTTTTTAGGAAGTGCATTCTTTAATATGCCAATAGTAACAATGTGCTTCACCATCTGATCGATCGTCTATTCCAAGATTGCCCGCTGTATATGTGATACCGTAGAATAATAATAATAGCAGTAATACGGCGGGAATGTCTTTCAGCTATTGGTCGTGTAGGTTCGCGTTGATTGGTCCGGTATATGCTAGTTCCACTTTTCAAAAGCGGAGTGAAGAAAGTCGGAACCACCCCTGAAGCCGGACTCTGGTTTCCAAGCACGTCGCAATGAAATGCGCCTCCAGGTCGTCTCTTCGCCCGTTGTACGGAACTACTAGGTACCTAGCCTCCTTGTATATCGATATATGGTTGGTCATCATTAGGGCTCACCAAAACTGGCAGGTATTTATAAAGCCCGAAACGCCCGTCCACCCTACTATCCTTGCCCCTTTTTCTCCTCTCCTCTCCTCTTTTCTTTTCTTCCCTTCCCTCTCTACACACCATTTCCCCTTTCTCATCCTGCTTTATCATAGACCTTACGTCGGAGTCATTAGGTTCAATTGAATTAATCATCGTTGAAATGGCTTCACCACACCCCCTTTCCGCAGCTGCCTTGTTTTCGCTCAAGGGCTACGTCGCCGTCGGTTAGGCTTCCAACCCCTTTTTCCTTTGGCGTTCCGCTCTTTTGCTAACAGGCGCCACGCAGTGACTGGCGGCGGGACGGGCGTCGGATTGAGTAAGCCAACCTACCTACACATTGCCCATTACCCCTATTTTTCGACCAGGTTGTCAGACAACTTACACACAAGTGACTAGTGATCGCCCAAACACTGGCTGCCAACGGGGCTAAAGTCTACATCACCGGACGTCGCGTCGAGGTCCTTGAAACGAGTGCCCATGTCCATGGCGCGCCGGAAAGGCTTGGGGCGAGTGGTGGCGGTATCGTACCGCTTGCCATGGACGTTACCTCGAAGGAGAGCGTCAGGGCCACTGTGGCGAAGATCACGGAGAAGGAAGGGTTTGTTAACATGTAAGCTCCCCCCTATCATCAATACCTGATCGTGTTCGAGGAACTGCAATTGAATAGAACTGTTTTTCTGATGATTGTTAACGATAATTAGTCTTGTCAATAACGCGGGGGTGTGGGGCGGACGACCGACCGCGAGCCCAAAGGATGGACCGGAGGCTTTTAGTGAGGCGATGATGGCCGAGGAGAAGGAGGATAATTGGCAGAAATGTGAGGCATATCAAATATCTGACTCGTTCACGACTGAGTTTAGGTGCTAACTATTACATAGCATTCGACATCAATGTTACCTCGCAGTATTTCGTTACCGCCGCATTTCTGCCCCTCCTTGCTAAGGCGGTATCGGGCCCGACGGGAAAGGTGGGCAGTGTGATCAATAACTGCTCGGTAGGGGGTTGTCTGCGAATGTTAGTACTTCAATATACCATCATGACTTCAATGGAGAGAATAGGGGCTTACTATAGTGGTGACTGTGATCTTTCTATAGGTCGCAAAACCGCCAGTTCTCTTATAATGTAAGTCGCACTATATCCTCCTAAAGCGTTAAGGGTGCGGGTGGATATGGCTGACAGGTGACAGGCTAGCAAAGCCGCGTTTATACACCTTACGCGCCAATTGGCGTTCGAACTGAGCCATGAGCAGGTGAATGTTCGTGTCAATGGGCTTGCTCTAGGTGAGTATCTACTCTTGCTTATTGTCTCACCAGACCCCATCACATCCCCCTTTTCCACTCCAAACACAGAAATCACTAACAATAATGTGATAGGGTACTTCCCATCCGAAATGACCACCGGCGAATCCAACGGCGAGAACGAGAGCACGGCCTCCAACGAGCAATTCGGGAAATTCTTGGAGAGCATGGGCGGTAGGATACTTAACCGTATGGGAACGCCACAGGAGCTTGCTAGTGTATGTGCTACTTTTTCACTCGTTACCCCTATCTTTTCTACGTAGGCTGGTTCGACTTAAGAAAGGCGGACCTGTCTATTGCTAGAGAAATGCTTTGCTAACAGATATGATAATAGGTTGTGCTGATGCTTGCTACGAATGACTTTGTCTGGGGTACTGTCACGATTGTTGACGGCGGGTTTACCTTGGCCCTTCCTGGGAATATGTGATCCTATGAGTACCTGATAGATAGGGGGGCAGAGGGTAGTTTAAGACAACTTAGGTACAGGCAGGTAGGTATCTCTAGGCCACTGGGGCATATATCAATAAGAAAGAGTATTGAAGAAGAAAACTCCAATGCAAATCGAACCTCCGCCGGAAAAAAGGTCGAGATTAACTAATTGTATGATGAAATCTTTTTGCACTGCAGACAGCGTACTGCTTTTCCATTCTACCATTTATCGATTTCTACCGACCAGCTACTTCTTTATCTACAAAGTCCTCTCGTAAGTTGCTACACGTTGATCAAGTTAACCTTACCTACCTCCTAGGTACCTAAGTAGCAACCACCTGCGACCACAGACACAACCATATCCCAATAATCTAAAGCTCATTAACCTCCCTAGCATGATCATACACCAGCACCTTCGCCTCCTCGTCATCCAAATAGATAGTAAACCCATCATTATGATTCCGCCCATACGAGAACCCCGAAAACCCATACTGCCAAAACATATCCGCCATGTCCTCCTCCAGCATAATCCTCTGCCACCCCCCCTCGACCTCCGTCCTCGTCGCGTTCGCAGCCGGTATCCCATTCTGCTCCCGCACCTCCGGCGTCATCCACCCGTACTCCTCATGCACCACCGGCTTCCCCGCCCTCCTCCCCGCCTCCCCATGGTCCCTGATCCACTGGTCTGCCCACGCCACCGTCTTCGTCCACCAGTCCGGGTACGTGTGGAACACCCCGAAATCAATACTCTCCAACGCAAGCGTCGCGTCGAAATCCCCCCCGTCGGACCCGTTGTACGCCCAGTCCTCGGAGTCCCGGTTGAACCCGCCTTCCCCGCCCCATGTCACTAAGTGGTTGCCGTCGAGGCTTTTGATGAAACTGCTCATTTCGTCGATCCATGTTGTTAGAGTGGCGGCGGTGCAGTTCCCTGAGACGGGCAGGTTGCGCACGGAGTCCCCCCCGCAGCGCGGCTCGTTGGCGAGCTCCCAGGCCATGATTGTGGGGGAGTCTTTGTACCGCTCGATGAAGACGGAGATGTACCGCTTGTATGCGTCTTTGATCTGGGGGAGGCGGTAGAACTGTTGTCTGGTTAGCGCGCGGGGTGGGTAAATCATGGGGAAAGGGGGACTTGCGTCGTCGTGATATTTCCCGCCGAGATTGATGGTGAAGACGTCCATGCCCCCGTAGTCGGCCCAGTTGTTGGTGAAGGCGACGATGAGCTTGATGTCGGCTTTGGTGGCTGCGTCGACGACCTTGTCGAACTCGGTGATGTTGATGGTGGATGTGCCGTTCTCCCACCATTGGAATATGGCGTTTGTGGCACCCGCGCCTTCACCGCCGTATTGTGGTAGGCCTTGAGGGTCATACGTGACGTTCTTGTCGTTGAAGCCCCAGGTGCGGAATACCTTCAATCCAGCATCTCTGGCGGCGGCGAGCCCAATCTCGACATCGGTCGCATTCTGGAATGTGTTTAGTGATATTATCAATTGCACAAGATGTTTTGGGGTATTATTTACACTGTCGAAGGGGAAATAGTACGCATTGCTTCCAGCAAAATTGAAGTCTTCTCCATCAAGCTGGAACTTGCCTTTCTTAGTAGTGACGAACCCCTCAGGGACAGTTCTAGTCTTAGTCTTGTGGACAGGGTTGGCGTGGACCCCGCTTGTAAGTAGACCGAGGGATAGGAGGGTAAAGAATGCGACGACCATGCTGAAGATTGACTCTGTTCCTATATTAATCGTACATTTTGACTACAAATCAGCAGTCTCAATTGGAAATATTTGTCTAGTATTTATTCTATCGTGTTGCCGTTTTTTTCGATTTGAGTATTTCCTCTTTGGGCATTCGGAGGTCCTCGAACCGCAGTACTGGGATGTTGCCAATTGAGCCTCTCGGTAGCATTGACGACCTTTGATCCGCCAGTCACAGCAAGGGTCTTTTCACGATGACAGGGGCATTATGGTACTTACGGTTTAACGTAATGGTTCCTTGAATTGTGGGACTTGGACATCACCTACTTTTGCGGAGAAATAGGAGTGCAGTGGGGTTGCGTATTCTAAACACTTGATCACATTTAGAATAAGGGGGATATACTCAATGAGCGAACTTCGTATTTATTAAGAGCTTTTTACAGCATTGTAGAAGGATGTCAACCGCCATACAATCGCATGCACTGGTTATGCTCACTGCCTACCTACATACCTAACCTCTCTTAGAAAGACACATGCTTTTTAAATAGCAAGCCGTGCGGCATAAAGGACGTTTCAAAGATGAAGTTCTGCCGGTGTCACGCCGCTCTTCAGTTGTCTTTCTGTGAGTACGTCACGATTTCGTAGAATCCTTGTTATGATGTCTGTTGAACTGATGGTCTGGGTCATTGGTATGACGAAACCTTTGCCTTGTAGTTCTAGGAACTCATAGGGGTCAGAACCAGTCGTTAATAAGGACTCTATGTTATGACCAAAGTAATCGATGTGCAATTTTGCTACGAATTCCGGATGGAGAATGGATGGGCAGTCTTCTATGACCTCGTCCACGTACTTGCATGCACGAATGACCTCAGCTCTTTCGGCGCAAGACATGATTGTGGTACCGTTGAGGGTTCGCATAGCTTCATCCCCTATCACTCCTACCAGGAGATACGTGTTGGGAATAGCTTGTTTCGCGAATTCGAGAGACCTCACGTGGCTGTACTTAAAAATTAGTAGACGCTGCGAAACAAGTACGAAATGCTCTCACCCATAATGGAACATGTCCCAGGCCCCATGAACGTAGACTCGAACTTGAAGACCAGAGGAGGGTTTATCAAATTCGAATTTGGGCGTGGAAACTAACGATGCTGGATTCTCCTCAAGATTCAGAGTGCTGTATCCATGGCCCTCTGAATTGGAGATGCCGTTACCTATGAATTTGGTTGGAACTCTCATGTGAGAAGTGCTGACAAGCCGAGATAGATTTCTAACTACTGTGTAGTAAGCACTTCCGTTCCGTTTAGCTAATTTCGCAATCATCGAGTGATTCTCATTAATTGGTACTCTGACTTCGTTTGCCCAATATAGACATGCGGTGCTTTCCGACGCGTTTATGGCGCTCTTTGCGGTTCGGACAATCGACCCATCGTCAAGGAACTCGCACTGGGGAGTTTGGCGTAGCTCAAAGCAAGAAACGATTTTCAAATCTTTGGTGGCTCTTGAGAAACGTTCTTTCAAAGCTTTGATATAAGTTGAACCTGGCTCGATGTCTCGTATAAGATTCTCTGATGCCTGACCCGCAAGTCCTGGCAGTATGTTGGCTACCCACATGCCGTTGTGAGGTGTCCCGAAGAATACAAGCCCACGAATGGAGTGATGAATATCAGCAAGTGAAGGAGACGTGCTGTCAGCGCATCGGCACCACGCCTGGAAAGTTTAGCTCTCTTAAGGATCATAACTGTCTGTAGCTGAGACTACTCACGTCCTTAATGATTAGGCCACCAGTAGAATGGCCCATGAGAATTAAAGGGCTTCTCTATGATAAGTGTTCGTTAGCTCTATAAACTTTTGGTATGCTTTGGGATGCGTGGTACTAACCCTTTTCGCTTGATTCGGTGACCTCAGTCTGTAATTCACCAAGTCCATAACAAAACCCTCCGTCATTTCCGATAACGTCGAAATTGAATCGCTATTCCCAACCTCGGAGGAGTATCCATAGATCAAGACGCGAGAATTCGGAATATCCACCGGGACGTGATCCCTAAGCCACATGGAACCGTCATAACATTGCCAGGAAGCAAAAGCTTTACCGCCTAGTCCTGTTAGGGCGATTATGCTAGCTAGGTCAGCACCTTTATCTACCAGGCCTGAGGGATTATTATACTATCACACTACGTACTCGACAGCTTCATCTTCATCGGCTGGATTATTCATCGCCGTGAACCCATGGAAATGAAAGTCTATCCAGACACGAGAAAATTTCTCCTGGAGATCGCAGAAGAACGCCGACAGCAGGCTTCCATGCTTGTAGGGCAGTGATACCAAAGCGGGAGGCTCTTCCTCGAAAGTCACAGTGGAGACTAGCCATGGAACTGTAGAGTCGTGAGCGCTGGCGACGGAGAGGTACTGGATGGTATCTCTCATAGCCGATGGGAAAAATTGGCGAATTTCTTCAGTCAATGTTCCATCTGGAATTTGGCTGAGCCTGTACGTTCGTTGAGAGAGTATTGGCGATGCCATCGTGTGTATGAGATGTGAAGATAGAAGATTTGACTTCTGCTGATTACTACCTACCTGTCTAGGTACCTGGTAGGTTAGGTATTAACGGTCATCCCCGCACTAGACGAAAAGAGGCGCCCCGACTCCGGCCGCCGTCCAGCTTCAATATGATCTGATTCTCTTGGAGCAGTTGTGTTATCGTGACAAATGTGAAAACAAGTCTCTACATCAATAGCGATAAAACTCTTGTACTACTAGATACTACCTATCATGATTGCCTTGTAGTTTATTTATTAGCGCGGTGTTATGTGAACTGCTCTATGGATTTAAATTCACTTTTTGATTTTCATTCCAGGTCTAGGACACCGATTCCCCCTAATGAATGCGTCTAGTTACAGTGGATACCTCCCTCTAGCAAACCCTGGAAATGAACCTTGCAAAAGCCCTGGAGGAATGGAAAACTCACATTTTGGTGGACATAAGCGCTACGCGCGCTGCAATTACAGCACGCCCCTACCATTAAATTCTAAGCTTACAATGTTAGGTTGGCAGCTTAATATCTCCTCCAGCGGTATCGGTATCCAATATCCTGGCAATAGAATTCAACAAGAGCAATGGACGCGAGGAAGATAAAAGAAATTTATTTCCACTACAAGAAATCACAGCCAAAATCGTCTCCATATATCACGCTCTTCTTCGGTGCCGCTCCACTACCTTTGAATCAGCCTTAGCACGATCTCAATCATATGCAAGGGTTTATACTCTGAAATTAATCTCGTGAACAGCACGAAAGCCTTCACAGGTAGTTGGTTTTTGGAAACGAGGCAAAAGGTCGAGAAAATGTAACCGTGGATACACAAGCCGATTCTCTAGGTTCATCTATTCCACGGATTTATTAGTTTACATTACAGTATATTGAATTGTAAAAGTCAATACGCACCAAGGGCCCACCAAGTGCTCGAACCGTGTCATTGTGAAGACATAAATTAGTCGGCGACATGAAACAAAATGCATCAGCTGAAATCCCGTGTTTAGCAGCCATTGATATCCAAGTAGTTCGAGATTCAATATCGATATTCAAATCATCTAGATAGTCTGGTTAGGAGAGGAGTGTCGGTGCCCAAATGACAGATCTACGAACCGATTACAACCTGATCTTGGTCAACACCTGTAGAACATGATATTGGATTGGGGAGTTTACCGGAATTCCTTGCGTCATCGCTTCATCGACTGCGTGGACAAAAGATTCTCTAGAATCATATGACCGTGCATCTCGTCTTGTGAATCCCCGATCTTGGAGGACGCGGCGATAAAACGTAGATTTTCCTGCACCAGGAAGGCCAATGAGGATGATCATTGAAAGAGACGAGAAGTGTACCATGTTGACTAGGTACAGATATAGCAATCAGCCTTGGGCGCTTTTAATCCACGTTAACTACCTAGGTACTAGGAGTAATTAGGTAGGTATACTTACCCAAATCTTCTTCCTCCTTATTGGTATTAAGATACCACTCGGGGTGAAACTTATGGCCTAGAGGCTCCGGGTCCTTACCTAAAAAGAATACTTCAGGGGTATAAAAAGGGACTCCGGCATTCATCGCCCAGTGCACATCCGAGTCTGAGAAGTCATTTTCGCGACCAGCGGCATCTCCGACGACGAAGGACTGAGCCTTGTCTATGACACATCCTTCGTTTCCTGTTACCTTGGGGATGATCGACCATAATCCCGGTCTAGGCTTTCGGTAGATGTCATTCGCACATGCCACGAGCAAAGTGACCGGTATCTTCAAATCGCGCATAATGAACTCCATCTTCCTTTTGAAAGGAGCAGCCTCAGGCGCTTCACTGCCATCGAATTCAGTCAACCGCCCTTGGTTTGAAGTAATTATGATTGTGTATTTCTTGAGTGCAAGGGCCTGTAACTTGGCGGGTATGCTATCGTCCCACCACCGCCAATCGGTCTCGTCATTTCCGTGCAGCGTTCCCGACTTCGACATGATGAGAGTCTTGTTCTAGTAGTGAACTTCATTAGATGATGGGAGTATAAGAAGAGTTTCGATCGATTTATGTACCAAATCAATTGCTGCAACCTTTAAGTCCTCCCGCAAAGCAGTGTTATCGTGGCTCAACTCTAGTCCCGCACACCGACCGACAAGAACGAAGCCTCCCGAATTATGGAGCGTCCATGTTACCGGTAGCTCCATAGGTAACTAGAGATGAAAAGGTACTTGAATATGGATCGTAGATACCTTTAAAACAAGTGCGGTATATTCCAATGTTTTGGTTAAAGATAAGATACGAACTCAGTTAGGTACCTACCAGAGACATATTACAATCACGATGGATATCGCATGAAGAGAAAACCATGGATAAGTGGAGTAGAAGAGAAGTTCGAACCAATCATAGAGGGGATAGTCTGGAATAACGCAAAGAAATAATGAGAGCCTTATGTAATATTATAGATTTACATATTTAGTTCTGCTAAAATTCAATCCCTTCACGATTAGGTACCTCAAAAGGTGCTATAAAGATCTATGTCGGAAGAAACTTGGGGATATCCGCCACCTTTTTGTAGGATAGTATTTCCGCCTTAGGGGTAAGAAAATTCATTTTATAGACCTATGTTTACCTACTACGTAATTTAATCCACTGTAACTTCAACCAAGAGATCTTCATATCGGCCCGTGAAGCCCCATTCTTTAATTGCCGGAGCACATACTCATCCCGATTCCGAATGACGCGCGAGATAATCTGAGTTGTAGACCCCCATTCCTTGACTCTAGGAATGACTAGAAACTTTCCTTGCTCCTTAATGAAGCGATATGGATCTGGCTCATTGGTATCAGCGTGAGCAAAGTAGTCGATACAGTACTCATCCATGAACTCTGGCGTCAAGACTGGCTCGCAATCTTGGATAACCTCATCAACGTATTTGCATCCCCTAACGACTTGTGCACGATCTTCTGCCGAGATGACCGTCAAACCTTTAACTCGAATCGTGTCTGGGTCAGTAGTCACCCCCACGATGACGTGTGTGTCGGGGAAAATGGTTTTAACCACTTCAAAGAATTGAACATGCCTAGGTGGGGTATTTTTCAGCTTGAGCGCCTCTATCATAAGCGCTAGAATTTATAGAGAGAAATACCTACCCTGTGTGAAACAAATCAAAAACACCGTGGGCAAAGATTCGAACAGGTCGGTTAGAAGGAGGTTGGTTGGTTGAATACCCGACTGGGTCAATAAGAGTCGTTCCTGTGGACGGATGGTCCTCCTCGGAGCCGCTTGGCTTGGCTGATGTTCCTCCGGATTCCATATCACTATCAGAGCTCAATTTTTGTTTCAGCTTATTCAAAATGAGTTAAGGAAGCTTGAGGGGGCATTTTAGAGAATTTTACAAGGGGGTGTTTAAAAACTGTGAAGTAGTGGGGGTGGCTTATAGAATGCAACTATATGACAATAGCCAATAAAATTGAACACCGCAGTGAGGCTGTCTTGGCTTGGTGTAGCTTATGAACGATCTTCATACCTGAACACCCCGCACCTTTCATGGTTTGCTGCCTTTTACGCCGTTTTAATATTGACAAAAAAGGACTTGGATACCGCGCTACTATTACCTTTTGCTTCAGGGGGTAAATTTTGGAGATAATCACACGGGAGTTACCTACAACCCACAGATTAGGTCTCAAAGTCGACACAAGAGAATGACCGTCCGACACGATTTCCAGTCCGACTACCGAAAGTTGGTTGATTCCATCTGTCAGAAGTCAGCATGTCTCCGCGCTTCGATCATGGTGACTACACCATCGGTTGGATCTGTGCCTTACCGAAAGAGATGACCGCCGCCATAGCGATGCTCGATGTAACTCACGATAGCCTCCCACAGCCAGCATCGGATTATAATAACTACTGTTTGGGATCCATTGGAGAGTTTAACATAGCCATTGCGGGCCTGCCAGGAGGGGATATTGGGAGCCACCCAGCCTCTGCTGTGGCTATTAGAATGGTATCTACCTTCCCTAATCTAAAGATAGGACTCATGGTAGGCATCGGGGGTGGTGTTCCGAGTAAGGAGCATGACATCAGACTCGGCGACGTTGTCGTTAGCATACCAGCGAATGGGTTTGGCGGTGTTGTACAACATGATATGGGAAAGAATACTAAGGATGGCGGATGGGTGCGAACCGGGTCCTTAAATGGGCCGCCGTCGGTCCTAAGAACAACGATCTCGAAACTAATGTCCATGCATCAAATACACGGTAATAAGATTGAGATTTTCCTGTCGGAGATGGTGGAACGTCATCCTAATCTATCCCCGCAATTCACTCGTCAGGACACTTATTCCGACACACTGTATGAGCCTGAACCTGAAGAGCCGGGAGCGTTTCAAGGCTGGGTAGAAGTTGAACGGCAGCCCCGGAAACCACACGAATTGATCAAAATACATTATGGGTTAATTGCGTCAGGAAATCAAGTGATAAAGAGTGGCCGATTGCGGGATCAGATTAGCTCTCGACTTGGTGGCGTATTATGTTTTGAGATGGAGGCGGCTGGCTTAATGAATGAGTTGCCGTGTGTTGTCATACGAGGCATATGTGACTATGCCGATGCCCATAAGAACAAGGAATGGCAGGAATATGCAGCAGCGGTTGCAGCAGCCTACACAAAAGAGCTTGTAACTGCATTACCAACAATAAGTGTTGAAAAACAAGCTTCTCGAGAAACGCAAGCACCGACGCCTATCATCCAGGATCACTTCGTTACCGTACAGAGTCAATCACTAGGTTGGTACTTTCCCGAGTAACATGAGGCCCCTAAGAAGAACCGTACCAGATGTTATACCTCTAGTTAAAATGATATCTTCTACCATAGTCACTACCTCATTACTAACATCATGAACACAGGACCCCACTGGATGGTGCCCTTCTTCAGAAACCAGCACTTTGTCGCACGCGAGCAGGAGCTTTCTACGTTACGGCGTTGGTCATCATCCGAAGAGTTATGCCATAGTATGGCTATATTCGGGCTCGGTGGCGTGGGCAAGACTCAAATCGCACTTGAATTTGCTTACCGCACAAAAGATGAAAACCCAAACTGCTCTGTCTTCTGGGTTCCAGCGACTGACCGTCTGGCATTCGAACATGCCTACAAACAGATCGGCCACCTGCTTAACATACCGGGCATAGATGCAAATGGGGCAGATGTTCTCCAACTTGTTAAAGATGGGTTAAGCGATAAGGGGGCAGGTCAGTGGCTGATGATAATTGACAATGCGGACGACATCAACATGATTTTCCGGCAACCTTCGAGCGTTGAAGTATCCGCGCCAGCACTGATAGACTACGTTCCTTTCAGTCCGAATGGATCTACACTTATTACTACACGAAATCGCAAGGTGGCTGTGAGACAAGCCGCTAATAAAATCATCTTTCTAGAGATAATGGGACCAGATGACGCGAAACAGTTACTAGAAAGGTCGTTGTTGCGGCAAGAAATACTTTCAGATGTCAATGTTACTATGGAGCTTCTCCGTATTCTTGGCTTCTTGCCCTTAGCAATCATCCACGCGGCGTCTTATATTAATGAGAACGACACGACTATTGAAGATTATACGAGTCTGTACAATGATAGCGAAACAGAAGTAATGAAAGTATTGAGTGAGGATTTCGAAGTGCATGGAAGATACAAGACCGTGAAGAACTCTATCGCAGCAACATGGTTGATCTCCTTGAGTCAACTAACTCGCACAAATCCTGTTGCCATTGATTATCTCTCTTTCATGGCTTGCTTGTCCAACAATAGCATCTCACAATCACTTCTTCTACCGGTGGAATCGAAGAAACAAAGCCTGGAGGCGGTTGGGGCACTCAAGGCTTACTCGTTTATTAGGAAACGAGAAGATGGTCCTAGTTTCGATATACACCCGTTAGTCCACCTGGCTTCGAGAAATTGGTTGAGAAACGAAAGTAAACTACAGATGTGGACCGATAAAGCAATTGTGCGGCTAGTCGACCTTCTCCCAGATGGTGGACATGATAACAGAGCGATATGGACTGCATACTTACCTCACGCAAAATACCTTTTGACTTCAGCTATAGCCGTGGAAGGTAAATTGCAAGTTGTAGTACTAGCAGAGAAGTTGGCCAAATGCCTTTACAGCAACGGCGAGTACAACGAAGCATATCATGTATACGAACGGGCACTGGATTTACGAACAAAGGCCTCTGGCCTGGAGAATCGCGACACTTTGAGAAATATGTTTGGCATGGCCGAGGCCCTGGACCATCAAGGCAAATTCAAGCAAGCGGAACATCTACATCGAGAGATCCTGGAACTTAGGAAAAAGGTTCTTGGCCCTAAAGACCCCGAAGTAGGAAGAAGCATGAACTACCTGGCCCAGGCACTATATGACGACGGGAACTACGCAGAATCAGAACGGGTGCATCGAGATGCGCTTGCACTGCAGAACGAGGTACTCCACCCTGAGCATCCAAACGCGTTGACCACTACCGGGTATCTCGCCCAAACATTAGGTCAGCAAGGAAAATACGTGGAAGCGGAAGAGATGCACAGAAACCTGCTCAAAACTCGGCTCAGAGTGGCGGGGGAAGAGTACCCGGGCACTCTAGCGACGATGAGTTGTCTCGGCGTCGCACAGGGAGACCTAGGGAACTATGCGGACGCGGAACAGACGCACCGACGCGTGTTAGGCCTCCGCGTGAAAGTGTTAGGAGATCGCCACCCGCACACGGCGATAACCAAGCGCTGGCTCGCCGACGCACTTCTCCACCAAGGAAAGTACGAAGAGGCGTTTCGTCTCAACCAGGAGGCTCTCGGGCTCCAATTGGAACTGCTGGGTCCAATGCATCCGAACACCATCCTGGCTCTGGGTAACTTAGGCGATATCCTCTTCTACCAAGGACAGACTGATCGAGCTGAGGAGGTTTATAGTCAGGTGCTTGATCGACAAATCAAGGTTCTGGGAACAGATCACCCGGAGACTTTGGGAGGTATGAAGAGAATCGCGGATGTTTTGGATAGGCAGGGGAAACATGTCGAGGCTAAGGAAATGTACCGGAAGGTTTTTGAGGCGCGAGCTGCGGTTTTGGGACCGCGACATCCGAAAACGTTGGCGACGCCTCATTGAATTATGCTTGATATGTAATTAATTTTTGGATACCTATCCTTTATTATATTTGTCGTTTCCTGATGCTCTGGTTTCAGGGGGATATTGTGGTAGGATAAAATCTGGCTACTGTCTTTTCCTATAAGTTCTAGGTTATTTATAGGTGCTTTGTTAGCCAGCGGACAGCTGCAACGCTTAAAAATATAGGGGGCTTTAAGCGCTGTGGTGCCGTTTAGGTCGGTGCATGAATGCCCCTCATCCCCACTTTAGGGTTATCCCATAGGCTAACGGGTTGAATGGACTAAGGGGTACAATGAAGGGTAAAATGATGAGATTACCTAGTAGGTAACGACTATTAAAATATTTATTTTTCTAAAGACAATCGTAGGAAACTAATATGAGGATAAGAACTTTATTAATCGGAAGATTCGCAGTCCAACCAAGGATGTGTGTGTCCTGGATGACGAGGAGTTATTGCAACACCTGGATTCTCACTGGTAGTAATAGCAATCTCGGTAGTCCTAAGTATCCCCCCGTCATAAAACGATGCAAATTCTTCCTCCTGAAGCTGATTCACTCCGCCGCTGCTCCGTGTTCTTACAGGCTGTAAGTCGGTCAGATTTACTACACTATCCTCATCTACCCAAGGGGTTACGTCAGGGTGCGTGCCGCGTTGACTCGGTTGAGGTCTCGAAAGACGTTGTGAACTATCTGCGGAAGAATCCTGTGAAAAGAAGAATCCTAACTTTTCTCGCAATCGGATGCCAATGCTGGGAAATTGGAATGGGTCGCGGAATGCGATAGGAAGTGCCGGAACGCAGAATATTAGGCCCGCTGTTGAACATTCAGCTGTGCCCCAGATCAGGTGTGTAGAGAAATCGTAAGTGAGGTTAGTAGTCGTGTGAACTGCAGAGGCGACGCGGCCTGCAGCACACATACAAGTCCTGTGGCAAAGTTACGGTTATTAGCATCCTCAGAACCATAATACTCAAGTAAGAATTGACGCACATGATGCCTACAGAGAAAACTGCAGAGACGCCAACCCTCTGTTTAGCCGACAATGATAATTTCCAGATAATCCTATGCGGAACTAACAGCATAGCAATATCAAATACTAAGTGAATAGAGGTGATGATAACGTTGAACATGTTGACATCGATACACGTTCCTGGGAGATATCGACGCCAGATCTTTTCTCGCGGAGTGCATGCGTAATCGGTGCAAAGGATTGTTGCCAGGTATAAAGAGCAGTTTGCTCCGATCATACCACAACAGATCCAGTAGAATGTATTGCGAGTTGCCCTCGGAATAAAGAGATAAACCCACTCCAGGATTATAGCTACCTTGAACAATGCAAGAGCAACGCAATATTCGATAATGATAACCACGTAAGACTGTGTTAGGTGAGTGGTCTGACCCAGGGCTTGGGCTTCTAATATGTGCAGTACTAACATATATGAACGTTTCGAAATCTCCCTCTCGCACATTCCACTGTTTCACGAACAAACCGGAACCTAAACGGGTCATGGTGGCAAATTGAACGCATCCAGTAATGAAGAATGGCTGGTCTATGTTAGCATGCTACTATCTTTTATTGTGTCGAGCATAGTAATACAGAAAAAAAAAGGGACGTTTTGTACAAATCCGAGAAGCCCAATATCTTCGTATTGTTAAGTTAGTTAGATAGGTATTGAGATGGCTTGGAAAAGGGGTGGTCGTGGTACTAACAATCTTCAAATCTAGCCCTTTTTACATAGAATATCCTCGTATAGATTCGCATCAGAAAGAATACAGTAGTAAGAGAAGCACAAGCAGAAACTACAGCAACAGCTAGAACGTTTCTGTTAGATGGGTTGATGAAGTTGGATTCAATGCCAGCCGGAGGCTTCAAGGCTGGTCCCCTTCTAATTTCTTCGATTATCTTGTCGTCGAGAGGTGGGTTGGAAGCCATCATTACGAAAATGAAGAATACCTAGGTATCTTTGGAGGAAAATCAAGAGCAAAAAAAAGATTGGCTCCTACAAGGTAGGTATACATCGTTTATGTGAGCCTTGTCATCGATTATTATCAACCAACTGGCGGATGGAGGAAACGTCCTATACCTTTATCAGCTCAGCTACTGTCATTCTAATCAGCAAAGTACTACACGCGCTCTAAATCATCGGGATAATCTCAAATAGGTAACAAGGCTATGGAAAGAGTGTGTAAATCTAGTTACTGTCGGGAAGTATTCTATTTTTATGGATACGAAGCAGATTGATCAATAGGTAAGATCTACAAAAGAATAGAATATACCTCGGTAGGTAGGTAGGTACCTAGTAGATATGCACTTAATGGGGATGAAAGTCCACCTAATGGTTGCGTACTAGGCGCATTGGTAGTGATAATGTATGGTAACACGCATTGTCATGAAAAGAGCGGAATGATATCTCGTTGGCTGGATATGAGGTATGTAGAGATGTAACCCCAAGTTGGTAATGAAAAGGTAAAACTTTGATATTCGCCCCTACCGTCGGTACGGCTGCGGGATAACACAACGTTGCAACCAATGGGACTTCAAATATACCGAGTCCAGTTGGCAGTGTTGTAGGTATGTGGGTTCCAAGGTTCATAGTCCTACGAAGTGCTTACATCTAAACCTCGTCGCAAATACTTACCGAATTCTTCATTTCACTACCTCCTCTACTTCCCCCACTCGATTTTTCTATTTTTGATATTCGTGTGTGCTCTTCAGCTAATATCAGTATATATCAAGTACTCATTATCCTATCCTATTGAATGTTTGAGACGCTTATATGTAGTACGGACCAAAGACCCCTAGCACAATCTTATAGCTACTGAGTAGTCTATTCGCGAAGTGTAGGTAGGTATCGAGTAGGATAGATGTATTTTCTTTTCTAATTGTCTTCCTTGCGCACTTGAAAACTTCTGGAAACACGGTTGAAGATATGATAACTCGATGTTTCCTCTGTGATTAGAAATTAGCTTCTCCAAACAGGAGTATTCGTATTCCATATGCACCACGTCACGTTGTGTATATACCTTCCATAGTAGGGAGGCATGTACTCTAGAGGCAAACATGAGCGCGAAAGCTAGATCCTCGCCTCCCTCGCAGGTACCTACCTAGGTATTAATAAGTAGGTACACACTAGGTAAGCAAGGGGCCAAAAGCCATGCAATAGCCTCTCCCTCGGAATCTTACATTCCCAGATAAGCTACGTACTGGTATTCTAACTGGAGGTCGATATATGATCGAGAAACTACAAAGAAACCTTTGAACATGTATTTCAAATTGTAAGCTGCGTTTTCCTCCACATCATCAAGCTCGCGGGGACTTGCAATGCGGCTGAAACGCAGAGCACAAGGACCTCGCGATTGTAACTTTCTGCGAGGACCAACCTAACTTGATCCTGGAGTTCCGGAGACAAGGTAGGTAAGAGTGTAGATATGGCGTTGGTATCTGAAATACCTAAAAGTGCCTGTAGCTGGGGTCGTAAAAATGTGTTCGAGACCGATGTCGCGATTGCTAGAACTATGGAGCTACCCATCATTCTGATCTGGGACCCGGTGCCCATGCCGGTAGCTGAGAAAAATTAGAACATTTTAACCTTCCTCTGCTGGAAAGATATTAGCACTTACCATTGTCAAACCTCTCAATTACAAATGGAATCATTGTAAACAATAATGCGAAATTAGATCCGCAGCCAAGTCCGGCCACAACCTCTAAACCGTAGATCCGTGGCGGGATAGTTAAAATGCTTGGAAGAGTGCCCAATACGGCAAATGCGATTACTTGTAAGATAGACCCGAACAACAGGAGGTAAACCAACGGAATGTGTTTCCCTGCAAGAATAGACCCAATGATTGATCCTATTGGAAGGAGGGCCGTATATGGGATCAATCTCACGCCAGCCTCGAGGCCAGAAGTGTTATACACTAACTCGAATCTCTGCGGGATGATAAACATGGAAACAATAGTAGGACCGCCAAGGAATAGCAAATTTCTAATAAAATCCCATTAGTTAAACTGTTGATAATTTTGATCAAAACATGATTTCTCACAATAAAACTCCCATCATATGACGATTCGTTAAAAATCGCCATGGCAGGATGGGCTCCCGAGCACCGTTAGCACGTGTGACATGGCGCTCCCAGAAAACCAGCGCAATCCAAAGGAGCCCAGATATCGTCAATAAGGAAATGACGTATCCGGATCTCCATGGGAAATCCTTGTCGGCTTCCTCAAATCCTGAAGTCAAGGCCAGTGTAGCGAGCAAGATGAGAACAGTACCAAGTATGTCTATCCGACCGAGCGGGCTGCTCGTGACGGCTTCTCGCCGGTATTTCGGTCGATCGCCGTATGGAAAACCGTTGGGAATAGCAACAATCGCTATGATAAATGCTGGAACACATATCGGAACACTGTCATTCGACTCACGTGTGAGTAGACCTGTAGGTAATGCGAGGATACGTAACACGGTATTCGAACTAACTTAATGATGAAAATCCACCTCCAACTTGTCCCGGAAGCAATAGCTCCACCGACAATAGGTCCCAATAGAAGCGCCAAAGCGTTGACTATTGAGATGTTCGATATGTATTTGGTGTACTTCTCCGGTGGGACCAGCTCAATGACGAATATTGTAGCCAGAGACCAACACCCACCGCCGCCGACGCCTTGCAGGGCGCGAAAAACAGCACTGTTTGAATATGAGTATTAAATTTGTGGGATGTGAATATGGGTAAAATCTCACAGTTGTACGATGGTCTGCGAAGCGCTACAGGCAGCAGAGAAAATGATGAAAATTAAAATGGATAACAAGAAGATTGGTTTTCGCCCAAATATATCGCTAAACTTGGCAAATATGACGATGACAGCTATTCGCGTACATTAGCAACGGGAAAAGGGTAGGTTCAGCGTTCTAATGACGGACCAACGTATCCAAGCAAATACGCAGAAACAACCCAACTAACATTGTTAAACCCTCCTAAGTCGTTTGTGATTGAGACTAAAGCTGTGACGACGACGGGAACCTCGAAGTTGACCATAAACATCATTATTGCCACGCTGCCGATAATGTAAGTTGACCTGAATATTCATGAATGGGTCGGTAATGAAAATGTGACTGACGCGGCGGAGATCAACCAAAATTTAGGACCCTGAATGTACACAATATCGCGGTCGCCATCTTTCGGCTGCTCGATACCCAAATCCAGTTCTTCCTGCTCTACTTCGGACTTGGGTTCAGAAATACCATCAAAGGCGTGGCCGTGAAGGCCTTCATTCGATTCCGGCTCCATCGTGAAGTAATGAGACAAACGTAGCCGGAACTAGGTACCTAGGTAGATAATGAGAATTTCCATCGGAAGTAAAGATTAATAGAGGAAAAGAATGTACCTAAAGAGGGATTACTTGACTTAAGCTGCCATGCAGTAGGTAGGAATGGTGTTGATACATGGCGTATTGTGTTAGGTTTCATCGGCGAGCAACGCCGTTCCGGTAACCAATACACCATTTTTGATAAGCGCCACAGTGCTACTCATTCTGCCCTATGAATCTCCTTCTACAGTCGGGGTCGACCCCGAATGTCATGTTCACATGTCCGGGCCGAAGGAGTGGGTGTGTTACACATAATAAAGAAAATGAATTATATATTAAACGTAGAATTCTTTCAAATTTTTAAAATTGTTACGGTAAGTACTCGCATATGTACCTGCCCTTATGAGAGCGCGTCATTCTTGGGGTAGGGGGTAGGGGTAAGGGTTGTATTTTTCTCAGAGGCGGCGGTGGGGTAGAAAACCTGGGCGATGAGATGAGATCTTAATTTTCGATAAGCCCCTTTAAGACTAAAATGCGTATTTAATATCAAAATATTATCAGCCTTTCAACCACAAATTCTTTTTATTTGGTTTCAAAGTTCTTGTGTGTCAGTTGTCACGCACACAAGTGTCAAGTAAGGGTTGAACTTTAGGTACCGTTATGCATGTTGGATCGAATTGGTGTGCGTGGGGTTTGGTTGACGGGTCTGGGTTCAAGAACGACACGGAACACCCGCTCGACCACTACATTATATGCCGTTAGAAGATCATTCTCATATTAATTGAAAAGCTTATGCAAGGCCCTTTCTGGAAATGGGGGCGATTTTTATTTTATTTGGTTAGAATCCAAATGTTAAGGTTATATGAGTCGAATGGTATTAGGTAAACTGAAAAGTCTGGATTAGGTAATCGGACATCTCTAATTATTACATAAGCCTATTGGGGTTATGTAATCAAAGGCGCAATTACATAAGCAGGTCCTTAGGTAATGATCAAGCTCCAAATGTTAATTCTATGGCTAGAATTTAATAAGAACAAAGGCCAATTAGATACAACCCGCATTCGCAGTGATGATAAAATCCACACCAGATGAAATCACGCACGAAGGATTGTCACTGTTCATGTGGAGGAAGCCCTCTAGATGTTTCCACAAATACCCGACACTCTTTAGAGAAGGCAGGTCATTGATAGTTACAAGGTACAATTAGATGGAAAGAACCTTCTTGCCGTAAACGGCAATCTCAGCTAGTAGCATTGACACCTCCAGGAACTGACGTCGGTGGGAGTTTGTACCCAGTATCTCTCTACATATGCATCTACAACATACCTCCCGAGTCTCTCTACAAGTAGGTACTTTTATCTACTAATATCATACACCCACTTACTTACCCATGCAAGTTGTCGAAGTTTCGTTTCATAGACTAAAGTACCTAAATAGTATTATTTTAGTTCTTAACTACACTACCGGGAGGGGGGGGTATCTGGACATGGTCACAGGGATAGTCACCAGGGGTGTACATAATGTCAACTAGTAATCATTAACTCACAGTCACCAGTCTGATTGGCTGTTGGTGGGATAGTATCACCCCCGAGGGCAATCGTAACCCTTTAGCAAGGATTATATCGAAGGAAATAGCTACCTTGGAGACAGCCTCACCTTCTATTACAACGGTTGTTGATCCAACAGATGTCAGGTTGGTGATCGTCACCAGGTCAGTAATTGTTACGGAACCTATATTTTTAAAAAGAAAAAAGGAAAAAGAAGAAGCTATCGCGATCAATTGAATACTAGGTATTGCCTTAGGGCTTGAAGGTGTATTTTATTACTTTGAAAGTCAGGTTTTTTTTACAGTCAAAGTCACTTGAACTACTTGAACTACTTGAACTACTACTACTATTGATTTACGAGATTTACCATTACACTACGAGACTACGATTATAGTTTGCATGATTACTAATCCCAGTTTCTTCGAACTTTGATATATAACCTATTCAGGGAGATCAAGGATACGTAAGATACGTATCTTGGATGCGTTGATCTGACATTGTGTCAGGTCCTGGCACTGTTGCCAGGCTTTGACACTATTGCCAGGGCTGAAGATAAATTCAGCTCTAAACCATTGCAGCAATCGTATCCACCTTGTAACGCTTTCAATTATATAATAATTGTATCGATATACAATAATATCAATTCAGAAATTATAGCTGTAATACTGTTGATCCTTAGTAAGGCTTATAGAAGGTGGTGATCAGGTCAAAATACTGAAACGTTAGTTGTGACCATGTCCAAATACCCCCCCCTCCCGGTAGTGTAAAGGACTTACGTGAATGAGGCTTAAAACCTCGTATCTAGCTTAGCTTGAAAGGGTCACTTGCTTACCCACTTATACTTACTTACTAGGTACGTAGTAGTCGTAACGCAACACATGCACAGGTAGGGTGGGGGCTAAAATTTGGTACCTTCCGTCCTTTGTAATTGCATCCTATATAAAGTTTATGTTAGCTTCAAGTCTAATATCATGTGCTCTAAGTACTACAGTGCTTGAATACGTGATTGGAGGATGAAAAAGTTTGAGTTGGGGGGATTTCAAAAGAGATCTGCAGTTTTAGATTGATCGCTTTGTCTCCCAATTCTGTCCATTTAAACATTATTCGTTTCCTTCTACCTACCGAGATTTGTAGTCGATTATCCCGCACCAGACCGCATTTTGAGTCACTGGAACTAGGCTATTGGTTCTTAACTGTAGCCTTACGAAGATTATGAGGATAGGTAACATCAACCTCGCTAAGCTAGTCAAAAAGAGGCAGGTACCTATTCATATAAGCTGCCGTGTTAGCTGAGTAGCCATCATCCGGGAGATCAATGGGTTACGCTGCATCGTTTCCTACTTCTAAAGTGGTCGCTCAATGGATGGATATCGCATTCGTAATCCACCATACATATATAAGCCTTCGGTGAGCACAACATGTTCCTTTCTGTCCCGAGGCGGCGCAGATATGTAGTACCCAAGGTTAGTTGGAGGTTTATCGGAAACAATGGCCAAACGAAATCCAGCACCAAGAAACTGCCGAATGAATGTAAGGGCCGCATTATACGACAGTACAGTGCCTCGGAACCCCAGCGGTGTAGGGGATATTATTCGCTAAATTAAACATGGCAACACCCTATCTAAAGTTATTTGATATGGTTTATTAAATCCTCTACACAGAGAACCAGTGATACTATTGCATTACTGTCATAAACAAACTTACACTTTCTATTTTAGAGAATGACGCCTATCATTCTCACAGACAATGTTACATGGGATCCTACCAAGACCATGACCGGACAGCCTTCTGTGGCCGTTAACGGCTTACATGTGGATGAAGATACCGTCGCAAAAGGCCTACCGGATATCCACCGGATGGGGTATTCTAGCATCTCGCCACTTCAATCCGGAGCACTGTTAACAAGCTCCAATACCGAGGGCCCAATACCCGTCGCTATATGCGGCATGTCTATGAGGCTGCCAGGTGGCATTGGCACGGAGCAGCAATTATGGGATTTCCTTCTAAATAAAAGGGATGCACGTAATGTTGTACCAGAGAGCCGCTACAATACCAGTGGCTTTTGTAGTACCGGCACTGGAGGAGGGATAGATGGCAAAGCGTATGATTACAGCCTGCCTAGTACCTACCTAGTCAAGAAGCATGAAACTGACAAGTCGTATTCAAGTAGCGAACTGGGAGATTCGGGCATGACTCATGGGTATATGCTCAATGATGTTGATCTTGCACAATTCGACGCATCCTTCTTCTCTATGACCCGGAGTGAGCTGGAATGGCTTGATCCTCAACAGCGTCTACTTCTTGAACTAACGAGGTATGCATGGTCTTTACTTGTTGCTTTTCCATGTCTACCGGGGCCCACTAACATACCTGCTAAAGAGAGTGTTTGGAAAATGCCGGGGAAATAGGTTGGCGTGGGAAAGATATCGGTTGTTATATTGGGGCTTGGGGCGATGACTGGATGCAACTCCAGTCATTGGATACGCAGGATACCAATGTTTACGGTATCACAGGCCATGCGGATGCCATGCTAAGTAATAGGATATCATACGAATATGACTTCAAAGGGCCTAGGTAAGCTTCTTGGATATAGAATGCACACCGATCTATGCTCCAATACTGATCGGTAACAGTATGACAATAAGAACTGCATGCTCGGCAGCCCTAATAGGGTTACATCTTGCATTCAAGGCTCTGCAAGGTGGCGATATATGCGCAGCGGTAGTGGGCGGCTCAAACTTGATACTGAGCCCTGCAGGTAAGACGCGGCTGTCATACTTACACTCTCATCATTGTTTTCATTGGTGCTAATCGGTTGTAGCAACCGAAATCCTGCTTAAACAAGGGGTTTTGAGCCCCAATGCATCTTGTAGGGCTTTCGACGCTGATGCCGATGGCTATGCGCGTGCCGAAGCTGTTAACAGTACGTTACCCCTAAATGTTACACCTAATAAGACAAGCCACCCCCTTAATCTTTGCGCACTAGCCACTGATAACCCCTGTCCCACTTTTTGAACCCAATATCCCGTCTGGCATCAGTGCACTTCGCTACAACAACTCTACACTTATAGGCTAATGTTGGCGGATGTAGTGGTATATATCAAGAGGCTGGATGATGCTCTCCGTGACGGAAATCCTATTCGCGCTGTTATTCGGTCTACAGCTAGTAACTGTGATGGGAGTACACCAGGACTTACTCATCCTAGTACCGAAAGCCATGAAGCGCTTATCAGGTCATGTTACCGGGTTGGTGGCATCAATGAACCCTCCGAGACAGGATTCGTTGAGTGTCATGGTACTGGAACCCGAATCGGGGACCCAATCGAAACCGCTGCTGTCGCCAACGTATTCGGTCAAAAAGGAGTCTATATTGGCTCAGTCAAGGTAAGTAAGCCAGCGATTGTTGTATGATTTCTTACTGAACTACCTACTTAACACATTTTTATAGCCAAACCTGGGTCATTCCGAGGGTGCTTCAGGAATCACGTCTCTCATGAAGAGCGTCTTGGCATTAGAGAACAACATAATACCGCCAAATATCAAATTCACGAAGCCGAATCCACAGAGTAAGAAACTCCTTTTGCCGCAAAATACGTAAAAGTACTGATCTAGAGCTAGTTCCTTTCAAGCAATGCAATCTGCAAGTGCCTATTGATGAAGTCCCATGGCCCAAGGATCGCCGTGAACGTGTTAGTATTAATTCCTTCGGCATCGGTGGCGCCAACGCGCACGTCATATTGGATTCGGCCAACTCCTTCGGCATTAAACAACGGTCCCTTAAAGACAATGCCAATCAGGGCCCAAAAATTTTGCTTTTTACGGCCAATCATGCAGAATCGGTTCGTAAAGGCATACAGAACCTTACAGAGTTTATTGGAAAACAACCTGAGTTAATCTACGATGCTGCATACACTCTTGCGAATCATCGAGAGCACTTACCCTATCGGGCATTCGCTGTTACTGACGAAACATCGGCTCCTGAGTTTTCCCTCCCTAGTAAACTTTCGGCGCAAATCCCCGAGGTCGCCTTCGTATTTACGGGACAGGGTGCTCAGTGGCATACCATGGGTGCGCGTTTGATATCTGATTACCCCTCCGTGTTATCTGACTTAGAATTGATGGACGAGGCTCTTTCAAGATTGGGACCGGGCCAAGCTCCAACTTGGACGATAAGAGGTATGTTTTATGTCTGCTTGAAAGATATCTACCTTGGGTGTATTCTGATCAAAAGCATCAGAGGAACTGCTTAAGGGCGCAGAGACGAGCCGAGTTCCTATACCAGAATTCGCCCAGCCTCTTTGTACAGCTATTCAACTCGTAGTTGTCAATCTCCTGCGGAAATGGGGTATTCAACCGACTGCCGTAATCGGTCATTCGAGCGGAGAGATCGGTGCGGCGTACGCGTGTGGCGCGTTATCGATGGAGGAGGCCATTGTAAATGCATATCTTCGGGGATACGTAATTGCGCAACAAAAGCGACCCGGAGCCATGGCCGCCGTCGCTCTTTCCAGAGACTCTGTTGTGCAGTACCTAACTGAAGGCATCGGCATTGCTTGTGAAAATAGTCCCGAAAATGTGACGCTCTCCGGCGACGAGGAGAAGATCGAAGCTGTGCTTCAAGCTATCACTGAGGCTAATCCGGGAACTTTTACAAGACGCTTGCGTGTAAGCGCAGCTTATCACTCATGTAAGCCATCCTCACACTCCATATCTTCGCTAGTAAGCGGGTTGATTAATACGCAATTCTAGACCATATGAGTGAAGTAGGCCGACAATATGAAGAGACGATTCGCCCATATTTTTCAAGCAAGAAACCAACGGTGCCCTTCTACTCGACTGTTATTAAAAAGGTGATAGATAAGAAGGGGAACCTCGACGCAGCCTATTGGAGATCGAACCTGGAGAGTGAGGTGGCGTTTTATCCAGCGATGAAAGAGCTTCTATCAAAGGATTCTTCCAGCAAACTGTTACTAGAGATTGGACCTCACTCGGCTTTAGCTGGCCCCATAAGGCAAATTCTCGTTTCACTTCCGGGAGCGGGCTCCTACGTACCAACGCTGATAAGATTCGAGCACGATACGAAAGCCCTACTTTCAGCCGTAGGCCAACTCTTTCTTCACGGTGTCAAGATTGATTTCAAGGCGTTGATGCCTGATGGACAAGTGTTGACCAACCTCCCCGCTTACCCGTGGCATCACGATACCAGATACTGGCACGAAAGTCGAGTGTCGCTCGACTGGCGTAGTTCCGCGTTTCAACACCACGATATTCTAGGGTCCAAGACTTTAGAAAGCAACGCATTGGAACCTTCCTGGCGGAACCTCTTGCGGCTAGACAAGGTCCCTTGGATTCGAGACCATTTAATTGGACCTGATATCGTCTTTCCTGGGTCTGCTTATGTCGCTATGGCGTGTGAAGCTATCAGACAAGTATCTGGGGCTATCGACTGTTCTTTACGGGAAGTTACCATTGACTCGGCCATGGTACTTAGCGAATCCACCACGATGGAAACAATGTTTACCATACATCCTCTTCGAATCACCAACACCCTTGATTCATCGTGGTATGAGTTTACGATCTCATCTTACAACGGGACTAGATGGATAAAACATTGCACGGGTCAAGTTAAACCAGGAACTTCAACCCCACCCGCATCTCGAAAAATAGTCGAGTTGCCAAGAAAGGTTCCAACTAATCTGTGGTATGAGACCATGGATAGAGAAGGGCTATCATATGGTCCGCGTTTTCAGGTCCTCGAAAATGTCTCTGCTCACCCGCTTAAGAATCTAATCGCCGCCAACATTTATGAGCATAAGAACAACACAGACTTAGAGTCAACGTACTATATCCACCCCACTGACCTCGACGCGTGTATTCAGCTGCTCCCCGCGTCAGCAGCCCGAGGTCTATCTCGGCAATTCACGAAGAAATTCGTGCCGACTTACTTGGAAGAGATATACATTAGGCGACAAAGTGGACCACTTACCGTAGAAGCGTCTACTGAGCCTGTTCGTGAGACCATACGTGGCGCCTGCCTTGGTCTTGATGAAAATGGTGTCGCGTTGGAGATGAAAAACGTGGTTATGACTCCGCTTAATGACGGAGACGATATCAACGAGACCAGTGCCCTGAACGGGGTTCGGCTTCAGTGGAAACCTGATATTAACTTGCAGGATATCAATCCTTTAATCGTCTCCAGCAAAGGAATTGGGGAGACGGATACCGCTGCTCTGCAGAAATTCACATTTTTCTGTTGTGTCAGTATCCGCGATTCCTGGAGCGCAAAACTTACCGATGCCCACCCTCGCCATCTGCACAAGTTCTTCGAATGGCTCTCCTTGCATATAGCAAAGACGAAATCCGAAGGATTCGCCTGGACTTCAAACGAAAACGAATTTCTTACACTCCCTTTAGCCGAACGAAGTCTTCTTCTTGAATCTTACAAAACCGACCTTTCTACGCCGGAAACTCGCTCCGTAGGTGATGCTGTTCTACTGATCCATGATGCGATAGAAGGGATCTTAGATGGTACAGTAGATCCGGTCAAATTTATCCAGGACAACACAATTCTCTCCAGTCTGCGCGGTATCCTGCACCACTGGGACTTCACGGTGTTTCTAGGTCTTCTGAGCCACCACACGCCCCATCTTCGCATCTTGGAGATCAATGCAGACGCCGGAGAAACCACCGCCAGAATTCTCGAGGGATTGCGTTCGGAATTTAGAGAAAGGATGTACTACTCCTACACATATACGGACCCCTCGGAAGACCTTTTGAATATCGGGAAATCAAAGTTCAAGCACGTTGAAGGAATCGATTTCCTTCCCCTAGACATAAGTAAGGATCCCGTAGCGCAAGGGCTTAGTCTCAACTCGTTCGACCTGATCATTGCCACACATGCCTTGTGCGCAGCGCGAGATATTGGGAACGTGTTGCAGAATATCAACAAGTTGATGAAGTCTGATGGAAGGTTACTACTCCAAGAATTACTCCCCGGCACTAAATGCAACAACCTTGCCATGGTACGTAATCTGCGTTCATTACCCGTCGCTGAAGTTTTGGCTAACGATTAATCGCACTCTACTTAGGGCCTTCTGCCTTATTATTGGGACCATGAGGCCGGTGGAAATATGAATGGGCCTCAAGGTACTCTCCAGCAGTGGACTGAAAAGCTAACAGAGGTTGGGTTCGTAATGGATGAACCTATCGTTGACGAAACCCCGCTCCAAAGTAGCGCAGTATTGATCGTCCGCTCTCACGTAGACAATTTTCCAGCAGGCTCTGTATCAGTTCTCTCTAGAGAGCCACACAGCCATGCGGCTACCGTCTTATCGGATGCTCTAGCAGAACGTGGTCTTGATGTCAAGATCATTGGACTCGCGGACGAACCTATTGATGGAGTTGGCATAATCTCCGTTTTGGATCTTGAAGGGGGGAGTTACCTAGAGGGGATTTCTAGTGAGGATTACGCAAGACTCCAGCAGTTTATGCTGAAAACGACACCATCTGGATTGCTATGGCTTACAAAACCGTGTCAAATGCGATGCGAGGAGCCGCAGTACGCTGTAATCATGGGATTGGCACGTGTCCTGCGCGGCGAGCTAGGTGTCAATATCGCGACATTTGAACTTGATGATTTCGACTCCGCCAGTACCATGGATGCCATATTTAACGTCTACCAGAAGATCCGGCGAGCAACAGGGGACGGAGAAGTTGACGTTGATAGCGAGTACAGTCTAGTGAAAGGTGTCGTTCACATTCCTCGGTTCCATTGGTTCTCCATTAATGAGGAGCTCTCCTCTGGGATTAATAGCCCGAGTTTCAAACGTCTAGAGATGGGGAAATTGGGTATGTTGAACACTTTACATTGGGTAGACTGTCCGGAAGTACCGTTGGGAGACCATGAAGTGTTGGTAGAAGTGCGGGCAACAGGCATGAACTTCAAGGTACTGCTGGATTCGTATTCGCATCTACTTTTCTGTTCTGTTAACAAGTATCTAGGATTACCTTATCGCCATGGGTATTGTAACCGGTGATGGACTTGGCTGCGACTTCTCCGGCATTGTAAAGGATACTGGGCCACAGGTTTCAACCCTTTGCGTCGGAGACCGCATCATGGCTGTGGCAGGTAGCACGTTCGCTACGAGGACGAAAGTGGCGGCGGATCTTTGCGTCAAAATACCCGACGATCTCAGTTTTGAAGATGCGGCTACTATGCCTCTCGTATATGCTACTGCAATTCACAGTCTTCTCGATCTTGGAAGGCTTGAAAGTGGCCAGGTGAGAAATACATAAACAGTTGTCCCTTATGACACCGACCACTAACAGGTTCTATACATAGACGGTATTGATACATTCAGCCTGCGGTGGAGTGGGACTAGCAGCCATTCAACTTTGCCGTATGTTAGGTGCTAAGATCTTCGCCACTGTCAGTAATGAGGAGAAAATCAAGTATCTCGTGGATGTGTTTGGTATTCCTCGAAATTGTATATTTAATTCGAGAGAATCGTCTGATGGGTTCCTTTCCGGGATAATGAGAGAAACAAGGAATCGCGGTGTTGACCTCGTTCTCAATTCGCTGTCCGGAGAGAAGCTGCATGACTCGGTAAGTGATCTTGTTGTTCCATGAAATAAATCCACTAACGTGTATCTATCCAAGTGGAAATGCGTCGCTGAGTATGGTTCTATGATCGAACTCGGTAAGAGAGATTTTATTGGGCAGGGCCGACTCTCAATGGAGTTGTTCGAAGCCAACCGCTCCTTTCATGGCGTTGAACTATCGAACTTCGCTCGTAATCGGCCGAAAGTGATTGGCAAACTTCTCGAGAGATGTGTGAACTTGTACCGAACTGGTGCAATTCAGCCGATCCGCACGTCTATGCTTTTAGAGGCAGGGAATATTGAAGAGGGCTTTCGCTTCATGCAGAAAGGCCGCCATATCGGTAAGATTATACTACGCATGCCGGATGACCCACAGCAATTGGAGTCGGTGCCTATACGCCACGGTCTATGCTTAAGACACGATGCTTCGTACTTGCTTGTTGGTGGCTTAGGAGGGCTTGGTAGGTCAATTTCAACCTGGATGGTAGAATGTGGAGCTAGAAATTTGATATATTTATCAAGAAGTGGTGGAAAGGGACCAAACGATGCCAACCTGGTTGAAGAACTTAACGCCGCTGGTTGTACAACTCAGATCATCGCTGGCAGCGTGACGAGCTTGGAAGATATTCACCGAGTCATCAGACAGGCACATCTCCCGATTGCAGGGGTGATCAATGCTTCTATGGTCTTAAGAGTGAGTTTTTCAAGGTTACGATGATGCTGAGGATTGGGCTTGTCGCTAACTAGTTGATGACAAAAACAGAGCGGAATGTTTGCCGATATGACACATGATGACTGGGAAGAAGCGATCGCGCCTAAAGTCCAAGGAACCTGGAATCTGCACACAGCTTTCGCGGACACGGACCTGGACTTTTTTGTGCTTTTCAGCTCGATATCTGGGCTGATCGGACCCCGGGGCCAGGCCAACTATGCTGCGGGCAACACATTTCTCGACGCGTTTGTGCAGTACCGTCACAACCAGGGACTACCAGCATCGGTGATTGACATCGGGGCTATGGGCGATGTCGGGATCATTAGCGAAAGCGAAAAGCTTCTAAGACAGTTTCGATTCGCTGCGCTAAAGATACTTCGCGAGAAGGATCTTCTTGACGCCCTCGAGCTAGCTATCAAGAAGAGCCGCTCCACTCTCTCAACGTCCATTGATACTATCGCCAATGGGTATATTTGTGATAGTCAATTGGGTCTGGGTATATCGTCGTCGATGCCACTGGCTTCTAAACAGAATTACACTACTTGGAAACGCGACCCTCGCATGAGCGTGTACCGTAACCTCGAGGAAGCGCCCCAGGTCACCAACGAAGGCGCGAGTGATGAAGACGAGGAGTTGAGAAAGTTTCTGGGTACCATGAGAACAGAGCCGCGGAAGCTTGCAGAAGATGCCTCCGTCGTCATTCTGTCGCAATACATCGGTTTGGTGTTATTCCGACTAACGATCCGTCCCGAAGAAGACTTGGACATCATGGCTTCCACATCTGCGCTAGGAATAGACTCCTTGGTCGGGATTGAGTTGCATAATTGGTGCCGTCAGAGGCTTGGGGTACGCGTTAGTGTTTTGGAGATTAAGGGTGCTGAGACTATCAAGGAGCTTGGACGTTTTGTCGCTGAAGAGCTCATGGTGAAATTGGGGGTTGGTGTGAGGGAAGGGGGGACGTTCTCGATGCTTGAAGCTTCGGAGTAATTTCATGTAGGAATCGCTTGCGCTTGTCTTATGCCTTGAGGTTATTATTATAAAGTAAAGAGTTCTTTTTTTGCTCTTGGAAGAAATGAGATTGGGATTGAATAAGAAATCGTCGCTCAGTTTGTGAAGGAGGGTAGTGGGATGGAGAAAGCAATTTTTAGCACCCCCACCCCGCTTTACGTGACCTAGGCGATAATAACCCCGCAACCCCGCCAAATCTTTCTTTGCACCTAAGACACCCCCGTCTATGGATTTGGAGGCCATCTTTCAGCGGGGTGCGCTATGTTTTATGGTGAACCTAGCGCTAAAGTCCACTGCAAATACTGCGGATTCTAAGGCTTCCAAGGTTATTTCCTAGAAGTTATCTTCACAATATGCACCTATTAACGACGTTTGACTGTTCTTAACTCTCAATGCAAAGAATAATCAGTATGAATGCATACAGGTAGCTATCATTCGTATACTTATACAAGACAGAGACATAAATCAAAATATTCATTAATTTACTGTAACAGGCCCGGTAAATATTCACAGAGAGAGTTAGTTGAAGTTGTGGTGGTATAAGAATCAGGAGCCTACTAGGTGCCTAATTTTTATGGCAGGGATTCGCTGTAGCAGAGCGCTGTGATCAAGGTATGTGGATGGCAACTTAAGCGCTGTATGCGCTATAATCGATAGCGCATTTTATTGGAAAAGCTCAAGTTTCCAAGGATCATCATTCCATCATGAAAGTCTCCATTAATCCCGACGCGACATCCCTTCTAGCATTTCCATCACTTCGGTAACGAGGGCTGTAACTCGATTCTTTTCCCTCGTCTCACCAACTCCCTGGCTGGCTTTGTTGCGACGTGTCTTTCCTCTAATTTTATTCCAGACGCCAAAATTTGCGACTGTCCTGCTGTTGTGAGGAGAATGTTAAAAGTTGTCCCTGCTAGTTTCTGGCGCGCGAACAACACTTTCAAGAGCTGGATACACCACTGGCTTCCATCTCCCAACTCCAGATCGTTCAACCCATCAATCACGCAGTATGTCAACACCGGTGTTTGGTTCAGTAACAGTTCGAGAACCTCTAAGCTCGCCTCCCACGATCCCCTCTCCCCATTTAATGCCCCAAGGAGCTCTTTGCTAATTATCAGCGTATCCTCTGCCCGGCTGAACTTGAGTAGTTGGTTTATAAAACTGTAAACCAACCCCATCAATCCAACCTGTTCGGTGCTCATACCTATACGCAACTCGTCCTGTCGCGGTCTCTTACAAAAGTGCGAGATTAGCGATGCCTTCGCCTGCCATGCTGCAGCAACCACTGCCAGCGCTGATGCGCGCGCGCTAGTTACGCCTGTAGGCTCATAAGGGCTTGATATCCATAATGTGCGGGGCTCCGAACCCTCAGTCATCCAGGCCCGCAATCTTGGCAACACCGTCTCTTCGGCTACCCAGAAACTCCCCGAACCGAAGTTAACTGGTCCTTCCTCGCCGACAATGAATTTCTCTAGAGTAGGAAGATATTCTCGGGCTTCATCCAAAGTTACGGTATCCTCAGTTTGATCAGACTCGCTGGGGACAGATTCTATGGCTAACTGCCTGCGTTCTGTGGACTCAACCAGGTTTGCTTGTCTAAGAGGCCTGCTTCCTCTCCAATTTTCTTCCATCAGTTGAATCATTGGATAGCCGGCCGTTGTCATATCCTCGAACTTTCCGTACAGAACGGCAACCATAGCGTGACTGCAGATCTGGCCTTCTCGATACAGTTCTTCGATTTCTTCATTGAGTTTAGTCTTGGTGCTCTCAAAACTCGACTTGAGGGTCTCGTTGAAAGAGTGAAATGCTCTGGCCAGCTTCGAATCTAGGTACCATTTAATCGTCTTGTAATAGAACTGGAACATGATTGTGTAGATGTCGGCGAGCTTGAGCCTGATCGCCTGAGTTTTGAAAATGAAGTTGTATCTTGAGGCCCTGGCAACCTTCTCTGAGATACGAGTGATGGAATCAGAGAGTAATTCGGAAATTTCGGAGTGATTCTTAGCAGCCTGAGTCACCTAATGAGTTGTCTTCTTGGTTATCATACCCCAACCTGAGAGCATACCTTGACAAGACAAGAAATGCTTGAGCACAAAACTGAGGTATATTCATTCTGCGACGGAAATATCGAGAACACCGACTTGTGATCATCAAGCGTCTTACAAAGTTTCTTAAAGACCTTGTAAACCTGTTGCAATGGATATCATAATTAGAAGAGTCATGTTAGTTATACCGTAGAGTTAATCTTACTGGCCCATTGTTTTCTTTCCACTTTTCCTCTAAGCTATCAACAGATGCCTTCAGTTCACCTATGTCGCTTTCTATTATGCCTTTGAGCATATCCCTCGCCTTTTGCTTGGTTGACCTGTATGGGATTCCCATGCGCTGCAGCATCGACGGCTTTTCTTCTTCGACAAACTTGTCCACCATTTTCTTCAGCGTATCCCTGGCAATATCCGAGGTGATAAAGTCCCTGAATCCGAATGAGCCTCATACGAGCGGTCGCAGTTCGATAACGTAAATCTTACACATTCTCGCTGTTTCCCCCGCTTTCATATATCAATTTCAATCGTAACCGTTCTTTCTCATGTTCCTCTTCATCCATACGAGTCTGTGCTGCCTTAGTTGAGCGCTCCAGTTCGTTGGAACCCGCGAGCTCATCTGTGAATCGCCGGATGATCTGCCGGCCCTCCAGAGCGTCGATTGTTGAATCGTCAAATGGTTGAATATTAGCCATGGTTGAATACACTGCAAGTATGATATATGGGAACAGATGTGGCCGAAATAGTTAATATTTCGGGGATAAGTGTCGAGCACCCACTACAGCGGCGGCTCTGCTTACAGAATTCCAACTTTACGGAGACTCCATTACATGGGGGTTTGGATTGATTTCAACGCACCAATTCATGATAGTAACGTAATGATAATATTTTTAGCTCCATTTATAATCCAATAACGATCGTGATCACGCGCGTCTAATAGTTATTCTTAGGAATAATTGCTGCAGGTGTTTAGCGTCAGTACCTATTGGGATTGGATTCGGCCCCCAACTTAATCCCTGTTTTCAGCCCACGGAAATATACCACTCTGAGGCATAAATTCCTTGCTGACGCATCCCATCTTAAGAGGAGATGAGGCTGTCTCATGAAGAGGGGGTTTAGATTCGCCCATCTTATTCCTCTATAAATCAAATTTAAACTAGAAACTGTTTTCTTCGTACGATAGACTGCAACTCTCTAGAGGATACTTGATCAATTTTGCCATAAAGAAATATTTGCGATGTCGATTGTCACGAATGAGATCGTGGCGACTGAGCCTGAAAATCATGTCATCGATAACCTACCTTCCGAGAAAAAAGATTTGAGTCCAGAGGGCTCCGCGGATAATGAGAAAAGTACGTTATTACCAGTCTAAGAATTAGTTACTACCTACTTGTGTGTCTAACACTCCACAAGCAGTTATTGGTGATGAAACTACTAATAGCGACAATGACGCCCAAGCGACATCTGAGAAAGGAGAAATACTACCCACTCCACGGGAGACGAGTAGCGATGAAAATTATATAACATTTTATCATGACGACAATAAGGAATTCATAATACCATGGACCATATGCAAGACTTGGAAGGTATGCTATAAATTACCTAGGTCCCTACCTCGTAACTTTTCATCCATGCCTATCTACCTACTAATATGTGGTGGGATAGGGGATGAAAGATTTTATCAAGTTATCGTATAGAAACGACGAAGATGCCAAAACAGAAATCGACGAGGACAAGTTCGACCTCTACGTAGATAGGAGTTTTATTTTCCCGCATACTTGGGAAGATTTAGTTCAGCGAGGGTGGGGAGTCTCTATCCGACTTAATTCAAAAGCTCATCTGCACCAAGATGAGGAAACCGATTCCGACAGAGAGGAATCTGAAGATGAAAACGAAAAAGATGAAACTGATGAAAATTTCGAGGGGAAATACGAGGTGAAGACCACGTACACGATCGACTACTATGAAAAACGCTACGGAGACGATGAGCTATTATTCACCACATCTCACGACGATGCTATTGAGTTGAACACCTCGGGACATCGCGGCAAGAAAGTTTCTATACTCGAGGAGAAAACAACGGTGATGTGCAGAAGGCGCTATAATAGGCGTCCAGATTCCGTGTTAAAACGAGCACCGAAGCTTGACGATGGTGATCGTATCGAGAAGAAGCATCTAGTCATTAACTCTCCACTCTTGATAAACGCTCTTCGATCAGTTGTGAAGTACGCATCCGATGGACCATCCGGGGACGAAGTCGATGATCTTAAGGCAGGAAAGTTCTCACATCCATATCGAGATCTATTCTATTACCGGCAAGAGCTCATCGACTTTAAAAATCAAACCACGGGGATCCGATCGAATCATAGCCAACGATACAATGAAGAATGCGATAAACATATCGACTTCCTACTCAAGTTTCTTGAGAACGAACCTACTGTCCAAGTCAAAGCGCTAGAAGCTCGATGGGCAAAGAAAGTGCCAACAACCACGTTTGCGGGACTTTGGCTTTTATTGAAGCCTGGGTCTGATGTTTATGTCCTCCAAGATGGACAATTGAACGCGTATGTGGTTGATTCAATTAGTGGCGGCGTCGAGCACTTCTTTAGGGGACTATGGTCTGTCAGTATTGGAAGTTATACAGTCCGCTTGTGGAATTTGGTTTACAACGGGAAGGTAATAACGCGGAGGTCCAAGGAGGTTGTCATACCGGTATTTGACAATGAGCGGAACATAACATCGTTACCAGTATTCCCGACCAGATTCCAGGATCAGATGGATGGCGGTTTGCGAAGGAAGCAACTCATTGAACGAGGCCAGAAGCTATTTCAGTTTGCTAAAGGGCCTGCGTTCTTGGAATATACCGGCTCTGGATTAAGGCCAGGTTGGAAAAAGGTAAGCCGGGATTAATATTGAAATAGCCATAGTTACCTACTTCGAAGGAACGTTGCTGACTCCGATTAATAGTACAACCGAGCCAGAGTCGTCATTGAACATGAATCTCGACCATGGATTAACGGGGATTTCGACCGAATACTAGATTGGGAATTAGACGAAGATGAATACTCAACCGAAATCAGAGAGAGGGCCAGAACTCCTCACTGCGAGTGTACCGCTTGCAACCGAACGAAACTTGGTCAGGAGACTTACGTATCAGGGACGTTTAGCGATTATGACGACATTGATCCAAAACGTTCGCTGCCACCCACAGAACACCAGTCCCTTATATGCATGTCCCATATGTTTGGTTTTGTTCTCAAGGATCGCATGTATGGTAGGTACTTTCCAACGATCATCGTTCATCGGAGATAGAAGGATTCTAACCTAAGTACAGATCTCATCGATGTCGGCGGCCTAAGTACCCCGAGGATCGCCAAGGACGCAATAGACCAACTAGTGATGCGACCCGCATCAAACAAAGAGACGATCAAGGCGATCGTCCAGACTTATACCGACACTGGTAGTCAAGCCGAGCTTTTCAGCGCAGACTTCATCCATGGTAAGGGTGAGGGTCAGATATTTCTCCTACACGGACCGCCTGGTACCGGGAAAACACTCACGGCTGGTATGTGTACTTATTGATAGATTAGTAGTCCTTGCCAGATACTAAATTCACTACAGAATCCGTCGCTGAGTACACCAAAAGGCCATTGTTAAGTATCACCGCGGCTGACCTGGGTCACGAACCGATTGAATTGGAGAAAAACCTTCTCCGATTTTTCAAAGACGCCAATAACTGGGATGCCATTGTATTGCTTGACGAAGCCGACATATACCTCGAGCGGCGCTCAACTAACGATCTCAGACGGAACAGTATCGTGTCAAGTAAGTTCTATCTAACCCTAAAGCAATGAGAACAGGTCATTGCTCGAATGAACTAACTAGATATGTAGTCTTCCTACGAGCTCTCGACTATTTCCAAGGTATCTTGTTCTTGACCACGAACCGTGTCGGCCATTTTGACGAGGCATTCCTGTCCCGCATTCACGTAGCAATCGGCTACGAAACCCTGGACGATGCTGCGCGGGAACAGATATGGGATAACCTCTTCAAGAAGCTCAAGGATGATCACAAGCACGGCGGCCCCGAGATTCATTACGAATATGAAGCTAAGCAATACGTCAAGAAGGACGACGAGCTCAAATCGTTGGAATGGAATGGTCGCGAGATCCGGAACGGTATGTTTAAACACACCGAATCATGTGTTTCATCAGCTAACTGCTTGGTTTTTATCTAGCTTTCCAATCAGCTGTTGCTCTCGCCATCTACGACTCCAGAGTGGCTAGGGAAAAGGGAGTGTCTGTTGAAGATTCTGTCCCAGAGGTTAAAGAGAGTCATGTGAAGCAAATCGCGAAGATGTCTACAGCGTTCAAGAATTACATGACGTCAACTCATGAAGGAGTTAAGGACTCGGATCTTGCATATAAGATTGGGATTCGGAATGACAAGTTCAATGTGTCTCAGGGGACAGAAATACCGAACTTCCGATAGAGTTACTCACCTAGTTACTATATAGGATAGAGAGGTTATTGGGATATAGATTGAATCGAATTTTGAACGTATCCTTTGCATAATATACAAGATCAAAAATAAGGGGGGTTGCCAAAGAGTAAGTTGAAATATTGTCAAGGGGAGAGCGACCCGTACTCGACCCCACATGAGCCGGGAGACCCATTTATCGGCTCCGCCTAGGCAAGTGCAACACAAGACCGCATGCCTAAATAATTCTTATCGATAGATCAATTACCTCAAGAGGTTAGATTGGAGTATGTAAGCGCCAAGATTTCGAGGCAGATAAGGGAAGCGATCCGCTCTGCACCAGAAAAAAAGCCCACCAGCAAAAAATCAAGCTCAGATTGATCCAATCAGCAATCGTTTTCATTGACCTACTGCAAACTAGGAACCGCTATTGCCCCATTTCTTAGCGCTTGGTGTACCTACGTACCGTTGTGAACGACCGACTTTTCTTACCTGAACTTTTTTTTTTCATCCCAGGGTTCCAACGATCCCCATTCTCCATCATCCCGCTTCGACGAGGCCAACCACCTAAACCCACTCGTTAGAAAAGAATTGTTGGAGTGTGTGATATTTGATCCGTATCAATCGATCGAGTACAATGGAGGATTCTACGCTCAAGGTTGGTTCACCCAACCACTTAATCCGTATCGTGCATCGAGTGTCGCATGCTCTTGAATGTGGGAATATGAATAACCAACACTGCGACAACACAGGAGCGTCTCCTCAATTCACAGAAGTCTTTCGATGGACTTCTGTCATTAATACCAGCCAAGATGTACTACGGGGAGGAGACAAGTGTAAGTCATGCTTTATACCTACAAGCTCTTTAGTCCAGATTCACCCAACTTCACCCAACTTCACTCAGTATATCAGCATACTAATTATTATTATATCGCTACAGGACCAATGGAAACGCAAGAAGCAGACCAAAGCCGAAGCCGCCGCTGCCAGGCGAAATAAGCTAGACCCCGATAGTGACTTAAACCGAAGCGTCAAGGAAGTAATGGATGAGCAAGCCCAAAAGAAACGAAAGCGAGATCAAATGCAAGATGGCGATGAAGATGCTTGGTCTGATATCGATGGAGTCGACGCAGAGAAGCCTGGTGAGGGATTGAAAAAGAAGACATTGAAGGATGTAAAGAAGAAACAGAAGAAATCTGACGATGAGCAACCCGAGTTAAGCGAAAAGGAACGACGGAAGGAAGAGAAGAAAGCTGCGCGAAAGGAGCGAAAGGCAGAGCGACAGCTATTAAGAGAGGAAGAGGCAGCCTTCCAGAGGCAAACAATTAAGGGTGTCAACAAGATCAAGCTCGGACCCAGAGAAACGAGAACTGATCCAACACCGAGCAAAAACACCCAAGATGCCGACATTAGCAGAGAGGTTGACGATGTCGAACCTTCAGATATGAAAGATCTCGATGTCGCCGGCCTTGATGGTCCTAACGAAGAACAAAACTCTACTTCCGCCCCGTCACCTCCATCAGAACCCCAATCCCCTGTCTTTGATACCAACGGCACGCCCGCCGACTCAACCGGCCAAGCTCCTAGCACTACTACATCCATATCCTCCACAGCCCCAACCGAAAAGCCGAAGCATATAAAATTACCCACTGATGACACCAACCTCCGAGCACGCCTTGCCGCAAAGCTACAGGCGCTTCGCGACGCACGAAAAGCCGATGTCGACGGCAAGCCTATACGTACTCGTCAGGAACTCATCGAAGCGCGCCGTCAGAAACAAGCCGAGCGCAAAGCCCATAAGAAGGAGTTGCGACGGCAGGCTAAGGTAGAAGCGGACCAAAAGCGCGAGGAAGCCTTAGCGTCTGCTCGAAACTCACCGGGTAGCATCCTCAGCCCGGCTATTGACCTCGACAATGACAACAACTTCTCCTTCGGTCGTGTTGGTTTCGGCGACGGCTCCCAACTATCCCACGATCTCACTCATGTCCTGAATAGCAACAAAAAGAAGGGACCATCGGATCCAAAGACGGCTCTTCAAAAACTAGAGAATCAGAAGAAGCGATTGCAAGACATGAACGAAGAGAAGCGAAAAGACGTCGAAGATAAAGAGCTTTGGTTAACGGCAAGGCGACGTGCAGAGGGCGAGAAGATCAAGGATGACGAGAAGCTACTTAAGAAGGCCGTCAAGCGCAAGGAGACAGCCAAGAAGAAGAGTGAGAAGGATTGGTCTGCTAGGAAAGAAGGTGTTGCCAAGTCGATGAAGGACCGGCAAAAGAAGAGGGAAGAAAACATCAAGAAACGACGAGACGAAAAGCTCTTGGGCAAGGCTGGCAAAAAGAAGGGGGCTAAGAAAACTAAGGGTCGGGCTGGGTTCGAAGGCTCTTTCATGGGTGGTGGCAAGAAGAAGTGAGCTCCCTCTGCTACTGTCAGGTAGCCTTCATACGCTCCTGGTCGGATGGAGTTGGGTATCTCCCTCGGCGGCCATGCTGCTCGATGCTGTACATACCGCGTGTTTCTCAGGTACCTATTGATAATGGCATCGGCGGATCTGATTGGTTCTGGTTTCTAAAATACGGGATAGCGCTGGGCATCTCATGTACGTAGGTATAACATTGTTATACTGGTTAACAAGTCGAATGCGTGGCAAGTAGCTGGGTATATTTACGATGATAGGACTTGATGTATCATGCCGTGACATGTTTTCACATGTATATCCTCATTTTTATGAAGGAGACGTCTTTATGCCTTTGCTAAACTAAGTGCCTTCCTTTATTAGACATGCTGCCGCCCCTATCCTCAATATTCTCTCCCAGAATCACTAAGCAATCCGTGTCACTCGAAGACTAAGAGGCAATGGAAGCTCTGGTGGGGCTTCCCTACGAACGCACTGATATATCCCCCGCCGGTTCTAAGGATGGAATTGGGGGTTCCATTGTTAGGAGTCGGTTGTGTTAGGGGACCTTTACGTCTTGGCTCTCCATACCCTTTCAGGGTACATTTTCTCTGTCAGTGACCAGCTATTGAACAGCCCAACGTACACCTCGAAGATTAATTCAGTAATCTTTACATAAGTCAAGGTCTCCAAAACTCCAAGTCATTCAATTCAAATATTTAGCAGAATTGAGCAATGGGAAGTTTGCGTTTCCATATGAATTTGCCCAGAAAATCATCATTGCAGTTTCTTATAAGCGCTACCCATTGAAGGATCACCTGGTAAGATATTTTGAGTACACCTAGACGAACCTTTTGGAATTCTCGGCAATGATACATTCAGGTTCCGTGAAAGGGGTATCCTTCAATGAATGAAACGGTTAGTGCAGTAGTTGTGGGTGACTTATCCTAGAACGAAGAGAGAGAACTTGGGTCAAATCCCCCTGGCCCGTCACCATAGAGAATGTAATATATTCAGCTTATCGCCGATCTTCGGGATGCACAATATACCTATAGACGCCGGTTTCTTACAGATTACCACGACGGACCGAATTTGTTTTTCGGACCTGGCTTTGCTTTTGTTACAAGTATAACAACTTATTCCAAACAAATTACTTGATAGCACATATTATTCTCGTATATCACGCATGTCATACACACCTTATATATACCTATAACTTGCTCAGCTAGGGCAGTTGGGTCAGTCAAACAGGCGTTGTGGTTACGATACCTATGATGTGGTGAGGGGATTTCGTGTTCCTGGGAAGAGGCATCGCCGGTTTAGTCATACCAACAAAAAATTTCTAACATTCAGAGGCAGTTCCCGTCACCAGATATCCACGAGTTTCTTTTTGACCTACCAATCGTATGATAGCATCCAACAATTTTCTTCTTGCGCGATCATGCGGCACACTTGCTATTTCCTATTCGACTAGTACTCCGATTTGGAAAGGTTTGTCCCATCCAGCCGGAACGCGAACTCTCTATACTGCCAATCACATCCCTTACCAAGAACTATTGGTTGGCCGCATTGACATAAGTGGTTTTGCTTCCTATTCGTTATTCTCTGTCAGTCTGGTAGGCCTAGGCAACGTCAGGGACCGAGAAGTTGATATATCAAGATAAAGACCGCTCTCCCCTTATAATCTGCCGACAGAGCACGTTTTGCGATCCGGCATATTGAGCTTCGTATCCCGCGGCACGAGATAGCTGCATCCGACTGATATAGATACAGGCGTTGCCCCTGCTGGTGTTACGCATGTGTAATCATGTTAGTCTCCCGTGGGTTTGCGTCCCAGCGCACCGGTTCCGTGTGTCTCACACTAGCTCAAGCTATCAAGGGTCTCAATCTATCCAAACCACAGGTTTTTCGACTCGCTTTAGCTCTATTAGGTTTGGCAAGACGCCCATCAATGACAAGCTCTCCCGGATCCGTAGGGTGCCTTGCGGATTATAATAATATGACCTGTAACTTCGCCATCCCTACCTTGGGACGACGGAAACGCTCCCCCCGGCTTTCCGGATGGCGCTGTTCCTGGCTTCGGAGCTTATTCATCGAGAGATGTCGCGGTTATGGCCCTGTTCGAACGTGACGGCCCTTTAGATACGATTACTACGTTCTGTAGCACTAATCGGGTGCACGAAATCCTATGCAAGGAATCCTTTCCTAGTAGGAACTGTTAGGTGTTCCTGTTCAATCACTTCCAAGGAGGACCCATGACATAATTTGATCGAATTCATTGAAAGGCTTGATCGTCGCCGTATCGGTGCCGTCGTCTCGTCATTAGACTTCTATTCACTTAGGTACCGGAGCACAATCCGCGGAGTCTCGAAGCTGCCAACCTGAGTTTCATTCGAGTACATATGTCTTCCCTTGTTCCCCGCGGGTTCAATCGAGTTGGGTTCCTACGATCGTATACGACTCCTCTCTGATTTTCAGTTTGCCCCTCGCAAAAGCAAGACCAAAGCTCATCTCGATGATGAACTATGAAGGTGAGGCTGCTCGGCCTCCTATAGTAGGGGTTAAAATGGCTATATTCGTCACCTCGATTTTATTCATCTTCATATCGGCGGTAGTTGTATCCCTTCGAGTTTATGTGCGGTGGACCGAAAAGTCGTTTTGGTGGGACGATGGTACTATGTTTGCGGCGCTGGTCAGTATCAATACCCCTTGGAACAGAACAGGACAGTCAGTTGAACCAATCGGTCATCTAACAAGGAACTATCAGATTATATATAATGTCACAATCGGTCTAGGCTGTAGAAGTGTATATCTCGGCCTTGGCACCCATAGGGCTGATTTGACCGAATATCAGGAGAGAGAGGCCAGAAAGTTTCTGGCGATATGGCTTCCCTTTTACGCAGCATGTCTCGTCCTGGTCAAGGGGTCCATTTGCATCACTATGCTACGACTCACCCAAACGATGAAATACACCCGCTGGTGCATCTATCTGCTACTATGGCTGTGCATATGCGCGTTCATAATATCTATCACAGGATCTGCGAGTTCGTGTCGCCCCTTTGCGGCGAACTGGGATCTTAGATTGATCGCCGAAGGGAAAGGGTCATGTTCACCTATCACTGCCGTACTCGGGATTTCTTACACTTCTACAGCCATAACAATTGCTACCGACATAGCGTGTGCGATACTGCCTGGAATTATACTATGGAAGACCCAGCTAAGGCTGAGAGTCAAGCTATCAGTCGGGATACTCCTATCGTTTGGTTCATTGTAAGTTAAAATCTGTGTGCATTCAAACACGACTCCCACCCCTATCTTAACCTTTTTGCCCTCTTAACTCACGATCTCTAGTGCTTCGGTTTGTACAATGGTCCGTGTGCCATACGTCAAGTATTACATGGACGACGACCTAATTTGTAAGTCATAGTCTCGCAACTACAAACTGCCCTTTATTCTAATACAATCTGATAGATTGGCTCGCGAACCTGGTCTTGTGGTCCAACATCGAAACCGCTGTCGGTCTGATCGCTGGTTCAGTCCCGATACTACAAAAATTAATCATGCGTCATTTCAGAAAATACAACCCCTCCCCAACACCCAATTCCGTGGGATTAGTGACATTCGGTAGCGCCCCTATAAAGTCGCGCAATAGAAGAGTTTTCAGTAACCCGACCGACATTGGCTTTAGCGTCACGACGGTGCAGACGAACCATCACCCTCACGATTGGGAACGACTCGAGGATGACTCGAGCTCTGGGCGTATCCGAGCCGATTTCACTTACGAAGTCGAGACATCACAAGCTTCGGAATCTGATCTGGTCGAAAGGGGGGGATAAAGGGGTAATACAATACAACCATAATGAACGGTGACCGGCTCACACGCTGACAGGCACAGTCGAAAAAAAACTACCTACCTACCTAGTAGGTGATAAGATGATATCGACCAACCTATACCACATAGAAATATCTGTCTTCATTGACTCGCAAGACCGTACTTCACGACGGTTTAATGTACGCTACTACCTCACGGCTGAATTTAATTTTACTATATACAAAATTCTCTTTCTTTTTCTCCCCCCAAACCCACCCATCTAAGTAGGTACCTATTATGATGCAGTAATATCCACAGTCCCAATCCTGGTATAATTCGAATACGTCGACGTATCATCCGGGTCGCCCAACCACGCATACTCCACAATCTCCACACCCGTCCCATTCGAAACCAGGCAATACACTCTCCGCGCATGATTCGCAACCATAGTCCCGCGCTCCCTACAATCCGACAGCGCCTCGACCTGGGTGCTCGACGCAGTCCAACTACTGCCCTTGTAATAAGTAAGCTGAACGCCGTTGCTAGCCGCAGGGTCCATAGTGAGGACCTGGAAGCCGAGTTTATCCGTGATATTCGAGCTCGTCTCGTTGAAGCCGGTCGAGAACGCCGCGATGTTCGTCTTTGGCCCGATGTCCCGTCCTAGATACGCCCCTACGTACCGCCCGTCGCCGTTTACGATCTGCGTTAGCGCGCTGGTGGTCGCGCGGTAGAAGATGTTCATGCTGCGGTGGCCGTCGGTTGTCGCTGCTGCTACGTACGCCTGCGCTAGCGAGCTGTTTTCAGATGGGGAGGCTGTGGAGACTTGGATCACGCTGTTGTCGCTGTACCACCCGCTGCTGGCGTTCTGGTAGCTGGCTTCTCTTATTCCGTTCGTGGTTTGCCAGTACAGGTACGTGTACTGGTTGCATAGGTCGCACTGCTTCCCGTATGACACGAGTGAAGACCCGGCCGTGGAGATGTAGCTGTTTCCTGCGGCCGAGTCTACCCAATTTGCGGCTGGTAAGGTAGATTGCGTGGAGACACCCTTAGCGGCGTTATATGTGAGCGCCTTTATTGTCGCAAGGCCGCCGCTATCTGGGAGTTGCCAGTAGACATGGAGATCGCGGGACTAGGTGTAAGTATTAGCGGTTTTGACGTCTTGATTTTTTTTATCACGGCGTTGTTTCTTACGGAATCGCTATATGCGAAGACATCAAGCGACAATGCGGTGCCTTTCCTCACGCTGTCGAAGCCCAGGTTATTTGTCTTGCCGTCCACTATGGGGGAGACCACCCAACTCTTCCGCGACGAATTCCATGCTGACATATATATCGCTTTGTTATTTAATTGGTAGACCACCAGATAATTTTCATTTCCAAGGCCATCCGTAAAGTTCGCGGTCGCTAGGTTGGTATTCGCGTAAAGACTAGTGGCATTGGATGTCGAATCTGCTGAATCATCACTACTGGCTGACTCGGAACTGGTGCTCTTCCTACTCGCTACCACTCCTGCAGTCACACCCACCACGATTGCTATAAGCATCGCCACAGCCCCAAGTAAAGCCCAGAAAAACTTTCGTTGTATGCCACATATTTTAGGTGGTGCTGCTGTTGCTACTGCTCCTGCACCTGCTACCTCTTTCTCCGGTGTTTGGACGGGTTCTGGGAGGGTGTTATCTATATCAGCTTTAGGAGCGCCGCCGGCAACGACTTCGGGGTAGTTTAAATGTTCGGTCGCATTTTGGTTGACCTCCGGTGCCTGCGCGGCGCGTGCCGATTCTTCGAGATTTCGATTTTGCGCCTCCGTGTCCACCTCCAGGGTACTATACTCGTACCTATCCGTCGAGGAATTCATGGTAGCTTAGACGGGACGGGCAGACGCGTCTGTCGCAACCCAATAAGCAGAAAAGAAACATAAGAAAATTGACGATTTGAAGTTGAAGGAGAGACTAGCGAAGACGGCGGAAGGAAAGAGGAGCAGAGAAAGATCCTTGATGAAACCTTTCAGTAGCGAGAGTGGCATGTCAGCCCTGTACGTAAAGCACAGTCTTAATCGTCGTGTATTCTGCGAATTGTAATCCCGGTTGGAATTCCAAATAAGGAAACAATCCTCATGTGGATTATAATTCCGCATTAGCGGCATCTCAGCTGCTGGGCTGTGCCAGGGTGCCTGTATGCCAAGGCCGCTTCGACGCCTTCGCTATGCCGTACTCGATTTAGTGAAATCTGTAATAGGTCGGATGGTCATGGAGGATTCTCATCGGTTACAGACGACTACGTACATAACCATTTCCGATTTAGTCGAGACCTAACTTGGAGGCTCGAAGGCGCTTATGAATGATTAACTAGAACCTATCGTCCGGGACTTATGAATCGGGTTTGAGGCTCTCGCTCTAGTGGAGCAGATATAGATATAAACCAGGCAGCTAATTACAACTATAACGTGCTTGTAAGGGTGGAAAGACGGTCTGTTTGAAAGTGTGCTAATATACGAAACTTGCATAGGGAAGAGTGGTTCCAAGTCCGAGGAAATAAAATCTGGGCAGCCCTCATTTCCGGAGGTCGAATTACCTAGACAGCCTATGTCTCAGCCACGAAATTTATCTCTCTGTGCAACCGGCTGATATAATAGGTACCTAAGTCTGGTCGATTTGACTCTTTTATTACCGCAAGCCAACCTAGGTGGATATAATATTTCCAACAACTGTGCCACAAGCAAACACCGCGCCGCACAATGAAACGACCAATGACATCTAGGTATCATTCCATATTAGGAAATTCTACCTAGGTAGACAACTCATAATTAATTATAACAGGCGGTGATCGTTGCCAGAGGCTGAGAGGCATATACCTACAGAATGTTGATTTTTACAAGTTGAGATTTCTGATTCTCTACCTACGAAACATCGACTTTGATCTCAGTCCCATCACTCGATTCGCTCAAAACCGTAACCTTGATACCCCACCCTGAGACGGTATATTCGCTCGTTCCCGCCAGAGACAATACAGCATCATTTAACTTATCTCCAGCACAGCCGCTCGACCCAGGAGTTGCATCCAATACCCGAACGGGACCTTCTCCTGTAGCCGTAGTGGTGGAAACGGTGTAAAGGAGCACACCCGTCGAACACGATGCCGAATCAAGATCACTCGCCGATCGTAGCTCCGCGACCAACACGTTCGTACCATTGTGCTTGATAACCACAGCTTTCGAACCTCCTGCTTCTTCTAGAGGTGTCAACGTATGAGTTGTCGAGCCCGACTCAGCGACACAGTTAATCTGTTCATCAGATAGCCATCCTAATCGCCACTTATCCCACGCGAAGTAATCGGGACTTGGTCCACTATAGGCAACTTCCATTAATTCTCAACTCATTCAAACCAGTTTATATCAAGTTCAATCCTCACCTAATAAGTCCCATCAAGTCCCAACCACCTATAAACAACCCGGTCGCGCTCCCATTAAAGGGGTAATAATCGGGCAGACACATGGTATGGCCCGTCTCATGATTCAAGACCAGATACTTCCAGGTCTTATACGCATCCAAGCCGAACGTCACCGATTTCTTAGCGACGTATACACCAGCACGTGTCTGGACGTCGCCCATGAAGGTGGGCGAAAAGGAAATGGAGGCCGCGTTAGCAGTCGGCACGACGTACAGCACATCCGTTGGCGGTATGGTCGCGTTATACGCATCTAACGCGTCCTGGATATACTTCTGATGAGTTTCGTAACTCAAGCCCCGCGCCCATCCGTATGACGAGGCGGCGGCGGGCATACGGTAGAACCGGGAGGTATCGGCGGTCACATCCAGGGTCAGCGCGCCGTACGATGACGTTGCATACCATTCCGCGGCGGCAGGCAAGAAGAAATCGTGCAAGCTCTGCGGGGTTTCGATAGCTGGTTCGTCGGCGAAGTCGACGAATATCATGAATGCGTTTAAGGTCCCGGTGCTGGGCGCGCAGTTGAGCTCGTATCCGAACCCCGCGCTGAGATACACATCGTTATTAGCGGCTAGTTTGCACGCGGAGATGTCTGCTCGGGGAGGGTGAGAGGTTGCTGTTGCCGACACCGATATTATCCATTCTGTGGTGGCGCATAATAACAGGTACCATGTAGATACTCGGAACATCAGCTGCAAGTGGCCATCCATTTTAATAAGTTGGGAATTATAACATGGAAATGATTAACGAAGTAAAGGGACACTATAAGTAAGTTAATTGTCTTGATTTTATGATTCATGATGAGAAGGTTGCTTATCTCAGCTTGGGGTCACCTTCCCGAAGTGGAATTCTAGGTAACATTGATTGGAGTATAATTCCCTGGTTCTCTAAATTTCCAATGAATCTTATCGAAAAGTAGGTATTTAGGTATGAACGTCAATATCTTTGAGACGGAGATATTCTCGATTCATCCAGAATAAGAAGCGGTCCAGCCCTACACTGTTTGCTCCTTCAACATTTAACCGGCTGTTATGGGTAATGGATATTAACCGACCAATTCAAAGATCTAATGATGTTTACCTATGATGCGGTACGATTGTTAAACGGGCATCTAAATGAGAAAGATGATTTTTTTCAATGAAGCTTCTTCCGCACCAGAGTGGAAAGGGGGAATTCACAGATTAGTCATCATACAGATTGGTGCACACCTGAAACCAAAGGATTTATGATTATCGCCAAAACTCGGATAATAAACCTAAGTAGAGAATTAGTTATCGATATCCAAAGCTGCGATCACTATCTCAATCGATATTATTTCGGAGATACGGATCATAGTGCTGTCGTTGTGCATCGAAATATGGGTGAGAAAAGCTATCCCCGGGTCGCCCATATAAGTAATTCACACCTGCTATGGTAGGTTGTGGATGCCAGCTGTGTGATGGAGGGGATAGTCTTTCACAGCATTTCTGGCTCCTTTAGCTCCGGATTGATCGTCGGAGATACCCGCAAATCTTTATCAGATAACTAGTCCTCACGCTTACGTATATAATTCCATAGATAGTTCATTTACACTATTTTATTGGTAATTTGGTAGTGCTGCGTATCTTGGAATCTGTTCCTAATAAATAGGTTAATACCCTGTCGGAGGGGTATTCATATCTGATTCATTCGGAAGAACATTAGATATCGAAAGAGTTAATAGGATTTCTAAAATGGCTGTCGATCAAGGACCCCCGGCAGCCCCAGTCACGATTCCGGTAATCGATATTTCCGGGTATATTGCGGGGGACTCGACTCGGACGGCTCAGATCGCCGAAGAATTGAGCGCTGCATGTCGCGCCCCCGGGTTCTTTCAGATTGTCGGACATGATGTTTCTTCTGAACTACGAACGCGCCTGTTCGAGAAAACTGCGCAGTTTTATCGTCTCCCTTCGGCTAAGAAATCTGCATTAGGCCAGGGTTTCTCCGCGAATGGCGCGCGGGGTTACGAAGCTCTCGGGGCCGAGATCATGGAGGGCGATTTCAAAGATCAAAAAGAAGGCTTCATGATGGGTCCTGAACTTCCGCCCGGAAGGTTCTTGCAAGGACCGAATTTGTGGCCCGAGGAAGTTGATTGTCCCGAGTTTCGGTCGACGATGGAAGAATACTTCGCTGCTGCCCGAGGTCTTAGCGTGAAATTGTTTCGCTTGCTAGCGTTAAGCTTGCATCTCGAGGAGCATTATTTTGATGATTTCGTCAACAGTCGAGACTGTTAGCAGCCAATTCCTTTCGCTTGACGCTGTTAATAAATGCTGATATCCCTACTACTCTAGCTATTTCAATGTATCGTATACATAAATATCCACGAACGGATGCTGAAATGGCGAAGAAATCCCGTGGAACGGGTGCCCATACGGATTTTGGTGCTATGACACTACTACTTCAAGATAATAGTGAGAATGCCTCCATGCAACTCCTGTTATGTCACTAAAAACTGTTTAGTTGGGGGCTTGGAGGTCTTCCACCGGCCAACAGACACATGGAATGCTGTGCCCTATGTCCAAGATGCGTATGTTGTCAACATCGGCGACATGATGGAACAGTGGACGAACGGTCGGTATATGTCGACAGTTCATCGTGTCATATCACCAATTTCGGACAGGGACAGGTATAGTGTGGTTTTCTTCAATGAAGGCCTGCTCGACCAAGTCATCGAATGCATTCCAACTTGCATCGAGCCCGGCGAGACCCCTTTACATCCACCTGTGACAGTAGAAGCGCACCTGAGAAGACGATATGGTGATAGTTATGGAGTAAGTAAGGACAAGGGCACAAATTAGAAGCTGCTTGAAGTTAAATTAGTATACAGTGTATAGAGAAGTTAATGATTGGCCTCAAGGTCTGATTTTATACTTTCCTAGCCGATAGGTGCCTGTAATAGAGCATCTAAATGTGCGAACGTGAGTAGAGCTCTTAAGAAATACGTTTAAGACTCCATTTTTAAGATATAGGAATGCGGAAATGTAGGACCTTCCGATTACCCCTATTTATCTAGGCAACGATTCGGTTCCGGAATTCAAACGTCAAGTGAGGACCCTGTAAGGAGCGGGTTCATGATAGACCAGAGTTCATTTTGGTTGACAAATACCTAGTACCTAAATACCTGTAGAGTTTCGGTAATTGAATAAGCACTTATATGGGTAGGTAGGTACCCTGATAGCCCGGTGTTGTTGATGTTGTTAGAGAATGATGTTATTAAAGAATGATGTTCCTCTCAATCTAAGGTTTCACCGAGTACTTGCCTTTGACTGAGTTACGTCAGCAACAAAAGATTATGTAATTAATAATTACATAAGATAAAATCGAATTACATAACACCCGTGACCTGGCATTGAATTACATAACACTGAATTACATAATATGGTGAATAAGTACACCATCAACCACAGACTTAGGAAAACGTTTCTAGGTCACATCTCATGCATTATTGAATTGACGACAAATTAAAAGGTCCAAAAACATCGGGCACTCACGAGTCGGCTGTGATCCCGAGTCCTAATGGTCTTACGTAGTTATATGCGCTACATGCATAAACCCCGCAGAAAATCATAGCCCCGGTTAGCGATTGCTTACAAAAAAGCCCCGATAGAGCGATTCAACCCAAAGATGGAGACTTAAGTGGCGCCATCGCACCTCATGATGTTAGTCATCCCATCATCTAAACCTCACAGAAACAGAAGAAGAGACACGATGGCCGACGAGTCTAAAGTAGCTAGTGAAAATCAAACTGGTGACGGGTACTATGACCTTGGTTCGTACAGACGGCCAGTGACTTCAAGCAGCGCCGAAGCCCGCGAATGGGCTAACCGCGGCCTGATCTGGAGCTACGCCTTCAACCACGATGAGTCTGCCAAATGTTTCGAGCGAGCCATCGCCAGCGACGCAGACTGCGTCTTCGCGTACTGGGGCCTAGCCTACGTTCTCGGGCCAAACTACAACAAACCCTGGGAATTCTTCGACGAAACGGAGTTAGAGAACGTGATGCAGCGCACGCGCACCGCAATCTCGAAAGCAAAAGCAGGCGCATCCAAAGCGTCTCCCGTCGAGAGAGCCCTCGTGGAAGCGCTGAAATACAGGTATCCAGAGGAAACCGCCGCCGCGGACCGTAACTGGTCGATCTGGAACACCAGCTACGCCGACGCCATGAAGAGCGTATACACGCAATTCCCCACCGACCTAGACATCGCCACGCTCTTCGTCGACGCCCTAATGAACCTCACCCCCTGGCAGCTCTGGGACATCCACACCGGGCTCCCCGCCGCCAACGCGCGCACCCTCGAAGCCAAAACGGTCCTCGAGCTCGCGCTGTCCCAACCAGGCGGATCGGAACACCCGGGTCTCCTGCACCTATACATCCACCTAATGGAGATGTCTCCGTCCCCGGAAACCGCGCTCCCAGCCGCAAACACGCTGCGTCTCCTCGTGCCCGACGCAGGCCACCTGAACCACATGCCCACGCACATCGACGTGCTCGTCGGCGACTACAGTTCGGCCGTGGCCTCGAACCAAGCCGCCATCGTCGCGGACGACAAGTTCTTCGCGCGGGAGCGGGGACACGCGGTTTTCTACACGCTGTATCGCATGCACGATCTGCATTTCCGGATCTACGCCGCCATGTTCTCTGGCCAGTCTCGCGCGGCGCTGGGAACGGCGAAGGCCGTTGAGGAGGCGTTGCCGGAGGAGTTGTTGCGTGTGGAGAGCCCGCCGATGGCGGATTGGTTGGAGGGGTTTGTGGGGATGCGGATACATGCGCTGATTCGGTTTGGCATGTGGGATGAGATTTTGGGGTTGAGGGAGCGGGAGGATGGGGGGCTGTATTGTGTGACGAATGCTATGGTTGCGTATGCGAGGGGCATGGCGTATGCCGCGAAGGGGGATGTGGGGAGGGCGGCTGAGCAGCGAGGCTTGTTTGCTGATAAGTTGAAAGGGGTTCCTGAGTCGAGGACGGTGTTTAATAATAAGTGTGTTGATATCTTGGGCGTGGCGGAGGCGATGTTGGATGGGGAGTTGAAATACCGTGAGGGGTCCTACGATGCTGCTTTTGAGCATTTGCGAACTGCGGTTGAGCGCAGCGCTGCTTTGCCATATGATGAGCCTTGGGGATGGATGCAGCCTCCTGCTCATGTGCTAGGAGCACTGCTGGCGGAACAGGGACATTATGATAAGGCGGTTGAAGTATACGCTGATGATCTAGGGGCTAACGGGAGGCTACCGCGAGCTTTACAACATCGAAATAATGTGTGGGCGCTACACGGGTATCATGAGTGTCTGGTGAAGTTGGGACGGATCGAAGAAGCGAAGAAGATAAAACCACAGTTGGACAAGGCGATCGAGGGCGCGGATATACCGATTAAGGCGTCTTGTTATTGTCGGTTGAGTGCGTTCTAGGAGCAAGGGACGAATGCATAAGGTAGAGAGTACTTATATGGGCGTGCTGTATATATGATGCTAGATGAAATGAGTAGGTAGGTATAAGCGTAGCGTGAGTAGGTATCACTTGATCATTCATTCATATATCACTCATATGCACATTAACCTCCCCTCTAGAAGACTCCGTGATGTGTAACGACTGGTATCATTTCTACATGCCTAAAACACCCCTTCCCTCCCCCTATCACTCAGAACCCCTAAACCCCAATAGCCTTAGCAAGTGCCTCCCCAACCCCAACCGAACTCGCCGGATTCTGTCCGGTGATAAACTTCCCCCCATCCTGGACCACCGTAAGCGGCGCCCACGGCTCCGGCGCCTTCTTATACGTCGCACCCGCCTCCGCAATCTTATCCTCGAGGGAAAACGGCATATGCGCACTCATCCCGACCACATCCTCTTCCGCATTACTAAACCCCGTCGCCTCCTTGCCGTGCAACAACTTCTTCCCGCCGGGCAACTCCACATTCACAAACACCGCCGGGCCATGACACACCGCGGCGACCGGTTTCCCCGCCGCCACGAACTCGTTGATCAGCGCGATGCTGTCCTTGTCCGTGGCGAGATCGAACATCGGTCCGTGACCGCCCGGGTATAACAAGCCCGCGAACTCCGCGCTGCGGCCTAGGAAGCTGGAGATTGTGGCGGTTTGCTCCCACAGCGCGGATTGTGTGGACAGGAAGCTGGCGGAGCTGGCGTCCGCTTTGAAGGCTTCGACGGAGCTGGGGTCGAGCGGGGCGAGCCCGCCTTTCGGGGATGCGGTTACGATTTCGACGCCTTTCTTGGAGAGGACTTCGTAGGGGTGGGCGAATTCGGGCTGCGGACGTGGGTTAGTTTGGGGGTTTGCTAAAAGGTGTGATTGTGGAGGTAGGTAGGTATGGTACATTGGGTGCTGGAGCGAAGGGTTATGGAGGGGATGGGCTGAGAGATTGGTTACGTACTAGATACCAGCCAGTGGGCTGCTTGACGCTTTCGATGAAGCCGTATGAGGTTAGGACGACGAGGACTTTTGGCGCCATTGTGGTGTTTTTTTCAGCTGAGGTTTAGATATTGAAGATGTTTTTGGTAGGATGACGTAGTTGAGTTGAGCTTAGTTTAGCTAAGGTTAAGTGGTTATAAGGATTTGGAGTTATGGTATTTTGTCTCAGAAGATTCAATAATATAATTTCTCAAAATCGATGACGTCCAGAGTTTATATACTAAAAACTCCCAATCCTCGATAAAGAATATTTTCATAATAAACACGCTCGTATGACGCTGGCTACCTACCTAAGAAACTCCTAGAATATCAACCTTCCCATCCTAGAAGCTACCCTATCCCCACCAAAGAATAGAAAAAAATAACACTGACGGCATTTACCCCGCCGGCGTTCTGATGTCAATCCAGCTTAGCTCCGCCAACAAATCTTGGTGCTTCAGGGTCTTTTAGCGGATGCACGGCGGCACCATCAAGGCATATCATCTTCGGATCTTACTTCTGCCCCCTATGATTGGCCGCCGGTCTTCTCCAGCGACAAGGAATTGGTCCGAGTCTAAAAACGGCGTCTGCCATGCGGCACTCTAGTACTAGTCTACCAAGTCTAGGGCTCTAGCACCTGGAGTTAAGGAATGCCGCACCATTTCGGGCGCTGACATAAATCGACACAATCCCGAATCGGGCGTAGGCGTTTAGGAATCTACCACGCTATTTCCTTTCGGCGTTTACACTTGCTCTCATCGGGAAGTAAGCTCTCGTATATAAAAATCCAAGAACGGGATCGAATAATTTATCAGCTCAGACGACGTGTATAATACTTACCTAGGTACTAGTATACACATGCTTAATAATTCGAGATGGTTAGTAGCTCTATTTGCCCCAGACGGGTCATACTTAGCAATGTTTTACGATGCCCAGGTAGGAAACCATCTCGTGCACCCGTGATTCTGATTTCCGGAGGCTGGAGATGTCGATGCGATAGCTAAGACGGACTTCACTCCTCCTTTGGATGGTAGCCGGACGATCAATCTACACCGATATTTCAGGCAACTAAAACATTAGGCACCTAGATAAAGCCGAATTGGTTATAGACGACGTTTGATGTCAATAGTGTGTTTATTGGTATGTATGTACTCGAAAGCTGTGTGGCTAACTAAAATGTATGTGCAGTGTGAATCCAAATATGTGCAACTCCTTGGAAGTTTCATCACTTCCTCGTATTCTCAACAACGCTCTTCCACCTTGTCCTCACTAGCCTAAGCAAAAGCCACGCGACAACCCTGTACACGACGATCGCCGCCCCCAGCGCGCCGAGATTGACGTAAGGGTTCACATTAAGCTTATACAGGTCTAGAACCTGTTCGCCAGTCTCGATCTGGCATTGCCCGTTCGGTAACCTCTGCGCGTCATCGCAAGTGAATGTGACGCCCCTCAAGGTGAATTGCGCCAGTGCAGCTGTCGCATACTTGAGCGGGCTGATGTAATTGAACGCCTTAAACAACTCCGGCATGTCGATAGACATGATACCGGCCATGATCTGCGCGACGGAAAGTAGAATAGAGATGATGTTGACGGCGAACCCGGTGTGATTAACCAAAGTATTGAACATAATACCCAGGCTTTCGCCACACGACACGATACCGAAACAGCAGAAGGCGTACACGAAGTACATCTCGGCCGTGCGTGGGAAACCAACCGCAAAGTCAGCCAAAATGCTGAAGAGTAGACAAGCTATTATCTCGAAGGGCACCTCGAGAAGGGTATACGTCGAGAGGAAGGCCTCAACGCTATATACGGCATCGTCATCTTCACGGTAGAACACCTCACGCTCCGCGGGGTAAACGGCGACGTTCTGCAACATGCCGACAAAGTAGAATGCACCAATCTCCTGTACGAAACCGACCCGGTTCTGTACGCTGTAGTAGTCGTTATGCACGGGCGCAAAGAACAGGGCGAGGATGATAGCTAATCCAAGAACTTGCATTATACGCGCTAAAAGGAGGGGTGGTTGTCGCTGGAGGTTGATCATTGCTCGGTGTAGTAGTATTGGAAATGCCGTTATGAAAGATGCGCGTTTGTGAACCATGGCGCCTAACTCGGCTGGTGTTGCTAGAGCGGCCTTGTTGAGTGACCGGCGTGGAAGAGGGTTGGAAAGCCGCCTTTCAAGATCAGCTCCGCTTGCTTCCGCCGAGATGTCTGTAGTCTCGCCAGTTGCTTTTCCACAGCTATAAGGTATTGCCACTTTTTCATTCATTGATTCTGTGCCTGACTCTCCTCTCTCGTTGATATCCGAGAGTCGCGGAATGGCTTGTGTCTTCCCTGATTGAGACTGGTTCATGATTCTAGTCCAAGACTCGATAAGTCGTCGGACCTTCTCCCGGCTTTCAGCTTCTCTTCGAGCCTCCTGAAGATCAATCGTGATGAGATCAAGTGCGAAATCAGCTGGGTTAGTGTGTTGAGGACATTGATATCCAAGACCGCTAAAGTAAGGTAACATATCCTTGGCGGCACCGGCATAAGCAGGTGAGCCACCTCTGGCGAGCAGCAGTACATTTCCGAAGTGGTTAAATATGTCTGATCTGGCTTGGTGTATTGTCAGGATAAGCGTGCGCCCTTCCCTCGCCAGACCCTGCAGCACCTCCAAGATACTGCTTGCAGTAAAAGCATCCAATCCACTTGTCGGTTCGTCGAGTAGTAGGACGCGAGGGTCAGTAAGAATTTGTATGGCGATACTGACTCGCCTCTTTTCTCCTCCGGAAATACCTTTTACCATCTCGTTTCCGATCAAGTTGTCAGCGCAATCTTTGAGACCCATCTTGACTAATACATCTTCGGCTCGTTGATGTTTTTCCGACTTGCTCATCCATGAGGGGAGACGGAGACCAGCTGCAAAGCGAAGGGTCTCTCGAACGGTTAGAGATGGAAGCAGTGCATCATCGTCCTGGCAAACATAAGATACAATTGATCGCACCACTGAGTCCGACGGTACGGCACTATTGAAGGTTAACTTTCCGGACGGCTTATACCTAGTTCCGATCGTGCTATGCAGTCGCATCGCCATCGAATTGAGCAAACTGGTTTTTCCTGATCCAGATGGTCCCATTATCACGTTGAGCATACCGGCTTGGAATGTGGCCGTAACAGGATTGAGGATCGTCTTAGTCGGCAGCTTTTTTCCAGTTGGTGATCTCTTGTCCAACTTAAGGGAAAATTCGTCCAGGCCAACATCTATCGCCCGGACTTCGTAAATTGATCTCGCGTTCATCTTCTCTTTTCCAGCAGAAAGATCCGTGTCCGATGCTCGAGCTCGGGCAATTGACATTTCTACCTTGACAAACGCCAAGCCGACCCAGGATGTAACAAAGAACAAAATGACAAAACCTAACATGGCAATAATCGGTCGTGCAGTCCAATCCCGTGGGAACCCAAGGTTATCCATGATATATTGCCCGGTATATGGTTTACAGGCCGGATCTGACTCGCCACCTGGCAAGGGGCAATCGTAGAAGCTACCTTCGAATTCATTGCCGCAGAGAGCCCCAAAAGCATAATACTGTACAAAAATTAGCACATTTATCAGAAAGATAAAAATTCAACTTACGGTATAAGTGATGTACTTCGTCCACCTCACATACACAGGAATCGTATTGCTCTGTATGAAGTATCCACAGGCCATACTCTGTAATGTGTATGCGAGGTTGGCAATTAGACTTGCTCCAGGGAAGTGCCTAACAGCCGCGACCGAAGAAACCGCCAGTGCAACGGCAATATAATGGTTAAGAAGAAGTATCGAGAAAAACGTGAAGAACTTGGACACGTCGCGATCGAAGCCCACCATAAAGTAGTAGATAACGCTGAACAAAAATGGGACAGGTATGTCTTCGGTGAAGAGACGCGCAAGTCGACGGGATATTATGAAAGGGAGTGCAGTTACACAGCCTTCGCTATTTTCGCGATCGAAAGTTGGGATGTCCATCGTCAAGCGGTAAATCTCGAATGTCAGGAACAAGTAACCTTGTAGGCCTACCGAGATGTACAATGCAGCTTGTCTGGATCGAATGCCAGACTGGTCTCTGGCAAGGTTGTAGAATACATATCCCGTGATGATAGCCATGAAAATAGCTTCCAATATAGAACCTGCCATTCCCAGCGGGTCCCTGTAAGTGACTTTGAGCGTCCTGTCTGTTAGCACCCGCACCTGACGAAAAAAGCCTGCATGTTGTTCCATTTTCGGTCGCCTAGGTTTATTCTTCATCTCCGAAACTTGTTCGGATGTAAGCAATGGGAAAACTCGATTTGACTCTTCGTTCCATGCTGTCTTTAGACGCTCAACTCTAGCGGTACTTTCTTCTTCGAGCTCCGGACTGCGATTATCGATCGCGGCATGATCAATCAAGAATTCGGCCGGGTTAACGAATGCAGGTAGTTCAAATCCGAGCCCCGAAAACCACGGGATACACTCTTTCATCGGTCCGGAATACACAGGGCTCCCCCTAGACAAAATCACAAGGTTATCGAACAGGTCCCAGATTTCGGATCGCGGCTGGTGAATAGTCGTGATAATCGTACGACCTTTGCTTGCTAAAGTCTTGAGAGTCCTAACAAGCTGGTAAGCGCTTGTTGCATCCAATCCAGTTGTTGGTTCGTCAAGGAAGAGGATTGATGGGTTCGCCAAGAGTTGTACACCGATACTCGTCCTTCGCTTCTCTCCGCCACTACATCCACGATGCTGACTATTTCCGATTCTAGTATTTGCACAGTCCTTCAACCCCAATTCAAGGATAACTTCCTCCACAATACGCATCCTCTCCTTTTCTGTTGTCGAAGATGGTAATCTCAAATTTGCCGAGTATCTCAACGTCTCTCGTACAGTAAGGGTTGGGAGCAAGATATCTTGTTGCATTACATATGCATGTCTGATGGAGTGCACGCCCTCTTGTCCGTTGAATGTGGCAGTTCCAGTTCGAGAAAGTCGAGAGCTAAACATGCGTTCTGCGATTGTGTTCAATAAGGTCGTTTTTCCAGAGCCACTACCACCAAGAATAGCCGTAAGAGTTCCCGGTTTTAGAGATGCATTCACGGAACTAAGAAGGGTCTTGGTGGTTGGACCGTCACGACCTTTCCCGCTAAACAAATCGGGATATGTTGCAGGATCCCAGATTGAAGGTGACGTATCGACGGTAACTGATAGATCTCGAATTTGAACATCGACAGCTTCAACATCGTCCAGTGATAAGTGGTTGGCGGCCGACAACGATAATCGCTGTGCTAGTTCTGGTCGAGGGAGATCCATGGATGTAGAAACGGAACTTGGAGGTGCATTCTTCTCGATATCGATAATAACAGATTTCTCACCGGGCTGCCCTTCGCGGCTCGGGGTCGCCGTATCTGAAGCTGGAGATGCCATTTCAGCTATGAAATGTAGCAGTGTTGAGAGAAATTAGTATCTAGAAAGTGTGGTGAGGCGATATAAAAGGCCTTTAGGGCGCTGAGGCTCGTGTTGAACTCCAGCAGCTAAGTCATTCCCGATGCAAGACTAATACAATTTCCTCGATAACGACGCATCGGTACGTGGTCCTTGCGAAATGCTAGTGGAAAGGTAAATTTGAAGAAAAAGAAAAGATGTTTCGTATAAAATCTAGTGCCAAGTAGGTACTAGGTAGGTTGGTATGAAAAACAAAAAGAAAAAATATCTTGAAAGATCAAAAACTCATATGTGCCCCATTTGCCGCAGAAGAGGTGCTGGATGTGGTGTAATGTAAGATGCAACATCAGTCTGACCAGGATGAATCCCACGCGAGCCAGCAAACCACTTGAGCTGGGATCCTGGGCGCGATCCTTAATTGCGGGCATGGGCTGCTGCAGACCTGCAACCGATTGCCACCGGGGACTACGTAGTAAGTTTACGTTTACCGAGGGCGTTTCGTTCCCGGCGAGCTCTGGGGATCACGATTCGACCCGATGCTTCATGTAGCATTGCCGGTATGCTCCCTCTCAAGCGGTCTGCTTCTGTCCAGCTCAGTGAGTAAGAAGAGGTATCCTCGACACCAAAATATACCTTCAAGACAAAGATAATTACCTGTCAGTAATAGTCTCCTTTGTTAAGTTTCTGCCTTTGAGAAAATGCCACAGTATTACCTGTCACCTGTCTAACAGGAAGTCTGTGCTAAAAATACGATCATACGCAGCTGCGTACGTAGAAAGTACCGCACGCTGTAAGAGCCTTCGAGGCCCTAAGCGAAGTTGGTTTTGGTGGGACGGATGCTAACCGACAAGATTGTCTTTCCCTGTTAGGATTTGTAGGGACTTGGGGAAACCAAACCAAGCTGTTTATGGTTGCATCGCAGGATACTACCTACTAATTCAGTTCAGCCCAATCCGAGCGCCTGGTTGGGCTGTGTCCACCAGATAGTCTTGCATAATGTGTAGGTTCTAGATACACTTGACAGCGATCCAGTCCCGCCTATTAAGCCCTTACATACCTACATATCAAATATATTAAGCGAGGCTAGATTCGGTAAGCAGAGCAGTCCAACGATTCTTACGTACATATGATCGATATTCACGACCCGTGGAAGTTTTTGTAATTCAGGAACGAGAATGGTGATAAGTCTTCTGGGTATACGGCTTAGTCGTAAGCAGTAAATATACGATGAAGACATCATGGTAAGATTGGTGTCTCTATACGACACGCGGACAGAAGCAAGACTAAGACACTAGCACTAGGTAATTAATTGATTTGAAGTTCGAATGTGGTAAAGTGGTTGGTATGGTCATCCGGGAAGGAAAAGCTCCGCCTCGCTTGCACAGCCGAGATGTCATTTTTCGATCTAAACCTAGAACTAGAGGAGTTTGCGAATCTAGGGATGTTCCACAGGCCGAACTCCGCAAGCCACAAAGCTGGGGATTTGCGTTGCTTGCATTTCGTGCATCGCTAGCTAACCGCTGGCGAGCTGAGGACGTGCCACCCGTGCGCATGGTGCTTCGTTAAGAGTCAAGACTCAAAATTCCCATGTGAAAAGGGATGAGAATCAAACGCACGGATCTAACGTTTAAGGAATATCTTACTGCTTGGCTGCTCATCAGGAATAGACGACCTGAGTATTTAGCTGACATGAATTTGTCAAGATGGTAAATACTTATGTGAGAAAGGATGGAGGATTAGGAATATGAAATGAAATGGAATATTGAATGTTCTTGGTTCTGAGTGAGGAGTGAGGCACAAATCCCTAATAAGAGACCAACGAACCGATTGACATGTTGGCTCAGAGTTTGTATTATGAGAGAGATTCTGCAAAATGGTTGTTCTGGACAAGTTTTCTTTTTCCATAAAATTACTGAAGATGGGTTAAGGCGATTAAAGCGGATCTCCGGTGGATAAGGTGGGGTAACCACGAGATACCTGCCGAAAAATGATAACTTCCCGATAGCGACCCGATATAGGCATCGGTTATGTTTATGTGAATAAGATCTTAATAAGTGGAGAATTTGGGATTGTGAAACATTCGTCATTTCTCATAAACGAGATCGTTGATGTTCTTGCCGAAGTAAACAAACACGAGAGTCGTGCCTCGCTTAATCAGATGGAAAATACAAAGTACTTACTAGGTACTATTATCAATCTTTTATTTTAAATCCTTGATGACCCCGGAAAAGATGAGGTTCATTAACCGAAGCCGGATACTCGCTTCAAGTTTCAGTCAACTCTACTACTTTATTTGAAACTTTAAGAGGTCCAACCTCTATATGAACTCATCCAACGGCATCAAGTAAACCCACTATGGTATACAATAGATGAAGCATTCATGGATAACTATCACTTTTCTACCAACATCGCCATATCTGATAAGTTAATAGAAACCAAAAAAATAAACCCATTTTTGTCACGGAGCTTCAACTTCAGCTTCAACCATTCTATAGCAATACATGGTAACTACAAGCATCACAAACATGAATCCATGGAAACCTCTTAGCATCCATGCAACCACCCGAATGAAAGAGACGCAGCACATCTCAACCCCAAATCATTGGATACCTATCCATGGAGATGCTTTACATAACACCTATTGGAGAAAGACTCGCAGCCGTAGACCTACATACTCCATCTGACATGTACAAGCAAAGCACGTCAATTCGCGTGCTGCAAGGAATACACAAAACCCCTCTCTCCCATCTCCATCTCCATCTCACAGCACCAATACCAAAACATACTTACCTAGGTAGATAATCTAAAGTCTTCAATTCTCGTTCTACGTAAAATGTAATAACACGCAGACTCCCAAACCAAACCATCCAAAATCCAAATCTCTAGCCCGCAAACTCCATCTAAAACACACTCGCAGGCCATGCAATAGTACCTAATAAATAAATACCGTACGTGCGTTCGCTCGTCAAGTCATCGCGATATTCTGTTGCTCATCGTTAATCGTCCAACCTCTCCATCTCTATCTCCATCCTGTAACCCCTCACGCACCCCGCGCAGCACCAGTCTTGGCAGGGGGCACAACTCAATTCACCAACAATTCACTCTTAAGCAATCCTCTTCTCAGTAATAGCCTCACCAACAGGTTTCCCACCAACAAACCCGCCATTCACACCACCGTACTCGAAAACCTTAGAGCCACGAACCCAGGTTTCCCGAACACGGCCGGCGAACTTGTGGCCCTCCCACGGCGAGCACCGGTTCTTCCAGTGCATGCCTCCGGAGCTGAGCACCCACTCCTCTGCGTCGTCGAAAACGGCGATATCCGCGTCCATGCCGACTTTGAGCGCACCCTTACGGTGCGATAGTCCGACCTGTTTCGCCGTCGCAACGGAGCATAGACGCACGATATCGAGGATGCTGGGGGTCGACTTGCTACCTGCTTGAGCGCGCTTGAGGGCAGCGGTGTATAAAATGGGAAGACCGAGGCCGACGGACGAGATGCCGCCCCATGCAGCAAAGAAGTCGCCCACTTCTTTCGCAATCTGAGTCCCTTCCTGCTTTTCTTCAGTGAGAGCTAGATCTGCTGTCATGTCGACACCCGAGTCGGAGTGATGCATATGCGGCGCTTCGATAGTCTGGAGTTGAGACGGAAGGAGTTTGAGCTCGGGTGTGCAGGGCGAGTGGTCGGAGACAATAGTCTTGATGCATGAGTCCGACGCCGTTAGTTCCTCCCAGAGTCCATCCTGGTTGCGCTGCTCACGGATCGGTGGACAGCATTTGTATCTGCAGTCGCCATTCTCAACTCCCTCAGCTGCTAATCCTAAGTAGTGGAAGCATGTTTCGGCAGTGATATCTACTCCGGACTTGCGAGCGGCCTTCAGGATCGGAATTGCCTGCGTCGCGGATAGGTGCACGATGTGTAGATGTAGGTTTGGGGCGAGGTGCGCAAGCGAGATAATTTCGTCAATTGCGTACGTTTCGAAGGACGGGGGTCGCGATTCGAGGAACGTTTGGTACGACTTTAAATCGCCGTGTGGTGCTAGGGGAGGACCGGATGCTTGCACTGCATCACCAACGGAATCGGCAATCGGCGGGATCATTTCGGCGTGGAACATAAGCGTCGTCGGCGTGCCATTGAGTGTTTTCATCGCAAGTGCAATGTCGTTGGACGAAATGGCCGGGAATTCATCCACCTATCATATTCGATCAGCAACTAATACCAATGCGATTTACTTGCCGTAAGCGCAGACTTACACCCGACTCGATTAAGAAACCCTTAAAGCCGCGAACTCCCGCTTCTACCAGTGGAAGCAGCTCGTCTGCGTTTCCGGGGATAACGCCTCCATAAAAGCCTACATCAACCCAGCACTGGCCCTGACTAGCGGCTAATTTTTCTTTGAATCCCGACAATGTTGTGGTCGGTGGGATGGCGTTGAGCGGCATGTCAACAACGGTAGTCACACCACCGGAAGCAGCCGCCCTGGTGCCGGTGTTGAAACCCTCCCATTCCGTCCGGCCGGGTTCGTTGAGATGCACGTGAGCATCTACAAGTCCCGGAATTAAAAGTTTGGTTCCATAATTAATATATTTAGTCGACGGTGGAAATGAAGCCTGAGGCAAGACATCAGGAACAATTGCTACTATCTTGCCTGTGGTAGGCGAGATGGATATCGTCGCCGGGCTAAGAACGAGGCTATCGTCCGGTAAGGTGAGCACGGCCCTTGTCGATACAAGGACGGTCAACGGTCCGGCATTGGATCTAGAGGTGACGGTCATTATGCAAGGCGGACTTTTTTTACTACTCAAAGCCGTGGACAAGGCAATGTGCTAGAAATAGAACTGGTAGACTGCCAGACAAAGATAGAGCGGCAGTGAGAACAAAGGAGGGTCTAGCTTATCGCGGGACCCTTCAAGATGAGTGGGTGGGTGGAATGATAAGACAATCAAGACAAAGAAAGATAAGGAAGGAGAGTATGTATCGCAATTCGATAGCGATATGCGATAGACTTTTGACTTGAATGAAGGTCAAGATAGAGAGATAACCGGAGAGGACGAGGCCTACTGGCGGAGCAAGTGCTATGTGCGATAATACGAATATATGGCAAGAAGACAAGACAAAGAAGGGAAAATAAGAAGAGCGAAGAAGAAATAACAAACGGACAGATGGAGACGATCGAGTAAGCGAAGCCTCAGTCACGCTATTCGTGTGATCTCTCTCTCGGGTTCTACACAGAACTAGGCCCGGGTAAGCAAAGCAGCGATACCGCTACCGCAATAAACAACCGCTACGACCATCGCCCATCACCCATTGACCATCGTCTCAACTTGACTGACTGACTCTTAGTACGGGGCCTTGTGGTTCGTGCAGGTGGTGGGTGGTGGGCGGTGAGTGCTAGAGACGAGAGCCTGTGGGGTGGTGCACTATCTTGAAGTTCCCCAGAAGGAGAAGGGAAAGGAAAGATTCGGGCTCTCCTGCTACAATGTGCGCTTGTCCCTAATTCAGAACGGCACAGCCGGTTAGGGAGATAGGTCGAGAACATCACGGGAATGGAAATAGAGATAAGAAAAAGACGGGAAGTGGTTCAAAGTGGGTGTGAGCGTTGAGAAGTAAGAGGGTAAGTCGAGTAAAGAAGAGAAAAACTGAAAGAAGAAACGACCTGACCTGGACTTTGATTGGACAATGGTTGTTATCGTTGGCCGCTGATTGGCGTAAACTCTTTACCCTAGCAAGAGGCTATGACTTGCATTAGTGTATGCCAGGGGAAGCCAAGCCTAATCTGGTTACTACGTAATAATCGTCCACCGTGCTGATATCGATATCGGACCTCACCGTCTAGCATCGAAAAATGGATTTAATCAGCTGCAATGCAATCTGCAAAATGCGTGACACATAACTTTCACACTTTGTAAGATGCCCCCTTATAAACAATCCCCTCGCATCGAAGTCTTATCAATTAATCAATAGAAAAGCCACGGTAGATCTTCACTCTGAAAGTCGACTTATCATCGAATCTGTCGGCATTGACGACTGTGTTACGTCGGCGGCCCCAACAGAATGGACAGTGTGGATCTGGACTAAGATTAAAGATTAACCATAAGTTTTCCAATCGAATTTTTATCGAGCAATCGTTTCTCGATCAATTCGAGTAAACTTCGAGTCAAGCACACCGAAGTGGTCACACATCACGAATCACAGAATGGCTTCATTTTACCACCCCATCAGGCAATTCATTTCGAATACGATTTAATCCATTTTGAGAACACCCCCGTGGGTTTTCTCATTCTTTGTCGCCTTGGTCGCCGGTTTCTGAATATTCATCAAGTAATATTAGAGTAATAATTTCGGTTGTTTTCGGCCACGACTGGCCTCGAACTTTACAGCGTGTATTCTCGATCAGGGGTTAGGGCGTTGAATCCCCTCTATGGAGTATAGGCGATTACCAACTCATCGCAACTCCACTTTCCCGGTTTCGAAACGCAATAAATTCTTTCGTCGGCAACCATCGCAATGCACCAATTGAGCCCACTATCGTCACTTCCGCGGTCCACGATTAGTATAGATGGATTTTTGGCAGACTCACCACTTGGACGAAATCATTAATTTCCGTCGGTTTTCACAACCCGCACGGCACATGCCACGCCGGGATGTCACTAACAATAAAGTTTTCAAATCCACCACTTGGGAGTCCCTCTAAATAACCTCCGCGGGCTTCCCGTTCGCTTCCCCGTCCTCAAAACAGCGCTGGAACAGACTAACTAATTTCGTGCGGGACCCAAATTATCGGATAACACAGATTCTATCGGCTATGTGTTTTTGACTAGATGTACTTCGTACATTTTATTGTTTAACTTTCGAACAATCATAAGTTTAAATACTTTAGGTGAGTGGTATAGAACTCTATTTTCGAATCGACGAAGGTGTATTCCCCATGATCAATACCCATACTAGTGAAGACTAGCAAAATCTTACGTAAAAGAGATTCCAATCATAATTCCATGAAGTTGTCCTACGAGGAGAAGTAATCGGCCATACACGTAGGATTGGCTTTTCTTGGGAAAAAAAGAAAAGTATCGTTGAAATATTGAGTCTCAAGTCCCTTACACATAACTCGGTGTGCTCACTAACAAGTCAACATAACAACTACTTGACTATGACGAACAAAGCAATCTACAATGGCATAATCAATCTCTTTACAGTCACTTTCATGAATTATGTGTAGGTAGGTAGGTAGTATTAAAAATGTAAATGAATGTTGAGTGTTACTGAAACTAACAACAACAACCAATAACGAAACAAATAGTCCCCTAGCATCATTCTCTTAGCAGTCTAAGTATGCCAAGGTGGCGATATAATCGAAAGAACATAGCACAGCCTCCTCATCCCTGATTCCTCATAAGTATCCGATCATGTTTAACTTCGTTATCACCGACCAACTAGAACACAAATCATTAACCCCTTTTCCCAACATCAACCCGACATAGGTATCTTACGTTGTATTCCTCCACTCCAAAACTACTCTCAAATAGATATTAATCGTATATAAAACCAGGTACCCAAGCATGTATGTGTGTTCGTGTCGTCGAAGAATGACTTCAGGAGAATGATATGATGGGGTATCATGACGCAAGCCATGCCCATAGCAGAGTCTAGTTGGCAATTGACCTGCGTCGATATCATATCGAATAACCCGCGCGAAGTCGCAAGCTGTCTCTCCGTACGGTAAGGAATAGGGGTAACCGTGCTCAAAGCCTGGTTTCTGTTATACTATTAGTCATCCATCCTATCTGACATCCAAGGTATGAGAAGACTTACCTGCAAGTGCTCGCCACATATAGACCGTATCCGGGTATGGATCTTGTGCCGGCTGCTTGGGCTTGGGCTTCGACTTGGGTTTAGCGTCAGAGGTCGAGCTTTCCCCCCCAAGCTTTGACTTGACCTTCTTCGCCGCCTTGTCCATTACGCTTCGGACCGAACTGGTGCTACGTTGGCTTCGCGTGGATCGTGCATCTAAGGATGACTTCTGGTCTGAAGCAAAGGTTAAGTCAGCAATGTATAGTAATATACATGATGGTATTAGTTAGGTAATCATGGCTCCATACCATCATCCCTCTCGGAGGCATCGACTTTCTGAGTCAGAGTATCAACTAGAGTTTTCTCTGAGCCGGTTGATGGTCGTCGTGGAGTCATGGTAGGTACAGACGAGGCGGATTGATGTGACATTGTGATATATACCTAGTAGGTAACTCTAAGGTAGGTTAGGGTAGTAATAGTACTGGCAATTATTAACTTAAAAAGAGAAACTTATTTGATAGACAATCACTATGATATAAGTCGAAGAGCCAGGAGCCAAGATCGGTATTTATAATTGGTGATGTACTTGTAGAAGCTTTAATTGCAATTTGCGACGGGCTATACAAAATCTTCCTAACCACCATAGCTTCTCCGGGGTGAGTAATTGGCCTGACATATGAGTCACTCATAACGCATTCCCTGCTTTATCATTGCATGACCGATGTAGCATAGCCTTGAGGTTTTGCTCTCAGCTCCGTCTGGACTACTTCGGCTTCGGCTTGGAACTCCAGGTCGGGGTGGGGGCCTATCTCTTACGGGTAATAGTTTGCGAGAGTGATAGGCGAATCAGAGTTGCTCTTGTGGATACTTTAAGACATTTTCTTCCTTGTCATTTACTAAGCCGAAGCCGAAGCCGAGCTGGCTTTGTTACTAAACATCGTCACCAACATCTCATTCTACCGCCAACCTCGTCTCAGCTTATATCGGCTTCAATTCATTCTTCGGTTTGCGGCTTCGGAGTTCTTTGATTACAGCCTGGTCACGTCAACGCCCTTCTTACGCAGCTGCCTCTAGTCAATGTTCGAACCTAGCAACCGGCGGTTACTTATGCGCCGTAACGGTCGGCCTCAAGCTTGTGATGTAAATAAGATTAGGCTCCTAGATTCTTTTGAGAAATCATTAACTGGATATATTAGCCTTGTCGTAAGCGAAAGTTAGCTTGTGATCATACACAACCCGTCTGTAACCGATGTAGGAAGAGAAAACAGGACGCGGAATGCGTCTACATCCTATCGGATTCAACAACACCGAGGTCTAATAGTCCGTTGCCACCTCTGTCACCTTGCACACCGCGCTTGGCTACACGGAAACTCCCCCGGCCAATTCAAAATAATCCGGAGGTAGTATCTCGCATACAGGCTCCGGGCCTTACGCAACCCGGCTATCTTGGCCCAACTAGTTATTGTAATATCTATGAGGACACCGAGAACAGCTTGTCACTTCTCCAGAGTTCCGAATCCACCCATCATGAAAACACTGCTCGCAATGCTTTTGTGGGAGGCTCTAGAGATGTTCTATCCACTCGCATCCGCGAGATGTGTCTCACAATCCTCCGCAATATCCCTGATACTAAAAATGGCAAAACACTTCGATTCAAGCTTGGATATGATGGCTGGGTTCGTCTTGTTGCATTACGAGGAGCCAAGGCCTTCTATGATGCTTTCGGGCATATCTTCACTCCAGAAAATCGCACTACAGCCCAACTGGAAGAACTGGCTCGACTTATTTGCAGTAATACTCTAAAGCCACTGTCAGATGATCAATCAGACCCAGATCGATGGGTTGGCCAATTTATAGGGCAAAATACGCGCTGGGAGCTCATAGGAATACTTTCCGTCTTTTGGGAGTTTGTTCCTGCTTCGGATGCTACTACGTTATGGAAAGGAAAACGCTCGGCTGAGTACGACAAGACCTTCCGCATATCTAGGGATTATATACGCTTGTGCTTTGAACTAGGCAAGGAGTTCTGCACTGGAAATGCCTTAATGCTTTATCTTAGCCAGAGGTGTGCCGTTGTGGATTCTATGATCGTCGGCGATGCTAGTGAGTCATCCTTATTTACTTCGAATTGTGTTCATTAATTGGTTACTTAAAGTCCATGCTACTTGGCACGTTTAACCTCATGATCGGGATCATTAATTGGATGTTTCGCAGATTTGCTCGTATGGAGATCCCATGCGGAGGGAGTATCACTCCTTACCTTTCTCGGATACCATGCGATGACACCAAATGACAGACATTCGACGACTATGACAGCCGAGATTAAGAAGTTATTGTTTCATCATATGTTCACCATGGCCATGGCTCTCGTTTCTTTCACCGGACGGCCTCCCCTCATCGCTTCCCGGTATTCATCAACTCCTTTACCCCTTGATCTTAGCGACCAGGTACTGTTTTCTGATCATGATACTTTCATGAAAGCTGTTGGTCGCCTGGACGAAAGAGGATGGAGTACCGACGGAGTGATACACCATACTACCCGGATAAGGGCGCGCGCGATCATAGCACGTCTTCGTGAAGAATTATTCGAAATTGCTCTTGCGAAAGATCAAGTTGCATCTATCGAAACTCTGCTGTAAGTAGATGGACCACCGAATATTCCCATTCGCATCGAATTGGTCTAATGATGGACCCTAGCACTCTTCGAGCTCGTGAATTACAAGCAGTAGCCGACTTTCCTACCTGCATACAATATAATCCTCGTGATGTCGAAGACCCGGATATTTCTATCGAAACATTAACTTCAAGATCATTCGTCCAACTGGAGCATCTACAGAATATGTTTTTCATTGAGCGACTCCTGCTTCGAAACGGTCATGAGGACAAAGGCGATTTATTGAGGGTTAGCTATGACCTAGTTGTTCTGACTCTGCCTTGGTATGTTCATCGCGTCGCACATCGCTTGGTGGTTTCTTTCTCGTGTACTGACTTCTTTCTAGTACGTTGCCGAAACGCTTTATTCCTATAACCCCCTACCTCGTAACTGTTCATGGGATGCTAACATATAACAGACTACTTAGAATTAGATAAGATGGCGCCCTTTAGGAATGATTGTGAATGGATAGTAAGTGAACATATGATCTATGAGTAACTTTCGGTCGCTGATGAACTTGTTTAGGTCATGGCTTATGCTGTTCCTGCTGGCGGAATACTCTGCTTGGAGTTGTTAAAACCCACGTTGCACATTAAACCGCACACTGATCCGCGAATCACCCGTTCTAACATTATCCAGAAACTCACGCTCCTTGTCGCTTTTTTAGAATGGGTATGCCCGTCAGGGTCGGGGCCAAACGGAGACCTCTGCAGCGACGCAAAGTCGGTCATACGACGCGTTCTTGATCAAACATTAAATGCTGCATCAAGCGTGTATGAACCCCCAGTGTTCGAATGGGACTTTTCAACGCAGATTGACTTCAGCTTCAACCTTATGGACACATTTGACTGGAATCGACCGGATTTCCCCTCAAGTCAGCAATCAAACCAATAAACGTTGGCGAGATTTGGTGAGTTTGGTGGCTTTTATTGGCGGAGTTTCTCGGGGGAGACGCTGATCTTTATCTACGAGACGTAGATTCTGGATAGCCATCGTATATTCACCATGGAAGCTATTCATCAAATGACCTTCCAAAGTTAAAGAAGAGATAATTGGACGTATGTCATAATAGTCACTGTTCGCTGCGAAAAAGGTATTCTGAGTTGGAGTGTAAAATATATGAAGAAAGGAGAGTTCCAGGAAAACATTGAATATCAGGGGACATGTAGTGGTAACACCCACTAATTATTTGGGGTTTAATAGCTAAAATGTAACTACCGAGGTACCTCGTACAGCCCTCCCAGTTTATTGGAAACCATCCATTCTGAAATCTACATTTTGGAATGGATCTAACTTAGAAATCACAGGTTATAATCTACTTTTATTCCTTCAACAACAAAAAAAAACCACTTTTAATTATTTCTCTCAATCATGGAAATAACGTCAAGAATATTCTATCTCGCTAGACGTCAGACAACCAACTCGGGCAATTTTAAGGCGAAGGTGGTAGATTCATTGGCGGATTTCAGGGACGCTGAAAGCTGCCGATTGGCGAAACTACGGAAAGCCAAGACGGCACACAGCAGCTCTAGGGCTGCCGTGCGGAATATTCCAGTGGGGGTCTTCGCTATCAATAGCGTCCACTCATTTGCCATCAACCCCTGAACGAACGAATGGGTGTCGCTACCTAAACTTGAATGTCGCGATTCCCCGCGTTATCGAGCCAAAGCTTGAAATGATGTAACGAAGCAACAAGCACAAGAAAGGGGCAAGCCGCATGATGTAAATGAGTTTAATTGTTCATATCTTGCTACTACGTAGTACTACATATGATGGTGCAGTAGCCAACCTTCCTTATTCTACATAGCGTCGTCAACATCTCTCATTGTAGGAAGAAATATGAAGGACTTACAGAGGCGTATGCGGTGTTTGTACAGAGCAACCCCTACCTACAAGACCCTATTTAGGTGCCTACACCATCCGATCTTTGGTTATGATCGGCCCGGCCATGTACCTGCCTGCTAGACATGTAGGTATCCATGGATGCTTATCGACTTGATGGTTTATTTAATCGCGCTGCAGGCCCCTGACATCACAGCACGAGCAGCAGCATGGATACCTACAGCGTACATGGCGTCTCTAGCTTATTTAGAGGCGTTCCTTGCTTCTTTCTGGCAATCATCGTAGGATTGGATACCCCGCGTTCCCGAGATGAAGATGAAAATACGCGCCGCGCAATCGAAAGAAATTACTCGATGTAACGGTGGGAGACTGATATGGCCCTGATATGGTCCTGATATGGACACCTGCTCTGGTCACCGGCGAGGTCCCGCTGCAGCCATCTATACGTGCATAATGCAAGCAACACTGGTGGCGAGCGTGCCCATAGCACACCGTATCGCCAGGAATGGAAGGTTCCTCTTTTATATCGAGCACGCGAGTTGGTCACGACCGCTCCGCAACACTAAGACATTGTCTCTTGCTCTTGCTATTTGGAGACAATCCATCGTATTTTATCTTATCTCACTGGTCGGAATTCTTCTCCTCTGTCTTGCCTGTTTCTCCAGCGACGCCGTCCAGGAATGCACGTGTATTAATTAGCTACCTACTTCATAGAGGGGGCATATAACTCACACTCGTTTGCTCTGCTTCTCTCCCTCTTTCTCCAGCGGGGAGTTTGATTTGGTCGTGATGCATTCGTTCAACTCGCGCTTGGGCTCTGCTGCCCTGGCCATCGCCGCGACAAGTCTCGGGACTGTTGTCGCTGCCGACTTTGATCCGCTTACCTATGTCGATCAACTGATCGGTAGTAGCAATGGAGGAAACGTGTTCCCAGGTGCATCAGTCCCTTACGGCATGGCGAAAGCTGTTGCCGACACCACCAGTGGGAGCAACCAGGGTGGCTTCACTCTTGATGGCACTCCCATCTCTGGGTTTAGCGCGATGCACGACTCGGGGACGGGAGGATCGCCGTCTCTAGGGAATTTCCCGCTCTTCCCATATGCGAGTTGCCCGAATGATGATATCGATCAATGCGAGTATCCCAAGAAAACTCGAGCTCCTAACCATGGGTCATTCACCGACAGCAGTGTCGTAGCGCGCCCGGGGTATTTCGAGGTCACTTTAAATTCTGGTGTTAATGCGGCGATGACGACTACTTCGCATGCCGCACTGTTCCGCTTCACCTTTTCTGGGACGGGCTCTAATGGATCCTATCCTCTAATATTACAGGACCTAACGGATCTCTCGGACTCGCGCCAAGATAATGCTACTGTTTCCATCGATGCTTCAACTGGAAGAATTAAAGGCAGTGGCCGCTTCCAGTCCAGTTTTTCCCAAGGGCAATAGTGAGTCTCATGCAGAACTATTTCGTTCATTCGGATATTCCGGGACTTCAATCCAGAGCCTTCACCCTTAATTAGGAACTTTACAAGGAGTAACTACTAATTACGAATTTCATAGTGTACTTCACTTCTGCACGGATTTCTCAGGTCCCAAGATCCATGACACCGGCATCTTCGTAAATAGTAGGGCTAGTACGGATGTCAAGAATTTGACCATTTCAAGGTCAATCAATGGATATCCTCTTCCTGGAGGGGCCTTCATTCGATTTGAGACTGCAGATCCAGTCCTTGCTCGAGTGGGACTAAGCTTCATAAGTCCCGAGCAAGCATGCTCCAATGCCGAATCCGAGATTCCGGATTACGACTTTGACGGAATCGAAAAGGCTGCTTCCGATGCTTGGAAGGAGAAGCTCAGTCCGATTACCATCTCTCAAGGTGGCGTCGATGATGATTACGTGAAGAATTTCTACTCGGGCATTTACAGGTGGGTGGTTTTATTAATCAGCTTAAATTTGTGCTCAAGCTCAGCACTGAGCTCAGTCAAAAGAATAAAGAGTGCGATACTAACTTAAAATGATAGGACAATGGTGAACCCTCAGAATTATACTGGTGAAAATCCGCTCTTCGACAATGGCGAACCATACTTCGACTCCTTTTACTGGTAAGTAAGCCATAGTCTAAATGGAGAACTAGCTAACTAACAACGTCAAAAGTCTTTGGGACAGTTTCCGAAGCCAGATCCCATTTCTAACCCTAACGGACCCGAGCGCTGTAGCAGAAATGGTACGCTCTCTGATAGATACGTATAAATACGAAGGGTGGCTCCCTGATTGTCGCATGACTTTTAGCAAAGGTTACACGCAGGTATGTACTTTGAGACCTTGAGATGCGATAAAACTAATAGCATGCAGGGTGGTTCGAATGCTGACATAGTCTTGGCGGATGCGTTCTTGAAAGGCATTACGGATGGTATTGATTGGGATGTTGGTTACGAAGCCGTCATAAAAGACGCCGAGGAGGAACCCTTCGACTGGTCGAGTCAGGGACGCGGAGGCTTAGACAGCTGGAAGGCTCTGGGATACATCCCCGTCCAAGACTTTGACCACGTCGGCTTCGGAACGATGACCCGAAGTATCTCACGTACTCTCGAGTACAGTTATAACGATTATGTAATCAGTCTTTTCAGTCAAGCGCGAGGTAACACTGCCGACACCGAGAAATATCTTCGCTCAAGCGACAACTGGAGAAGTCTATACAGATCAGACCAGACTTCACTCTTCACTGGCGGCAAGGATACGGGCTATGTTGGGTTCTTCCAGCCGAAGTACTTGAATGCGTCCTGGGGCTATCAAGATCCTTTATGGTGCAGTAATATCGACAACGCTGGTACTGTCTGTTCTCTTGTAAGTATACAACACGTCTAGCTTTCTCATGATACAATGGTTACTAACATAATTAACAGCAAAACACGGCCCATGAGACATTTGAATCGAGTGTTTGGGAGTACGGGTTCTTCGTACCACACAACCAGGGAGACCTGATCACCCTCTACGGTGGCCCCGACCAGTTTGTCAAGCGACTTGATTTCTTACATGATAACAATATCACATACATCGGGAATGAACCTGCGTTCCTCACAGTATTCCAATACCACTACGCAGGCCGGCCAGCTCTCTCGGCAAAACGCGCACACTTCTATATCCCGCGATACTTCGACACAACCCCCGACGGTCTCCCAGGCAACGACGACAGCGGCGCAATGGGGTCGTTCGTCGCATTTTCGATGATGGGTTTATTCCCTAACCCCGGACAGGACGTTTACCTAATCATCCCCCCATTTTTCGAGAGTGTAAACATCACGAACCCGCAAACTGGAAAAACTGCCACCATTCGCAACATCAACTTCGACCCAACTTACAGCGCCATCTATATCCAGAGCGCAACGCTAAACGGTGAACCATACACGAAGAATTGGGTCGACCATAGCTTTTTCGCCGAAGGCAAGGAACTTGTTCTCACTCTAGGCAGGAACGAGAGCTCATGGGGTACCGCTGTCAAGGACTTACCGCCGAGCGTGGGTGAGTATACGGGATTCAACGAGACGTCTTCCAAGAGGAGGCTGCGGAGTGTTAGATCGAGGTATACGCCAAACTTTGGGGAAGGGCTTGGACTTAATCAGTAAACGCTCGTAATAGGGTAGGCTACTATACCTAGAAGCTAGAACTGTACAAATAATAATGATAATCAATTTATCCACCTTATCAGTCCTGAGATCCTTTAACGAAGGCACCAAAGTGGAATGTGGGTTCATGGAGGATGCATCCGAAACATGTGTGGTGATCTCATCTCGGGGGTTACGGCACCCATACCTACTAGGTACTTATAACTGCATGGAGTCGTACCTACCTAGTGTTCTTAGTGAGGTTATTCCAAGTATCAAAGCGTGCGTATTTATGGTCAACTGAGCATGTAAGATTACGTAATATGACATTACTTATGTTTTATTCTACGTCGTTTAGATCTTTGACATTTTGATACCTACCTACCCTATCTTCATGAGTATTTCGAAGGCAACAATTATATACTGGATTACACCTATGGGAGGAAGAAATTCGCGTGGAGTCTTTCAGTATTGAAGCATGGAATAACGGGACTATTTCGATTAGTAATCCAAATGTTATCACGTAAGCAACTATAAAAAGGGGTTAGACATGATATATAATGTAGGTATATTTTAATTAAAACATCTATAGATTGGGATATTGTATATTTGAATCATCGGCGATTTAACAGAGTGATAACTGCTTTAATAACTACTGTGGTGATCATTTCATGGCTACATCTACCTTGATCGGCGTGTTTGAATACTATCTTAGAGGATAGAATAGCACTTAGTCTTTTGCTATAACTACTAGATACCTACCTCCTAATCTAGAATATGTAAAATTTTATCTTATTTACCTAGTATAAATATACTTATGATCGAGTGAATGCCTAGCTATGAGGGGAACACAGATCCCAATATCTCCAGTTAAAGAAGATTACTGTGTTTTGACCTGCGACGTAGGGTATCCATATACTAACCAAAAACGTCTGGTCATTGAACATCATTGCAAGTTCTCTGAATACCTAGGGACGTTCAATCAGCCTAGAGCCCCTCGTGAAAATGCTTATTGAAACAAAATCATCAATATTTCCCATTTACGAATTATACTCAAGCCTTTAACTGATTGGGGCCTACGGGCTTTTTGCTGCATTTCACCTCATGCAATAGCCCACCATCACCCAGAAACAAATTGTCCAGGTAGGCAAGTTCCGATTAGCTGAAAGCACCATTTTGTGCGTACTGGGTATGGTCCACCCAGTCAAGCGAGTCATTTTAGAGAGGGCTCAATAGACCTAAACCAATTAAAGGGGTAATAGTAATATTAATATGTCACCGCAAGCAATCGATCATGAACAAACGGCCTTCATTGCATCGCAGAACAACCACTAGGACAAGACGTCAGATAATGTTAGATATGCCAACGTATCATGTAATCAGATTGACATAGGTTATCGAGATGCCGAAAGACGCCGAACGCTGCCCGTCCGCCTGAATAGTGACGTTCATTTATGCTTAATAGAACTTTCTTGGCGTCATTCGCCTCAGATAGTGATGACGGCGTTCACTGATAATCCGATGCTAACGATGACTGCAACGACGCCGAATACAACAGCGATAACGGCTACCAGATACTAAGAAGGTAGTCAAGGCTCACCGGTAAACCTCGGCTGTAGGAACGCGAAGCGGCAGGCAACGCGCTCCTTAAAATCCACCGAATATTTGCGGGCTGGCTGGCATGCTGTCAGCGTCGTCATCATCTGCACGCGTTTCCCATCTCGATCTCGTCGCTGGACGATTAACCGGTGGGGGTACAGCGAGCTTATTGCAATGTAGGTATACAGGCGACCCTGTCGGCGGCCTGCTTGACCTTTTTTTCTCTTTTTCTTCCCACCACCGCTGGGATTTACAGCTTTGACACATGCATACCTGGGTACTTATGCATGAACCGCCCGGGGATGCAACGTTGGCATGCCGCGAGGCATCTCCAACGTTAGCACCGGGGCATATCTGGAAGAAAAAAGCGGAAACGATCGCCTTTTCTTTGCGACTTTGTATCCCGCCATGGCGTGAGCTATTAGGGTCTTGCGTCAAGATCGCCGTCCACGGAGTGTGGGTTCCAGACATAAGGCTCTGCAAATGCGTGGGGTGCTGTATACAAAATTTATTTGATATAATATACTAAAAGATACCTTCAATGACATATACCTAAACACCAAAACGACTAAGATGGTATTGCCATGTTAGAAATACATCATGTTGACATCGCAATGTTCCACCCTTTTTTGAATCTTCGATCGCTATTCCGCCCCATACCACATTAAGATCATCTAGAACACAAAGCTGTTTATTTTCCTGAAGCCAAGCCTGCGAGGCATACTCTCGACAACCTATCGCTAGAAGATGTGCCGAAGTAACATATCTACCTACCGGTTGGAAGCTATATTAAATCCCGTCATTGGTATCTAACCTGCAGCAAGGCTCCGTATGGCTCACTAATGGCCTAGCAAAGCTGAGATAGACGTATCGTAAAAGCCCCTCCTCGACTGCCGAATACCGCAGCGTATAGCTACAGCTCCAGCCTCATCACAAGCCAGAATACCTATGCGATTGGGTCACCATAGCCCAATCCGGCGGAACCAACTCACATGATATCCACAAATCAGACGTCCCCTCCCCGCGCCCCCTCTCGTTCACGAAGCATGGTGCGTCCACTGATTCCCATTTGACGGTTCCTATAAATGAGATAAGTCCCTAAGTCCCGAGATTGTCCACTCGGATAAGCAAGGCTACCATTGCACCGAAGCCCAACGGCCGCACCCAATGAAGCTTCGAACCGCTTTCGCACGGTTACACACGGGAGCACCGAGTTTGATGGATCGGAATCTATCAGACGTTTCGAGTTGCACGATCTCGAAAAGAAGCGGACACACGTTTAGTTTTTTTTTTCGCTTTTGCGGCCATAGGTGGTTACCTGAACAAAACGGGGACGGGCGAGGAAGTTACACATATTCGGCTATATTCCCACCGCTAAACCGTCCCATTCGTCACGTCCCCGATACCAATCTCACAGAAGCTAGCGCGAATATTGGAAATCAACGTTCCTGACATTAGAACGACGCCAGTCCCGTTCGACCACGTTGCACAGCAGTCGTTTTCCTTGGTCAGAATAGTCGACTTGCCTTGCACTTTCTGGTATGCTCACACCCCCTTAGACGCGGGCTAGGTAGGAAGCCCGGGTTTGGGCAGTGTTATAAATTAACTAAACCGTCGATGGGCATCAACCAAACTTTTCAGTCATGTGTCTCTATCTTAGTAGTCGTCTACAATCACGATCCCATCAAGCGGTGTAGCTCGGTCGAATAGACATGTGACTAGCCATCCACCTAGGAAAACACTCGCGATGGCATTTCTAAGGCACGGAGAGTTTGTGAGTAAGTCGCGTTGCTGCTGTCATGATCGTATGAATCTAGAAGTGCTTTCCGGAGACTAAAGGTCGCAATATTACATACTGTCAAGATGAAGATTTGGGCACCGAACTTCGCCTAGTCTGGCATCTCGAGCCTTAACAGTTTGAGGGGTAGGAATCGGACCAGCCAAGCTGCAAGTCCTATGATAGCGCCTGTAGTGGAGTTGTCCGGACGGGATATCTAGAGGCCCGTCGAGCTCAGTCGCCGGAGGGCTCGTAAGTTTCGGCGAGTTTTCTGTTACAACTATGTTCGCATGTATGACTCCTAGCTCGCATACTCGTATTGGCAACTCGAACAGCTCGACTGGATGGAGAATACGACTATGGTAGGAGGTTATCTAGGTAGTAGAAAGGTCTGGCTGGCAAGTATTAGTTATGTTCGCCGAGGGAGCATGCCGAACCCCGTTTCGCTAATGTGTCACCGTAGTAATTCGCTGCCAGTCAAGTGGAAGGTCTCCGCGACCTGGAATTCCTGGCGCCGATTCGGAGCTGAAATACTCTCTCGATGGAAATGCTACAGACTTAAGCTGCTGAATCCTAAAACCGTTAGAGTACCAACCTCCAAGCATCAAGATCTGGATGTTGCTAGAAGATGATTCGGGACTGTGAAGCTAATGCCGAGAAGGGTTGAGAGTCCCAATATCATTCCAGATACCAATTGGATAGGGCGGCGGTGCTATCCACTGGAGATTTCTCTAGGAACGTTCTAACCACATATTCATTTTCTCGCATAGATCTCCTCTCAACCTTCTGGGGTCTTCTCGGTAAGGAAAGTGAACGCGTGCGTCGATCAACGAGCCTTAGTAAATTTGCCCCTCAGAAGAAATATGATCGAGTCTTGTAGTTTAATTTTATGAGGAGATGTAGTGATGATCTTTGGAGCTAGTTTTACTGTAAGCTTAGTCTCGACCTTAGCCTTAGCCTCGAGCCGCCGGAGCAAGATTTAACCTAGCGAGATAATCCGGACGGCACAGCTAGTTTATTACTTGCCAGCGCGACAGGTCGACCGGTAGATATCGTGTTCCACGGCATCTTTTTGTTATTCTAGCAGCCGTGATTTACAACGATGATGTGCGGTGATCGACCCGCCGCTATGGAATGTAGGCAGAAGAATCCGACTTCGAACGGCATCCCACATCCTAGATGCCGATCTGATGAGGCGGGAATTCTATTTGTAGTAGTAAGATGGTCGGTTATCTAAGGAGAATTCGGAAAGGTGAATGATCAACAATCGTTCCGTGTATTTCAGGCTTTTTTTGAGCGGCGTGCGTGAGACTACTAGGAAGGAAGCAATCAATCTTGATGCCAAGAGGCCTAGCCAGAGGAGCCATCTGCTTCCTATCCATCCAAAAATCTTGATTCTGTGGATCCGAATGGCATCAAAGTGGTGCTAACCCACCGCGGAGTCTTCGCGGAGTCTTGTTAAGCATTTACCAAGGTCTAACAATGCTAACATACTCACCCCTCACGGCGATGGAGCGTCATGTAGGCCCAACCAAAGGTGAGGTTTAGTTAACCTGTCTTATGGGTAACTAAAGTCGACTTGTGTAAGAAATAGGCGCGGCTTGGCGCTCACCTTATGGATCTCGTGGTCTGCATTACGCATAGTAGAGAGGAGCGTTAACGTAAGAACCGCTAAGAACCGCAAATGGGAGAGGGGCTTTGGGTCGATGTATCTGGAAGTACCGTTTATAGCTTAGGATTAGGCGCTTCGTATGTTAGCCTGTTAGCCTCATAGAGCATCAGGATGGAGTATGGTGTTATTACAGTAGAATTAGTATGGAAACAGGGATTCGCCGGTGACCCTAGCCAATACAGACCTATACGACCGATTGATTAGCGGCTTGCGCAAGATATGCGAATGCAAAATGCACCTCAATGGGTCCTCGCATACAGCGTACAGAAGAAACCGTAGCAACAAACATACCTACTAACATAACCTACTTACCTACCTAGGTACCTACCTAGTACCTAACCTTCCTAACCTAGAGCATACACGCTTAGACATCTCGACTCCTTATAATGGACCCCTATCTTCGAATCTTCACCATCCCACGTTTCGGTTTAGTCCTGGTTTCTGGTTCATACACCTATGGCCAAATAGGCAATGTAAGTGATCTGCGCATATTGTACGATTTATGTAGCCGATGTTACTTTCGCACCTCCTCACCCCTGCCACTTGGGAATTCTGCACCTGTACGCATACGGCCAGAGAAGTTCTCATGTCAGAGTCTGAGGGTGGAGTGTGCGATGTGTTTGCTGTGAGATTAGGTATAGATACCTACCTAGTCTAGGTACTCTTTGTTTGCCTGTTCTATCTGTTGGCTACGTTCGGGTTTCGGTGAGTTTCACATGTAGGTAGGTCAGCTAAGCACTTACCTGCAACGTCTCGCACGCGTTCGGCTATCACAAGTCTTGATCGCCAAGATGTTGTCGAATTATGACTAGATCCAACCCCAGAATCCAAAGACATCTTCTTCGGGGCAGCCCGGAGACGCGCTTTCTGGCAGCTGCATGCGACGTTTGTCTGAGTCGTGCATGGTAAACGATCTAGCCCGAAATTCTCATGCTCTCCGTCTTCCTTCGCTCTAGCCCCCCCTCCTCGTAGATTCTATTTACCTCGTGGATGCATATCTGACTAATGTATTGGGCAATGATGCTACCGCAGCGCGTGAAAATGATGCCACAGTGCAGCGAGGAAGATTAGCGACAATGTACGATGACCTCTTTATAAACCTTGGAATCTATGGTGTTGTGCGACCACAGCTCACTAGCGACGTCTTTGCATAGCACAGCGCTGCATCGCGTGTCTCATCTTATATGAGGCGCGTTGATGCCCATACATGCTCACGATCCTGCGCTCATCAAAGTGTTGAGGATACCACACGACGGACGAGTGTGGGTAACCTGATGTAACCTAGCAATTCAAGCCTCATGAGAGGTTGTTACACAGGCTTTGGAATATTCCTGGTATTCCTGGGATTGATCCAAGTACGGAGAGGAGGCTTCATGGTCCGGCAAGTTTCCGAGACCCAAAAGAGGATTGCCGCAACCAAAGATTTCTGGGGAACCATGAACTATGCAAATCAGTGGTCAAGTGCCCCCAAAACGGCGTCTAACATACCTGGAATAGTTAATGAAGATCGTGGGGGTCAGACGCTGGATACAAGCCCGTTGGTACCTACTCCGCCGTACATGGTGCTCCTTTTCCGCTATTGTGATATCTTGACTAACTAGTTCTGATTCTCGAGGTGGAGAAACGTTCAGACCCCAATCTGCAAATGTGACTATCCCCGTAAACGATGGTACATCAGTCTCCCATGCAAATCCAGATGCCGAAGCATACTATGCGTAGGTAGAGCAGGTTGGGGCAGCCTTCATTCCCCCTATGACGACGTTATGGGACGATTTCTGGATTCCACAATGTCTTAATTAGTGATTGATTAAACCTATTAGAATTATGATTGGCTTACCCTCCCGTCGGCATCAGCTATAAGCACGGTCAGCGAATCACAAACGGATATTACCTGCCAGTAGGATCTACGCTCCGCACACTGTACATAATAGAAACTTACTACGATTGTTGATGAGGGATTTGAGATGCGCTGAGTGATGGTAGCGAATTTGAGAAATATTGACAGCCTAATAGGTATGCCATAAGTATCAGTATGTTGTCGCGACAGAGAACCTTTATGGAATTCGATGAGATGACCCGAAGAATTGTTTCGATTATTAATAAGCCAGCATGGTAACAATGGCCAACATGGCCTAGGTACCTTTTAGCGAGCAATCAATCTGTCATTTTAATATGTATTCGAAAGATTTATCATTTGTAACAAAAGCAAAAATCGATTAACAGATCTGCGATTTGGATCCCGCTTCCCGCTAGGAGCTTTGGACCCCTGAAGAAGAACAAGGATGAGCCTTAAGAGCTGGCGATATAGCTACCACGTTGAAATATTTCCCTGTTAACATACCTGGAAAGGACCAAGCCGCGACGCTGGTGGCAGGAAAAAAGCAAATTTCCGCATTCTCATTGGCTCTTTAGGGAATCTTTAGGGTCACTAATTACCACCAGCACAGCTGCAGCCGCGTAATCCAATAAAGCCCTATTAGAATCATCAGCTTTCGAACCTATCGAGCCCTACCTAGGTATTACGCACGTATCGTTAAATATCCCGTGCGAAGATTCGGGCTTCATATCTATATCAAATTCCCCCAGCCTCGATATTGCGGCTCAATCTTCTTCGTCTCGTGTCCTCTCGCCTCGGGCCGAGTGGCTCCCCGGAATCCATCCGGGAGTTGCTGTGAACACATCCTAACCTGGACATTTCGGGGGTCGGGTCAGATGCGAGTTGCTATCAATAGCCAGTCATAAATGTCATCTGGGGTGACACAACAGCATCCCCAGACTTACCAGACTTATCAGAGGCTGACTGGATGTCGGTTCCAGACGATCGACCCGGGAAGGATTCTCACCTGGGTTGTCATGTTAGCAGTGAGAGGTTCTATGTAGCCGTTCTTGTATCCGTGTCGTACCCTCCTTACTCGGTCGAATAGGGGATGCAGACAATGATGTATGTAGATGCACGTCGCTAAATAAACTCTAGAGTTCGTGAATGCATGACAGTGACAGCGAAGGACAGGATAGGACGCCACAGCAAGGGTCGGGTGCTCCATCCGCGAAGCCCGGTCAAATCAGATTATTCCCATCTTCCCAACCTGTTGTCTCCTTTCCCAATCTTCTCCCCCGATCCCAACTTTTTACAGAACACCATGCTTATTATCCAGAGATGGACACAATCCGTTTCGGAACTCGTTTTCCATCACTAGGTCGCTGGCTTGTCGCAGGGGTTCCAAGCTTTCGACCCTCAATAGCCGCTCTTATTCCCGTTAGCATCGCTTTACTCATCGCCCCCAACGAAATATCGATAGTCGTCGTAAGACTTTGATACTCTTGGGTAGTGAGAAAAGAGGAGAAGTTTGTTTGCTGATAGTCAATTGAACATCGACATCAAGACTAAAAGTCTCAACCTAGCAGTCATCTTCAGCGATCTGACTCAAGCCACATTCGCCAAGTGCCAAATGATTTCTGATTTCTTTTGATTTTTTTGATTTTCTGATTCCCTTAGAAATTGGGTAGTAGGTCAGGACGGCAGAAGAGCTGAATGCGACATTGCAAATAGCAACTATTTCTATGGCTTATGGCTTCTGATATAAATGAATTGATTCTCTTTTAGGTCTTTTAGGTCGTTTAGGTGGTAGCAAGGACGAAAAATCTCCGACCCGAAAGATATTGTATCTTGCGGGACTTGTCCAGGTATGTATAGCACTAAATAGCAGTGCACTAAAAGAGGAGAGAGACCTCTAGGTGAACCGTGAACCGTGAATGAATACTGTCGACTCTCTCTTCTTGGCTTGCATTCCGTCATACAGCATCTGCTATGTATGCGGGTTTAGTGAGATAGGCTTGTTTCGGGGCCGGTCCGTTCAAAGATCAACTAGCTGCTAGCAAGCAGCACCAACTCGGTCTAATGTCCGTCTTTTAGTGTACTATGTAGTCCCCTTCGCCCTTTTTTTTGTGCACAGGTCACCAAGTGATCCCTTACTATGTCGTCGCCCCGCGGTATACAAAATCTACGAGGCTGCGATCGATCCCTCGAGGCGAACGATACAAGCTGGATCTACAATATGTAGTACCACGAACGACTAGACTTACATTAGTACCGAAAGATTCCAACAAACCGCATCTCATGGTAACTCTTTTCCGGATTGAGAGCCTTGCGGGAACGCCTCTCGAGCTACCAAACACATCACTCCAAGTATCACCAAGTACCTTCTGGTCTCGCAGGGTCCCGCTAACGCTGCATGTGCATGCTGGGACCACATAGTGGTGGGAACAGTAGACGGGGGTCTTGCGATGGCCGACAGGGGGTTCGAGAGGCGCCAAGCACAGACCAACCCCATTCCTGTCTGCATTCGCATCGCCATACTCATCGCAGCCATCTTTGTATCTTGTTCTCCCATACCTGGCTTTCCTATGCCCCTCGCTGTATCTTTCTACCTTTATTCACCGTAGTTGTGGAATTCCCTGGGCTTTTGCTGTGTGTCGTCCCGTTAGTACACAACAGGACCCTCCCTCATACGCTCCTCCCACACGTGAAGAACGTGAAGGGATAAAGAAAGAGAGAGAGAGGAAAAGAGAAAAAAGAGAAAAAAAAAGAGAAAGTCTGTCGGTCTGCTGAGTTGGTAGCTCGCGATACTATTTGTCCGTCATATATGTACGACTTCTCATCAACTTCTTACTGCTTTCTACCTACGCTTTCTATGTACAGCATTCCGTATCCTTACCTACCCTCGGCGACCCACAAGCTTCGTCTCTCCCTTCTCTCTTTCTTCTCTCTTCCACCCCAAAAGGAAGTACAAGGACCCGGAATGGGGGTGGAGAAAGCTCTCTGCGTCTTCGGGCCTTCGCCGTCTGCCCATCCAACCCTGCCCCATTAGTCCTACCCCTACTCTACCTACTACGGTACGCTGATGTGCATCTCCCGCCCACGTATCTTCGTTTTCCGCTAGCCGCCCCACGGTATCACATACACGGTCCAAATAAGACCTACACTCCACCTCCGCTGCCCAAGCCCGACCCCTCCATCTGTTTCCTCGCTTCTCTACAAGACGTGCCATCCATCGCTGCAGCTCAATCAGACGGCCGGGTCGTCTTCGATTGCCCGCCCGTTTGCCTTTTGCCGACGTCTGCAGCAAGGCTCTTGTTCGAGAAGACCAATCAACGCTGCCGTGTAGTTGCGACCAGCTTGACACATTTCCCCATACCTTCTGCAGGATTATCCTCAAGGTTGGGCCTATGACCGTATACTACAGGATCTGATCTTCGGTCGAAATTGCCACTCCGGCTCTTTTTTATTTTTATTTTTAAATAATATTCTTTCGTTACAGTCGTCCGTCTGCATATGAAGTACAGGTTTTCGGTGTTCCCTTTGCGAGACGGAAAGCCGTCTTCTGCTTTAAGATTACTCGTGGGAATGATATACCGCCCTCCTACGAGCTATGGACTGCCGCCAGCTGACCCTCGTAACGGACGATGGAGACATGCCGTGGTCAGACAGTCACAGCATGGCCTCTGAAGGAAATTCTTCCGTCGTCATGCCGACGTCGCCGATATGGACGAATCCGGTCCAGGCCAATCGAATGGACACCGGCCAGCTGTCCCCTATCAGCACCGAACTCGAGATGCCCGCCGTGGGTGTATCCGCATCCTCCGTGCCGACCATGATCCATTCCGCCACGTCGTCATGTGCAGAATCCTGGAGCACCAGCTATAGCGACGGTCCCGAGACGGGCGAGGAAGCTGACCATGATGTGTCGTGGGAGAAGAATTCGGACGATGTACTGACGGTTCCCAAGCTTGAGCCGCTCGAAGATGAAGGTTTCCAGATGGACGAGGTTAAGGAAGCTCCACGCACGCCAATACCAGAGCCGAACGCTGCAGCGGCGCCACTAACGAAGATGAAGAGGCCGAGAGGACGCCCCCGAAAACACCCCCTCACTCCCCAGGTATCGACGAATAAGGTAGCCAAGGGACGTTCCAAGACCGGATGTATTACATGCCGGAAGAGGAAAAAGAAATGCGACGAAGCGAAACCGCGCTGTAAGTAAACGTTACACAGAATCCTCCTCCCCCTTTCTCCGTATCTGACCACCTTAGGTCTGAATTGTGAGAAGAATGCTGTTGTATGCGAGGGATATCACGAGAAGACGATCTGGAAGAGCGGGAAGGAGAAGGCCGAAGAAGGTATTAATAACAAGCATTTGGGTGTACGCTCATCCTCTAACATTCGGTGTAGAGCGACAGAAGCGGCACAGTCTGCCACATATTACTCTTCAACCAATATTTCAAGGAGTCGAGACGCCCGAGGACATGATTTTCCTCAACCATTACATCAGCCATCTAAGTGGTGTGCTGACGGTTGAAGGGCAGCACAAGAACGCGTTTAAGGATATGTTACTCCAGATGGCCGTGGAACATCGAGGCCTCATGCATTCTATTTTATCCGTGGCTAGTAGACATATCGACTACGATACACCATATGGCGTCAAGATTCTCGGCTCTAACCCGAAAATCAGCCTAACCTCGCTACTAACTAGGTCACAATTTCATCACAATGCAGCAATGGAAAAGCTATGCGAGCCGGTGGGTAACGAGAACGACCCGAAGAACAAGGCCAACTTATCTCCCCGTTATGGACAGATGCTATGCCTACTATTACAGACTCTCGCAGAAGGAAATCCCAACGGCGAGCACAGGGTTCATCTCCAGGCGTACAAGAACCTCATCCAGCAATCTCCTCCTCCGGACAACGCGTTTCTAATATTCATCACCGAATTTTTCCAGTACCGCGTCTTCGCAGACGAGCTGATCCGGTATCCCGACATGCACACGCCCCGCCTCGCAACCGAGGATTGGGAGCCGTGGCTAGAAATCCATCCCGCGCGTCTGATTGGCGTCGCCGACGGGCTGTTCCACTACCTCGCACAGATCACGTCGATCCGCAACAACATCCGAGCGAACATGGCGGCCGAGGTAGACCCAGTTGTAGATTACACGTCGCTATACCGAGCAGCCGAGATAGATTCCGCGATTCGGGAATGGACTCCACACTGGCCACCAGGCGACAGTCGCGATCGAGTCGGGCTGCTGTACAAGCAGATGATGTGGGTATACCTATTCCGGACGATCTACCCGCCCTCGTCGCCCTCGCCATCCGCATTGTTCACCCAACCAGCGACGACAGCGACGACAGCAGCAGCAGCAGCAGCGGGAACAACAACAGCAAGCGTAGTGCCCCTGTCACCGACATCGCAACCACACTCCGCACGAACTCCGCCCTCGTCGTCCGAGCGTCCCACGAGCAGTCATACGACGACGCCACCACGCGCCGAGTCCCCGCCGCCGATCCGCTACCCGCCGCACCACGACCACCGCATCACGCTCGCCGTCGACGAGTCTCTCGCCATCCTCGACTCCTTCAAGCCCAGCGACCCCGTGCAGACGCTTCTCCTCGTGCCCTGTCTCGTCATCGGATGCGCGTGTTTCGCTCCCGCGCAACGCGAGAGAGTCCGCACCGCCATCCGGACTGTGCGCGGATACACCGGCCTGCGCAACTGCGACCGCATCGCCGAGGTCCTGGAGGAGGTCTGGCGGTTAATGGAGCGAGGCGATTGGACCCGCGTGTGGGACTGGCAGGGCGTCGCCAGGGGTATGGGGCTGGATTTCTCGTGCGCTTGAACGGACCGTGCTGCCCATTCGCCATCCACATACCTACATACCTTGCGATATCCATCCTCCTTCGTGCATACATATACATACATATACGGCATCGGTAGGCGTGGGACCCGTTGGATTTCCACCTCGGACACGCGACACGCCTAGGTCCCATCATCTCATTTTCACACATATCTAACGGTTTTTTTTTTATGTTTTCACCTGTTTTTGGTTTTTTTTTTCACTGCTCATTCGGTCGTTGCACTTATCTTACATATATACCCACTGGTCATTGTTCAGGTTCATGTTATAGCGAATAAATCTTGAAAGTATACCACAGGCATTTGGCGGAGGCGGTGACGGGGGCGGCGCTTTTAGGGGAATGGATGGATGTTGCAGGGGGGCTTAGGAGATCCGGAGGGCGACGAATATATGCAGGCGTCAGATACGTAATGATCATACCAGACCACATATATGGTCAGATCATCTTCTATAGCTTCTAAGCTACCTAAGTCACAAGAACGCCTTTTCGGCGCAATCCGGAACTGGTAACTCCTACAACAACGGTTTGGTGGGCAACGCAGCGGGCAGCTGGGGGCATTTACCAGTATTTTACTTTGATAACACTGGCGTTTCTTCTCGAAAGAGAATCGGTTGGACTGGGCCTTTTTTCAGGCACCTTGGTTTTTATCTGGGATGGACGGACTTGAGCTTTTGACTATCACTTGTCCGAATGGAGTCCTTCGGGTGGCGTTTACCACATCATGCATTTTGATATTTTTCCATCCTGCTACATTGGGAGCATAGTCGTCTATTACTAGGTACATACGTGTTATGGGGCTATCCTACACTTCGCCGCCTACTTCCGCGGCGTGAATATGAAGCATGCACGGCTTTCAGGGTGATGTCCTTGCGCCATCGTAATATTTTTCTAACGACTTATATGCTGTGACTGGGGCCTATGGTTTAGAAATCTACTTCCATAAATCCATGCAGTTTATATGCCTGATGTTCCTGGGGCTGCCATTCCTGAACCCTGATTAAGAACACTAGGTAGGTTCTAGGCGCGTTGGGAGACATCAATAGCCAAATGATGCCTCATAAGCTGCGACAGAATTTGCAGGAAGTAGGTAGATACCTTAAATACCACTTGTCAACATCATATTTCTGAGGTGACAACCTTTTATCTAACTAGGCATTTTATTTAAATAGAGAGCATTTATTCGCCATTTCTACGTTGTATTCTCCTACTTTCCGACAATAATTTACTTGCAGACCTAAACTCAAGAACATCCATCCTATCACAATAACCACCGAGTATCCTTTCGTAAGACATTATTATAATCATATTATCATCGTCCCTCTTAAGCCCCAAATGTTCCATAAGTTTCTAAAGTTGCCGATTGAGCTTCAGCTCGTAATCTGGCACTTCCACTGGCCGCCTACTAGACATTACTTCACTCTATACGATGCCAGGATCCGAGAATATGGAGCAATTAGTATGGAAGATGAACGTTACGTCAATCGGTTAGTACCAAAGAGAAAAAAAGCCACACTAGATTTCATACCCTTCCTCACCAAGATTCCATTCACTGGTCAGATCCGGGTCCGTTTGCGTCGCGTAGTATCCGTAGATCCACCAGAACCTGAATTTTCTATGATAGGTAGCAAGGCAGAGGTCTATGTGTACTTTGCGCAGGATGTCTTCTATTTCGATGATTTCCCCTACTACTATCCCCTGACGGATACATGGGCGAAGGAAGAGTGGTTTCGCTTCTTGCGAAAGCCAATTACTCAACTGCAACCACCAAAATTGCATAAAAGTCATTGGATCTTCAAAGTGAGAAATCTCGCCCTCCGTCTAGAGTGGATAGGTGAAAGTCGAGGCACAGAATGGGACCACACGATTCTTCGAAAAATGAAATCACTTAAAGAAGTGTGGCTCGTTCATCCCCGGACACCAAACATTGCTATAGAAACACCTTTCCTTATGATAAACAGAACGTTCAACGAACTTCCGTATTCAGTAGACGGCGGTGTAAAAGACGCATATTTGTATCTTCAAGGAAAAATGAAAGAGTACGGCATCGATGCTCCTGTGGTTATGACAACCATAGACACCTGATATGTCTGATTAGGTAGGTACCGTAACTGAGTCTGATCTTCTATTCTGCCTCAGATAATTTCTAACCACTACCAACCAAAGAAATTATAATATCTCTATCAATACTAGGCTTAGGTAGGTAGATAATAATACAGGTTAGGTACCTATACCTAATATGATCCCTAACCATGAAGTACTTAACGGAGCTAATGTCAATGTCATTAAACGTCCGCGAAGAAGATTATTCCGAATTGATAAGTAGGTGCCTAGATATCTACCTATAGATCTCTAGCTAATCTCCCGGCACATGTTCCTTAGACTCTCAGGTACTTAACATGCATTGTTATTACCAACCCTAAGAAGTCGGCATCGGCGTCGGCATCGGCGTATGGTAAGTTGTAGACCACTGCTGCTGATAAGTCGCGGACCCCAAAACCCTCCCTGCGGACGCCGACGTAACGACAGAGTCGATGATCCAAGTATCCCAACTCGTAGCGTTAATAGGGCCTTTCATCTCACCAACTTTAACCTGAGTCGTCTCAGGCCAGGCTCCGGTCCACACAGGCGGACCCGGAATCTGGTATGTGGTTGGGCAGGGGACAGGAGTGGGAAGCGGGTCTTCGACCGAGCAAAAGACCTGAATCGACTGTTAGCAACGCATATCGGTAGGGATGAAATGTCGAGGAAAGGGGTTGATAGCTAGACGTACATCGTAGAGAATACCAGGATCCTTCCAATCGTAAGCTCCCGGGAAGCCCACGCCTTCGGGCAGTTCGACCTCACCGTCGCCTAGGACTTCTAGCTGGAGGCAATCGATGTAGAATTCCGCCCCTCGGTGCTTATCCTCCTTCCAGGAGGCATCGGCCAAGTGGAGAGCAATGAGTTCAGCTCGAAGGAGGTAGCTAGACCATTATTAGTCGGGTACATCTTACATACATGATTACGTAATCATCAAAGGTGGAGCCCTGGGGTTAGGGTTGGGGTTACACACAAACCAGCCTTGAGGTCCTTTGGAATTCGCGCGTCCAACAACCCCCTCTTATCCAGAATTTCATCTGACATGGCCCATCTACCGGTACCTTTAGGGCCCGGGCCCGGGGTCGGGCTCTGGGAAATCTTGCCCTGTTCCCAGATCTTGACGAACGAGTTGTTCGTCGGCGGATCTGGGGTCAAGTACACCATCACGGGGCCTTTATGGGCGGGGGCTCCATTGATGATTCTGTCGCCAGCTCTGCGTGCTGCGTGGCGCCATTCCACTGAGGGGACCTCAGAGTAAGCATTAATCCCTCCTTAAAGTGGGTTCAGGATGCTGTGAGGAAATGTGGGTGGCTTACTCGTGATATTGTCGCCGGGCCTCACTTGGATAGTGTACGGCACTTGCTGATCGCCCATCCTGCTGCATCGCATATCCATGCTTTCGAGATCCTTGACGGGGTGGTTGGCAGCACCATTTGGTGGCCCACCGACATACCCGGGTACACGGATACCGTTGAAAGTACCTTGATCGACGCCGTTTACATAGACGGACTAAGTTGATTGGAGAGCATGCCATTAGCGTGGTTACTTTCTAGTTCGTTTATCGGGGTAGATATTGTAGTAAGATAGAGTAGATCTGTCATATATTACTTACATGGATGAAAGTATGCGCCTGCACACCTTCAAGCAGAGAGATCGACGCTGCTGCTACAGCAGCTAAGGAGCTTGGGACCTTCATGGTTATCGGTGACTTGATCGATACACTAAGACGAACGAAGGATAGCTTCGATGGCAACATCTACTCGCTACCAAAACCTTCATGTTTTATACGCTCGTTTTCTCGGACATACATGCTCTCCCCGCAGGATAATATCATCTCTGTCGCATGATATATTGCGAATATACGATAGCTTCCGATCTCATAGGCTATCTGCACCCCGCAAATTCGGATTCGTTTGAACCAAGCGAGCAGTAGATCGCCAAGCCGGAATCCAATGCTTGGTAGTTTTCTATGAACAAGACGTTAGTGCCCAGGTGTTTATCCGGATGAATTTGACCTATGTTTGAATGGCCGGAGACGTCAGACGTTGCACCGATTGGAGCCTCTGGGCTATTCTTATTTTGCCTCTCCCGTGTATGGTTACTACGCTGAAACAGTGAGGTCTAATTTATTCGACAAATATTCCATAGCTACTATAACCTGCAGTCTTGTTCTCCTGACCTTAGAAATTTTGAGTGCTCCGAAGTCAACTTTTTTCATGAGAAAATACGACAATGATCAGAAGATATTTTTTGCCTGAGATGGAGAATAGGCTTTGGACTTTCGCATTTTCCAAGGTAGGTAGACATTTCTAATAATACAATATCTACCTAGATAGCTTATCTAGGTAAGTAGTCGCTACATGGGGGTTGGGGATCCAAGGAATAGCATTGAAAAGTACCTACCTAAACTTTAAGAAAATGGAAATCGGGAATTTTTTAGAAAGGGGATCGCCATTTTCGTTAATGGCTAGTAAGTACCGTTGAACTGTCTGGCGTTTGAAGCCCCCTTATCTTCTAAGTTGGTAATCAAGGAGATGCACCCTTTCAAAGCAAGGTATATGTCAAAAGATCAAGCGCCTATGATGGTTATTCTTATAGGCTGAACTACAATGAGTAATAACATAGATCACTTGCAGTAAGGCAGTATGGAGGTAGAAGTATGGTTATAAAGCTACAAGTAGTATGTTGACTTATAACTATTAGGTACCTAGGTAGGCTAATACCTAGTATATTGCCGAATACCCCATAGGAATACCCCAATCCCCAGCGAGTGTATGTTAGAGCTCCTTATGCGATATCGTGTTTCCATACATGTCAGAAGTCTTGCCTGGAGGAAAACTCGTAGCTAGGGATCTATGGGATCTGAATTCAGTCCAGGGAGGTCCATTAAGTCCATGAGATCCTGTTGGTCGCTAGCCCTAGGAGAAAATAGACAAAGAGCCTCATCTGTATGTATACCGTTTTTCCGTGAACAGAGTAGTTTAGAGCTCCTCGTGTAATAACACCATTGCTTCCTTGTCCGTCATTTCCGCCCCCTCTTGGTGATAACAAGTAAGTTTAGAGCTTCTCACACAACAAAGGCATACTGCCCATTCATCTTGTCCCTCATGGCAGGCACCATTTTAGGGCTGTCGAATGAAATTGCTATCCTAGCCAAGATCATTAATCAGCTAAACAATTAGCTTATATGCGGTTGCATATTAATCTTGAGGGTCTCGTAGAAGATAACTGGGTAGTCGGTACTCATGCAGCACCCGTCTCATAGACGTGTAGAGGACAAACCCATCCGTCGGTAATAAGGAGCCCTGGCTTCCAGAGCCAGGTGCTCGATCTCGTCGACCCATTGGGAGGCAACGATTAGATTTGGTGTTAGGATTAGGATGTGCCACCAACCTCCTAACCCCCAACAGGGCAGACCTCTTTAATGAAGGCATCGGTGGGGTTAATATCGTAGGGGTTAAGGTTTTCCCCTGTTATGGACCACTCGATGCCTTCTGAACAAGGAGTCCAGGTCTGCCCTGTGCCCCTATCGACCAAGCCGCCACTTAATGTGGCCGCTATTTATTAGGTCGAATGGGGCGGTGGGACGGTTCGGGAGGAAGACCTTAGTTGCCTCTGGGGTTAGGTAAGAGGCAAAAGTAGCCTGACCATTGCCAGGTGTTGAACCCGCATGGTACGCAGATGTTGGCTTTACAGACCTCCTCCCCTTAGGGCTCGTGTGAGGTGAGCCTCGGTGCGTTCATCATCGGGATGAGAGTTAGGGTTCGCCATTAGGATAGGTTGGTAGTTTCCCCGCCGGAAGTAGCCGGGGGTCGAGTCATGGATGATGACGATACGTTATTTCACGTATCGTTTTTAATACCATCTCACGATCCCGCCCCCATCTTGCTCGTGATACGAATGCCCCCCCGAACACCCTGTGGATGGGGAATCTATGGGGCTACCTATTTAACGATGTTAGTATATATGAGGTGGTTGAAAAAAGTATGAATGACTTACCACCATTAGTTGGCGGTCGTATTAGGCCCCAAAGGAGGGAAGGGCATCGTGAGATTCTTCAACTTATCATGGAGTTGCACGACGTTGGGTCAGCCGGCCATGAATCGGCTGGCAGTGCCGAAATGCCCCCAGCGATATATGGAGCCCACTCCTAATACGGCTACACGTTAGTTTTCGCATCTCCGATGTTATTCATGGATAGGTTAAATACATACCTGTAGGCTGGACTACAGGGTGGCAAAGAGCGTGAAAGGAGGTACAATTATATGTACCAATTTATGGGATAGTGCCATGTTATTTAAAGACACTCGGTCGATAATAGCGACGAGATAATTCTATAAAGTGAAATTAGTCTTAAAACTTGTCAATGAACGGTGGTATGTTGATCGCAGTAAACCATTAAGCACGACGGTTGAGGCGAACTACTTGGAAAGCCCATGGATATTGATGAATGTATGGGGAGGCGAACGTGAATAGGTATTTTCAAGGTGGCCGAAAAACAGTGCGAATCATTGTGATTGATGGGACGAGGTGCAAATTCTTGAATGGGAATGATGGAATTTATGGTGAGACGAATGCTTACTGATTTGGAATAATTGAAAACAAGGTAAAAAGGAATAATGTTGTCTTGCGACGGTGAAATATTGATGAGATGGAAAGATGGTGGAAGGATTCCATGAACGCGTCGATATGTAGGATGTGGAAGGGTTTTGTGAAGATGAAGTATGATTGAGGACGGTAGGAAGATACGAAAGATGTAAGGAAAGGATGGGAAAGAAGAAGAAATAGGTAGGTACTCACAAAGCAGTGGACGAATTAACATTAAATTAAATCGTCGAGGAAAGTGCCTGCACTGACGGGAATTGTCAGCATGATGTTGTTTACAGAGGGGCGTCCTAGGTTTATATAGTTCTTACCTATTCCTCCTTTGCAGGTGATTCGGATGGTGGATTAAGGCACTTGTCTTTCCTTGGTGATGAAAAAAAATAAAAAGGAAGAAAGGATTTCGGTCCTGGGTTATATAGAAAAGTAATGATAATACCCAGGGTGCGTGCGACAGCTTGACGCTAACCAAATACAGTATTGTACGCAGCAACGACGTGACTCACGATAGTAGTTGGAATATTTATGGTCCGTGCTAAATCATTGGGATAGTGACTGACGATGTACCCTACGTGTACACAAGTACTTGACCTAGAAGGTACTAAGTAGTTAATCTTGTAGAGTGGACAATAAGGGCTTTGAGTCACTAGTAATAGCTACCCAGTATCGTACAGAATGACAAGATACCTGATCACTAAAGAATATTAAGACTGATTTCCGTTTGGTACTTATGTACCTACGCAGGTACATGTAATTTATTTTTGTTCCTATAACAATCTACCTAAATACATGTAGGTACTAACGTTAGGTATTTTATGAACCGCATACATACTCGTCACCTACCCAGGTACAAATCTGGTCGAATTACCTGCCAGGTATCTAGGTACCTATGTATGTACCTAGTATTTTGTGATATTACCTCCTAGAGCCCATAGATAGCATTAAACCTCCAATCACAGGAGACTCCTACTATTCTCGTTACCCTAATCACTTGTGCTCGTCAGTAAATCTACCACCCATTCAAGACCTCCACATCCATATCAAGCTCAGATTCCACCTACCTGATCAATCGGCTTGACCTCCACCAACAACTTCCCCGTATTGCCACCCTCGAACAAATTGCTGATCGCAACATCCGCGACCTTGATACCTCCCTTAACAATAGTCTCTTTAGACTTAAGCTTACCCTCCGCAATCCACTGTCCGAGCTGCTTCTTCGCCTCGGGGTACCGGTCACGGAAATCAGTGACGATGAAGCCCTCCATGCGAACACGCTGCGTGACAACGACGAACAGGTTACGAATACCCGGGCTCTCCTTCTCAAGGCCGTTATAACGGCTAATGCTACCACACATCACGAATCGCGACTTCGTCGCCGCACGGGCAAGTGCCTTCTCCAAGACTAAACACATGTCAGCCGCCACCACTCCCTAAAAAAGGGGAAAGAAAGGTATAGGTAAGCATACTATCACCACCAACATTATCCCAATAAACATCGATATAATCCGGCGTCGCCTTAACAAAGTCCTCCGCAAAAGTGGGCGACTTATAATTAAGCGCGACATCGAACCCGAGCTCCTCAGTCAGCACCTTGCACTTATCATCCGAGCCCGCAAGGCCAATAACACGCGCACCGTTAATCTTCGCGATCTGTCCGACGACGGACCCAGTCGCGCCCGCAGCGCCGGAAACGACGACTGTTTCGCCGGCCTTCGGCTTGCCGATATCTGTTAAGCCGAAGTAGGCCGTCATGCCCGTCATACCTACATGTAACCCACATTAGCAAAAAACGCCCTCCTAGATAACACCTACATCTCCAAAAAGGGCATGGGGTTCATAGGTAGGTATATAAAGCGGGGCAACATACCAGCAGCCCCGATCGCATCCGTGATCTGGGTGCCCTTCGGCAACACAATCGGCTCGAACTCCGCATCGCCGACGACAGCGACCTCGGTCCATCCGCTGCCAGCGTAGACATACTCGCCCTCCTTAGCTTTGGCGCTCTTGGTAGCGAGGACCCTGGCGATAGATCCGCCGCGCATTTTCTCGCCAATGGCGACGGGCGGGACGTATGATCGGATGTCTAGGTACCGAACGGGTTAGCGCCCGAGATATATGTATGTGTGTGTAGATTGCGACGATCCGGGTTTGGGGTCAAATCCGAACCCCGGAAAGATGGTGGCGGGGGACGGGGAGGGAGGTACTGACCGTAGAGCCATGTGCGCATGGCGGGGTCTAGCGACAGGTAGATGTTTTCGACGAGGATTTGTCCATCCTTTAGGTCGCTGGCAGTAGGGGCGTCGGTCTCGACGAGGTTGAAAGTCTTCCCTGGAACGATGTTTCCCTTGGGGCGCTCGGCAAGGTGAAAGGTTAAGTTTTTGCGAGCCATTGTACTGAAATAATTGGAATTGATAGTAGGTGCAAAGAATGAGGAAGTGAAGGAAGTGCTTAGGTTTGGTATGAAATGGTATTACCTAGGTGGTATTTATTGTGTCTCTCCAAGACAAGTTTCCCTTAAGTGCGTAGGGTAGCTACTTCCCCTAAGCTTGCCGCTAAGGTGTTCGCCATTTTATATTGCCTAGGTACCTGCTAATAGCATTACTAATGCATACCTGCTGTGCCGAGGTCCACTGTAGGCCAGATTACACGCCGTCGGTAGGTTTATTGATCCGCAACATTATCAACGACGGCAACTATCTCCTAACTCCATACTGATTGTAATGGGTATGTAGGCGGCATATACGAATCGTGGCCATATTAAGACGTCTCATGGCATCACAAAGTTTAGGGGTATTTTTAAAAATCTTCAGGTTTCACAACACCTCAGAGTGTTGGTATTCTCACTACAGCACCTCTAGCAGATGTGCTAGAGACTAAGCTATCTGATTAAACGAATCGGCCATTAGGATATGGGTTTAAAAAACGCAAGGGGGTATCATGGTATCCGTCCATCGTATATGCTCATTTGTCCTCGGTTATTCTTTCATTCCATTGGACATCATTGAATCTGTTCGACATAGAAATCGAAACAGACATGCAATAATAGCCGACTAGCTTTCTTGCCTTGTGCAACTCATAAAAACCCAGAGGAAATGGATGATAGCTGTACAGGTAGTTAAATAAACAGCCCGTTCGTATCGAGTAGTCGTCGGACGAAGACGTCCCATATCGCAAGCACAAGGTATAAGATGATTATCATGGTTCATCTGACGCCACCTATTGATTTCAAATCGATATGTGTGGTTGGATTGGTAAGCGTCGAGAGGATATGGCAGGTCCTCATATGTACCTAAACATTATGGATATACCGAGAACAAGGCAATTTTTCAGGGCATATCTGAATGACGCATCCGAGAGGGGTTGTGCATTCATAATTGCATTTATAAGCGTGCTGGGATGCTTTCCACCGAGCTTGCGTTTGTGTCACTACTAAGTTCTTCGTCGTTGTTCGCATCTTGATCCTCCTGGCTAGACTCTTCGATGATCTTACGAGTTGATCTAGGGCGCTGCTGAGATAGATTCTGGGTTCTCGTACTCTTAGCTGATGAACTGTAGCGCTTTTGGCGCCGTCGAACTCTTCGTGGTGTAAATTTCGAGATGGAAGGTGCATCAACTGAGGATTCGCGATCCACACCCTTATCTTCCGCATTATTACCAAGATCGACGCTGGCATTTGATTCTTCGTCTTCTCCATCTTTCGTAGATACTTCTTTATCCTTGGACTCATCGTCGTTAGAAGCCTCATCGACTTCGCTTTCCTCCTCGTAGTGTTGTTCGTTCTTACTGGTACCGCTCTCCTCTTGATTAACTTCTTCGTCTTCGTCGCTCTGAATATCCTCCATCTTGTCTTCGTTCACTTCATCCTCTTCACTACTTCCCTCATCTCCACTGTCTTCATCGTCGGTCTTAACAACGATGTTCGGGGTCTTCGGGGTACGGTGAACCTTCAGCATTTTTTGAACCTTGCGCTCCATGTCATTATATTCCGTATCCATATCATAACCACGGCCACTGGGGAACTCGAGTTTACGCGTATCGCGATACGTTTTGCTTAGCTGAATAACGATTTCCGGGATAGACATGATACTCCAGTCAGGAACGGAATGTCTCAGGCGATACCAAGCCAACATGATAGTAGGGCGCGTCCACCGCTCCTCTAGATAGGTTGATCTGACCTTAGCCCAAGGAATTCGGCTATCCGCCTTTGCATCAGAAGCATCAACGGCCTTGATGATGCCAAATCTTTCGCGGTTTGACATCGCATTCACCTCGTCCCGGGCCTTCTGGATGACTTCTTCTATCGACATAACCTCCTCACCGTCGATACTACCACGCTCGACCCCATGTCGATTCATAATTTTCCACTTCTGTATGCATTGAAGACGACTGCGAGTTCTATCCATCAGCTCACTAACTCGTTGCCAATCAATTAACTCCTCATCTGCTTCCTGCAAGTTGATTCTCCCTTCTTTGCGATGTTCACGAATCACCCGGAGGGCATCAGCAATGATGGCTTGGAGCTTCTCTTCTTCCTCTAGAGTCCACGGATGCGAGCGACGATTATCGCCACACACGGCATAGTTGCGTACGCGGTCTCTTACATCTTCTGGATGCCGATTGATTATTTTGCCGATAAGAGCGTATTTGTTGCCATGTTCTTCCCACACCCTCTTGAGTTCCTCTTGTTGCTCTTCCGTCCAGGTTCCCCGAGCTACGAAATTGTGGAATTTGCGACGACATTGATTTATTAGCTTTTGACGAGGACGGTTCGGGCATGAAGCGACGATAGAAGCCCAGAACTCATGAGAGCGAACTTCTTTAGGGTTTCCTTGAATAAGCGTATTGACCTGGGTTTGAGTTAAATCATGATCGTCCCTCCAACGTTCGACGGCTTTAGCGATGTCGCGTAGTTCGACGTCGCTAAATGCGCCGGTAAGTAATCCGCGAGGCCCCAATTTAGGCGTCTTTGAAGGGGCGCCACGCTTTTGGGAAGGCGTCTTCGGTGTCTTCGGCTTTGGGCTATCTTCAGTTTTGCCTTTGAGCATGGTCGAAATCTTAGCCTGCTTTTTTCCAGTCGACGTCGAGGGTCCAGCAACGGGAGAAGACAAAGCATGGGCTGGCGTGCTATTGGAACTTTCGTCTGCTAGGCGTTCGTAGAACGTAGGTTTGACGACACGCTTTCGCGCTGAATTTTGCTTAGGTCGAAGATCATCCATCTGTGGGCTTTCCGGTAACTCCTCATCATCTGGATCCTCATTACTAGGATCTTCGTCATCCGGGCGGTACTCGTTATTATCCGTGGCATTGGCACCTGCTAACGAGGATTTGGGACTAAAGTCAACGCGAACGGGAACATTTTCGTCCTGTTCGCCATCATTGGATGCTTCGCTATTGTCGCCATTGTCTTCTTCACCGTCCTCTTCATTGTTCTCTTCAATAATTTCTTCTTTGTCTTCCTCTTCATCCTCCTCTTCATCCTCTACTTCATCCTCTGCTTTGTTCTCTTCCATCTCCTCTCCATTATCTTCTTTATTTTCCTCGAGCTCGTCGATACTCAAGTCATCCCTATCAATAGCCATGCGATCTTGATCATCCGACTGAGCAACTTCCGATGAAATATCGTTGTTATCAGAAATTTTTTCAAAGCCGTTAGGCTGGCTTCCACTATGGGACAGGGAGCCATCTTCAACAATGCTTGCTTTTATCTCACTAGCTGAAACTGGGTCTGAATGCACGGAAGGTTCTGCGTCAGGATCGACATCCATATTTGAGGCGGAAATCGACTGATGAGATAAGGGGGGCTCTTGGTCGGATTCATTTGACGGCAGCTCCTGGGCATTGTCGTCTTGGAGATCATTTTCATCTGCCTCGAGCGTTCCATTCTTCATGCGATCAGCGTAAAGGCTTTCAGCGAGGCTACTAAATGGAATTGTATCATTTTCCAAGTTATCCTTATCTTGATTATATTTTTGCTTCTTCTTCTTTCTAGATTGACTACCCGGGGTTGCAGAGTTTCGTCTCTTAGACGATCGACTCTTAGAAGGAGTAGAGTCTACGATTGCGCCATTATCAGAATGTGCAGACAAATTTGGTTCTTCCTGGTTATTGCCTAGATCAGGAGAGGCGAGTTGTTGTTTTAATTTCCGACGTCTTTCCTTCCTTTTGCGTCGTTTTTGTGCCTTGGTGCTAGATGATGGCGGTTCATTTAAGTAGGGGAGCTCATCCATATCGTTTCTCGTAGTATACGTCGCGTTGGGATCCAGGCGAGCAAATGTTGACGATGGTGGGTAGGGCGAATCACTAGAATTTTTCTCGGGTTTGAAACTGGATCTATAACCTAGTGTTGAAGTCTCGAACTGTTTCTTATATTCGGGCGATTCAGGAATTTCGCGTTTAATCTCAGGTATCTCGGGAGATGTGTGAAGTATGTCATTATTAAGCGCAGAGATGCGACTTCGATGAGCTGTCAAATATTGATCGGGTTTAATATGGCGGTTCATCGGTGTAGCATGAACTTGACTCGAGAAGACAATATCGGGAGAAGGGCGCGGCGACGAGTTGCGAGATCCGAAAGGCGAAGGACCGAAGCTTCCTTCTTCGCCATCCGGCTCAGCCTTCGCTTCCGTACTGGGTTGATTTCCCATGACTAGCGCATTGCCATGTTCCTATATATCAGGCCATATGTTTGAACAGGAATGGGTCAAAACCCGCGATGAGAGAAAACTGAGAGTCGCTAGGGTAAGGAGGCGATCCACTATTCTTGAGGAAAGAGAAAAATGCGATATGGAGTGGAGAGGATTGAAGAAGGTGGAATCTGGAGCGGGAAGGGGCGAAGATGCCGTAGGACTACGTGAAAATTAGAGGTTAATGGGATTTATAGAATTGATAGGCTTCCACCGTAAAGCGCGAGGGAAAATCTATGTACACCGAGAAAATATGACTTCGTGGATTTCGTGGATGACGTTTGCGTATATCGATTGTCGCAAGTGAATGAGACGGGTATACGTCGCACACAGATTGTGAAAACTCATGCGCGTCGAGTTGACGATATATGGGCTGCGTCGCGTCTGGTCTTGGATAAAAAGATGAAATTGTTAAGTTGGAAACGCGAAGAGCAAGACAAATCATTAGATCTCTATCGCTGATTGGTCCGTGCATTAGAATCACGCTGTAGTGCGGGGTTCTAGTACGTATTCGATTTAGGCGCTAAATATTAAAGCTAGCAGGCAATCACGATGATCAACTTCATCCTAGCCGTGAATTTCTGTGTGAATGGAGATCTTTCATGTTATCACGCATTCTTACTATCGTAATACGTTATAGCAAGAAGCTTCCATAAAAATGAAAGTATATACATCAATTGATACTAGGCATACTCATTTGTAACTTATCATTAAAAATAGCACCCCCTTTCTTTACATAAATAGAGAATTGCATTTTCCTATTACATAAGCCTCTTATCTTTATTATCAGTCTGCACCCCAAAACGAGGAAACTTAGACATCAGTACTAGGTAGTGATACCAGATTTGTATGCGCCTAGATGGTACCTACCCAGTAAGGGTGGCCCCTGCTTCCCAGCACAATACATTACGAAAACACCATAACCTCTTTATCAACACCACTTCCAACAGCCCTTACCCTAGCTCCGATCTCCAGTGGGCTCCCCTCAAACACCACAAACTCCCTCTCATCCTCATTTCCACCTCCATTCAGCCCTAGTATTTCGTATACATTATCCGACACCAAATCCAATGCGTCCTTCTCACTCAATTTCCCCTGGCCATTCTTATACGCAATACCTGCCAACAGCCCGACATCACGGACTAGCCAATCCTCGTCGATACCGACGGCCGTACGGACTCCCGCCGCCACAAGTGCGTCAACAGCAGTCCCGTTAGTGAGTGGCGCCCCTGTCAGCGCCCTTCGTTGATCCCATCCATTGCGGTACGAGAGTAGCGGGCTAAGCACGACACCGACGTCTGCAGCAGCCAGCTCCTCTGCCAATAAGAAGGATTCCGCGCCACCAATAAGGACCAATTTGATACCCCCGCTACCAGTTCTTTGCGATGAGGTAATAGCATTATCGACGGCCTGCTTTACTCTCAAGATAGCGGCAATGGCGTCTGCACTATGAACACTAATAACCAGAGGTAATTTTCCATCAACAACTTTAGCCAGGAACGCGGCTTCGGTGTAAGGGTCTGTTGTGGTATTGGCACCTGCGGCAACGGCTTCGAGAAGCTTGTGGCGTAGTTCGTTGATCGCATTGGAGATCGAAGTGCTGCCCCGCTTTGCGCTGAGGTCCAGCGTATAATGCACAGCGACATCATCGGCAAATATAGCACCATCATCAAGAGCGTGCTTCGCAGCCGTGCGGAACCCAACACTGGTACCCTGATGTGTTCCTTGCCCCGAGTATTTCGGCGCTGAGATTGCTCGCGTGACGCCGTATTTCTGCGCGTAGTGTAGTTTCTTCGTGTCAAATGCGAGCCCGTCAATTCCCCGGCTAAAAACAGTAGGACTTCCACCGTTGTCCGTATCTTTCTCGGCATCGATTCCGTTGAGGCCGAGAAGGGAACCAAATACTGTGAACGGTCGGGTTAAGTAACCGTTCTGAAGGGAAATGACCTTAATTCCTGACTTGGATGCGATTTCAAGTTCCTCTTCACAAACTCCCACGCATGTGATTTTACCTCCTGAGATTGCGACAGTCGAATTCTGGCTATGGGCGCCCGATTGAAACGCTGGTGACAAAAAGGACTTCGATACTCCCGTAATTATTACATCACTAGCATAGGTAACCTCATCAGAAGTAGCTGCGACCTCTGGGAGAGAGTCTGAAAGATTTTCGACCGGTTTCCTCAGCTCGACAGGGTCATCGAATTGCGCGGTTCCATCAATCCAGACCTGGACCGGCGCTGCACCAACACTCAGCGGGTCACTATCCCATACGACAATATCGGCGTCAAAGCCAGGCTTAACCTTGCCTACCCGCTGTCCTAATCCCAACCTCTCAGCCGGGGCTGTAGTAACGGCAGCCAAGGCAGCATGATACGGCAAACCATATCCAAAAGATTTGGCAGCTTCGAAGACAACGTGCTGAGCGTTCAAGACCGGGTTATCACTCACGTAAATGGGGGTTAACCCATTTTCATACAGCACCTTGCCAGCGTACTCGGACCCGATGTAAGCTTCGGCCTTGTACCACATATTGTCCGCGAACAGAGCCGAGGCGGGCGGAGAGTCACCCCAAGCTCGCTTAAGAACTTCGGGTACAAGGTACGTCTGGTGAGCATGGTGGAAAGCACGAACCGGAAACTTGAACTCGTTCGTATGGTCTACGAACGCCTCCAAATCAGGAACTGTATAGCAGTGCGTATTGACATGAACATGTCCACGTAGAACAGCACTTAGCGTTTCCCATTCCAGGTCTTGTGGCAAGTAGCTACTCATTCGTTCAACTCCTGTCGACTCAGCCAGGGTGCACCAATCATCCTGAGCTTGGACCAACTTGGCAGCCTGTTCGAAAGCGTGTCTAAATTCCCAAGACTCGCCAAGCCGACTCGTAGGTCCATGCTCGCCAGCTTTGCCATAAGTGCGCTTAGAATTCTCGCCACAGGCCATCTTAATGTATCGCCAGCTACGTTCCGGGTCGGCGAGCAAGTCAGTTATCGACGTTTCGTTGCGACCGTCCGGTATGCCAACGGCATGCTTAATTACATAAGCTTCGCCTCCGATATTGTTACTAGAGCCCGGCAACACCAAGCTCGTCGTAACTCCACCACTCTTAATAACTTGAATCTGGTGATCGAAAACGTTGATTCCGTCGATAGAACGGACATATGGGGTTATGTTTGAGCCCATCTCATTCGTATCATCATTGCCATTTAACCCAGGCAAGCTGTCTACGCCAGCATGGCTGTGCATGTCGATTATACCAGTAGTAAGTTGGCGACCTTTAGCATCCCATACAAGTGTGTCGGACGGAAGCGATCCAGCATCAATGCCCTTGCGGACTTCCTTGATGAGACCATACTCCAATAGCACATCAGCTTCAATCCACTTGAAGCCCTTTCCAGCGTGCGCATCCTCATCACTCGTTCCATCGGCAGGTTCGCCGACCCAAACCCACGCATTAGTAATCAGGGTAGGTTTGTGTCCATCGACATATCGCGCATTGCGTTCTCGACCCAGGCCGATCGGGTCTTGCGGCTTCGAACGCAATTTAGAGCAGACCCGTAAATCCTCTGCCAATTTATCGGCTGACAATTTAGATATCGGGATATGTCTCGGAGATGATTCGATCTGTCTCCATTGCGCGTAAACAATGAAAGCGAGACACGCCAACGCAACGAACCTAAGTCCACGAGAACGTCGGACGGGCCAGCGCCTACGTCGCTCGGGTGCAGCTACAGCGCTGTAGGGCGGGAGCTCGCCTTTCTCGAACTCTCTTTCTTTCATATTGACCAACGATGATCACAAGTATATATGAAAGTCATAGAAGAAAGAGTGAGAGGTTGAAACGAACGAGGAAGAAGTACAGATCTATAGAAGAGGTTAGCGTTACATCATTGGGACCCTTCTCCAAATCTCCCCACGGCACTCTTAGCCAATTACAGAAGGTCTAGGCACGGTTTACAGGGCACCCCAGCCCCCTCTGCACTTACGCCAACCCCCACTAAGATAACGCCAGCGAGCGCTCCGCTCTTAGTGCTGGCACCTCTGAACGCGAAAGTTCGTGCCAAAATTTTGGACCATGTGCTGATCGCCCAAAACCGTGTAGATTGAAAGATCTTCACACCCTATGGCTTTTTTCTTCAGTGGCTATGCTCCCTAAAACACCTTGATTTATAGCGGCAACACACTAGAATTTAGTGGATACATCACTATCAGATCTCGATTTTAGCCTACACCTGCTGACCTAATACAGCACGGAGAAATTGCTTATCTAATCACGCACTGGGCATGGGCGCGGGGTTTCTGCTTACCTAACCCTGGTTCATAAACCCCTTTTACTGCCCCTATTCTTTCAGACATACATAGTCACATGCGATAAAAAGAAATTAACGTCCGGATCACGAAGTCAACTATTCAGCATCATATAGTCGGATGCGCCTAGAATCTACAGGCTGAAGTTAATTCTGGGGGAATTAACATCCGGCCACGGGTGGAATAAAACTCCCTAAGGCGCTCCGGGAACGGATTCTCATCCTTCCTGCCCTGCTCAATCATCTTGGCCTTCGCCAGTCCTCTCAACTTCATGATCGCCTCGTATAAGACCTTCTCTTCTGATCCTAGCACAGTGCTATTTCCGTTCACCTTAACTTGCTTCCCATCCTTGAAGAAGGCAAACGTCTGCCATCTCATGTCGCCGTTACAGTACTCCTTCACCAGCTCCGGAACGTCGGCCTTGTTTAGGCGCGCGAAAGCTAGGATTCCGGGAATGCTTTTCTGGTATGATATGTCTACTAACTTCGGTGCCAGTTCGGAGTGCGTCTTATCGAAGTCCGCGAAGAAGTTGACGATCACGTATGTCGTGCTCGAAAACAATTTACGTAATTCCTCGGCGGTTTCCATGTGGTGGAGTTGATATAAGACGTCCGGCGCATTTTTGTGCGGCTCTTCGGGCTCCACGAAGTCGCTGATATCCTCCATCGTTAGAGGGAAGCGGAAGTCGTTTTTTTCTTTGAGTAAGGACATCCTGAAGACCTTGCTCGCAACTAGTAATCCCACGCCGTGTCGGTCGGGATCCTTAGTGTCTTTGATAAACCCCTTCTTGCCCTTGACGTCGCCGTCGCCTGGGTCGTAGCTATACTGACCCAAATCTCGAACTCTCTTAGCCTCCTCCAAAGCGTTGAGACAAGTAAGAATGTGCGGATGGGACCTGGCGAACTTTTTTTCGTGAGACCCCGAAAGCTTGATCCTAATCGCCGGGGGTTTTACGTGGATCTGAATAGCCCACATTCTCTGGAAATCTTCAAGTAGTCGCCTGCAGTGCTTTGTGAGGCGGACATAGTCTATCGCCATGTCGTTCAAGGTTTTCGATGTTACCTCTTGTACCTTGTCGATGAAATCTTCAGGGTAGAGTTTCTGCTTCTGGCGCTGGCGCTGGCTTGATCCTTGCTTGTCTATCTTCGGTTCCGTCTGTTGTTCTATATCCCACAAGATATGATCAATAGATCGATCTGAATCCAACATCGATCTAAGCATGTTGGTCTGGTGAGGTTCCTGGAACTTCCACGCGTCTTTGCGTTTTCTCGGCTGATTGAGCCTATAATTAATACGATCATTCATGTCCTTCGTGGTCGTTGGAATCGCATCCGCGAACAGTGCCCCCTTGTGCAACTCGATTATACGTTCCATCACCGGCCACTCTATATCCAGCATCTTGAGTTGTCTCAGCGCGTTGTAGATGTGCGCAACACCGAAGATACTCATGTGCCAATTGGCTAGGCCTAGACCGACTTCTTGGTATGATATCAATAGCTTCAGGAGAAAGCTTCCTGACTGCGATGGGTTATGAATGATCGCGAAGTTATCGTCTTTAGCAGGCCTAATGAAGTTTATCTTCATGCTATCATAAGCCGCGTCTTTCTTTAGGTCTGGGTTTTGCTCTAGTATCCACTTGAACTCGTCTGGTACGGATGTCCGGGTGTGGAACTATATTGGAAAACAGGTTAGCATCCTTTCCATCAATGCTTTTTTAATTCAAAGTAAGGAATCTGAACAGAAAACTTCGTACCCTGGGAACCTCGCTTATCTGCGATATGAGATGCTTTATAGTTGCTAGACCTAGGATCTCGACGTGCTGTTGCATCTTGTATATAGTGTATACTAGAGAGCATTCGAAATTAGTAAATGATTCTTTTGGATTTTGCAGCAGTTCATAGTACTCATGAGGGATTGCAGAATATTACTTACATGCTTCATCAATCGATGGGGGCCAGCTCAGATTACCAACCGTTATTATAAAGCCGTCCGGAAGTTTTTTAAGATTCAATGAGTCGCAGGTATATGCATTTGTACATCTAACTTGCTTCCGAAACTTAGATAAGTCGTCGCATGTGTCGAAAATGTCCAGTAGAGTCTGTGCAATGAGGACAGCTGCCACGCTTAATTTCTTCTCCGTCCAGACCGGTCTCAATGTTGTTAGGCATACATCGCTCACTAAAGGCGCAAGCTCACGGAAATAGTCGGTGGTGAACCGTGATGGCAGGTTTGGTAGACTCGTAATCTCCACAATCTTGTCTGGTAATTCTAGATCCATCAGTAATTGGGTTAACATCTGGTCGTCGTGTTGTAACTTTTTATGCTCTGGCATGTCTATCTTGTGTTCGTTATTGACGTAATTGTATTTGAGGGGTACAATGGGAGGCGGCCAGGTCTTGGTATTATCTGCCAGAAGAATGAATTTGAGCATGATGCGAGCAGTTGGTAGGAAGATAAATCCGTCAGAAGGTGTTACATCCACTCCGGGGCCTGTCATCGGATCTATTCCCTTGGTGATGTTATGCATCATAATCATCATGCCTGCTAATTCTGCGTAGCAGTCATCGTCGGATATATGGGGAAAAAAAGTCGAACACAATTCTTTCTCTGCCTTGCGAATGGTGCAAACTGACGCATTCGTCACGACCGTCGCTGTAAGTAGATCGACGCTACCAGAAGCGCATTGCTTCCATGTCTCTTTAAGCTTCTTGTGGATACGGTTCATGTCTTCGAAGAAGCAGAATAACGCAAATGCTTTCTCTAATAAATTCCCTCTTTCCAGTTCAAATGCGTCAATTGGCTTAGGGTCTGACTTTTTCTTGCTAGAATCTCGAGCAGCATCAATTTGAGAAAATTGAGATGAATCGTCCACATCATCTACACTCAGATGAGAGAACCGATTACTAGAGACAATGTGAGTTAACAATTCGGTCATAACTCGAGGGAATCTTACCTTGTTTGCGTGATGTTCTTATATTTGCCGGAGCAATTCTTGATAGTAGGCTTATCTGCTGTATCTCTAGTATCTCCACCCCCCAATCTGGTGAGGGCATCCTGCAGGACTTTGATGAAGAATCGATGTCCGTCTTGGTCATACGCTTCGGCGACATATTGAGGGGAAGTGCTCTCATACCAGTCTGAGCATCGTTGGCGTGCTTCAATGGCTAGTGTGAGGTAAATCTTGATGGTATCCGGCATCGGGATCTTGACGCTGGACCGTGATATGGCATCAATCTGAGCACCTAACTCCTTTGTCGAGACAGAGTATTTGACGGATGTGGCGTCACGACTGTCGTGTGCATTGGGTTTGTAGCCGCAAGCCTGAGCTGTGCGACCAAGCCATGTCACAAACACGTTAGTGTCGTGCTTATACCGTCCATAACTGCTAGATAGTAAATCGTCCAACATCTTGAATGACGATCCCTGTGTAGATAGCGTCAAGAACTCGTGATGATATGTTAATTTATGATAACGAATTATCGATCTTAAAATAGGTATAGGCAAATGTGAAGTAGAAGGCTTTGGTAAATTGAAAGGTAAATAATAAAAATCAAAGATGATGTTCGGGTTCGGCGAAGGATAAAGAAAATATAAATCGTGAGATGTGACGTGTGAAATGTTATGCAGGAAATTATTTGCTGGGTCGTCTATTTATATGTTAATATTTGCATGACTCCATAGGGAATTATGGGCCTATTATAATGTGCTAATAGTATAAACAATGGAATTTAGGCAGTTACGAACTTATTTTTCTATCGTTGTTGCCGTGTAGAGATAAATCTTGGGATGGAAGGTGCTCATCGAAGTGCTTAGTTAGGTAAGCAAGTGCCATTTGTTGGTCGTTACGGTTGTGACTTCCTGTATCCAGAACCTTATGTACATATATGTACTGTTCACAGTACCCATTACGTGTTATTGAACATGTTGGGAATTACCCACGGAGAAAGTACGTACATGGGATCTACTTGTGCAAGATACACTGTCAACGTAGGTATACAAGAATTAATTTGGACGAAAACTTTGAAGCTACATATGTAGGACTTGAACAATTTTACATTTATATGTAGCTACACGTTGTATTTCCACCACAACCGTGTTAGAATAATTACATCCTGATAAAATAGTTGGTCACTTAAAAGTTGCTGGTGTTTCTACCACTGCTTAGTCATCATCTGGACACAAAAAGGGGTAAAAGGCTTTTTGGAATATTATTTCTATAAAATGGTTCAATGATGTTTTTTGCGTCTACTTGTATCCTAGAATAGGGATTTTATAATGGTTAATGTGTAGATTACTATATACATAAGTACCCAAACAAGCGAATACAGTTTTCATAGTTATTACAGGAGGTACCTAAGTAGAGAACAGTCACCTAGACGATATACATCACTTTCAATATGTCTGACTAGCTATCTAGAAGTGGAAACATGTACAGTATATGCTCGCGTAGGTACTCACGTAGCCACGTATTTTACAGTTTGAATTTCCTATGACTTCCAAACTATCGCGCACAGTCGGCGTGTTTAGAAGATGCCTACCAAGTACGTACTAGGTGCCTAGAAAAAATAGTATCTATTTCATTGACCACTCCCCATCATCTGCTATCCGAGTTTTTAGATACAGTATGGTATATGTCATTATTTAATCATGGTTTTTGTTACTATGCTCTTATTTTTAACTTGCAGTTGCACAAATTATTTCACAACTCTACATTAAACAAGCCAAACGACTAGGAAACCCTTCTAAAATGTCCCCCCAAACAATGGATCAGTCAGCTCCTCCTGGTCTGGCCCCTAATGCAATCATGGATGGATATCCCAATGATATGGTTGACCGAAGGCTTGAGGATGATGAATCCCGGCTACGATATGGTAATTATGCTGTATTTACATCTCAACATCAGCATTGCATGCTAACATCATCAAGAATACTTAAAAAACCTTGTGGTTACCTGCAAATCGCAGATCGCAGACATGCGATCAAAACTAAATCTTCGGACGCCTGAAATGGTTATAAACAGCTGCCAAACCAAGATTGCCTATCTACGTTCCAGAGTGAACTCGCCACCACAACACCGTACCGTCAGCCTTTCCCAAACACAGCAGGTTCGTATCTAAGCACCAATATCTAAAATTTTACTCTAACGATATTTATATAGTCAGCAGAAATAAGTTGAATGCTGCCAAATTTTCGGGCTTAGGAGTCTGTGATAAGGACTTCGGAGATATGGGGTCAGGTCATGATGTTATTGAACTTGATAGGACTGGTAGAAGTCAATTATGACCAATATTCGATATATATACCTACGTAGTACCTACCTGGGCGGCAGAACGGACCCTCGGACACAATGTCTACAGAATTCACACCGTGAAAATAATGTCATGTTAGCTTCTAGAATCCTTTCTTAATACTTGTAATTTTGTATATTTGGTGAGGCTACTAGTACTGGGTACCTAGTAACACAGTACATGGTGATGATGGGAAAGTACATATCATGCACAGTGCTGCCATTCATCCAGGAATAACGGTTGCCTGGGTGCCTAGGTAGATAATGGCTGATACACAGTATTCAAGTACTAACTCTAGTTAACATAGGTACAGTACTCTACACATGACTCACCAAATGCCCTATGTTATGATCAAATTCCTCTCACCGCCGTCCTTTTTTCTGCCGGATATTCGTCCGTTGCCATTATAATCGTACTTTCCTTTCTACGATTTTCCTAAATTCTATTTCTTCCCAACTTTTTTGTAAAAGTCAAACTACTTTACAAACATCCAAAACAGATTATTTTACACGACACATATATCCAATGTCCGGCACAATGCTAATCTACCGGATCAGATGTTGTCCCTAAAACAACAAGCATCCTCGCCAATCATGGCGCATGCTAAGTCACCAAACCCCACGCAAGGTGATTCTCCACGTCATACACTTCAGCCTCAGCATTCAGCTAACACGACATAATAGATGGGCGTGACGATCGCCAGGGTGAATCTCAACTCAAATCCCATGTGGGGGGTCCAACAACAGCATCCATTGCTGCCCCCCTTGGCGAACCTCAACAGCCGCCGCAAGACGGCTCGCGTGCGACTCACGCTGGCCAAATTACGCGCCCCGTAAGCGCGTGGTCGAGAAATCCGACACGACGGCTCTGACAGTCAACAAGAGCCAAACCAAGGCCGATTTGATAAAGGCCGGCTACAAAGGACTTGCAGCCTCTCGCTGGGCGTAAGAGAGTTATTGGGATCTGGTTAGGGTGGTGGGGGATATGGTGACGGATACTATACAGGCTTGGGCATCGTGGAGAACAGTCATCAGAGCGGTTGCCTGCCGTAAAACATTTGATTATTGTATTTGGTAGCAATTCGCACCCTCTTAACCCCCAACGCTGAACAATTCGACTTGATAAATGATTGTGTGACTTGCGCAGCCGCCCATACAAGGCGTTCATGATTTGATCGTGTTATTTTTATCGTTTTTCTTCAATGTCCGTAATTCCCTATATTTCGGCTTATTCTTAGCCCTAGGCGCTTGTTGATCAATCTCTGTTCCATCACTACCAGGCTTCATGATACCTCGATGTTTCTGGTGTGTATATATAACGAAACCAAAGATCTCTCTCCGGGTTCTCCATCATTTCCTTGAATTCGTACCTTGTCGTCACGAAGTTGCTTGTCTACTCGGTACTTATACAGAGCTGCGCCACAGGTCCACCCACCCAGCCAGAAGGAACAAGCACAAGGATCAGGGACAGGAGTCCTACAAACAAGGATCACCCCATCAATGCCTAATCAGGTACCAACCTAGCCCTGCGATATTAGGTCTTGTGTAATGAATGTGATAGGGGAGCCGTCAAAAACCTTGAAATCTCCACCGAAGTAATACATGGTTAAGAACTTAATATCAACGCCCTTCCGCTCGGGTCGGTGTCACCATCGCACCAGGAGATTGCCAATAGGAAGCAGGGAATTGGGCTTGAATAAACTTAATATCCCGTATATCCCTTGCGTAAGTACCTACATGTAAGGCAGGAGTGTCATTCCGAAGCTACGGGTTGTAGGGATCTGGTGCAGCAGTATTTCTACGATGATCTGCATGTGATATTAGGGGTCAGGTAAATGTGGGTTTGCCAAAGCCTGAATGTAATTAGTAGCTGCCCGATATGAATTCGCGATCATCGTGGAACGAGGTCATGTCGGCGCATTGAGCTTTAAGGAACACACACATAGATAGTTAGCTCATCGAAGCCCTGAATTCTGAAGCTATGGATTGACTATCAAACTCGCATTAAACTTGTCCGTACGAGCAGTAAAATCAGAAGAGCCTAGGACGTCCATCTCGGATCCCTGCCTGCCGCCTCTGTCAAAACCAGAAGCAGACCATCGCACCCGTTTTTGGCCAGTAGCGAAAAGCACATCCAGAAAGCAATGCAAATGATAAGGCCCGTCCACCTAACCCCCGAAACCGAAAGAGCATAACCTAGCCTACCTCCCGAGCGCGATCATCCTAGTCACAATCAAGACCGAAGCCCTAAGCGTGACCGTGGCTCGAGCCCGGGGCAGAACCAGGATGCTGTTGACCATGACCAGGATGACCATGTCCACGTCCACGCTCCCGGGTCCTGCCCCTCTCCACACTCTCCCTAACGCCCTCGCCCACCTCTTCTCCCTCCTCCTCAACCAGCGCCGGACCCGGCGCACTCACAACCGGTTTCTTGAGCACATTAAACGCGCGACGCAACGAGCCGCCAAAACTGCTCTTCGGCTTCAAACTCGCACTCACACTGCCACTCACACTCGCGCTCCCGCCCCCACCCACGCTTCCCCCACCCTCACTCCCCCCACTCCCCCACGTCCCGCCCGCACTCCCGTGCAGCGAAGCCGAGTCGCGGCTCTGGCTCTTGCGTAGTTCTTTCAGCGCTTCCTCGTTGGCCTTCTGTTTGTTCTTTTCCTCCTTTTTCTGCGCGCGGTCGCGCTCTCGCTCGCGTCGCTTTTGCCGCTTTTCTTCGTCTTTGCGCTTGAGTTCCTCTGGGTCCGCGCCTGCGTATAGGAAGGGGCCGGGGGCGGGGCGCACGATGGTTTCGCTGCTGGGGCCCCAGAGGGGGGCTTCGGGTTGGTGCGGCGGCTTTAAGGAGCGTGCGGCTCGGGGAGGGGCAGTCGGCTGGGCAGGTTGGGGGCGCGGAGGAGATTGCTGGGGTTGGGGATGTGTCGGGGGTGGTGCGTTGGTTGCTGGGGTCGGTGGCGGGACGAGGTATGATGGGAAGCCAGGCGGTTGTTGCATGATAGGAAACGGGTGGTGTGTGGATGCCGAGTGGTTGTAACCCTCTGTCGGAGAAAAAACGCCAGTATAAGGGAAACCTGTCATGTGTCCATGATTAAGTCCGCGACCAACTCCGTGAGTTTGAGGGCCATGCATGTAATTAAGACCTTCATTACTACCAGTGTCGTAGAATGGGTCTTCGCCTAAGCTACCGCCAAATTGGTCGAGTCGATCCTCCCGAGCGATAGCATCAACAACAGCAACGAAAATTCTTCCTTCAGCAGCAGCGTTCTGCGCCTGAATTTCGGCGTCATCCTAGGACGCTGAGATGTTCGGCGCGTACAAGGCTGCCTGGTGACGGATGAAGGTTCGCATTCCTGCCTGGTTTAGTATCGATGATGCTTCTACAGCTCGTGATAGTACCGCCAAAGCGCCAGGTCGGCTAACACTCTTCGTGCGTAGATCATTCTGAAAATCGGTTAACTCAGTATGGATTAAGCTTCGGATGAATTCGTGAGTCAAGAGCCTGCTCGGGGTGCTGGCGGCAACGACAGAGGAAGGGTGGATACGGTCGGTACCTCGGCTAGGTGCCGGAACTTGAGAGTGGCAGATTACTGTGTCTTCGTATGATCCAACATGAGGCCTAGCAAGATTGCCCATTGGATGATGGCTTCTAGGAATTTGTTGCCCTGTTTGACGCTGTGCTTTGGGGTGTTCATGATCGGAGGGTAATGGGTCGCTAGCTAGTTTTCGAAGCTCTGCAGTAGCGTCGACTACTTCTCGTGGGGGCTTCGAAGCTGTGAAAGGAGTTAAGCGTGGTATTGGCGGCAGGGTGAATGAGGTGGTCTGACCATCACCGGAGGTACCATAGCTGCTTGTGGCACTACTGTTCACCTGCTGCAGAATATCTACTTATTTAGTCAGTTAGTAGTGTAATAAATAGGAAAAGTACGTGGCATAGAAAAATACGTACCGGGATGATCTTGTGCAGTGTTGCTCTTCGGCGGAGGCGCATTTCTTCCTCTCCGGCGACCTAAAATACTATTAGTTTTATTTACAATTAGAATTCGGTCCGGTGAGATTACCATAGAAAATTGGAGAACCGGTATCAGTAGGCATCTCGGGCTGTTGAATGAGATCTGCCTCGCTCTCGGTAGCTGTGATGTTCGAGATGACAACTGTAGGAACTTTGGGTCCGACTCCAGAAGTTTGAATTGGTTGGTTAGGGTCCTTGTACTCGAGGGAGCTACTGTATTGTGATGATGAGCCCCAAGAGGAGTTGCCAAATGTGGGGAATGAGACTTGGGATGATTCCACGTTTGCCTTCGGGAGAGATATTTCATCCGATGGCTGTTTCTTGGCAGTTGATTCCTCATTCGATTGAGGAGACGCTTTAATTATGGGGAGCCTGGTAATCCTATGCTCAGGTGGGAATGGGCGGTAGGCCTTAGCCCCCGATGGCTGGGTGCGCTCTCGCGTTCTGGGTCGTCTCGGCTCTTCGGGAGGAGTCGCTGGTAATGGGAACGATGGGGGCGGATACGGAGGATCCTTATGTAGTCGCACCGCCAAAGGCAATTTGCTCTTGAATCTTGGTCCTGGAGCAACTTTTCCATCTACGACCTTACTCTTTACGAATAGTTGTGGATCAGGAAGTGATTCGACGTCGTCGTGATCGCTGGCGTCGGCGTCTTTACCGTCCTTCATTTTGATACTAGTAAATAGGCCGTTACTAGTAGATGTCGTTGCTATATGAAATAATGTTAATTGTAATGAGTACTTTGACGCGGACGGGAAATTTCTAGAGTTAATGTGGATGAAAAAGATGGGAGAAAAAAGGTAAAGATTATTGAGAAAGGTGTGAGTGTACCTTGGTTAGGAACACTAATAATATTCGCAACCTCGTCACCTTCCATTGTATTTGTTATCGCCCCTTGTAGATCACGTGTAGTTCCAGCAGGTTTAGATGACGCTCGAACATCTAACATATTTTTGGCGTTGTCATCTAAATCCTCTGGTAAATTAAATATTACATTTTCAGGGCTAGTTTGTTCCGACGATGCCGCAGAACATGAGCTTTGGGCCAGTTTTAAAGGTGCAACTTTGGCAGACTCTCGATTCATTGACCTCTCTATTGTTTCTGAAGACTCTTTTATTAGGTGTGTCTCATCGTTCTGAACATGAACAAGGTCTTCGAGATTCGCACTAGACTATTTTTTCAATATTTTGGAATCATTAAAGCGACCAAGTACTTCACTAACCTTTCATGCGATATAGTGGTAGGATCTGTAGATTCTATGCTATCGACTGATTCGTTATCGTCATCGTCAGAATAGTGCTCTACAGTGTGCCTCATAGGTGGGCCAGATGATGGCGGCAGCATCGCGACTGAAAGCGTAGGAGGCGTGCCGCAGTCAGACGATGCCTTAACCACGGTCATTTTAATGCGTGATCGTGCGATGGTGTGTGGGACTTTCAACATACTGTTAGTGCTATTGAAGGAAAACAAAAACTTCTTCATTCAGTACTCAGTCTAATAGGATGGATTGGAACAAGAACATGTTTAAAGGAAAAGACGATAGTCAAATTTGGTAAACTCGTTGACGAGAAACCTACAATGGCCACACTATGATATTCGCAATTTATAAACCGAGCATGCGATGTTGGACATGGGTAACCCATTCAATTAATAGGAATGGCTAATTGTGTTGAATAGAAGACAACCCCAATGCGATGGGAAGTCAATACGAAGAGTAAATGCGAGAATATAAAGGAGTGTTGTAGTTAAATGAGAGTGCTCATGGGATGATCATTTCAACCTGTGAGTTGGTTAGCATCACGGGCATTCTGATTAGGTAGCCAATGGGAGCTGGAGGCTTCAAAAACCAAGATAGGTACATACTAGAATCATTACACTCTAAAACAGCGACAAAAGTTGTATGTTAAACACCTAGGACAACAATTAATTCAAGATTGTTTTGAAAGATGGGATAGGAGCAAGAATTCGCATTGTCTTTATGGTGGGGTGAAGAGGTGAAGGATAGGTGTATTGATCAGTGTCGATGATGATTTACTTACGTTGTTTATGTTGAGACTCATCGTTTTGAGTCACTCTTTAGAGTAGATAATAGAGGCAAAAACATGGTTTAGAAGCTAAACATGATTAAAAACCCCTACTGGTTTTTTCATTTTGATCATGTTGATGTTAAGAATTTGAAAATGGGCTCTGCGACCCTCTTGAAGCCTGAGAGGTTTTCTTATTAATAATAAGTTTTCTCTTTTTTCTTTATGTCATGCTTGATTGATGTACTTAGGTACGATGCACGGGACAAACCCGATGTTACACACATCTGCGAGGAAGCAACAAGGGGGCAACCCGGTCTGTCGGGACAAGCTGCGCCACTCCGAATGCTCCGCAATAAAAGCGTCAATGGCCAATGTGGCTTTACCTTCTTTATCACACCTAGGTAGGGGCAAGCGCAATTTCCGCGATTTCTTCCCGTTGTTGCCGCCGCATCTCATCACGTCACTCACAATTCTCCGGTCAATCGGGATTTATTGCATGCCCCGGAGCTCTGGTTCATGATTATCAATTGGAGATAGAATGCTGCTGGGTCCTACCAGCCGGATTGCCTCTTTGAGGCGGTCTGCACCACATTGGATACGTCCCAATGCTACCTCAACACGCGTTAGGAGGCTGACTCGGCCCCCACAACAACGGCTATTCTCCACAACGAAGGTCACGAGAGATCGGATTGGCCCAGAGGGATATCCAGAAATAGGTGAAGAGAAGCAGTCTCTATTGTCCAAAATGGGCGAGTCTGCAGCTACTACTCTTGCCTCTGTGCTGGTGCTGGGCGTTGGCTTCGCGGCTGCTGGTTACGTGTACCACAAGTCCTACAAGTATATGCAGTTGAACAAGATACAGAACGCATTCGAACCAGGAGACCCAGTATTAGTATTAGCAGCAGTAGGAAAGGATATTCCAGCACCGCCTAACGAGCAGCACTGGGTTATGCGCGAAGAACAAGAAAAGATCGACGCGATCATCAACGGAACCAACAAAGGCCACTACCACCTGCTCATGGGAGAAAAGGGCTGTGGTAAAAGCAGTATGTTGATAGAAGCTATGCGGAAAGTTGACGGGGAAGGTTGCGCCATGTTCGAAGCACATGCCGACCTAGAAATCTTCCGAATCCGACTTGGAAAGGCTCTCGATTATGAGTTTCATGAGGACTATATTGGCGGCTATTTTAGCGAGCGCGGTCCGAGAGAATCTACCGCATTGCTGGATATTGAACGAGCGATGAATAAGCTAGAAAAGGTAGCATTGTTACACCGGGCGAAAAAGAACAAACCTCTGCTTCTCATCATCAACCAGACACATCTGATTCGAGACGACGAAGACGGGAGGGACTTGTTAGAATTGCTCCAGCAACGAGCGGAGCAATGGGCGGCAAGTAACCTTGTCACTATGATATTCAACAGTGATGATTATTGGGTATACGAGAGGCTCTTCCAGCGGGCTACTTCGCGTATGGAAGTTATGTCGATCTCGGATTTACCGAAGGCACAGGCAATATCTGCGCTACAGAAATATCGATTACGATACTTTGGCGAAAGAGCTGACGTATCCATGCTTGAGGCGGTCTACGACCGAGTCGGCGGTAGATTATCGTTCCTAAACCGGGTAGCAAAATCCGACAACATGATAGGGACATGCGAGCGTATTAAAGAGAGCGAGAAAACATGGTTCTTGAACCAGTGTTGGATCCTCGGTAATCCGATGGACGATGATGTGATGGATCAGCAAAAATGGGCGAGCGCGGCTATGGTTCTTGCCTTAGCCCTTGTTGAGAAGGAAGAAGAGATGGAGCAGACCTATGATCCCGAGACGGGACACGTCCTGCCGTGGTACCGGATGCACAAGGCCCAGGAAATCATGACCCGAGCCGACTTCATCCGGGATTTTGACCGGTTGAACTTTTTCACAATAACGAGCACGGCTCAAGTCCGTGCCAGCTCGGTACCTATGCACCGTGCGTTTAGAGAGATATGCGCCGAACCCGGATTCCGCGAGTTCCTCCAGGATACATTGGACCGAATTGGTGCTATCGAAAGTTTAGGCCGTACAAGGGAATTGGTTGCGAAGGACCTGGTACTTGGCGGCAAATATCATATATCCAAACCCATAATGAGCATGGATGGTAGGGTGGAGGTTAAGCTTCAGCAGCCGCCAGAGAAGGATTGAAACCCCAAGGTTCGGTCGGTTAGTTTAGAGTGGGTGTTGCATATTGGGGGTAGGGCATAATCTAGCTGCTGGGCCAGCATTTCCTTTGTGAATGGCGACGACTATAGATAATGTACGAGCATTGTACCATATTGCATGTTAACGTTAGCATAATACTGCATCCAAGCACGGAATTTAATTTGTTAGTTATCCATAAGCTCAAATAGTGATTAAGGCGTCGTGGTTAAAGTGATGAGACTGTAGAATTGGGTAGGTAGAAGAGATTTGGTAAAGTCGCTCGTTAAATGTCTTACCTCCCCGTAGGCACCAGCCTGCCTGTCTAGTAGGTATGTAAGCAACAAGATAGACGCCTATGCACCATCTGTCGTTACCTAAGAGATGGATGCTTCAACGTATAGTAGTCTCAAGGAAGTGACATACGGGGTTTTGCTGGTATGGCAATGATCATATATCGTATACCAGACTTTCTGAATCTCTCTGGACAACATAAGAAGGAAACTCAGTCATATATTAGGTGAATATTCTACTGCTGACCAAGGCTGTTTAAGACAGAAACTTGGCATTGAGCTTAATTCCGACTTATCCGTCCCAACATGCCTTTTCCTTCCGATTTGGTGAAAGTCCCATATTAATATTTGATGATCGAAGCCAGAATAGGAATAGTATTGGCAATAAGGCGGCTAGAGCTGACCAAAATTGCACGGACCAAAACTAATTCTCAGAGAACGATTTTGACGACCGAAAAATGTTCGTATAATATGTACGATGTTACCCAATCGTCTAACTTTCATTAGCAAATTACCTAGTAAAAGGAGGATCAATTTCCTACGGCGTATTGGCGGCTCACGGCATCTCTATCAAGTGTGTGAAAACGTTTGAGGGAAACTCATCAATCTCAGTACCAAAAATAGCAGCATATGAGGGGTATCACGGCTAGGTACAGGGGTCTTTTTGGACATGCCTGCATGCATGAAGCTGAACAGTGTGATCATAATATTGGTCCATCATACACACGGATGAAAACATCTCGATATTTTCTAATCGACATATCTACTCTTTATTAAACCATTTTCATCCTTTTAACTAAGCCTAATAACACGGAAAGTGAAGCTATATGTACCCATGGCAGTCTTATTTACAGGCAATCCGACCATCATACGGACAACCGGGGAATGGCGTACTTGAACACATTGTCCGGGTCGTACTTTTTCTTCAGCGCCACCAGCGTCTCATAATGCGCCCCGTAGATCTTCTTACAGTCCATGTCGTCATTATCCAATAATGATATATACGCCGATTCCATCACATTTTCCGGATCAGCCTCTCTGAGTTCTCTCGTCAGCCCGGCTGCCCACTCCGTGCCTTTAGCCTCGAGCTCTTTCACGGGTGTCGCTGCTATCATTTCAAGCATATGGTGTTCCACTCTCGATCCGAAAACGGAATGTTCATTCGGCGCAGGCTCTCGTAGCATGTGGAGGGAAATAGCAATACCGCCACCCGGGAGCGAGGACGTGTACTTAGCCAGGACCTCTGCCAACTTCGGCGTATATTTCTTAACACTCAATGTGTACGCCCGTCCGTAACTGCCCCAGGTAAGTAGCGATTCGTTGAATGCGCAGTACGCCGAGACGGTTTTCACTTCGGGGTTGTTCATCAGGCAAGGACCCAGAGCAGCGATCTTGTTAATCCATATCTTGCCTTCCTCGTGGTCGGCCGCCGACCAAGTAGCAGCAACAGCAAATACCTTCCCGAAGTTAGGAAGTTCTATACCCAACAGGTGAAGCTGAAGAGCCCTAGGGATATCCTGTTCCGCAGCGAGCTTCTCATACCCAGCGCTATAATTCATCCAAGTCGTCGTCAGATCACTCGAATCGAAGACAATAAGAGAAACAAACAATCCTTTCAACGGGAAAATCTTAACCGTCAACTCCGTGATAACACCGAAGATCCCCCCAGCTCCACGTATACCCCTCAACAGTTCCTCCCCGGCATCAACAAGCTCCCCCTTCGCCTTCACAACCTTCGCCCCGACAATCTGATCAACACCCAACCCATGGCTCGACGAAAACGGCCCGTACCCGCCGAGCGTAGCCCACCCGACATACCCCACGCTCGCGACCGTGCCGACGGGCGTCATCAGCTCCCTCGCCTCAAGCGCCTTCGCGAGGTCCCGGAAGACGATGCCGCCGCCTACACTCGCGGTCTTCTCGTCCGCGCTGACGCGCACGTAGTTGATGTCCCGCATGTCGATCGTTAAAGCACCGCGGACCTGGCTCCGCCCCGCGCAGTCGTGGCCCCCGCTGCGGACGACGAAGTCGATGTTATGCTGAACGCAGTATTTCACTAGGACCTGCACGTCGACGGCGGTCTGGGGGCGCGCGATGGCGAGAGGGACGAGGTCGTCGCGTTTTATGAAACATGCGCGCACGCCTTCGAAGTCTGGGCTTGAGGGTGTGAGGAGCTTGATGCTGGGTTGGTGCTTGGTTAGGTACTCCTCGAGCGCCGCGAGACTTTCTGCTGTATTCCGTGCCATCTTGATGTTCAGTTTTCTTGTTATTTGTGGTGCTCCCGTCCCATTTCGCCTATTTTCTGATTAAGTCGATAGGATAGTAAGTCGCCCATCGGGGAGTCAGGAGCATTACTTTTATGGCCATTATTTCAAATACTCAGACATGGTGAACTATCACTTAGTCCGGATATAAGACGAAGTCCTACATATTGGTGGATATCTTCATGCGAAGGATTGCAGCTTACATATGTGCACTGCCGAGAGCATGCTCGGAATATTTCCGTTTCTACCCAGTTTGGCTGTGCCGCAAGACAGCATGTTGGGTACGGATACGGATTTCGATCCCGTTTCTGAGCAGCTCCATGAAAGGTTGAGTAGGTAGAGTTATCTCGGCCAGTAGCAGTGTCAATTGTTTTACGAATTGTGCTTGAATTTGGGCACTGAGAGTTCAGGTATTAATAACGGCTTTTGCAAAGGGTCGAAATCCGACCACACATACTAAATGTCAAGGGCCGTTTAAATCTCCTCGCATACCAATATCGTTCACATGCACTTTAATTCCGTCTCAAGATACTAGGTATCTTATGTCCCCTCCCTTTCCCCCTTGGCGATCTTTAAGTCACTCAACCCTATAAGTGTATAGACTTTAATGTGTACTTATTATTTGTCATCACAGTGCACCTGAGCTTACGCCCTAACAGCCTCGCACTTCACTGCCCCAGCCGTGATCTTAGCTGTGGCACCCGAGCTCGACAATGCTCTACAAGGAGTTACTAGGTTCGCAAGAACCACAGATGCTTCGTAGCACGTTCTCACTTGTAATTTGCGCGATGTGTGCAGGACTCAAGAAAAAGGGCCAAAGCAGTTTCGCAGAGCTAAGGGAACGGATTTTCTTGAAGAGGATGCCTGGGTCGTCTCGCAATATGGGACAGGTGCTTTTTCACCAGTCGCGCTGGTAGAATGGGATTGTGCAATCCAAACACTTTACCTGGAGATGAAGTACGGGTTATGAGAGGCATTCCCGTACCATTCACCCTACATCCCCTTGAGCACTCCCACGAAAGACGCGGTACTAAATTTTCCCTTGTTGGTGATTACTTCCTTCGTGGCATTATGGATAGTGAAGTTGAGCAGAGGGGAGATTCGATGGAACAAAATATTGTTTTCATATAACGAGAAGATACCTAGGTTTTTAACGATACCCTATTGCTAGGACTGTCGATAGGAACTCCGAAGACGGAAGGCACTCTCTCGATGTTGCTTATGGGTACTTATATGCACTGAAATCAGTAGTTCGCTCTCCATGACAATTACTAATATTGGTAAAGAGCATCTCCGAGATCCCTACGGAGATTATGAGGTCGGCGATAAGAATCAACTTGCATCTTGATTAACAACCGCATTTTGAATAGTTTGGTGTGAACAGCTAAATTGACTAATGTGGCAGTGACTCTATGACGATCTGATGATGGCGAGGGCGACGAATAAACATGGATACACTGAAGGGCCCTAGAGTTCAAAATATATTGCGAAACTATAAGAACGCAGCCAACATCCGCGAAATTGGGTTCGCCGATCAAAAAATATCATCATCACCACCATGACGTCTGAACACTTGAACTTCAGCTGTGCCCTTATCACTGGTGGAGGTGGGGGTATCGGAAAGGAGATCTCGCAATACTTCATATCAAAAGGAAAAAAGGTCATCATTGCGGGTCGAACGGAGTCCAACCTTCAAGCCACGTCGAAAGAAATAGGGGCCGCTGGATATTATGTTCTCGACACTGGTTCGATCCCCGATATTCCAGCTTTCATCGACAACATCATCAAAGATCACCCAGATCTCGACTGCTTAGTCAACAACGCCGGGGTCCAAAGACCCCTCCAAGTACTCAAACAGACTCCGGAAGACTTCCTCTCGAAGGCCGATAATGAGATCAATATCAACATCCGTGGTCCACTGCATCTTGCAGTAGGACTATTGCCTCATTTGAAATCTAGGCCACACGCTCTAATTATCAATGTGACTAGTGTGCTGGGATTCGTGCCATTCTCGATCATCAACCCAGTGTACAATGGTACTAAGAGCTTCCTCCGGTTCTTTTCGATGGCGTTGAGATCACAACTTAAAGATACGTCGGTACGAGTTGTCGAGATCGTTCCGCCGACTGTCTCGACTGATCTTCATCGCGAACGCGAAAACCCCAGCGATAATTCTAAAGAGAATAATCCTAGTGCTCTTTCACTGGAAGAGTTCATGAATGAGGTCTCCGAGAAGTTGGAGAAAGGAGAGGAGACGATTGGGGCTGGACTAGGCGATGAGTTGGTGAAGAAATGGTATGGCACTTTTGGTTACCTGTATGAAGATTAAATGAGGAAGGAACCGAGGTTGAATGAGTGGCTAGTCGATGCCCGAAGTTAAAGAATCTCGCTAAAACCTGAAGCTGTCTGGGCAGGTGATCACTGGGCATGATGATATGAAATGCGACTTTCCGTGATTGTTTCAGAACTGACAAACGCAACTTCCAAAATTGTTACGCAACCCACTGTAACCTTGGCGTACAGGGTACCTAGTACCTAGTAGATGGACTACCGCATTAAAGCCAGATGCTGCCTAATCAAAAGAGCAGTGGCGTCACACTATCGACGCCACAATACCTAAAACGCCACTTACCCCCACCCTAAAGCCCTAGCATCTGCCTACGCAGCCTACGTTACCCAGGCAAAGGAAGTAAGATTGCCTTGTTATGACGCAGTATTTCTGGACTTTCCCACCATCAGCAAAAACCCTAAGGAATACAAGATCTGGTGTTGACTAGCAAGCGCGACGAGATCCCTGTTTCCTACAAATTGGGTTCTCTCCCTCTATTTCATCCCAACATTCCTTTCTCTCAGCCACCATACTTCCTCATTTCCTATCGGCTGACCCCTCTGAAGGTAAAGCTTCAATTCGGACAAGATGTTTGTCCTTAAAAATGGTAAATATTTGCCCCTCATCGCTAGCATTGTTCGAAAACAGCGCTCTGTCAAAGTCCAAACTGCTGTCTAGAGCCTTGTTTTGTAGGCCAAAAGTAACATGATTCTATTTCAACACTATCTACATTAATGTTTTTATGAGGCTCATTTACAATCTGTCAATATATCAATACTGGAAATATATAACTAACTTGGGAATCTAGTTGGCAAGTTTATCTTCGGTACCGGTAGCCAAGAGTCCATGATCGAACTGCCTCAAGGCCAACTCTACCTAGTCCGACCGTTATCACCCAAAGGATACTCTGAGCTTATCTTTAAGGACGCTACCGCTCGTATCCGTCGAACTGGTCAAGACTTTCAATATCAACTTGTCGTACAGCGAGTTTACGAGGAAGGCGAGGCTGAGTTGGCGGACGAGGAAGGTGAAGACGAAGAACTTAACGCTCTAGCCGCCGAGAAGGACGAGAAGACGTTCCTTCTTGACGAAGCCCTTCACTTTCGCGTTGAGATTAGAGAGGGATCACAGAACATAATTGCTTGGAAGGATTTGAGTGGCGACGTCGGCGACGTCTACGAATTTGTTTGCGACCCTTCGATCAAATCCGCGCAAGTTGGAGCATTCGAACGCATCGCGAAACAGTGCCAATACGAGCGCAAGTACAGAAAGCCGCATTCTACTGCCTCTGAAGCCGATCTTGAGCAGTTCGATTTCGAAGAGCAACCTATCCCTCAAGCTAGCCCTATTCACAGCCCAACTCTAGCACGATCTATCGAATCCTCCGACGCAATGTTTCAGTTAAAGAACGAGGCAAGCGCTAGCGCTAAGAGGGATAGTATCCCATCTACTTCGTCTGTGCTCGCAGAAGCTGAACTTGAATCTGGAGTCTACGAAGAAGAGGAGGTCAAGACAACGTCTTCTAAGCAGAATGAGCCCCCTCAGCCTCCTACCCAACCGGAGCCAGTCGAGATCTTGTCCATGGAAATCGGCGAGCTCCACTTTTTCGACTTTCCCTCGGGGGCCTTCGTTATTCGCGACTCATCTGTCACGGCTCAGGTGTCAGATATTGGTAACTGGAACTACTGGCTACATATTGCTAGCAGTGACCGGCAGTGGCTTGGTATTCCAGTCATTGCTGACATCAACCCGGTCTTCAACTTTGAATTCCTATCTTTTATCTTTAACCAATTCACTGAGGATGGCTCTGCTTATTCCTGGCTGTTGAGGTTCAAGGACACTAAGACACTGGAGAGATTCCAGGATGGTCTGATGAGGGCACTCTGGGAACAGTTGAATGAAGTCAAGTGGACTAAGGTGAAGGAACAAGATCGTCAATATGTGTTGGATGCCTTCGGGGATCTAAAAATGGAAGATGCACCAATTGAAGAAGAAGAGGAAGAGGAAGAGATTGAACCAGAGGAGGAGCCCGAGGACGACGCGCCACGAAGCGAACACTACGATAGTGACGAGGAAGAAGAAGACGTCGAAACTGGGCCAAAGGACCCCTACACCAACTCCGCATTAGCTGTTGGTTACAAACATGATCGCTCTTTTGTCGTCCGAGGTCCTAAGATTGGAGTGTTCAAGCATACGCCTAAGAATCACTTGGAATTCACTACCAACATTTCCAAAGTCGAGACACCAAAGGGCGCTTCTTTTGTTCCTAAGAAAGTCATGTTGCACAACGAAGATCGCAATCTGATCCTGCAGAACGATACGGACCCCAACAAGCTATATCGCATGGATCTCGAGTATGGAAAGGTGGTTGATGAATGGAAAGTCCACGACGACATCCCTGTCGTCACTTTTGGACCTGAAAACAAGTTCGCGCAGATGACACATGAGCCGACATTCTTGGGTATTTCTCGCAATGCACTGTTCCGTGTCGATCCTCGTCTATCCGGCAACAAGCTTGTCGACTCTCAACTCAAGCAGTACGTATCGAAGAACGATTTCTCGTCAGTATCTACCACAGAGAAGGGCTACGTGGCGGTGGCATCCAACAAGGGTGATATCAGACTTTTCGATCGTCTGGGCATCAACGCGAAGACCGTCATTCCAGCTCTCGGCGAACCTATCATTGGCCTTGATGTGTCTGCAGACGGTCGTTGGGTGCTTGGAACATGTCGCACATACCTGCTGCTCATCGATGCACTGCAAAAGTCCGGTAAAAACGAAGGCAAGCTAGGTTTCGAAAAGCCGTTCGCCGCGGACTCCAAGCCTCAACCTCGCCGTCTCGCGTTGACTCCTGAGCATATTGCTCAATTCCACCACGAAACAGGAAAGGGTGTCTCGTTTACCCCAGCACGATTCAACACAAGCAAGACAAATGAGGAGTCATCTATCATCACTGCGACTGGCCCATACATCATTGACTGGAACCTCGACAAGGTTCTTCGTGGATCTAAATCACCTTATATCATTAAGCGCTACGAAGACAACGTTAAGGCCGACGACTTCAAGTTTGGCACCGATCAAAATGTTATCGTTACCTTGCCCAATTGGGTTAACATGGTGGGAAAACAACATCTCAAGAGGCCCACCAGAGAGAGTATCGCAGGTGACTTCCAACCGAGACGAAGCTCTGCGCGGGTTGGCACACGAGAGAGCGGACGTTACAAGCTTGGCAAGGAAGACGTCGTCAACTCTCCTTACTAGATTGCTATTGGAGATGCAGCTTCCACTGATGGACAAAGAATCGATGCGCGATTGTGTTAATTGATTTCACGAGATTACGCCTTTTACTGGTGCCGGACACGAGTCCGAGCCTTTATTTCCTATTTTCCCACATACCCCCGCCGGCGTTTAGGAACGGACGGAAATGGGTGTTGATTCATTCCTCATGGGGCCAGCCACTTTGGCTTAGGGCAAGATAAGATACCTGTTTTTCGGTGCGCGGTTGATCATTTCGCCTAGGTAGTTAGATAGTAATATACCTCGTCGAGGGATCTCTGTTGTTCGAGACTTTGGATTGAGATTGAAGATGTTTATGGTTTTCAATTTATCAATGTCGTTGTTTTCATGTGATTGCAATGGGAGGTCTACCCCATGCACCTGGTAGATAACTCCCCCTTAAGAAGGCAATTGATCACTCATTTCGGCGGTACTCATCACTGCCTACTAGGTAGACATAAGCGAAAGACCAAACAAGCGCTTTGGGGGTCATCACGTTAATATATACGTGTCCCATGTAAGCTGAGATAAGTAAGATAATATATCAGATAACTTGCACCCGGCTAGCAATCTTGCTCGGCGATTTACTTATATGAAGTATGATGCACGACATCATCATCGTTACGACAGAATCTGCAGACGACGTAGGTACCATCAGCGGTGGGATAGTATATTAAGTCAAAGTCTCAGCGTGGATGCGGGCAATATACACGTACCTATGCTTCTCAAACACCTTGGCGATACTACGCGTAACCTGATCCTAATACCTGCGCAACTTGAAATTGCCATGCTACTATATTATCGACAGGTTTGGGATTAGGTTGGTAGGTGGTACTCTACGGCCGGGATCCCGTGGTGCGGGATGCGGTTGATATAAAAAGGCGTTCCTTCGAATCGGCCCAATGCCGTAAATGATCGGACGGCCCTGCATTCAGCCAAAAGGTCGACGTCGCAACCATGCGACGTAGATAATATCTACCTGCCGAAGAGTTGCAGAGGATTACGATAGCTCGCAGGAACCTTTTCCTATTTCTTCGGATATCAATATCGCGAAAGCGTAGTGTCTTAAAGCATGTGAATTTACTTTGACTTGGTTTTTCTTTGCCCCTTTTTGCAACCCGGCCTGCGCGGCTTGGAAGCTTGGGAATAGAATTACAGCTCAAAGAAACTCCCTGTCGATTGGAACCAATCTCTGCATTGCGCATCTATCAAGCTCCTCTTAATACCCTCGGCGTCATGCCACTCTACCCACCAGGACACTCGGCGCCGGCGCTGTCGATCCCGGAACTTCGTAAAACGCGTATTGGCATCAATCATGGTGACCCACCTACTTATTCCTAACATAGCTTGATGGTAGAGGTAGCCCCCGCGTACGAAAGGGGTAGGTGAAGCGAATATTCGTACCGTTTACTGATATGCGTTTGATGGCCGACTTCGTACCAAGTAAATTATTTTCACAGTGGCGTTTGGTTATCTATTACAAAGTCATGATAAAATAAAATGAAAAAGATATTGAGACTACAGAGCCATATAAAGTAGCAACAGCAAAGTCGATGATACCCCCTAATAATGCATAGTTCAGAAGAAGACATTGCAAATTCTCAAGAGGTGAAAACCAGGGGAGCTTCTATCAAACCAGGATGATCGATCCCCCATTGAGACATGCATTCATAAATAAGACCACGTTCCCGGGTGAATGGACGGGTTACACACAAGGCTCGGAAGATCCCAATGTCGTAACATAAGCTTATCTTCTTATACGTATGCCCAGACGTAGCAACTGCAATCCTACCTCACCCAGGACTGAAGATCAAAAGGAAAGAAAGAGCCCTAGGTTGACACTACCTCGTGGCTTCTGGTGACGCGTCTGCCTCCAGAAGACTCGTGTACATACGTTTCCTTAAGACTTCCCATCATCCCTCTTTGTACCCTCTTGGGTGTCTGGTCCTCAGTCCAAGTCGAGGGTACCAGCTCCGTCACCATGAAGTCGCATCCCTCCGCGACAGCGCTGCTGCTGTTGGCCGTGCACGCCATGATCGCCCCGGCGGGCGGGATCCCAAACTGCCCGTACCCAGGACCTGCGTTCCCGAAGCCGAGCTCATTGGCTTCTTCTAATGCCATCAAGACGGCGATCGCAAACTTGACGGCGACGTTCAATGCGCGGGGCATGGACTCGGCGACAAACCCAAACGCTACGTCATGGTCTATACAAGTGTTCTCGGCTTCTGATAAGGATGAGGACACGCCGCTGTGGAGTCACTACCATACTGCGACTAATTTGCTGACGGCTAACACTCCTGGCGTGAAGAGCGTGAATGGCGACACTGTGTTTCGGCTTGGTAGCGTTACGAAGATATTCACGATATTGACGTTTCTTATTGAGGCCGGGGACACATATTGGAACACACCAGTAACCCAATGGGTGCCGGAGTTGGAGCTGTTGGCTGGGAAGGCTCAGTATGATCCCATTATGAACGTGGACTGGGATAGCATTACGCTGCAGGATCTGGCAAGCCATATGGCAGGAATCGTGAGAGACTGTGAGTACTTTTAGTTGGTGCTTTGGTTTAAAGAAATAGGAAAATTGGGGGAGCGAAGAAGTTGGTGAGATGGAGATGGAGAAGTAGAATTGAAAGTCGCAGGGCTAAAATGTGACATCAAATTCCTAGATGCCATCGAAGGAGAACTGACGCAAGAGAACAACCAAACTGTACTCCAAACCAAGGGCTTCCCGCCGGCACCATTTAACGAGACTCCGATATGCGGCGAAGCTATAAAATGCCCTCGCGCAGGTGAGCAGCCCGTGACCGGATGATTCGCAATAGGACGCGGCAAGAACATGTCTAACAGAAGACCGCGAGTAGAGTTTTTCACAGGACTAGCCAACGTCCCGCCATCATTCTCGCCCTCATGGACGGCCGGGTATTCCAACATGGGCTACCAAATCTTAGCGTACGCGCTCCAAGCCATCACGAAGAAGCAGTTTGCGCCGATGCTACAAAGCGACATTATCGATAAGCTCGGGCTTCAGAACACATTCTACGAGAAGCCCGACGATTCACTCGGCGTCATCCCCGAAGGAAAAGAAGACGGTTGGTCGTACAGCCTCGGCGAAGCGAGCCCGTATGCCCCCTTTCCTCCTTCACCTTTCCCATTCGAAGAAGTTAACACCCCATAGAACCGGAAACATGTACTCCTCAACAAGCGACCTCTCGCGCCTCGGCCGCGCCATCTTCCGGCACACGCTCCTCGCGCCCGCGCAAACCCGACGCTGGCTCAAGCCCACAGCGCTCACATCCGACATCCACGAAGGCATAAGTTCGCCCTGGGGAATCCGGCGCATCCCGCTAACCGACGGCAGCCGCGTCGTAGACGCGTACAGCAAAGCCGGGAGCATCAACGTGTACATGTCTTTACTCGTGCTGCTCCCCGACTACGACGTCGGCATCGCGGTCCTGCTCGCAGGCGGATGGCCCGGAAACGCGAACTGGGATATCGCGGACACCATCGGAAAAGCACTGCTCTCAGCCCTCGAAGACGCGGCGCGCGAGGAGGCGGAGACGAATTACGCGGGGACGTACACGGCGGCGGACGCGGGGATGAACAGCACACTGGTGCTGAGCACGGACGCGACGCGGCCGGGGCTGGGCGTCGAGCGGTGGGTTAGTAATGGCACGGACATGGTGCCCGTCGCGGTGCGGTATACCCTGAACTACAACGTCACCGGGCCGTCGATTCGGCTGTATCCTGCCGGTTTAGAGTCTAAACCCGCAGCGGGGAATGGTTCGAGGAAGATTGCGTTTAAGGCGGTGGTGGAGAATTTGGATCTGCCGGATCGTGGACAGGCTATGTTTTCGACGAATTGTGGGACGTGGGTTAGTCAGACGGCGGCGGTTTATGCGGATATGCCGTTGGATCAGTTTGTTTTCACGCTTGGGGGGGACGGCAGGGCGGTGGGGGTTACGCCTTTGGCGCTGCGGACGGAGATGGTGAGGGGGGGTTAGGTAGGCGGGGGTAGTTGGGGGTTTGTGAGATCGCGACATATAGCTTCGTAATGTTTCGTGTGTAATAGTTAAATTGGTATTTTCAAACTGACTTAGCTGTCAACATTTGCGCCAAGTGATAGCTTATCATCCTCTCCAGTAGGTACCTATTTAGCATAGGAATCTAGTGGCGTCTCAGAAACATCGAATCGGGACGTATCTATAGGCACCGACGCTGGTGGTATGTTCAGTGTCCAGGTGAGTGGGAGAAAGAACATTTATGATCACCATATTCGATGTTGGTGATGCATCGTAGATGATTCGCTAACAGGACGGCGGACCATAAGGACAAATCCGCCAACCCGCCAATTCAATTAATGTATTGAAAGGTATACTGTATAAATATAGTGTACGACGAAAATATACTGTGTTTTATAATTTAAAGATTAAAAGGCTTATAAATTATAATACGTATAAGTAAATATTTATTAAATAAATATAATAAGTTTTTTTATTTTTATAAAAATATTAAGAAAATAAGTATTTACTTAGTAATATTATAATAATTATTAATTAAATTAAACTTTATTATATTTAGGTATTTAATAAGTAAATAAATATGTAATCGTTATTTATTATAATATTAAAGGTTATAATAATGAAAATAAGTTAATTTAATTATTTTATTATGTTATTTAAATTTTTAATTATATTAAAATAAACGAAAATTTTTATATTTAAACGTAAAAAAAAAGTAGCTTAATATGTTATTAATTTAAGTTTTAAGTTATTATTAATTTAGTGATTAATTAAGTAACTTTTCGAAAATAAGTAAATAAATAAAAAATATATCGAGTATAAAAATAAAAAACTTTAATAATAACTTTTTAATAATAAAAAAAATAATTTTACGATTAACGAATAAAGTATTTATTAATTATTTAATGTTTTTTTTAAAAGATAAAGTTTTATTTAATAGGGTTTTTTCGAACTTAACTTTAATATTTTTTTTTATTAATATAATTTTTATTTATTTTTACTTTTATTTTTTATAATTATACTTTTATTTTTAATTTAATTTTTTAATAATTATAATTCTTTACTTTATTTCGTATTTATTTAAGTAAGTAATAAATAATTATTTATATATTTTTAATTTTTTTATTATTCGTTTTACGTAAATAATGATATAATTTCGATTTATTTCGGTTTAAAATATTTATATGTTTTTATATATTATTAAGAACTTTTTAAACGTTATTAAGTGTAATTTAAATACGTTTTCGGTAAAAAACATGGTTTTTTTTTATTTTTATAATTTAAAATAATAATTAAAAAATTAAATTACGGTATATTTTTAACGTTAATAAAAATTTATTAAATAAAATCGATATTATCGTTTATAATATTATTATCGTTATTATTATTATAATGTAAAAAAAACGCGTTTAAATTAAAATATATAAAATTTAAGGAATAATTATCGCAATTAGTTAAATTTTTTTTAAGTTTAAAATATATAAAATAATATATATAATTTTATATTAAATTAAAGAGCGTTATTTTTAATTAATTACATTCGATTAATTTAAGTTTATATAAAAAAAATTATAACTTAATATATTATTATATTTAAATAAATTTTAATTTTTCCGTTTTATATTTAAATAATTTTATTTATTTATATATATTAAATTTATTTATAATTAAAAATATTAATATTTTATAAAAAACGTAATTAAATAATATAATTTATATTAAGTTTTATTAAAGTTTAATAATATTACGTAATAACGTATTATTAAAAAAAATATTTTAAATATATTATATAAAATTATAAATAAATAAACTTATAAAAATTAACATATTTATATAATTTTAACATTTAAAATATTAATTAATATAATATTAATATTATAAAAAATCTTTAAAAATGAAATGTTTATTTATATAATATTTATTATTTTTTAAAATAATTAAAATAATATATTAAATTTATTTATTTATATAATGTTTTATCGTTTATTAATAAACTTTTCGTAATATTTAAGCTTTAATAATTTCGATCGTTTACGAATATTATATTTAAAAATTAATAATTTTTTATTAATTTAAGAATTTAAGGCATTACGGTTTTTACGTGGCTTGTTATTTCGGTTTTTTTTTACGTTTATTAATTAAACGATTTTGTTTTTTCAACGCGTTATTAAATCGTTTCTTCCGTTTTTAAAATCGATAATATTAATAAAAAGTTAATTAACTTTTCGTTTTTTAACATTTACTTTAAGTTTTAACGAGTGGTTTTTATAAGGAAATATAAAAAGATTTTCGGTAAATACGTAATTATAATTATTATTATATTTTAAAGCGGTAATTATAATGGTGGAATTTATATTAATAGTTAAATTTTAATTATTTAAAAAAATTCCATTTTAAGTAATTAAACCTTGTTACGATTTTAATAAAATAACGTTTTAAAAAGATTAAGGTTAACGGGTAATTTTATTAAAAATGTTTCGCGTTTCGTAAAAAACGAATAATATTTTTATATTAACGGTTCGTGTTATATTTATAAAAATAAATAAGTTTTTTTTATTAAACGTAATTAGCTTTTTTTATATAAATTTTTTTAAACTTTTTTCGTTTATATTATTCATTCCCGGTTTTAAAAAAAAGCTAAATTATTTTTACCGTAAATTAAAAATATAAAAGCTTAAAAATTCGTAATTTACGGCAAGTAATTCGTTAATAAAATTAATTTATTAACGCATCGTATAAATTATAAAACGCCCGGTTAATATAAAATTCTTTTAAAAAACGTTAATAATAAATTAATAATAAAAATAATTTAATAAAACTTATAATTTTAAAACGTTTTAAGGTAAAGTTTTTCGAATTTTATTATCGCGTCGTTTTAAAAATTAATAATAATGAGTTAAATTAATTTAAAATTTTCTTTTATAATATTTAACTTTTTATCGGCGATAAAACAAGGCTAAAATTTACATACGAATATATCGATTAACGCCGTATAAGTTAATTTTTTTTATCGTTTTCAAAGAATAAATTATTTAAATTTTCCACCCGTTTTATAAATAAAAATATAATAAAAGTTAAAATACGGGAAATATAAAAATTACGGGAATTTACTACGAGTTATACGTGTAAAAATATATTAATTCGTTTTTTATATATAATTATAAAAGCTTTAAAAATATTACTTTTAATATAAAGCTTTAGTTTATTTTAGGGATTTTTATTTTTTTTAAATAAATTATTAATAATTATTTATTTATATTTAATAATATTTATTAATAAAATAATAATATAATATTTTTTTATCGATTAAAACTTTTTAATAAATTTAACGTAATAATTATATTTAAAGGTTTTTCGTTAATTAATTTAAAATTAATTTATAATGTTAATATTAAATTAAGTTTATAAAGTTAAATATTATTTTAAAAAAAAAATTAAAATATTACTTTTTTTTAAATAACATTTATAAAAATAATTTTAATTAAGTAAGCTTAAATTTAATTTATATATTTTAAAATATTTAATTATTATAAATGTTATTTTTATTTTATATCCGTAAATATAATATTCGTAAACGTATAAGGTAATTTTTAAAATTATTTTATTTTTTTTTTTATTATACGTTAACTTGTTTATTATAATATTTTTAATATATTTCTTTTTAATAGCGTATTATTTATTTAATATTTACGTATAAATATTATTTATATAAGTTAAAACGTTATTACTTTATTTATTTAATTTATATCCGTTTCGTTTATTATCGATAAAATTAATTCGAAATTATATATATTAAAAAAGATTAACCGGCTCGTGTTTTACCGTAAAAAATATACCGAAACTATAATACGTAATAAATTAAATGGTATATAACGAATTCGATAAAAAGGAAATAAGTTATGGGATTAATAAATTAACGAATTTATTATGTTTTTTTTTATTTTTATACTTATTTTTAACGGAAAAATAATAAAAGTAATAATAAAAAGGGTAAGTCGAACGGTTTTATTTTAATAATTATAAATAAAAAATATTATATAATAAATTAAGGTTATTTTTATAAACTTTCGGTAATATATATTAATAATTTTTTTTATATACGTTTAAAAAATTTATAATAAATAATATTATTTTTACGATTAATTACATTATTTAAGTAATATTTAAATAAGTAAATAAGTTATTTATAATATAAAATAAACTTATATAAACGATTAATATTATATATAAAAATATTTTATAAATATTAAAAAGCGAAGAAAATTCGATTTTTATTTTAAAATTATTAATTTAAATTTTATTATAAAAAAAATAAGTTATTTTATATTATATTTATTTTATTTTATAACTATATTAATATTATTATATAATTATTTACTACGCGTTATTATATAACGAATAAAATTATTTATTACTAATTTAATTATATAACGGTTTATATTCGATATAAAAATATATATTTTTAATTAAGTTTAATTTAAATAAATTAATAAGGATAATTATATTATATTAATATATAAAATAAATATAAAAAATATATATAATAAAAAAAAAAATTATAATTAATTATAGTATAAAAAAAAGTAAATTTAATTAAAAAATTTAACTTTTTACGAACGATAATTAAAATTAACCGGGGGGTTTTATTAATAATTATAATTATAATTAATATATTTTTATATATTTTATAATAATTTAAAACTTAATTTAATTAAATCGTAACGGAAAGGAAAAAAAAGGGTAAATAAGTTAAAGAAGTTTATTATATATATTAAAAAAAAAATTTAGGAAAAAAAAAAGGGAGGTAAGAAAAAGTTAAAGGAAAAAGTATAATATTAAAAGTTCGAAGTTACGAAATAATAATTTAGGGATTTCGAAGGTTTTAATTAAGTGATATTATATCCGTACCACGCGAAAATTTTATATTTATAAGTTAATATTAATAATTAATTCGAATAATAAAAGGAAGTTAATAATTATTA